TTTGGTGATAAACTTCCCGGGGGGCTACTTCGGGCTAGACGCCAACTATGGCTAGTTTCTTGGCAACGCATAACTTTTGAACTCGTCCTCCGTACCAACTAGTATTTAAATGACGGACCCGGTCCCCGAGATCTAAGACATTTTGAGAAGGCTGTTCCGTCCACACCTCTTGGTCGCAGCTAAAACGATTCCGTCCCTTGCTCCCCATTCCAGTCTAGGGCCACCACACTGCTCACCAACCAGCAACAGCTGCGTCTTGTTGGTCAAGGCCAAGCATCTGCTCGCTATTCCCGCTTCCGAAACCTTGTGTGTGCGCAACACCCCAGCCATTATTATATAACAATCATCAATCTTCTCCCTCTCTGCACGGTCCGCATATCACCAGAAAATATACCTACTTGGGTAATCGTCCATCTGGCCGAGGTTGACCTGACCCTCAGGGGAACTAAAAAGCAATCCAACTTGCAAAGTCCGGATCCACCTTCTCCAGCTCAACCCGCACCTGCCGCTTCGCTCGCTCGCTCTCCGAGACGGCTGCTTGGCCACTCTTTCCCTTTTTCGACTCTTTGTCCATCCATCCGTTCATTCATTCATTCCTCTTCTTCTCATCCGTCCCCCGGCAGGCAGGTCTCACCTGGCAGGCACCGTCTTCCTCTCTTCCATTGCACGACATTGGAAGTCACGACTCACGCCTTCCCAGCTTCCATCCGGTCTCAGACACCACGCACGACTGACCTGACCTGCTGTGCGCACCCGGGACGGTTGGGGCCCAGCGGGCAAAAAATCAACACGCAGCAGCAACCATGACCGTCAGCAGCAGCAGCAGCAGCAGCATGGATCACCCGCAGCTGGCCACGACCAACGGCGATCTGCCGACCACGATCATCGCGACCGTCGCCAGCACACACAACATTCTCCTCCTCGTCCTCTTCTTCTTCCTCGCCTACCTGCTCAAATGCATATACGCCCTTTTCATTTATCCTTATCATGTCTCACCACTTCGGCACCTGCCGACACCAAAGGAGAACCACCACTGGCTGCTCGGACAGATGATCACACTCCTCTCGACGCCCTGGATGCCCTACCTCTACCGCGAATGGAGCCGTGAGTGTCCCGACGTCCCCTTTCTGCGCATTTTGAAAATTGGACAATCCGAGACCCTCATCCCGAACACAATCACCGCCTATCGCGAGGTCCTCCAGACCAAGAATGACTGCTTCATCAAGTCCGAAGAGTCGCGTAACGGCGCCGCCATGGTCATTGGCGACGGCCTCCCCTGGGCGCACGGCGACGACCACCGACAGCGTCGCGCCGTGCTCAACAAGCTCTTTGCGCCCCAGCGCATGAAGGCCTGCGTCCCCAAAATCAAGGCCAAGGCCGAGCAGCTGTGCCGCGCACTGGCCGCCAAGCAGTCCGTGCCTGGCGATGCCGTCACAGGTATGTGCGACCAACCAACCAACCCGGCAATTGGGTTGACCGTGGGGGCCGCTTGTACTGACCGTGTATCATAGTCGAAACCGAGCTTTGGAAAGCTGTACTCGACGTCGGTGGCATCAAGTCCATGGGCGTCGACCTCGACCACCTCGGCTCGGACGCTTCCCCCCTCCATGAGATCTTTAGCGCAACGATGCGCCCCAGCATTCGCGGCCATATTGAGCGATGGACGGTTACGCACCTCCCCTTCAAACAATACTTGCCGCTCGAGGCTGTCAGCGAGTTTGTTCGGAAATGCGCCACTGCACGCAGCGTCATAAGAGAACACGTGCAAGCGCGGCGCCGAGCATTCAATCGCGGGGAGAAGACGAGGGACGATGCAGATGTGCTGCAGGCCATGGTGGAGGCGACGGGTCTGTGGGACGATGAGCAGGTCGTGGAATATGTGAGTTCCCGTCGAGGGCCATGCGGTCGGACAGGATCGGATGGACGCTAATGCGCGGGACAGATTCTGAACTTCATGGTGTTAGGACATGACACCACGGCGTGCACGCTCGTCTGGGCTCTGGATACGCTGGCTCGTCGAAAGGATATCCAGGATCGATTACGGAAAGAGATCAACGACATGGAGGAGCAGTCGTGGGCGGAGATTGACCGCGCGCATTTCCTGGAGAACTTCTTGCGCGAAGTGCTGCGGGTGCATTGTCCAGGTATGTCCGACACTGTTGAATCTGTCCTTTTGGAGAGTTGCTAACGATGGTAGTCGGCTGGATTCCCATGGTCGCCGCCTGCGACGTTGAGATTTCTGGCGTGCTCATCCCCAAGAAAACGACGCTCAACCTGTGTCCAGCCATGATGAACCTGAAGCCGGAGATTTGGGGCCCCGATGCAGAGGAGTTCGACCCCGACCGCTGGGATCGCCTCGAGGGCGAGGCAGGAAGTGCTTATGCCTTTGCCACCTTCCACAACGGCCCTCGCGTGTGCATCGGCAAGGCCCTCACACTGATGGAGCTCAAAATGGTCATTGTCGAGCTCGTGTCGCGGTTCAAGATGGAGACGGACATGGAGCCGCTCGGCCTCGAGACACCGAGCTTCACGCTGAAGCCCAAGCAGACACTGAAGCTGCGCTTGACGGATGCGTGAGTTGGTGCACATGGGCCCCGAGACTCGGCGTCCCTTTCTTGTATGATGTTATGTTGAAAAGGCATTGGGAAGCGGCGTGGCATATGGGTGGCTGGCTCCCCCCTTCCGGAGACCAGCAGAAGGCGTACTGTTTATAGATCTGGATACCTCACATTTCGATTAATTAATTGGTACATATGCCCTCTGTGCGTGCCGGATCTTTAAGACATCTGCGTCCAAGCGTGCATGCAGGCCTTGATGCTTGATGCACATTGCAAACAGCCCCCACCGGTGCTTTTCTGTGGCGTGAATATGGTTGTCGTTCATCTGTCCATCAAAGCTGCTGTGTGTTGTACCTCCGTACCGAAGCACTGCTGAGCTCCGGCAGTTATAAGCTGTAGCTGGGCCTGATTCTGTTATGCCAACTCAATTGCTAGACTGCCGAACATTATCATCATCTCCCAAGTATTCACGTAATCGCCAAACCCATCGACTTGGACCCTGATCTTCTGGAATATTCTAATCACCGCGCGGGGCTTACAAATCCCGGTCGCGTCGCGTCCCCGCCACACACGACCTGCCAAGTACATCTCGAGTTCAGGTCTGATAGAAGAACGAGAATCGCGATGAGCAAGGTGAACACACGAGCCGAACCTTGTGAGACGCTGTTCCCCAGATGAGGCACGGCCAATCCTTGAACTCGCTCCTGCGCAAAGTGGCGCAACGGTGACCGCGCCTCGTCACCCACTCCTCACTACTTGATAAGACTCGGAGGATCCTCCCTGGAGCCTCCCCTCAACCCAGAACAAGAACTACCTAGAATCGCGAGCTGCGCACAATGAGCGACAACGGAGCGAGAGCTGAGCGCCTCAGGCAAGATGGCAACGACCATTTTCGCCGTCGCAACTACACCGCCGCCGAGGCATGCTACTCCCAAGCGTACGTCCGTCCATCCATAAGGCCAGGCCACAGCTGGGAGGGAGAGAGAAAGAAAGAAAGCTAACGTTTGACCTGCCTCCAGCCTCGTCCAAGACCCCAACATGACCGCCGCCTACGCCAACCGCGCCATGTGCCGCTTCTTCCTCACCTCCCACGACGCCTCCATCACCGACTGTGACGCCGTCCTCGCGCGGGACCCAAACTACCTCAAGGCGCACTACTACAAGTCCAAGAACCTCCTCGCCCTCGGCAACGTCGACGAGGCGAGCACGCACGCCCTGCTCGCGTACGAGGCGTGCGTCGCCCAGGGCGCCGACACGTCCCTCAAGATGACCAAGGAACACCTCCTTGTCTGTCGCAAGGAGCGATGGGACGTCAAGGAGCGTCGACGTCGGCACGCCGCCCGCGCATTTGAGAGAGAGATGCTGGGCGTCCTGGAGCGGGAGATTGAGCGGGACGTGCTTGAGGCCGCGGAAGGCGGCAGTGAGGCGGAGCTTGCAGCCGTGCGGGAGGAGGGCAACAAGCGGCTCGCGGATCTGCGCGATGTGTTTGAGAGGGCCCGGGCCAAGGACGACGTGAAGCGGGAAGTGCCCGAGTGGCTGATTGACGACATCACCTACAATGTGATGCTCGACCCGGTCATGACGCCGTCCGGGCGGTCGTATGAGCGCGAGTCGATCACCAAGTTTGTCGAAAAGGCGGGCACGGACCCGACGACGAGGGAGCCCTTGTCCAAGAGCGATTTGAAGCCCAACCGCGTGCTCAAGGACGCGTGCAGTTGGTTTCTTGACGAGAATGGGTGGGCCTATGATTGGTGAGGCGATGAAGGATATGGGCAGTTTGTCCTTTTCGAACCGTGGGAGCGTTCGACTTGGTAGCATTTTCGGCAGCGTAGGCGTTTTCTGGTTTAAGGCGATTCCCTTCAGCAGATGCATTCGACAAGGGCGCAAAGGGCACAGAGCATAGGGTGACAATAACAGATGTGGTATGCTTGACAATATCTCCCGGCACTTAATTGACCTCATCATTGTACCCGCATCATGATCGGATAGCCGCGGAGATGATCCACTTGTGAAGATAAGGTTGATCGTCCGCGATCCTAAGCTGGGCCTGGAGTGACTCGTGCAGATCTCCTCCAAGATCATCCTTTTGACTCCCTATATGCACCCGTATCACACGCCGACCTATCACCCGCATTGCAGCGGTCCACATGTGGCCGTTGGGCACCTTCAAGCAAGATATTGCGTTTCGCGAAGCTAGAAACAGGACTCAAGAACAGACAAACATATAATGAGCTACATAGTAGGCGATTGTAAGCTTGGGACACGCGTCGCACAGGACAGACTTGACACGCATGTGCTTAACTACCGGGTAGCCTGCAGCTTGTAACCCATTGACTGTAAAAAGGAGTACAACGTACAACGTCTATCATGCTACGAACCCTGCTGGTCTTGATGCATGAATTGATGTTCAAAAAGACAAACAATATTCACAAATCCTATACGCCATTCCAATAACATATATTCAATGACACTTTCCCTCACTCCGCCGGGTCAATCGACTGGGGGTTCCAGAACAACTGGTCCGGGTCGTACTCCGCCTTGACAGCCATAAGACGGTCGAGGCTGGTCGAAAAGTACTGCTCCTGCGCAACCTCACGCTCAAGCTCCGAGTCAACGTAGTTGGCATAGCGACCCCAGTCGTCGGCGTCCATGCTGTCCTTGAGGCTGTCCACCATGCCCGTGGTGAAGGCGATGGCGGCCTCGTCGTTGCCAGGAGCAGAGAAGAAAAGGGAGGTCGAGAACTGAAACAGCCAGAGCTTGTCGCGGTGCGCGTAGCTGCTGAATTCGCTCGGGGCGTTGGCGATGGCGCCCTGCGGGTCGCCGTGGACATCCATCTGGGCCCACCAGGGGAGCGCACCGTCGGCCAGGGCGACGTCGAACCAGTAGTCGACGAAGCCGGCAAAGGCCTCTTCGGGGATGTGCTTGGTCATCAAGCTGGAGACGTAGGAATTGTAGTGCTATCGAGTGGTCAGTCTGTCCGTCGGTCGTGCGTTCACAGTGGTCGTGAACTTACCCCAGAGTACGAGTCAGTAATGTTGAGAGGATCGCCATATGCCCAGCCCCGAAGCATCTCGAGCCATGCCCCTCGCCTCCCAATTGAGGCCCAGGGGCTCCACAAAGGGTTCCAGCGCCTCGCGGGCCTCGTCCTCGGGACCATGGAAGACGACCTCGAGGTTGGTCGTCGCGCCCAGGCCGAGACGCATGTTGAGCTTCTTATCCAGGCCGCCGTCCTCAATGATGCTCTGGTAAGCCATGAGCCCGGCGACGGCGTCTGCCTTGGTTCGGCTGGTGAGGTTCGTCTCGATCGTGAACCAGGAGAATTGGTGGGCGACGTCGAAAGTGTCGATCTCAAACTCGGTGACGATACCAAAAGACGAGCCACCGCCGCGGATGGCCCAGAACAGGTCCGTGTTTTCAGTCGCTGACGCATAGACCAGGGATCCGTCAGCAAGCACGACCTTGACGCCAATGACGGCATCCAGGGCAAGGCCGTGCGTGTGGGAGCTGAAGCCAAAGCCACCGTGAACAATGTGGCCACCAGAGCCGACGCTGTCGTCCGATTGTGAGCCGATTGAACGGAGCCGGCTGCGCAGACAGGGTCAACATACCTAGGACAGGTCCCGTGTGAGAACCCTCGCTTGCCCTGCTGGAAAAGCTCCAGCGCAGCATAGCCCAGACGCGTGCCCGCCGTCACGGTGGCAGTGTTGTCCTCGCGCAGCGTGACCTCGTGCCAGCGGTCGAGCTGGATAACGAGTGACCCGTCCTGGCCGCCCAGACCCATGGAGGCGTAGCTGTGGCCACCGCTCTTGGCAGCAACCTTGATCTCGCTCTGCACGGCACAGAGAACAGCGGCCTGGACCTCTTCAGCCGACGTCGGGTAGACGATGGCGCGCGGAGTGACGGGCACGCGCAGATTGTGCGGCTGAATGGCCTTTTCCCAGGTGGCCGAGCCCTCGTCGACGTAGGTCAGATTAGCCGCCTCGAGGCAGGCGTTCAGGCTCTCCTGACGCGCGCGCAGGAAGGGGCGGTCGAACGGCGAGGCGGCAGCCAAGCTGGCCAGCAGCGGAAGCACCCATTTCGTGGCCACCATCTTGTCTGGAGTGCTGTCGTCGCCTGGAGGAGAGTAGGATGAGGACGTTTCGTCACAGCTCCGGACGAGCGCTGTGATGGGTCCCTTATGTATAACTCGTCCTGCACTGACAGCATGGCGCTGCTGCGGTTAAGGTTCCATTGCCTCGATGAGAGAAGGCATGGATCCTCCTCCTCCTCCTCCTTCAAGGGCTGTGTCTCGGGACCGGCTGTACATTGCGGCTGTATCCGCGCCTGGTGGTCACAGTAAGTGGTGTGATTGACGGGAAGGATGGCACATTGCAGTGGCGGGCACCGGAGTCCCAGACTGGCCCTGGTGGGCTAGTCGTGACACGGCGGACTTGCCTCCGCGTTGACTATATGTGGATAGCGGCCAGCAGGCGTGGGCGATCCGGGATGGGATCAAATGTTTGTTTGGAACTCAGAGCTGCTGCTACTGCTGCTGCTGCAATCAATCGACCCATTCGTTTGAGGTCGATCACGAGGATCAGCCGCACGCGACAGCCTGGTCTGTCCGCCCGCATAGATGAACGTACATCCAATCTCTCGTTCGTCCCCTCTTGAGTGATGTCTGGCGATGAGTATGCTGAGCTGCATCCCGTCTCTCGCGTCCCGGACCGCCACTCCGATGGTGGGGAGAGCACCTCATCGCGTCTCAGGCTGAAGTCTGAACTGCCGTGGCTCACGGGGTACTTGTAGATCTGCAAAAGGGACCTGACTTTGTGCCCAGTCGAGGAGCTTTATTGCCGCTGACTAGTCGAAGGTCTAGACTGAATGCGATAGTCGCCCTGACAATCCGAGGTTGCCTGATCTTGGAGGCGTGCTTATCAACACGCGCGTTTGTTCATTCGTCTCCGGGCATGCATCGCATTGCTCAGCTCGTCAAGACCTTTTTGAGACTATTCGTTGTCGAGACGTGTTGCCTCAGGTTCCACTGGCAGCCTATGTTGACATTGGCGTGCATTGCATCATGGGGCCTGTTCAAATATGTCGTGTTGCTGGTCAGGCAGTCCGTAGGAAATCCATGATGAACCTGGCAAAGCGAGATACAAAGGCGGGGGATGTTGTGAAATGGTTGTGTTTGGTCCATTCAGTTGGCTGGACAGTAGAGGGAAAAAGTGCTCCGAAGAGCATTGCCGGCACTTGAGTGCCAGAAGCATAGCCTGGCCCAATTAGCCGATAAGGGCATGAAGCAAAAAGAAAGTCAAAAAGATTGCCCAAACGGTGAATCGAACACCGGATCTTCTCATTTCGCAATGTTTACGAGTGAGACGCTGTTGTGAGTTAGCGCTAGTTCACTGGTGGAACTGTTTTGTGGTGACTGACCTGTACCCCTAAGCCATTCGGGCTGCTGTTGTGGCAGAGGAACTGTGTTTGAGCTTTATATTTTCATCGGTTTCTCAATCGTCCTGCAAGCATGCTCTTCCCCACATGACTACGAAGGCACAGGCTCCTTTTGGATGACAAGTTGATATATTATGATTCTGTGGGTAGGAGAAATATCTAATGGAGTTCTCCTTCACTCCGAAAATAGTTATCACCTTGCAGGTTTCGAAGGGAAGTAAGAGTCAGGATCAGTTGCAATTTTGGCAGGGTCAAACGCCCGATTAGACATCAATGACCTCCATTTTCGGGACAGGTGATTGACTCTTACCCATGGAGTGGTGTCCCTAGGAAACCAGTAAGCAGATGCTTTCGTCGCACATGTCTGACAGCGAGGCGATCGAGGAACGTATCTTGGGCTGCTTTCGGTGGTCCATCGAGGGTTTTTGTCGACCCAGACTTCCTTGTGGCATTTTGTGCAGACAATCTCTATTTCGCGGGGCAGCCCTAAATTTGAATAATCTGAGGCAGGGCGAATAAAGTATCTCTCCCAGCTAGCCTTCGTCGGTGGAGGCAGCTGTAGCGGCTTTTCTCCGTTCATGACCACAGGGATGCTGTCGTCTGCTGGGATTGTCCACACATTCTCAGTGGGAGGTCGGCATTCTTGCGAGCCACAGCCGCCCCGTAGAAAGCGCAGAACATACCTTGAAGGGTCTAGCTTTTTGAACCGTGCATATGGATCGTCCAGTATCATCTGTTTGCAGTAGCCCATCGGCGTGGCATGATGTTGTTTGGGCTAGCCGCGTACAGCACTAGATCATCGATGATGCTCGCACAGAACTTGAGTTTTTCGACATGTAAGAAGTATTTAACTGCAACACCAAGCGCGATTTCGAGGATATTGTGTGTGGCGATCGACTTTTTAGGTTTCTTGTTTCCCTGGCTTAGAAGAATATATGTCTTCATGGGCGTCTGGGCTGAGTCGATAGGCTGTCGGTCAATCTTCAGCCCGTCCTGAGATCGGAGTCAGTCTTGGAGCTCGGAAGGGATGTCTGCCCATTCAGTGATTGCGGCATCATCAAGTGCCATCGAAGCTCCCAAGCCAGTAATGATAAGGGCCTGGTCTTGTGATGCACCAGTGCGCATGAGCGCCGTTGCAAGATGCTGTAAGGCATAGGTGTTCGGTAGCAGCTCCGATGGGGACGTGAGCAGCTGTTGGCGTGGTTCAGGCGTCTGATTGAATCATGTTAGCTTCTCTGGGCGGTAACTGTTCTTTGGTCAACGTACCATCGCCAGAAGTGTTTTTTCTGGTCTACTTTCCAAGTCTTCTTCGGCTTCAGGAGCGATATCCAATGGTGTGTCAAGTTCTGTGAAGTTTTCGTACTTCTGGGGCGCTCTGGCTGTGTTGGTATTATCGCTGCCTTCGAGCACATCTTTGCCTGCAACGAACATGACTTCGCGAATGGCCTGTGTGTTATGGCGTATCTGTATCTTTCGTTGCCAAGTCGCCAGCTTTCCGTACGTCCCAGGCCGATGCGTTACCTGATAAAATTGCCGGTCAATGTCGATCCCGGAGAGCTTGGAAGCTACCTCCAGCACGAGATCTTGAGTTTTCGACAGAGCAATCTGGCGGCCGTACAACATCCTCTGGGGATGATAAGCGAAGAGTACGAACCGCCTGAATTTCCCAGTTGTTCCCGGAAACGACGAATCATCTCTTCCCCGCTCAAGGTAAATCATGATGTCTTCATACCTTCCCTACAGATTCAAAGGCACCAGGTCGTACTTGCGAAGCATTCTTTCCCGAACTGGGGCCCCCCAACAGATTTCTACAACAGCGGACATTTTATCGCGAAGTGATTTGAGGTAGTCTTCGTGTATATCAAGGATCCGTGGTGGGTAGAGTTTGAAGCCATCAAGAGCCTCCCGTCTTGACAAGTGATCGAACATCAGGCAGTTTTCTCGCAAAAGGCCAATGTCAATGAGCTGCTTGATGCAGACGTTCGAATCGTCATCAGTATCTTGGCTGTCCGCATTAGCAACGCTAAAAGAAGGACAATGTAGATGGCAAGCGAGTGGTGCATCTAGGCTACCACTCGGTGGAAGCAGGTATCGCGGTTCTCGAGAGACACCCAAACGCTTCCAAGCTTGGACTTCATCCTCAGAAAATTGCTCGAAAAGGTCCTCGATGATTCGGGATGGAGTTGGCCGCCCACGATTGCTTCGCCCTGTGCGATCAATTAGTAAGAATCGCTCATGCCATGCACACCCTAGCGTCAACGCTACCTCTGTGTCGACTTTCCAAGTCGTTGATTTGTGGTAAAAGCTTTCGGAGCCTCTCAGCATCGGCTTTGGCTCGAGAAGTCACTGGTGGCTCTAGCCACATATCCGCAAAAAGCCGAGTGTTGTTCGGCGCGGTAATGTCGCATACATTTACCATGATTGCTATACAGTGATCGTGGCGGTGCTGGCGTTTCTTGCCAGAAAATTTTCCTCATTGGGTGCCAACAGAGAAGCAATTGATCGCGGAGAAAGGCGCCGAATCTTCTGACGCAAGGCAGGAACATTTACTCGGTGGTGTAATCAACGATCGTTGTTCAGCACAAAAAAGAGAGCTGAGGCGAGGGAGGGAGGAAAATCTGACCCTTCGTTGCGCTTGTTAGTCGGCCGATAAGGTACTCTTGGGCTTTCTCAACGGTTGGGACGATTCTGCCGCCCACAAACAAAGTCAGTGGTGAGAGAAAGGATAAAATAAGGTAACATGGAGTTCGAACCCAGAAGAATCAAGCCCATGCATTACCGTCCGGGCCCCCATACATGTATGCGGCCTACCCTGCAAGACAAAACGCCAGACTACCCGCTCGAATTCCAAGATGCACCATCCCATGCCCCTTTTCGCTCAAATTCGACAACGACAACATGTAAGACAGGTCTATCCATCACATGAACGCACCACCGCGTCTCTCGCCCCCCGGCCCCTGGTCCTCACTCATCCTCGTATCCCCTCCATCGTCGACCAGCCCAGCGCGTTCCTCCTCTGTCGGCGACTCTGCTTTCCGAAAGACACGATTGAAGGAAAACTGTCGCTTGGCGCCGCCATGTGGCGGTGGGGTCGGCGGCTTGAGGCTGCTCCCGCTGTTGTTCGCCCGCGAGCTACCCGCCCCCGCGCCCCGGTAGGCCGTGTCCTGCGCGTACAGGCTCGGCTGGTACGTCGTCCGGGGCGGCTCTAATGACTTTTCCGACTGTGAGTTGAAGGACACATTGTTCAGCGGGACAGACATCTGGCGGTCGCCCTGCTCTAGGCTTGGTCGGAACTCCTCCTCCTCATACGTGGGCATGGTGTTGGTGGTCCGCGCCCGGCCGCGCCCGCGCATCAGGCTGCCTGCAATGCTGGAGAAGATGGTGCTCCGATCGTCATGGTCATCGTGGTGATCATCATCGTCGTCGTCGATATCCGGGAAACGCGACATGCCCAAGGGGGGGTGGACAGGGCTCCTTGGCAGATGAGGCGTGCTGGATGTGCGCGCGGTGTCTGCCGTGATGGGCCTTCGGGATACCGTCGTCCGACGCCGGCGCAAGCCGTCCCACTCGTATTCTGGCGGCTGTGGCTGCCCGTCCTCGTTGATGGGCTGCATCTGATCCAGCATCTTCTCCTCGTGTAGCCTGCGCAGCTCATCTGCCTCCATCCGCATGCGGGCATTCGAGATGCGACGTACGATGGCGGCGGCACCACGGATGGCGTCGGCCTTGGGTTCGGTCTCGGGCTGCTCCTGTTCAGCAATGGTGTGGATCTGATCGAGGTCTCCCGTAAAGACAGCTGCGTCAGGTACATCCTTGGCTGCTTTGGACAGTTGAAGCAATACGACGCCGGCACATATTGTGAGGAAGCCCAAGAGCACGGTGACCATCTGCGAGGCAGTGCCTTTGAACCCCTTGAAGAGGACGGCCGACGTGATGATGGTGGTGCTGGTGAAGTAGACGTAATAGGTGGGCGTGACGAGCGCGGCGTTGAAGAGGTTGAGGGCTTTCTGTGTGGACTGTCAGCAGGGGGCCAGCATTTTCGCCAAGGACAAGGTGCGACCAACATTGAGATAGACAATCTCGACCAGCAGCGTCGCGATCACAAAGACAAAGAGGATCCAGAAGAACCACTCCTTGTACTGGGGCTTGCCGCCTATCCAAGCGATCAGGGCGGCGCCCAGGCCCTGCGTGGCCACGACGCTCAAGCCGCCCACCCAGCTGCATATCGAAATGTAGACGAGCATGTTCTTGGCGCCCCATTTCGGCGCCACCCAGAAGACGACGACGACGGCCCCGACGATGATGACACCCGCGTACGTCAGGAACCACGGGGTGATGACAAACTTTTGCATCTCCTGGATGTCGCTGACGGCCGACGTGTGGGGGGCATTCATGACAATGACGACGGAGCCCACGATGCACAGGAAGCACGACACCTTGCCCACCATACTGAGCCTCTCCTTGAGAAAGATGGCCGACAGGATCGTGGTGATGACGACCGACAGCGCACCGAGCGACGTGACGAGGATGGCATCCGTAAAAGCGTACGCGACAAAGTTGCAGATCTCGCCGAGGATCATGAGGCTCATGCCGCCCCACCAGTACGCATTGCGCAGGTAGCCGTAGCCCTCGCCGGCGACCTCGTTGTACTTGTCGTTGGCGCGCAGGAGGCCGACCTTTTTGAGGACAAAGGAGACGCCGATGAAGAGGCCCGAGGCGACGGCGAGGCCTATGCCGACGCCTTTGTAGAAGGACGGACGCTCGTTGGGATCGCCGCCCACGAGGCCGCCCCCGTCAGCGCGCGCGAGGAGCAGCAGGTGCTCCCCCATCTCTGGGACTCAGGGGACTGGTCGATGAGTCGGGAGGCGTTTGTGCGCGGGCGAGGGGGGGTTCGAGATGGGACGTGCTGCAATCTGGTCGTTCGTTCTACGTATACATGAGGTCTTTGGTGGGTGATACGGCGGTCGGACAGGATGCGCTTGTCGTGGCTCGATCAGTAAGTAAGTAGCCTTCTGCGTGGAAGAGTAAAGATAAAGGGATGCGAGATGGTTAGAAGAAAATGGTGAATGGCAGGCTGAAGCCGTCGTGCTGCTGCGCATTCGACATGGTTGGTCGGCCAGGAGAAAGGGGTGGTCTGGAGCCAGGAAACAGGAAACATTGAATATGTGGTGGGTTCCTCGTTGGTGGAGTGCGCTGCTGCCGCTGTAGGTTCAGTTACAGGTGGCCTGCACTATAGGCCGGCGGCTACAATGGTGCCGATGCACTGTTTTTAGCTCTTCTTACATGTACTGAGAAGACGTCCAACGCGAGGCTGAGTGAGCTGACATTTTATCATGGCATTTCCCAAATACTTATGTACGTCAGTTCAACAATTGTCTGCATTTCTCTCGGTTCACCAACAGTAACTCATTGTTTCCAAGTGCTAATTATGGAACAAGACATGGGCCGTATCGATAAGGATTATTGCGCAGTCGCCCCAGCAACACCCCGCTGTGGCTGAGCGCCCATCAAGTACAGCTGTGGCCTGTAGGCTGTACAATAGCTGTGAAACAGTGAGATCATGGCTCAGCCGGCCACGAGTCTGCTCTTTAGAGATGCATAAACACTCCATGTCTTTTGCTCAGCATCGTCATACCCGACGCGCAGCCTGGAGTGACCCGACCTCGAAGCCTCGACATCGGACAGGGGCACATGTCGCGACCTTGGAAGTGGGAGTTGGAAGTGAAGTCTATTTAGTGGGGGGACAGACGCTCGCCTCGGCAACGAGCCATGCATCATTTCATCGCTTCAATGCGCTGTGCCTCCTCGTTCCACCACAGACACGAGGCTGCCCCGATCATCAAGACGGCGCGGCCTGTCGTGTACGGACAGTTCATCGAGCTTCATCAGCAGACCCGACACAACTTGCAAGTTGGTCTGCCCCGCCGCGGCATGGAACTGAGGCAACGGGAGGCTTGAGCTAGTCTGCCTTCTAGCGCTACGTCGCCCATGTCGCGCTCCCAGACAGCCGGATCTCAACCTCAAGGCAAGGGGCACGCGGCGCGGACTTGGCTTCTCCATTGTCAAGAAGAGAGGAAAGAATCGCAGAGAGACATCCCCTGATCCAGCGAGCACAGGCTGATGCGACCGACGACTGGATATGACGTACCTCGCGCCCCTGGAACATGAATATCGTCATGTCTTAAACTTGTCCAGGTCTCCTCCCCCTTTCCGAGCAGCGATCATGTGCTCTGGGCACAGCTAGATCCAGGCACCGTTCAACCTTGTCCCGAGTCTGTCGAACCAGAGCGCCATCACCACCTCGGTTCGCATCGCAACGCACTGCGACCGGGAAGATCCGGGCCTGCTGGACTGCCCTGGTGTCAACTTTGTGGGAAGCTCGGTGGCCGTGTGACATTATGTTGCCTCCTCCCACGCGATCATGAGCTTCACATTGGCCAAGGCTCGCACACCTGCGAGGTCTAGTCGCGGAATCTCCTCGTGTGACAAGTGGAAGCAGTGCGATGCGAGTGGCGATAACGGAAGACATTTCACTTTGCACATTGCCAGTCTCACCTTGCCAGGTGATCGCTGGCCATTTCGATGGGCCGCCTCCATGTACGTCTTGCCAATGGTGTATCCGCCTCTTGCTGGCGTGTCGGTAGGTATATCTAGCCAAGGTGGACGTTCATCGTAGTAGCGAAAGTTTCCGCTCGCTCTCTCACATGGACTGCTAATGTCCGCCTCTTCGCAGCCTCCTGCAGAAAACCACGCTTCTGACTCTTCTTTCCTGTACACTCATGCCTCCAGGATGAAGAGGAAAAGACAATCGAGCAAGCTGCTTGCTTTGACGAGCGCACTCCTGGTGACGCTGGTCGTCGCACAACGAGCCCAGTACGGGGCTGTTCCCTACGGTGTCGAGATCCGCTCCTGTACACGGCCGAACATGGTGGCCCTGACTTTCGACGACGGTCCCTCTCACCTCACACCGGACCTGTTGGATCTCCTCGACAAACGGGGCGTGAGGGCGACGTTCTTTCTGAACGGCAACAATATGGGCAAGGGGCCCATCACCGACAAGAGTCTCGGGCATGGCTCTGTCATCAGGCGCATGTACCAGTCCGGCCACCAGATTGGCAGCCACACCTGGAGCCATAAAGACTTCAACGAGATCTCGGACGAACAGCGGTGGGACGAGCTCGTGGAGCTGGAAGTTGCCTTGCTGGACATTATCAGAGTATACCCGACATACTTTCGGGCTCCGTGGGGACGTTGCAACGAGGGCTGCCAGGCTATGCTCAGTGAGTTTGGGTATCATCTGGTACGAGACTGCCTGTATACACTCACAGCGAAGACCGTTTGCTAATAGGATAGATCCAATGGGACCTTGACACCAACGACTGGAAGCAAGACGAGCAGGCGTCCAGGGACACGTTTTCACAGACTCTCAACTCGCAAAACTCGGCCATTGTCCTTGCCCACGATATCCACGAAATGACTGTCAACAGTCTCGCTGCGTACATGATCTCCACGGCCCGGGCCAAGGGCTTTTCTCTCGTCACCGTGGGGGAATGTCTAGGCGACCCGCGGAGGAATTGGTACAGGACTGCCGGCTCCTCCTCCAAGACCAAGACCAACACCAAGACCAACACCAATACACTCCGGAAACAGTGGCAAAAGCTCCAAGAGGGGTCTTCGTCAACAACGCCAGCATCATCGAACACGGCCACCCGGGGAAGCATGAATGATCTCAGCGCAACCCCGAGTGTCGGCCTATCCGTGTCCACGGTAGCGGGGGACAGTGACGCATCGAAAGTCACACAGCCGAGCAGTGCAGAAAGTGCAGAGGAAGCCGACAATGACAGTGGCGCGGCGGGTCTGATGGCGGACTCGGCATTGGCTTTTGCAGCTGTCGTGGTTCCTGTCGTCTTGATGCACTGCTAATTAGTGCCACATGACTGAGAAGCCTGGACTTGGGCCACTACACGTATACACTTCTCACGAAAACATAAGACTGCTCAATACTAATAAGACATATTACGAAGGCATGTTACTAGAACTTCTTATTAAGGTCAATTGGTGATCATCACGCTGATCCCTGCCGCCGGTGAGGCGCGGCAGGGATCGCAATCCTGCGGACGAGCGACAGAATGCCAGCCTCACACCTGCGCGCATCACCTTGATAACTGTGCATTTCGAATATGGCCGGCCCACATACTGAACTACTCCGGCTCGCGGCAAATCCCTTGGCGCGCGTCTGGAAGATTACGCTTTCGCGAATTCGCACGCGGCACACTCGGCCTTGGGCTCTCCATCTACGGATCCGACAGACCAGGATCGGTCCCTGAAGGATGGGGATTTTCCAACACGGTGAAGGGACAATGGGGATCTCGACCTGAGAGGGGGGTCCAGGTGATCCTTTGACTCCTCTTTCCTTGATTTCGGGGTATCGTCTATCCTCGGATCACTCGTCGCCGCAACGGAATCGGCACGACACGACCTGCGCTGCTGCAGATTATTAGCGACGACAGCACAGAGGGCAACAAGACGTTGCTATCGACAGGACGCCGTAGCCCGACCAGCGACACGATGAGCCGCGAGTATTGGAAGATTAAGTTCTCCTCCTGCGCTGCGTCTTGTTTCCGCACCGCGCTCACATGGATGTCGTGCGACGAATCGGATCTGTCATGCTGGTGCGCAGATGACAATCGGGAAACGCTTCCCAAAGGGATCGCCGACTGCTTCAACGAGGACGAGGGCTGTGATGAGGACGACATTTGGCGTACGTGATATTAGCTGAATCAACAGAGTGTTATAATCGCTAATGAAGACACTCAAGGCTTGATGAGCTCCTATCGAGCAGCCTGTGACACTGCAGACGACATCGCCGCCAGACAGCCCACGCCGGTCTCTTCAGTCGATGATCATACCAAAAGAGACAGCCCTCGACCGACGGGCAGTTTAGATCCAGGCGAGGGGGATCTCATCGCCGTACCACCGCCAACCCCTTCCAACAATGAGATTCCCCTGGCAGCGAAGATTGGCATGGCTGTCGGGTTTCCCTTGCTCGGCTTGCTTTGTGTCATCCTCGCCTGTCTCTACATCCGCGAGAGGAGACGAAGGAAAGGACTGGAATGGACTTCGACATCACCCGCAACACCGATGCCAAGGAAGGAGAAGCACTCGTCGCTTGCCTCGAAGCGAACCACGGGGACGACGATGAGTCTCACCGGCACCAGCCACTCCCAGATTGGAGGACATGATAGTGTCAGGGGGACCCAGGGCAGTCACTCGGATATGAGGCGGTCGGACAGCGGCGCGTGGCGGCCGAGCAGGAATGAGCAGGACGTTGTCAGCCCGAGCTCGGGGGAGAGCTCACAGGGGAGGAGGAGCTTGGGGCGCGTGATGGAGGAGCCGCCCCGGCCGAGCTACTTCCTTGAGCTGCCGTCGTGACAGGCAAGACTGCACAGGATCTTTTTTGTGTTTTTGCGAGGCGTTTTGGGTAGGTAAGCATGGAACACGAAGCAAGATCTTCATCATTGGCCAGTCTCTTCATTTGTTGTTCTGACTATGTTTGTTGATCTGACGTGAACATGAGCTTCACCCATATGGACGTGTTGTCAGCTGTCAGTACGTCAGAACTGAAAACAAACATGGACTTGGTGTCTGTTTGAGTTTCACCGTCTGGCGCGGACCGCACGGGAAACGCAGAAACGTGGAACAAAGACCCGAAACTGCCGCCAAAGTAACATCTGCGCGACCTTCCGCCGTGTAAACCTTCCGTTGCGCTTGGGCTCGTTGTTCGCTTCCGCCGGCAGCAGTACCAATCGTAGACCTGTCGAAGTTTCAGTTAAGAACAAAGCGTAAATCATTATCTGGTAAGCGCAGCTTTTCACGTGTGTTATTCTGGTGAAGCATAATTGCTCCAGCGTTCTCCCAGCCTCGCAATCGCGTGCTGCCCAAACAACACATCTTCCCACATCAACACCCGCCCCTGTTCACAGACAGCAAAGCCAACATGAGTATCCCATACCACCAAAAAAGCACGTACCACATAGCCGTCGACGGCCATCTCTTCTGTCCCGTGGTCGGTGGGCCAAGTCGCACAATCAAGACGCAGAGCAAGGCCGGCAACACGAGCAAGCCACAGAAGCAAACACAAGCCAAAGGGTCGTCCGAGAAATGGGAACAAAAGTCGATTTCGGAACTTGTGGCCACGTCAACGCCGACATATCCTGGTCAACCCTTCGGTATGCCCAAACCGTTATAGGGACGGGTTGAACTGGATCAATTTCTGGCTGCGACGGATCAACAATGGAGGATGATAGGGTTGTAGCATGGGACTTGAGGAAGTTTCATCTAAGCGAGTGACTTTGGGAAGACCAGAGGCGAAGAACAATCAATACCAACGTGAAGCGATCATTTCATCATCAACACTACTGCGCACGCGTGAACATGCTAAAACGCGGTTTGTGACATGTACTGATGCACCAACTCAAAGACGCTATGATGTACATTGCCCCAAGGTTCTCAAGCCATCATAGCGACAGCACCAGCTACAATGGCACCCGCCATCCACCAGGGCGCAAGGGCGCCGGCTGCGTTGTCACCATCGTCGTCGTCGTCGTTGTTGTCGTTGTTGGACTGCCCAGTCTCACGGGCCGGTGTGAACGTGGTAGTAAGCTGCGAGGCATCCGTGGGACGCGTCGCCGTCACAGTGATGGACGAAACAGACGTCGTGGCGGAGGCCATGTAGCTGGTGGACGAGAAGCCACAAGTACGCACAATGGCGTTGATGTCTGCGGTTGTCAGCGTCGATAGACATTGGATGAGGAGGAGGGCCAGTCACCCTCCCAAGCATCATCGTAGTCATCGTCATCGTCATCATCATCATCATCGTCGTCGTTACTGTTGTTCCTCCTGCTGCTGTCGCGTTCCTGTTTCACGCAGTCCTGACACTGCGCGGCAATAGAATTGACCTCAAAGCTGTCGTTGGAGCAGAAGCATTGCGCCTCGAGCTGATCCTCCTCGCGATCATTGTCGTCGCCGGGGAGATCGACCTCACAGCTGCGGGAGAGGTCGGCAATGGGCCGGCAAATGTCCTGACAGGCGCGTGGGGCGTCATTGAGATCAAAGTCAATGTCGGCGCGCGCGAGCAGGAAGAGAGGCACAACGGCGAGCAGGGAGGCGTGAGTGTGCATGATGGCGATTGGAGATGTGTGTGATGGGTAGATGGCGTGGATGATGGCAAGCGAGGCTGGCAATGTTCATGAGAAGATATGAAGCAGCCCGCTGGGAGGACTGGGCAGGAAGCTGTTTATGTAGCTCGCGTGACACTCTTTGAGGCTTCCGGTGAGGATGCACGATCGTCACGCTCATGACGTACTTGTACATAGGTAGTACGTACTCATAATCACAATGCACGCCGGGAAGATCCCAGCCCAAGGGAAAAGAGTCCGTTGCCAAGAAGCAACATGCTCCCCGCAACCCCGACTCTCGCCATCCATCACATCGTCTTCGTACGCGCGTATGGACGCGAAAGCGTAATCAAGGATGTCGTACCGTTCTTGCAAGACACAACTCTGCCGAGAAGGCCTGACATGACTCGCTGCTCCCTTTCGACCGACTGCGTGGTTGTATTTGATGGCTGCTTGGGGAGATCTCGAATGAATCAATTATAAGGTTAAGCTTAACTTCCCCTCCCTCGGCATGATGTGGGCGATCCGCAGATGAGGCGCAGCCCGCCAGCCAACCAACAGTCACTGGGCGCAAATGGCTGATCTGTCGCAGTTTGACTTACCTTAGAGTCTGACGTGGCATCGCTCTGATCCTGCAGGTTGTTGGACGGCACAATGCAAAGATACCAGAGGCTCGTTTCTAAATAAAACATGCTGATGATGAGGCTGATGACGCGGCCCCGGGCGGCCACGAGGCACTATTATCTTTTGAATCCGAAGCTCGAGGTGGAGGGGCTGTGAGAGCAAAGGAGATGCAAACGCTACCTCAGACGTGAGCTTTATGCTTCTATCGTGGGTGGACGCGGGAGCCAGAACACCCATAATTGCATACCATGTCTTATGCATCTATCCGTCTATGGCCTTGACATTCAGGCTGTCGGACCGAGATTCTATGAGGCCGTCGTCCTCCTCTACGCAACATGAACCGAAGAAATGAAAATGGCGATAAACACAGGTCTCGAAAGATCCTTGGGAGAGCCCAAGAAACGGGTATTGGGTCCCCTCGACAAGCGCAAGACGCAGACGCGCTGTCAGTCCTGCGCCCAGAGAAAGATTAAGGTTTGAGAGAAACCCCCATGGAGAGTGTGATCTTGTCAGGGCTGATTGACTGACCTGGAATGCGCAGTGTCAAGGACCCTTTCCTTGTGCCTACTGTGTGCGCATGAAGAAGCCATGCCGGCCACCTGTGCAGCCAGAATCTACATCCAGCGTCACGTTTGTCGCTGCTTCAGCACAGACTCGAGCCCCTGACTCGTCAACGCTGGTGACAACGTCACCTCTTTCAATCCCGCATCTTGACGAGCAGATGAGTACCATCTACATGAGATATTTTGCCTCGTTCATGGAAGGCTGTCACATCACAGGAAACTCGGCTGCGACCTCGGCCTTGGACCTGCTACCACTCATGGACGTGTCCCCGCCGTTGCGGAACATGGCTCTGGCCATAGGAGCGCTGCAGTCCAGCAGACGGGCTTCAGTTCGCTCAGCCCAAAGGCAAGATGACCCACGGGTGCTGGCGTTCAGGTTCTACGCCGAGGCTATACAAGCCTTGAAACACCGACTGGAGGAGCCACACGTGGCTGCGTCAGATGACGTGCTCTGGAGCACATTTCTCCTGGGGCTGTTCGAGGTACGTTACTTGAACTTGTTCCTGGTTTACCGATTTTTCCTGCGGGACAAACTAATTAATGTCAAGCTCCTATCCGAGACGTCGGGTCAGCCGTGGGCAACACATATGCTCTACGGGACGTCCCGGCTCTTCCAGCTAGCCGGACCCAGCGCTGTGCGAGTCACAGACCTCAGGGGCAGACTGTTCGATGCGTTTTGCGTACTTGAATCTAAGCGAGCCTTGCTGTTCGGGGATGACACCTTTCTCTCTCGCGACGAGTGGCTGCTTGCTCGGCAGGACTACGATGTTCTAGGAGCTGAGGCGAGCAGTCCCATGTCGCGTCTTCTGCCCCTCATGTACAATTTGGCCTCCTTCACGCGGCGGTACGTGCACCCAATTTCCTTTTGTGCTTCGTGGCCAGTGATGAAACGCTCTCTCACTGATTACACAGTTTATTCGCCGAAATTGAAGCTATCCCAGAAGCCCTGCGCCCATTTCACCCTGCTCTTGGGACTCTGGCTTCCGAGGGCATTTCGCTGCTCCACGAGCTGCATCTTCGCATTCAGGACATCACCATTTCCCAGGCTTGGCAAGACGATCCATCCAACGGGCTCGCCAAGTCTTTTCTCCACGCCATGTTGCTGTTTCATTGCAGAAACTTCACTTTCTACACTTGCTTCGACAACCTGCCGATTCCCTTTCTCTCACCCGAGGAGGTGAGGGAGCACACCTCGACGGCCCTGGCGACATGCAGCAGAATCGCCGCCGACGAAACGTTCTCGGGGATTCCTGGCATCATGCTGCTCTTCCCTCTCCGGATGGTGGGTGTCCATGCGTCGGATCGACGAACACGACTCGAAGTGTTACGGATTCTGGCAAGGATCTACCAACTGGGTTTCGTGGTTGCGGATAGGATCAGGGTAGATTTAGAAGAGTGCTGGGCTTCTCAGGATGACATTCAGAGATTATCTTAAAGAGCCAAATAAGAGGTGATATTACTATCGACGAATGGGGGAAAAGAAGAAAGAGAGTACACGGCCCCGGTAATGAAGAGGCTGACAGGTCCAGCGGGCCAAGAGGAACGGGCAGCTCGTTCCCAGACTGTATCACCAACCGACTATTTACTTAGGCCGTGGCCTTGGTGTTGAAGAATTCGGTGATGACGCGGGTGCGCAGGCCCGGCGAGAAGTAGTCGTACCCAACCAGCATACCCGTGTTGTCGACATAGACGGTCGTGGGGATCACGCCTTGATACATGATGCTCCACTGCAAGATCACGAGCCACGTCAGTACTGTTCAAACACAGCAAAGTTATGGAAGGAGGGATGAAAAGGGAGACATACAGCCGCGACGGGATACGTCAGGAATTTCTTGTCCACCAGTCCGCTGAAGACGGCGTCCGACTGGACGAGGATATCTTCGGGAAAGATGGGGAAGTTGGGGTTGACATAGTCCTGCCAGACATCGAGCGTGGTCGAGTTGGGCAAGAGGGTGGTGACCGTGTTGTCGACGAGGCCCTCGTCCGTGACGTTGGCGTAGTTGAACACGGACGAGGCAAGGGATCCGTCAAAGGCGAGGTCGACGTGGACGACACCCTTGGATGCCGAGTTTGTGATGAAGCCGGCCGCGATGTGGGACACATTCTCGTTCCTGGAAGTTATTGTCAGTCTGGCAGAGGCACCACAGCGGTGAGTACTTACCACTTGTGCTGGACGAAGCTCGTGGTGAACTCGGACTTGACCAGCGGTGGCTCTGGCTGCTTGAAGCCGGCAGAGTACTCGTCCATCGAAGCTGGAAAGGTCTTGCAGCCCCCAGCAGCCACCGTGCCGGCGAGGAGTAGAGCAGTGTGCACAATGTTGTTGAGTTGGGTCATGTTGAAGGTGTTCCAAAGGCAGATGAGGAGGATGAACAGAAACCCGAACAGCAGAAAACATCCATCTTTATATACACAGAGACACGCGTCCATCGAACTGCGCAAAAGGCCCTCGTCGCCTTTGCCGTCTCTGCCACGCCATCAAATGTCTCTCTTCTTCCAGTTCCTCGGTGAGCACTCAGACCACAGCGCTCGATTGTTGCCCGATTAGGAAAGAAGCTACGGGCCTTGCGGGTCATGATGCGGGTCCTGTCGCGGGTGGCTTTTGCTTACCCTGTTCCAAACTGCCGGTGTTCGCGCTCCATTCACTTTTCGGTGGACAAGATATTTCTGCAGTGTAAAACATGGGGGAAATGGGAGATCTGTTCGACAACGCAGCGTTGTGTTCTCAGTACAATAAGTAATTGTTCCTTGATGTCCATGATGACTACGTTGAGTGACTTATCAAAGGACAGTACCGTGAACACAAAGGAAGACAAAACTACAAAACGTGTAGTTAGGGGGTTTATTTCAACATTTTAAAATCCTAGATCATAAAATTTCTATTCTAGTTCCTAATATTTTGCACCTCCTTTCATCCATCTTGACGACACGTGCCACGTTACGACCACTACGATGGCAGACCTGGCTGGTACGACACCGAACCCAGCCATCGCCATCACACTACTGCTCACAGCGAGCTGCGTGGCCACCTATCATATTCTCATCTTCTACAAGCTTTTCTCGGATGTGTCAGATCCTCAGGGGGCCACAAATCCCGAAGACGCTATTTTCGATGATCCTGCCCTGGCCAGGGCGTTTGCTGAAACCCTCCACAACGAGCTGAGCACTCTCGCCACGAAGCACGCCAAGCTACAGATCCAGAAGAACAAGACAGCTGTCATAGCAAACCTATATGAAGCCAGAACCGGACGGCTCGCGGCGTATCTGAAACGCAACAAGGAAAAGTACAAGTCTCTCAAGAAGGCTTCGGCAAGCCGGCCAGCCAGCACTAGTCCACGCACAGATGAGTCGCACTACCTACTTGAACTGATGGACTATGTAGTGAAGATACGAGAGAACTACGACATACTTCTGCAGGCGTACACTGTTATTAAACAGGTTGCACGGCAAATCCAAGAGGAAAACGCAACCATTCGAGAAGCACTCTCCTCCTCCTCCACCCATGATTCGACGGGCACTGCCCCCTCGTCATTGGAAGAAGTCAGGAACCGAATCACGGCGAGACTCAAGATTGAGAACGAGGACTACATCGCGCAGCTTCAGACATTGATGGCGGAAAAGGAGGAGTGGGAGGAAGAACGAACTGCTCTTCGTGAGGCTATGGATTCCATGCTTCATGACAGTACCCTCTCCCACGTTGATGATGAAGCAGACTTCCACGTAGACGAGAGCTGGCTCTCTGATGGCCAGAGTGGCTCTACGTCGCATGACGACAGCTTATCGAAGGAATTGCAGGATGCCATCGGCAACGGATGGACGAGTGATGATGGGCTCGGCGACACGTACTAGTAATCTCACATACATGAACCTTAATAGCACAGTATGCAGCAATCGAACATTCTGACTATCTACAGCTAGCTGCGCCTGCTCTTGCACTTGGACGGATCCTTGAACGTGGAGCCAATCTCACCCCACTTGATGTTGCTGTAGGTGACCTCGGGCCTGGGCTCGACCTTGACAATCTCGTCGGGGTTGCCCTCGGTCGCGTTGCAGGGCCCGGCCTCTCCGCCGTCCAGCCACTGCATGTTGCCGCCGCGGTCCCACCAGATGCTCATGGCCAGCACCATGCCGCGGGCCATGGCCTCGCCCATGCCGGCCGTGGCGCCGAGGCGCAGGAAGTCTTCGGCGTAGGTGGCCTCGCAGAGCTCGTCGTTGAGGTAGTCGATCTGGGGGAGCGACGGGCGGACGACCTCGCCGTTGTCGATCAGACGACCGTCCTGGATGTACATGCGGTGGAAGCCGGTTAGGACGCCGTTCTCGTCGGCCGGGTATTGCGAGATGACGGTAAAGGGCCGCGTCGTATCCACCTCGAGACCGAGGCCGTAGTGTTCCTCGTTGTCGAACCGCCAGGCGTTGTAGGCGCACCCAGACTTGTCGCAGATGCCGTCTGCCTCGCACTCGGCACCCTCGCACTCGACGAGACCCGTGATGTTGCAGGGATGGGGAGCCACGTGCACGGCGCGCGAGTTGGCCTCGAAAATGTCCATCTCGTTGCAGCACGCCCCATAGCCCTCGATGTTGGGCTCGCCGCCGACAAAGGGAGTGGTGTAGCATTGGGCGTCGCAGTAGCCGGTGCCCCAGTACGCACCAGCCTGGTTCAGCTCCGACAGACCACCATCGGCAGGCATCTCGGAGAGGTAGAGCGCGCCGTTCATGCCGCAGGGAAGTTTCGAAACGTCGACATCAAACGTGAACTCCTTGCCAGTAAGGCTCAGCATCTCGTACGTCTCCTTGTCCTCGCTCAACAGGTAGACGCGGGGCGACAGCTCAGCGCCGTTGTCACCCAGGAGCTCCATCCTCATGGAAGCTCCTTCGGTGAACACTCCAACCTTGGTATAGTCCTGGACACCCTGCATAATGCAGTTTTGTTGACATGTTTCGGCGTCGGGGCAAGCAGTGGCGTTTGGCGGGTTTCCCCAGTCACCGCAGTTGTACTCGGGCGCATCGACTTGATAGACGGGATGGGCGAGCGAGTCGAGCACGACGTATGTGTTCTTCTGGAGACAGCCTCCGGCCTTTGTGCACTCCCATGTCGTGAGTCCTGGGTGAACGTCTGGCTTGTCACCAGGGGACTGAGCGGCGGCGAGGCCAACGAGGGCCGAGGCGAGAAACAGAGCCATGGTGATGGGGAGCTTTCTTGTTTGCTGGGTTGTCCTGGGAGCATAGGGGACAGTGTATAGCCTCCTTCTTTATATCTTCACTATACCACAGACTTCCCCTCATGAACCCCCTGTCCGTGGCACGACACCGCGATGCCTGGCATGACCAAGCGGCATGGGTCCGCAGAAACTTCAGCAGAGAACAGAACGTCGGCGTGCCGGCCCTCGCGCCGGTACAACTCCCATGTTTGACGGCAGTGGCATCGTGGGGCGCCATGGGGTATCGACGCATAGATCCTGGGCAGTCAGGGGTCAAAAACTTAATAAAATGGGTTCCCCAAAGGGGAAACGGAGTGGCAATCCTCCGTACAAGCAACGCAGACCGTTCCTGGTTAATATCTCCAAAACGCAGGCTAAGTTGCATGCAGCAAGTGCGGAGAAACTGGAGATGTTGGGTAGCATCCAGGCACAGTAAGCCGCAAGCATTTCCGACTCAGTCGCCATGCCGGTTGATATTACAGTCGGCGACTGACCCGACACGCAAACAGCCGCCTCTTTATTCGCCAACCGGTGGCCCACCGTTGTTGAACCCTGCGAGCCGGCCACATGCCCTTTGATATTCGATCTGTGAGGTTCGATCGCAGTGCTCTCAGGCGCAGGCTACAGCCTATTAGGGAGGCGGCGGAACATCCCCGATCTAAGTCGTGTCCCCCAACGTTGGCGATGGTGAGCTGAGTGTCCGCCGCGCGTACGCTCTTGTTGACTGCGTGAAAGCCCTACCCGAGTAGAGTGCATGAGCCGCCGTCTCCGCGCCAGATCTAGCGTTGTTCCCCGAATGCTTATCTCGACTGCAGCGCCTGTAGGCTGTAGCGGACCACGCCCAATCATGCTACAACAGCTCTCTCAACATCCATGACCCGATGGCACCTTGCGAATGTTCCCAGGGGAGCCCGCCCTGTGGTGAGAGTGTCTGGGCGCCGTCGGCCTTCAGCGCAGCTCATGCACCGCGGGCCAAGTCTTCCGTGTGTGCCTGGAAGTTGGAACTGGCCAGCACGCAGCCCAGCGTTTGAGCAAGCCTGAGAACTGGTGTACGCCAAGGAAATTGGCACCAATACTTTCCAAGGTATTCTCGCATGCACGCCTAGTGTGGTTGCGGTCCACGGTAACGCCTTCCGATCACTGCATGGTGCATACCACCAAGCCCGTAATGATCCTTTGTGATCCAGCAATCGATATACGCCTTGCCTCATGATGCCTTGATCCATCCAGATCTGAGCCTTGGGCTCAAAAGATCAGCCATGACGCAGAACGTTGTCGTTCTGCCGCTTCATAACGCGTCCCTTGTCCCCGCCATCCTGACTCACTTCAACCCATCGCCACCCGTCTTCTCCCCTCGCAAGATCTGCTCGACGTCGGTGCGACCAAACATCTCCCTCTCCATCCTCTTCGTCCGCTCCTTCTCCCTTTTCACTTCGCGCTTCAGCTCCTTGTTGGTCAGTTTGACTTCTTTCTCCTTCTTCTCCACGGTTGGCACCACAGCGCCGACTCCGAGCGTGTCCTCCTTGAGAGCGACCTTGATGGGGAATCGCCTTCCTTCGCCCTGCGAGCCAAGGCCGACGCGAGCATCTGGGTCCCATCCCTGGGACCGGAGGGTTTGCAAGCCCATCCGGGATCTGTCAAGGTGCGATGGCGGGTGCGAGTGTTGTAGCGAGACCTGATGGGCCAGACTCTGCTCATGAGTTTTCTGATCCCCTTTGATCTCCAGGCCGCATGTCTCGCATATCAATGTAGTATCCTTCTCGGCTTTGTTGCCCGCGGGATCCTTGCCAGCCGTCTGAGTCCCAGAGCCAGAGGTCATGACGACGCTGGCGTAGAGGTCGCTGACTGCCGTGCCCTTCTCGCGTGTGATTTGTGCAGATGCCGAAGTCTCGTCCTCTTCTGTGGCGCGGACAAATTCGACCCTTTGACGTTTGAGACCACTGCCAAAGGCCCGTTTGCGATGCAACGGGAGCTCATCGTGGTCGTAGTCGTCGCGGTCGCGTTCGTCGTCATCAGCTTCGTAGGGTCGGCGCATCGCCATTGTGACGGTCTATAGAGGTTTCTGCTTCAAGGCATGATGTTGCGCGTCCTCGTCATCGAGACGTGGTCTGCGAGTATTGCCGCGATGGGGGTGTGAAGATGAGGAAGTCAGACGACTGGATGCGCCTTGCACACGGCGACAACTCGCGGGGCAGATGGGGGCGCGGTGTAGGGTAGCTACATCGTCGTCAGCGCTGTCGTGAAAGGCTGCAAATCGGCTTCGCTTTCGCCAAAATATGGGTATCTCTACGTACTTGTATCTGTTGCAACTATCATAAACGTTTATAATCAAGCTCCTCTCCCTCCTCTATTCTTGGGCGTTCCGCGTGCCCGCGCTCTTTGTACAAGCTCATCATTCAGGCCTTGACGCCACTCGCATCCCTCGGCAAACTCACACATCTTGCACTTGAATGCCTCTTCGATGGTAACGCCTCTCGCTTTCCGCTCACCATGCCACCACTGCATGTACTTTGTCAGGTATTCGTCCAATGCGTAATTGGACAGTGGGAAGTCGTGCACGTCAAGCTGCCGCCCGTCGTCACGATGGAGATACTGTACGCGCAGCATGGTTCCCAATGACTCTGCCCCCTGAGGGAACGTGGTGCGGACCTCTTCTTCCACTAGAGACAAGAGCTCTCGCAGGGAGTTGTACTTGACTAGGTCAGGTTCTGACTGCGGTACCTCCTCAGCATCTCCGGCTCTGCTTCCATGTGATGGATTAGAAAGCTCTGGTATCGACACGCTCGAAGCGTCTACGAACACTTCGTCGTGCAGACTTCCAATCTGCGCGAGAAAGGTGTCCGTGAATTGGTCGTCCGGGTCCAACCCGAATCGCCGAAACACTTGGAAGAAGTCCAGCTTCCCAGAGGCGATCTGTGATAAGAATCGATGGTACAGCGACAACTGGATCTTGGCGGGACGAAGTTGCGCATTTGAGACCGGCTGCAGCGAACCTCTTGTCTTCACATCCGCAAGATATACCTTTTTGTGGTTCCCACTCGTCCTGCTCGGGAAGTAATCTAGTACTTTCCTCTGCGAGGGCGGTAATTGGTATTCTTGGCTGGACAGCTCCTCTTCAAAACTGGGATCAGGGTGCTCATAGGAGACGCTGTCGATCACACCGCTGACGAGCTTGTTCTCGTCGACCATGCCCCAGACTTCCAGCTCCCTCGTCAAGCCGGTCTCGCGCAATGTTCGCAATCCTTGCACAAAATTCCACAGCTTGAGGGCGAATCCGTCCTCTTTGGTCAAAATCTCCACCTTGACAGCCGTGTGCACTTCATCTTCGAGCTTCTGATGTACCTTGCTACCCTTTTTCATGGCCGCTGTCCTTGTGCGCCTCCCAAAGGGGAGTCTTGTCAAGGTGTACTCATATTGCAGTTCACACCACGCGCCACTCGTCAGGTCGCTCACAGAGAGCGGCTTTCGTGGGAAAGAGCGAAACTTTTGCAGGGGCGATCGCTCGTCGCCAGGTTCGGGAGCAGCCGTCTTGTGGAAGAAGGTGGACGCTGTGGGGAGGTCTTTCGAGGCCGACTCGGCGCGCTCGAGGGCACTGGCTACTAATCGCTTCGTCAGTCAGTCCAACTCTCATCGTGGGCAGAACAGAGAGAGGCGTACAGTTTGGGTATGTAACCTCTTCCTGGAGCGACACGGGTGTTGGGAGGCTGTCCACGCCCTCTGTGACCAGAGGCGCATCGTGACCCTTGACGGGGACGGCATCGATCTGATCTAAAGCCAGAAGCGACAGCTCGTCGTCCGTTGTGAAGTCGTAGCCAAACTCGTCGTCACTGTGGGATTGGGCGGCCATCTTTGCCGCGACGATTGTGATGAATCATGATGCCCGCGTTGGCGCGCGTTGGGAGGGGTGCCGCAGTCTTTAAGGGTCCGTCCTCCAGCCAGCCAGGTGGCGTGCCGTGCCGAGGGGAAGGAAACGCGACGCGGAGTCACGTGTACTAGGCACCGGCAAGTAAAGTGCTAGGCACCCGTCGACACCCTAGCATCTCAAATGCCTACTTGCGGTGTGCACAGATAATCATATTCCGTATCCGTATGTATTGCTCAGGCAATTGATTTACTACACTCAGATGATCAATCTAGAAACTCCCTGCATGACGACTAGCAGCTCCAGACCTGTCCTGGGCCTTGGTGGTATTCCTGCTGGCCATGTTTGTCCATGTTAGTGGTCAGCCGGCACAGCCACTTCCCTCCAGCTGTCCATGTTTCAGGTCATCGCAGCTTGAAGCGCTCGCTGGCCGATGATATGCTGCCTAGCTGCATACGGGGCTTGTTGGCCTCAGCAGAGGCCAGCGCGATACGGAATTGTATCAAACTCCATTCTGTCCGTTAGTGCTGAGCTCTGGATAGGCAACAGCTGTCTACAAAGGCTTCCTTTGCCCACGGAAAGTCCTTTTGACAACCGTGTGTACGTGTGTGACAACTCGACCCTTTTCACAATGGAGTCCATATTGCGACACAGAGGCGGCAGTTCTCATCCCAAACAAACGACGCCGGGAGATGGCGCAAATGGCATGTTGTCTTTCATGGCCTTGCCTACCGAGATCCACCTCGCCATCTCCCAGCAACTCATCTACCCTGACGCTCTGTCGCTGAAGCATGTCAACCGATATTTCTACAGCTTCGTGGACACTGGCACGGAACTCAAAGTCGATTGGTTGATTTCAAGGCGCATGCTGCACCTAGAATGTCCAAAAAAGAGATGCGACATGAGAAGTGACATTCGGTTCTGCCGCGGGAGCGTGCCGTAAGTCAGGCTTTGATGATTGCTGTTGTCCTGGCTAACCTTCACAGCCTCCTCATGAAGCGACGGAGAGAGCACATTGAGTGCGAGTCGCGCCCCGGCCTGGGATGTCTCGTGTACGGTACCAAAAAATGTACGAACAAGACAAAGATGGCTTGGTGGCGCCGAGTGCTTGGTAGGAAGTTCACGGTCGAGCTATGGTGGCTTGTCCTGGCAATGGTCCCGGTTGTATGTTGTTGGGTGTGGATTTTAGAGTTCTTGAGAACTTAGCGAGCGTGCTTGGCTTACAGATCAGTATGTATTGCAAAATTAATACTAATATAATCCAGTGAAGACTCGCGAATCATCAATCAGTAGCATGGCTGCTCGAATTGGCGATAAGATACCTAGGTACCTGAGGTCGATAAGCCGCGTGATGACCTCACTCTCCCAGAACTCACTTTGTACAAGCTGTCCAGCTTGCCAAACCTTATCACAGAAAGCACAAGAATTTCTGCGTATCTTAGTGCATGTATATAAGGTGATTAAATAGGAGCTCCTCAAAATATATTCCTCGGAAAAAACTTCGTATGAAACCACCATCCGCGCATTCCTCAAACAGCTCGCATGACGTCCATGGGTTTGATGGCTGTGAAGCTCCAGGACCCCGCCATGCCTTTCTGGGGACACCTGCAACGCCAAACCTCCAACCTCGAGCCATTGAACACGACATCATCCCCAGCCCCATTACCGCGACACACTCTGCCGTTCTGCGCCGCCTCCGCCTCGAACAGACTGTGATTCATTTCTGCGCCAGTCTAGAACATCAGGCAGCGACTGCCGACTCGTGACCGGCCGCCAGGCCACCACCGCCCATCATGCCCCTGTCCGTCATTGAGGAGCAGCGCAACAGTACGCAAGAAGAGTGTCGCAAGTTAGGTCCCGACTAATCAGAGCGGCAGTCATCCTTCAAGAGATCAAGAACATCACAAAAGGCGACGTACTGCCACCCGAACCCCCTGTTCCGACCTCGACTGACCGCCTCGACAGTGGAAATGCCTGATTGTCGACACGAACTCCAAAAAGATTGTCGACAACTGCGTGAACGAAGATGCCATCCTCAACATTAATATTGCGAGTGCGTACTTTCTCATACATCTATCTGGGTAGCTCAAGACTAACTAGCAAGACATTGAGCGGATCGAGGATCGTCGCGAGCAAAACCCCGACATGGACGCCATCTACATCCTCTCCCCCGAACCGCACATTGTCGACTGTCTCCTGCACGACTTCAGCACACGAAAATACCGGTCTGCATTTCTTGTCTGGACAAATCTGCTGCCCGCGGAACTGAGGCGCAAGATTGACGAGTTTCCAGGTGTGCGACAGCTGCGGTCCAGTACCAAAACGCTCTTCATCGACTTCTACCCCCGCGAGTCGCATCTAATCACCTTCCGGGATCCGTGGAGTTTCCCCGTTCTATACCACAGAAAATGCGACTCGCTCGTCGCCGCGCATCTCAAGACGACGGCGCAGAGGATCGCCGGGATATGCATAACGCTCGGCGAGTACCCCAAGGTGCGCTACTACAAACCTCGAGAACCAACCTGGGAGGCAGCGGTGCTCTGCTCCCATCTGGCGAACTTTGTGCAGCAGGAGCTCGACATGTACGCGCAATGGAACAAGAACTTCCCTCCACCGTCGACCCGACCACAGGGCACCTTGCTCATTACCGACCGCGCCATGGACATAATATCACCCCTGGTGCACGAGTTCACATACCAAGCCATGGCCCATGATCTCCTGTCGATAAAGGAGGGCGAAAAGGTCACATACCATACCACAATCAACCAGGGGACGCCAGAGGCGGAGGAGAAGGACATGGAACTGAGCGACAAGGACAAGATCTGGGTAGAGAACCGGCATCGCCACATGAAGGACACGATTGATAAACTGATGGGCGACTTTCGCCGATTCCTGGAGGACAACCCGCATTTCGCGAACGAAAATGCGGACACCACCAATCTCAACGCAATCAGGGACATGCTGGCAGGCCTTCCGCAGTTCCAGGAGATGAAGGAGGCGTACTCCCTGCACCTGACCATGGCGCAAGAATGCATGAACATCTTTCAACACCAGAAGCTGCCTGATGTCGCCTCATCGGAACAGACCATGGCCACCGGGCTGGATGAGGACTATCGCAAACCGAAGAACGTTCTCGACGCTGTAGTGCGGTTGTTAGACGATGAGGCCATCAAACCCGCGGATCGTCTCCGTCTCATCATCCTCTACGTGCTATACCGCGATGGCGTCGTCTTGGAAGACATCAAGCGTCTGCTCGCGCACGCATCACTGCCACAGTCCGACGTCAGCCCCTTTTCTGCACTCGAATTCCTCGGTGGCCGCGCCATCCGCCGCGAGCTCAAGGACATCAAACCTCCTCGACACATCCTATTCCCCGAAGACCCTCGCAACGCCCCGCAGAACGAGGAGTACTCGCTCTCCAGACACGACCCCGTTCTCAAACCAGTGTTGGAGAACCTCACAAAGGGAACCCTCGACAGCGTCGACTTCCCCTACGTGAAACCGCCCATCGACCCCAACGAGGACCTCCTCCTCGCCCAGGGAGCCTCGCTCCGCGCCGGTGGGCCTCGTCCCAACTGGGCCGCCGCCGGTCGTCGCCAAACCGACACCAACCGCCAACGTATCCTCGTCTTCCTCGCAGGCGGCGCCACCTACTCCGAGTCCCGCGTGGCCTATGAAGTCTCCCACGAGCGGAACAAGGACGTCATCCTCGCCACCTCACACATGCTCACGCCAGCCCTCTACATCAGACAACTCGGCGATCTCTGCCGCGGACGGCGACAGCTCGACCTCCCCGCCGACAGACCCAAGCCACGCGCCCCGGCACACGTTTTCGAACGTCCAGCGCCACCGCCGCAACCACAGGCCTCGCTCCCAGCGGCTCCTCGCCCGGGTGCCATGAGGCCACCTCCGCAACAACAACCCGCACCTGGCCCACGAGGTCCCAGTCCCAATCATCCTCCCCGCATTCCCCCTCCTCCCACCCAACAGATGGATAACTTGTCTGTGGGAGGTGGTCCCGAGAATGGTACAGGAGGCAAACTGCACAAGGAGAAGAAGAGGCGCAATTTCCTGGGTATGAAGAAGTAGGGATCTCTATCCAGTCTAAGTCAGTCCGCCATCAACAGCGCATCGAGCGTGAGCCTGCAGCAGGAGAGGTCGTCTGCAGGCGGCAGTCTACGGGACAGTATAAGGGGCAGAAGGAAGACGGAAAGGACGCTGGGGACGCAGGATTAAAGAGACTGAGTCCGTCGGGCGGAAGTGGTTGCATGGAGCGCGGCGTTTTGCGCTTTTCTTTTGGAGTATTCAGATCACTACGGAGTAGTCTACGTACTTGAATAGCACCCAAAGTACATATCGCCGAGGCGTATATACATACATCGAGCACTTCACAGGGATAACTGTTCTAGGTAGAGTCCATCGAAAGTGGGCTTATTCATCGACTTGCTACCAATTTTGAAGCTAGCGCATCTAAACCCCATATGCAGCGGCAACCTGACGTTCCGGCACCATCATTGACTTGTTCTTCGGATACCAAAAGTATCTTGCTCAATGACATAGTCTCCCTGTCAATGCTGGGTCTCCCACGTACAGCAAACCAGCCATAGGCCCACGAGCAAGTGTGCTCCAAGCTGCATTGATAACAATATTGCTATCGACTCTGGCAACAGCGGTTAGTTCCTAACCCCTGAAATTACCGCCTCGACCTCCATTTGGCGGGGGCATCCCACGTTCGTACAGCCCGCCAGCAAACTCAGGTCCAGGTGGTCCATTAAAGCCACCCATACCTGGCGGCATGAAACCGTGCGGCGGCGGACCGTTGAAGAACCCAGGCGGGGGAGGTCCCATTCCTCGCGGCGGCATGTTGCCCATGTGTTCTGGGTGTGGTGGCATTGGCCTCATGTTAGGAGGAAACATGCCAGCCATGGCAGGAGGGAGAGGGCCGTTGCGTCCCGGTATGGCTGGTCCGCCAGGGCCGCCGCCCACCAGGCCGGGAGGCGCAATCATGTGACGTTGCTGCTGAGTCTGTTGTTGTGGTTGGGGCGGCGGCGGCGGCGGCTGCTGCTGAGACGCTTGATGCTGCTGGAGGTGTGGCGGCAGAGGCCCGCCGGGACCGCTGATGAAGCCTGGCGGGGGACCCTGCTCAAGTCTATCCAGCCCAGGCGGTGGCTGCGGCCGTTGCAAGATCTGGGTTGGCGGCGGAGGTCCTCGGTATTCGCTGTCCCCTCCTCGGAAGCCCTCGTCCATGCCAAAACCTGGCGGCGGACCTGGACGCATCCGAGGGGCTTGCGGTCCGCGACTGTCTGGTCCGAACTCGGAATCGCGGTCGTGTGGGTGAGGCATGGGGCCCGGTCCGCTTTGCTTGTTCGCCTGCTGTGCTGCTCGCAGCATCGCTGAGTCCGTGCGCGGGCCATCTGACCCTGCGCGCATCAGGTTCATAAGGAACTCGGTGTTACTGTTGCTCCTTTGAGGAACGTCGGCTCGGCTGGAGCTCTGGCTAGAGACTCGCTGATGCTGTTGCTGGCCATTCAAATCCTGCAACAGCTGCTCAGGGCGCGCGTTCTGTTGCGGTCGAGGCGCGTGGATATCGGTTGTGTGATGCTGGAGAGGGGGGCGTCCCAGCAGACCACCTTCCTGGAAAGGCGAGCGCATAGCTGCCTGTGGCCCGTTGTCGCCAGGAATGCCTTGCTGCTGGAGTTGCGGTTGGGGTGGCGCGGTAAACGGCGAAACGCCACCTGGGGAGCTGCTCATCGTTTGTTTCTGTAGCTTGGACAACAAGAGTTGGAAAGCCTGCTTCTCTTCGTTGGTGTTCTGGCCCGGCGTGCTCGACATGCCTGCCAAGGCACCAAGCAATCCGTTCATACCAGAGGGCGGAGGTGGAGGCGCAGCTGCTGCAGGTGTGGCTGGCTCGGTCTTGGGAGCTTCCTGGTTGAAGAAAGATGTGAATCGTGACGACTTGCCCGAGGGTTTGGGCGCAGAGGGCTTTGGCTCCCCACCGTCCTGATCTGTCGGGCTGCCGAAAGCAGCAAAGAACTTGTCTGGCCCAGGGGCGACGGCTGGTGATGGCCGCACAGGAGGTTTTGCCTTTTCCTGGGCCGGCTCAGGCAGCGGAGTCGATGCTGGCCCCGTAGCAGTGGCTTCACCCTTTGACTTCTTCATGTCAGCCAGCCACTTTTTGAAGTCTTCTTGTGTCCTGGCTTCAGCTTGGGGAGCTGCGGGCTCGTCGAACCATTCAGGTTCACGTTCGCCTCGCTGGTCGCGACCTCCACCCCACCTTCGATCCTGTCGATGATCGGTTCGCGAAGAGACGTGATCCTCTACAGCCTCAGCTTCGGGATCACGCTCCCTCCAGCTCTTGGCCCGATCCATGCGTTCGCGCTTTTCAGGCACGCGACTTTCACTGTTCTCCGTCTTATGACGCGCGAGGCCATTGCGAGGTCGGCCTTCCTCCTCGCCTTCTTTATTATCCCTGTTGGTGCCCTCATATAGACGGACTGAGCGCTCGTCGCGGTCACGTGGCGTCCTCTTCTCGTCCCGAAAATTGCCGCCCATGCGGCCCTGGAGGAACTTCTCGGCGCCATCTGCCCCGAAGCTTTTCCTAGGCTTCACGGTACTCCAGCCCTCGGTGTCCTGGTCACCCCCCTCGCGACGGCGTAGGGAGTTGGTGTTACGCCCGTCGCGGAAGCGTTCGGCATCGGCGTCACCAACGCGGTTTCTCAAATTAGCAAAGCGCCCCGTGCCGTCGCTGTCACGGATAATCCTGTCATTGTCTGGTATCTTGTTTCGACCGGCGGAGGTGAAGGATGTGCGGGGAGGCCCAAAGACAATATCGTCAGGGTCTGTATCATGTTAGCCTGGCTGTTGACCGAGCGTCCGCACGGGTACCGACTGTTTGCGCTGTTTCGAGAGACATGACGGTTCGATTCAGGTCGGCGGTTGGTTTGGTCAATCAGTGTACCATCTGCCAGAGTGTTCTTTTCGAATCGGCCCATTTGCAACTGTTGATTGCGCGTGGACTGGCTCGGCTGACGAGTCTGCTGCTGCTGCTGCTCATTGGACCTGGCATTGTCAATCGTAGCTCACGAGGCTGAAGGAGGAACACTCACCCCATCCACTCCTCCAGCGGAGGCAAGTTATCTGGACGGGTACATAGCGGTGAGTTCTGCAAAGAGAGCAAGAAATCTAGCTCGTATTTGATGACCATTTTGGCTGGCTGGACGCGCAAGGCGCATCCACTGTTGGCGGTCGCCGACGACCAGTCGCAAAGGGTCGGTCTAGTCTCGAAATCGAACTATACGCGAAGAATGGCAGAGCAGGCTGTTATGACTGTCGGGGAAAGAAGACACCGATTGAGGCTTGTGGTTAGGCAGAGGTTGGTGATGATTGTGCACTTCAATCGCTCGCCTTTCGGTAGGACGAAAGTCCCTTGTGTACTGTAGCGGAGATAGGTGATGTCGCTGGCGGAGAGGATGGATTGGTAGGATCGCGCAGGATACTGAGGAGATGGTGTTGTTGTCGTTGTGAGGGGAGAGTGCGCTGCCAGTGGACAATGACGATCGCAGAGTGTTTAGTGGAGGGCAAAACCACTGAGGAAGCCCAAGGAAGGGTCCAGTCTGCTGGTCAGCCTGAGTGGTTGGGCCTTCTCCTGCGCTGGCGCACGTTAGGCGGCCTCAACACTGGTAGTTGCAGCGCGCTATACGTGGTAACCGGAAGGCTCAAGGTTCTTTGATATGAGTTGCACTGATTGAAAGAAATTTGAACCGTGATACGTAGCCAGTTTGCTCGTTGCTTTCCTTGAATTCGCATTGGGCTTGATTTGGGAGATGAGCGCCACCGTGCTAGAATACAGTGCGTCAATCATTTGCACTGTATGCCACCGGTGGACAAGATCGAGGTACCCTGCATATTATTGCAAGGTGTAGTAAGCTCTAGAGACTACATGGAACTCAATAAAGCCAATGGTACAGAATACAACTAAAACAGCAAAGCCAGTCTGCAATCAAAGTCTTCCAGATGCGTCACCACAAGGCTCCAAATAACACCATGACTGCCTGACTGACTACCCGCCTTGCCACGCAACCCCTCACCTTGGCTCACTTCCTCGCGGCGGCGACCTCCTCGTCAAGCTTCATTATGTTTGGCACGGGGCCCAGGGGCGTGATACCCAGGGGGTTGATCTGCTTATGGCTCCTCGTGTAATGCCACTTGATGTGCTCAAACTGCGTCGTCTCGCCGAACCCCTCGACCTTCCAGTACAGGTTGCGCATCCACTGGTGTATCGCCGGGTAGCCGGAGCGGACGTCCCGCAGGTTGCACTTGAAGTGCTGCACGTAGACGGGATCAAAGCGGATCATGGTCACGTAGAGACGGACGTCGACCTCGGTGAGCGTCTCACCGAACCAGTAGGGTCCGCCCGACGAGGCGAGCTGGGCCTCGGCGCGGTCGAGGGCCTCGAAGAGGGCCTTGACGTTGCGCTCGTAGGCCTCGGCCGTGGTGGCAAAGCCGGACTTGTACACGCCGTTGTTGATGAGGTCGTAGATCCAACTGTGCGCCTCGTCAATGTCCTTGCGGAGATTCGAGGGGTAGAGGTCGATCTTGCGATGCTTCTCGTCAATCAAATCGTTGAACTGGCCTGTTAGTATTTCTTGTAGATGGTGTAGATAATGACTTGACGTACCTCGGTGCCCAGCATCCTCAAGATCTCACTGCTCTCGTTGCTCACAATCCTCTTGGTCTTGGTATCATACAGCACGGGCACTGTGAAACGGGCGTCGTACTCGGGCTCGCTCTCAAAGTAGACGTGCCTCAGGTGAGTGTAGCCATCGTGGCCTTCAATGGGATCCGGCACGACGTTGTCACCGGGCGTCTCGCTCTTCGGGTCATCCTTGCTGACAAACCTCCAGCCGCCCTCGCCTAGATGCCAGTGCACGACGGAGAACGAGATGATGTCTTCGAGCCCCTTGAGCTTGCGCGCGATGAGCGTGCGATGGGCCCACGGGCAGGCGTAGGACACGTAGAGGTGATACCTGCCCTTCTCGGGAGGGTATCTGGCACCAGCTTCACGCGAGATGGAGTCGCGGAACGCGCTGACCTGGCGTTTGAACTCGCCAGACTTGTCGCCCTTGGAAACCCAATCTGTGATGCTCGACTAAGCAATGTCAGTGACAAGCCCTCCAGCAATCAGACACTTGGCTCACCATAATTGGTCTCGTTGATGAGAAGCGTCTAGCTTGAGTGGAGGTGGTGAATGGAGTGTGAAGGTACCGAACAACAGGTGTTGTGCAAATGCGTGAGACTGAGCTGGCTGGTAGAAGAAAACGCGTTGCTGATTGCATTGAGCTAAATGATAGTCTGGCCTGTTTTCCAGCGACGACTTGGAGACCGGTTCTTTATAGAGCACCCACGGGAAGCTTCAGCTGCAAGCGCGAAGCTAACTGGAGTGACACCATGACGAGGGGATTACTATTAGACTAGACCACTTCTTGTCATTATTAGGAAGCACCGGTAGGCCCCATGATTGGCCCCTCCATTTGTCAACCGTTTGTCAGATTTATCAACGACTTCAGTTCAGTAACACCCCGCTTGTACGCTAGCCTCCTTTGGTCGATCCAGTCGCCATCGTTCCATTCTTCGACATGACGTGGAGGACATGTAGCAATCGCTGGGACAACGCCCACTGCTTGTTCAACATCACTCGTCCCAACTTTTATGTAAAACGCCAGTAGTACACGCAGTGTTTGGACCTATCTTGCATTCTTGAGTCTTTTCGTCCCTAACCGTATGTGAAGTCTGCTGTCATAATCATTTCTACGTACAAGTGGCCAGTCTCTCCGTCTAGCGCACCAACTTGACCTTCAGGTCGGGCATCCACTCGATATCTTCATCGTCCGCGTCATCGGCAATCAGTCCAATCACCAGCTCCGACTCATGAGCCGGGATATCCCCCTTCGTGACCCTCTTGTACAGGTCGCTCACAGTGAGCTTCTGGCGCTCTTCCTTCTCCTTCGGGTCTCGGCTGTAGTTGGACCACAGCAAGGCGCGGCCGCAGAACATGGACGAGGGATAGATGCCCTTGAGTCGGAACCAGTCCAGCAAGTCGTTGACCACCATGTCTTCTACCTCGAATGACTCCCAGACCTTGTCCAGTGTGCACTTGACCTTCTCGCCCTGGAAACCTCCAGTGGCAGGGTCGCGGATGGGCTTGCCATCGGCGCCCAACGTGGGCTGAAGGCCAGTGTACGTGAACTTGCCGCTGGCAATAGGCTCGCTGAAGCCGATGAACGGCAAGGCTAGGTTGATGAACCCATTCTTGTACTGCTCAATGTCGTCCTTGCCATCAATCACCTTGTACAGCTCAAGCGTGACCAGCCCGGTGACCAGAGCTGTGGTGGTGGCAATAGCGGGGATAATCTTGCCAGCAATCAGCTTGGTCTGGTGGCGATCAGCAGGCTTGATCCTGTAGTTCTCGGCGCGCAAGTTGCTGCAGCAGGTGATGAAGTCGATGTGGTGGTTCGAGTCATCGTCCTTCTCAAAGTCCACGGGGTACACTTCGAAGCCGGCAAGCGAAGTCCGGGCTGGGATATTGGAGACGATCTTCTCAATTTCAGCCTCGTCGCTGTCTTCTGCGGTTACAGGCTAGCAAGGTTAGCACGTTTCCGGATGAATTGTTTCTGCCACACCCTTACCTCGTTGTCATCCACCTGAATCTTTACGTTAGATGCAGGAGTGTAATCAGGGACAATGATATCAGACAGCTCCCGGACGTAGTCGTCGTTCGAAAGCTCAGGAGCCTTGATGTTGTAATTGAAAGCGTGCAGGTTGGCAGCTGCCTTGATGAAGCCCAAGTGAGTCTCGTTGCTAGGGTCGAACTTCAGCGGAGTAGGTGCACGCTTCGGTCCAGACCAGAACGGAGCACCAGTCGAGGTGGTAGCATCCTTGGGGAAGTTGTGCAGCAGCTGTTGAATTTTGTTAGAGAATTCAGTCTCAAACTGGCGACGAGCCCACGAGATGCAGTCAGTGAAGCTGCGCGGTCGATCGGTGGTGAGGTAGTTGCGAATCGTCTCCAGAGTCTCCCTCTGGTTGTCACCCTGCTTCAAGAGCGTCTGGATATACTTTGGTTGAGTCAAGTACAGGTTGACAGTCTGAGGGGCTGTGACAAAGGCCTTCTCAAACATGTACTCCTTAGCCCATGCAATGGTGTGGTCAATGCTGTTCGGGAAACTGCGAATCGTGCACATGGGAATCGATTCCTCCATTGGGTCGCGAGTGGTAGCGCTGGCATAAGGCTCGGTGACGTTGGGAATCACCACCTGTGTGTTGCCCTTGGCTCCCAAGGTACCACTCTCCAAAAGAGGCTTGCGGAACAGAACACAGCGGCTATCCACGTAGCGCCTGGCTTCAACATTGTCGAGGGCGTTCGTCACGCCATCCAGCTTCTGCCAGAAAGTCTCCTGGAAAATGTGCTCGGTGTCAGGTCCGACCTTATCCTGGTGCGTCACAATGTGACCGCGTAGCTCCGGGTTCATGCGCTCCACGGCGACAGCGGCGCGGTCACTCTTCATCTTGCCGACGTCTGCAGAGCGGAAGAGGAATTGGCGGTTCAGGTTACTCTTCTCGATGGAGTCCATGTCGGTCACCCAGAGGTGGCCATTGGGTCCCGTACCCAGGCCCATGAGCGCCCAATTCTTGAGCATCTCACAACCAATGGCACCGGCGCCCACGAGGAATTGCTTCACATTGGCAATCTTCTCCTGGAACTCGGATCCGAACACTGCAATCTGTCCATCATACCGGCTCCCCACTGGTTGACATAGCTCAGGCGTACGCTTGACCGAAGTTGGGAGCGACTCGAGCGAATCAAAGTACAGCCACTGCTGGATGGGGTGGAACTTGCCAGACACGGCCTTGAGAACCTCTTGCGCAGCAATACCTCCGAAGAAGGCAGCCATAGGGCTGAGATCGCCCATAGCCTGGTAGCTGAGCTCCTTGAGAATCTTTTCGTCCAGTTCCGTCTCCAGTCCTTGGTCGGCAGCGAACTTCTTTGCAGCTTCCGACAGCACCAGCGCATCTTCGTCGTTCATGGGCCTTGGTAGGCGCCCGGTGGACTGTTGGAAAGCATGAAGCGCCTGGAAGCCAAGGTGAAGGATCTGCGGGCGATCGAACTTGGCAAAGTCGGACATGACGAACTCGGGCTCCTTCAACGCCTGCGTGATTGGCTTGAAGTTCATGATCTTGGGCATCTTGACCTGGTGATACCGCCCACCGCGCTGATATTGCCCCAGGCTGCTCACGTCACCAATGGAGAAGGTGTAAGGCCCCTTGACCGTGATTTTCATGGGGTCACAGCCGTTGAGAGCCTCCATGCCCTCGACTTCTGAAAAGGTCACATAGTCTCCATCTTCAAGACCATGGCGCTTATCGTCCAGCGAGGACACTAGACCTTCTTCGTTGATGCCGGCGATAATTCCAGTCAAGGGGTTCTCGCCAGTAGGATCCATGCAGGTAAAGTCCTCGCCAAAATCGCAGAAGAGAGAACCGAAAAGACCAAATGTATCCGCAATGACCACGTGAATGCCTTTGCTGTGGCAATAGTCGCCGATGCTCTGTTGCAGATGGATAGGCACGCCAGTAAGCACAACTACTTGGTATTGGTCGAACTGGGAGTTATCCTCGAGACTCGATGAGGGATGGACGCGGATCGGGGTATATGCGTTCAGCTCGGCTACTCGGGGAACGGTGACGGCGTCTCTGGGCTTGCCAACATCTTCTGGCGTGAGGAAGAACTGCGATGACAGATCAGGCAGGGTCACCGGCGATGGGTCGCAAAGGGACAAGCTCTTGACGCCGGCCAGAGCAATGTTCTTTGCGATCTCCACACCCAAGCCCTTGAGACCGACAATCAGAATGTTCGAGGCACCCATGCGCTTCATGGCTTCATGGCCCAGGACATAGAGCTGGCGACTGTAGAGGCTCTCATCGATCTCACTGTGGCCCACCACCGACTTGTCGACCTGGACGGTAGTGGCTGCGTCGACGTCGGTCATCTTGGCGTCCTGTGATGGGTGCGGTCAGTGTCAAGGACAGCCCTCGCGGGTTATCATGGAGTCTTACAGTCATGGTTTTCTTTGTAGGAGAAGCGCTCTCGCCGTTAGAAAGCTTCCGCTTTCCCAGCGTCAGGGTCGGGTTCGCGGAGGGTGAAATCTTGATTATTCGCTGTGCTGGTTGACCTGAAGCGATCTAGGCCACCAGACTCGTCGAGCTTTAACCCCACCAAGATGCTCGGGAAGCAAATGACGTATGACAGAAAGCCAAGGGCTATCGTAATGGATGGAGGGAAGACTGTCGTGCGGTTGATGCTCCGTAGGTAGGTAAAGGAATCGCAAGCTGGGAGCAGTGAAGTGAAGAATCCAGCAAGTGGAAGATCAACGTTTCGCTGTGAGACTGCGGGCAGGTTGGATGTCGAGGCAAGCTGCGCTGCCATTTGTCATGACGACGCAGGGCCAGGTGCGAGGTTGGCAGTGACGCGCTTTCATTGGCTTATTGATAATTACTAATGAGGGGCAGAAGCCTTACGCTTCAGCAATCGCAGGTGGGGGCAATCGTTCCTGCCGTGGAAGCTTCCATCTAATTCCGTGTAGATGCATATCGGCATTGCTGCATGCGCCTTGCAACGTTAAGGGGCTGAGCCAAAACAACATGGATTAACTGATGAGGCTCTCTCTGGGTGCACCAATTCGGTAGTAATTGTACAGTATCACGCTGTCTATCTCGCAACGCAGCTCAAAGCCTCGGCTTGAAAATCTCGCCCCGCTCGTCCTTATAGGTGGCAAGATTGTTCCTCTTGCTGTCGCCGCCGTGGCTCACTTCCACCGGCGCGTCAAAGACCGTGCTGTCGGCATTGGCTTGTCTCTCGCTCGCTTCGACATACTGCCTCTCGCCCTCGCCAAGATAGAGCTGCCTCGGTCTCCAAATCTTGACGCCAGATGGGTTGAGCATCTGCTGTCTCCAGTGCGCCAGCCAGCCAACGCAGCGAGGCACGGCAAAGAGGACAGGATAGAAGCTGGGATTGTTAGTCTGCGATGTCCTTGAGCTCTCACAGTGTTAAGAAGTTTGACTTACTCTAGAGGGAAACCCATGGCTTGGTAGATGAGGCCCGAGTAAAAGTCCACATTGGGGTACAAGTTACGGCTGCGCATAAACTCGCTCTCCCTCGCATACTGCGCCAGCGTCAAGGCCGTATCAAGAAGCTTGTTGCGTCCCGTCACAGCGAACACCTCCTCGGCCAGCTCGCGGATCGCTGTGGAGCGAGGGTCGACGTTCTTGTACACGCGGTGTCCGAACCCCACCAGGACGCGCTCGCGCTTTTCAACCTTGGCCATGAAACCGGGCACGTTCTCGGGCGACCCGATCTCCATGAGCATGCGGATAGCACTTTCAGACGCACCACCGTGCGAAGGCCCGTAGAGAGCGGCGCAGCCAGCCGAGACAACGCTGTAGGGATCCACCAGAGAGCTGCCAACCTGCAGAACTGTCGCCGTGGAGCAGTTGACCTCGTGGTCAGCATGAATGATGAAGAGGGCGTCCAGCGCCTTCTCTAGAACAGGGTGTGGTCGGTACTCGTATCCGGACAGGTTGTCGAGCAGGTAAAGGAAGTTTCCTGTGTACGAAAGCCCTTGCGCTGGTCGGTTGAAGGGTCGTCCTTGGCGCATACGATACGACGCAGCCGCCAGGGTGGGCGCCTTTCCGATGATGCGCAGGATTTGCTTGTCCAGAATCTTGAGTGACTCGAGGTCTCCTGACGCGGCGTTTGTGAAGAGCTTTTGGCCTTGGAGTGACGGATTGGCCTCGGGGGCAAAAGCGCCCATTGTCGCGAACGCGGATGTCAACATGGACATGGGATGGGAGTCGTAGCGGAATGACTTGAACATGGCTTCAATGTCACTGTGGATGTATGTGTGGTGCATGATCTCGTCGGTCCATTGGCTGTACTGCGAGGTCGTCGGTAGCTCTCCGTACATCAGCAGGTAAGCAGACTCGAGGAAGTTGCTCTTCTTGACAAGCTGTTCGATGGGATAGCCGCGGTACCGCAAAATGCCCTCCTGGCCATTGATGTATGTGATCCGGCTTTGGACGACGGCCGTGTTCATGTACGCCGGATCGTAGACCCTGAGGCCCTGGTCCGTCTCGTCCTCTGGCCGGTCATTGTTCGTCCCAGCTTGAGCCTTGATCTTTTTGATGTCTGTGGCAAGCACGCTGTTGTGAGTAATGGGCAGCTCGTAGGTATTTCCGGTGCGGTTGTCAGTAACCGTCAACGACGGGTGGGCGAGCTTTCTGATCGCCATCTTAAGAGCAATTCGGCACTACAGATGAGTATACCGGGTTTCTGAGGAGCAAAATTGGTCTCAGATAGCTCACTTTGAAAGTTATAAATGACATGTAAGCCGGTCACCCGTGAAACTGGCCGAGGCCGGGCCAATGGGAGCTCCGCAAAGTACCGAGGTAGATCACAACAGCCCCTGCAATGCGGACTATCGTTAATCCGTACTGCATTTCCTATAGTTACCATGTGACAGAACATTGTTGGCTTGAACTCACTCGGGCAGATGCCTTTTCTCCTCAGCTTGCAAAATTGTCAATTGAGTGACAGAAATCCAGTCTTGTGATATTGCTTGTGATTCTGTTACCGCGACGCTTTTGCTGAGCGAACGTCTCGGTCAAACATAACCTGACGTTAGAAGTCCATCAAACATAGGGTAGCCAGAAACCACCCAAATCCATCTTGATTCGCTTCACGTCAATTCGCGGCATCCAAACCTGCTTGAACAAAAGTATCTCGCATCCATTGACGTCTACCACCTTGTCTCTTCGCGTTCCTCGCGCCGTGCCGTGACAATGTCGGCCTCGCTTCTCCGGTCACGTATCGCGGCCCAGACCACCGGCGTCCGAGCAGCCCGCCAACGGATCGCAAACGAACAGCGCCGAAATGCTTCGTCCTCCCCGCGCTCTACTGGCAGCAGCGCAAAGGCCCTCGTCTACGGCACCGCACTCGCGGCTTCGACCTTGTTCGCCTACTTCTACACCACCGATACCCGCGCTTTCGTGCACCGATGGGTTGTCCCACCAATGATGCGCATCATTTTCCCTGACGCCGAGGACGCACACCATGCCGGCACCGCTGCGTTGAAGAGTCTCTACGCGCTGAACATGCATCCGCGGGAACGGGTCAAGGAGGCGGAAGAGCTCAAGACGGAGGTGTTTGGGACGGAGGTCAAGAACCCAATCGGTATCTCGGCTGGCCTCGACAAGGACGGTGAAATTCCGGATGTGCTCTTTGACCTGGGCGCAGGCATTGTCGAGGTGGGAGGCTGCACACCTCTTCCACAAGGGGGGAACCCCAAGCCAAGAGTATTCAGGGTACCGGGTCTCGATGGCATGGTCAATCGTTACGGGCTGAACTCGCGAGGCGCAGATGACATGGCCATCCGACTACGCGACCGTCTGCGACGCTTCGCTCGCAGCATCGGCGTCACCGAGGCGGATGTGCTCAACGACAATGCTGGCGTGCCACCTGGTAGTCTGAAAAGTGGGCGTCTCTTGGCCGTCCAGATTGCCAAGAACAAGGACACAGATGGCAGCAACGAGAAGGCTGTGGCCGACGACCACGTGTATTGCGTCAAGCGTCTGGCGCCGTATGCTGACATTCTCGTTGTCAACGTCAGCTCACCCAACACCCCCGGTCTGCGCGATCTCCAAGCCACCGGGCCCCTGACCCGCCTGCTCAGTGCGGTGGTCGACGAGGCCAGCAGGACAAACCGCAAGAACAAGCCCAAGGTGATGGTCAAGGTCTCGCCCGACGAGGACGACGACGATCAGGTTTCGGGCATTGTCGCAGCGGTGGCCAACAGCGGCGTCGATGGCATCATTGTTGGGAACACGACCAAGCGCCGGACGGGTCTCGCGCCCCAAGGCGCCCGACTGACTGCGCGCGAGCAGAAGGCACTGGCTGAGGACGGTGGCTACTCTGGCCCTGCCTTGTTTGAGCGCACAGTGCGTCTCGTCGGAAAGTACCGGCAGCACCTGCAGGCGTCCTCGCTCAAGGAGGGCGACGAGCAGAAGACACTTTTCGCGACGGGCGGCATCACCAATGGGCACCAGGCGCTCCAGGTCCTCAACGCAGGCGCGAGTGTTGCCATGGTGTACACGGGCATGGTGTATGGAGGCGCGGGCACGGTCACGAGGATCAAGGGCGAGATGAGGGACGAGATACGTGCGGGCAAGGCGTAAGGGTGCATTCAACGATGCTCTTAACGAGCAGCGTATCTCTGCTAGTATAGCGTTCTGCATACGTGAATTGAGCACAATAGCAACAAGACCTTTCCCTCCCGACACTGGCACAAAGAGGCCGCTCCCAGATGAAGAGGGATGTGCAGATGAAAGTGCGCAAGCTCGGAGAGATGCTAGTGTTGGCTTGACAGAGCGCATAAATAGAGGTTGGTGAGGCCAGTAGAAAAATACACAATGTGTTGGGAAATCATTCAGGCTTTATTGGTCAAATTAAACAGCTCATGAAATGAGCAGTGTTCTATTGCCTATGCGGGATGATGCTCACTCTTCCTTGCCGCCGAGATACCGATACACGACCGAGAAATCCCGACCAGCGCACTCCTCCTTCTTCTCAGCATCCTCATACACTTCAAAGGCCTTGTCGGCAAGCTTCATCTCTGCACCAGCCTCCTTCGCAGCGACCATGGCGAGACGCAAGTCCTTCTTCATCAGGGAAATCCCGAAGCCACCACGGTAGTCACGGCCAGCGGGGGCGGTCTCAACGACACCCTTTACAGGGTTGTTGACCTCGCTCGGCCAGCAGCGACCCGTGCTGACATTGATGACGCCAGCCAGTTTCTTAGGGTCAAGACCCCATTTCATGCCCAGGTTCATCGCTTCGGCAGTGGCAATGTTGTTGAGGGCCAGCAAGTAGTTGTTCGCCAACTTGGCCGACAAGCCTGCGCCTTGTTCACCGCAGTGCAGGACCTTTCGGCCCATATGCAGCAATGTGGGTTCGACACGCGGGATCAGCTTTTCAGCAGCGCCCAGCATGAAAGTCAACGTCCCAGCCGTGGCGCCGACGACGCCGCCGGACATGGGCGCGTCAACAAACTGGCCCTGACCTGCTGCGGAAACGGCCTTGGCCACCTCACGCGACGTCGAAGGGTCGATGGTCGAGCAGTCGATGAAAACGCGATCTTTGGTGGGCAGGGAAGCCACGAGGATGGAGTCGAAGACGCCCTTGACGTGTTGCGGCTCGGGGAGGCACGTAACGACGGTATCCTGCGCAAGTCAGTTGAATTCTTGCCATCTGATGCATGAAAGAGATAGTGTGTGTGCGCGAATTTCAGAGGATTGGCTATAATTGTAATAATCACGGGAGAGCCAGAGCTGTCTAGACTCTGGCCCCAACTTAGATCATAGATAGAACAATATTGTTCATCATTTGGAGATATTGTCACGGAAGGAAATCTTCTTGTACTTACAGCATCCTTTGACGCGTCGAAAGCGCTCGATGCGAGCTCGACAGCAGCCCCTTGCGAGGCCGCCTTCATCTCGGCCTCGAGGCCCTGCATTGACTGCGGGTTCACATCGAAGATAGATATCCTGTCGCTAGGCTGCAACTTGGATTGCAAGTTTTTGGCCATTTGGTAGCCCTGCAGAAGTCAGTCGGGTTCGTCTCGGGTATTGAAGGAGTAGTCTCACCATCTGGCCCAAGCCGACGAAGGCATAATTGTCCAGTGTCCTCGCCGTGCTAGCAAAGCCTCTTCGCTGCACGAACGAGCGCGACACAGCAGCAGCAAGAACTCTCATCGTGATGACGACAAATGGCGAACAATTTCCATTGTAATAGAGCAAAGCAGGAGGTTGCTTTGTCACGATGGATGGTAGGCGAGGTAGCTTCCCCCATGAATGCGGGGAGGCGTCACCTTACCGATTGAGCCGACCATTGCCGCGACCTGAAGCGTGGGTGACGGAAAACCAGGGCAGCCTGCGAGGGGAAGGATTGGCAGTCAACGGATGGAATGAGGAGGATGGCGCGTGGAGAGCGACCCGAAGTGAGTTTTTGCCGTGCGGAGAAGAGACGCACGTGACTCGGGGGGCTTGCATCGGTACTACCCTGAGACAGCTTACATCATGCCAATTCCGAACAGAAGGGCAATGAAACTCCAGATCTCTCATTGAGGAAGTAGTACCATGCAAATATCCCTCACAACCTGGACCGAGGCCGATCCTAACATGAATATCTGTCTAATTGCGAACGCTGCTCCGTACACAAAACTCCCCACACGCACTGGAAGATGCTGAGAACGACGCATCCCCACCAAAAGGGGCTTCGGTACTTGTCGTTCGGGACGATGACGCGGCACCAATCGAGGAGGATCCGCAGTATGGACAACTTGCTATCCACAAGAACAGAGTGAGCCCGGGGAACCTCAGTTGTGGACTTGGCGTAGAAGGCCGCAACGTCAGCTTGTCGAGCAGTAGTCGCATTCGTTGCTGGCGCTGGCAAAAGGGCCGGCATTTTGTTGGTCGTCGCAGGCTTTGGCATATTAAGAATGACTATCTAGCTCGCCATCCACTGCCCGCCGTTGGCACTAACTAAGCACCCCGTCATCCAGCCGCTCTCCGGCGAGCAGATCATGCCAACGATGCCGGCAATCTCCTCCGCGTAACCAGCACGTCCGCCGTACTTCTCCGCCATCTCCTTCTGCTCATCCGAGTCCCACTCGCGGATGCCGCTGAGCGGTGTCAGGGGGTACCACATGGAGATAGCCTGCTTGGCCGCGTCAGGCGCCCCGCGCAGCATGTCGGTCATGGTCGAGCTCGGGTTGCAGGCGTTGACCGTGCAGTGCTCCTTGAGCTCTCGCGCCCAAGTGCGTGTCATAGCTTCAAGGGCGCCCTTGCTGCCGCCGTACAGCGTCAGGTACTCTAGGCCGACCTTGGAACCGACGCTGGAGACGTTGACGATGCGTCCTGACCGGTCATCCGGCAGCAGAGGGCGAACGGCCTGCGTCAGAAGGATGGGACCGAGGACATTGACGGCGTAGACCTTGTGGAAGTCCTCGACGGTCACGGCCTCAAGCGGGACGGCGTGGAAGAGCGCGGCACAGTTGACGAGGATGTCGACCTGCGGGCCGCCACGCTTTGTGTTGGGCGGGAGGGATGTCTTGACGGTCTCGACGATCTTGGCGCAGCCCTCGGGCGTGCTGAAGTCGGCACGCACGGGGACGGCCTTGACGTCGTGGGCCTCGGCGAGCTTCGCGGCCAGAATGGCGGCGGGCTCGTCAGAGGACTCGGTCAGGTAGACGAGGACGACGTTGGCGCCCTTAGACGCGAGGTTTTGGGCGATGGACGCACCGATGCCTGGGCGAGTCAGCCTCCCATCAGCAAGTCAGCGGGAAGTAACTCACTCCTCGCACCGCCAGTGATGACGGCGGTCTTGCCCTCGTGCACCCGGTAGGGCGGTGCCTTGGTGATAGGGACAGTAATCTCGGTGGCGGACATAGTCGTAGTTGGAGCCTTGAGTGGGATACGACAAGATTCTCACAAGAATCGATGTGTAAGGATGAGCAAAAGATGTCAAGACACGGCCGGGAACCCTCAAGAACACCCACTCATGCCATGCCGCCCGGTCCCAGGGATGTGGTAGCAGATATTATGGCATCGGTGAAAAGATATAGGGGTCAAACTGAAAGTCGAGACACGCCCATGTCACCTGCACAGGGATGCACACCGTCTTAACGTTCCACCTCGGCGGAGCCTTTCTCTGCGCACCCTGGGCATTGGTTTGAAGCACTCAATTAGTGCTGCCCCTTGTTAGCAAGGTAAGGTAGACAAGTACCATGCCCGTTTCATGCAGTGCAAGTGCCGGGATGTCGGCTAATTAACTTTGACGAGTGTTTGGTGGCCGGCCTGTCCTGTGCAAGTTCGCAAAATACACATGCTTTGTAAGAAGTTTGCTGTATTCGAGGCTATCTCCATTCTTTCACCTGCAAGGGACCCATCATCGGCATAAAGCTTCTTATAGCTGGCTGCGGAAAATGACTGTGTCCCCTTCTATCGAGTCGCGCTGCATAAGACGTGCTCTTGAGAGAAACCACCTCAATATTACCCTTCCGACCTTTGCTCGGAAGGAACTCCGCATCAGAATATGACGAGTCGAAGCAACGCTGCAACAGGTGGACCCTACGCTGAATCTGTCTGTAGCAACCCCTCCTGAATCCTATCATATCCTAGCTAATAGAGGTCTCCTTAGGCACGGGCGATTCTTTGGGCAAAATCACTCACTTTTTAGTAGGTAGATGCGAGCCTCTAGGTTGCCTTGCGCGATAACCCAGGCTGCGAGATCCGCCTCCTGTACTTGGCTAAGACGCTGGTATTAGGGTTCAAACGCGTTATCTCGCACGCGTTGGCCGCGAATCCGGTTCCTCAGGCTCGATCTCGGGTTTCCCTCTGTCCTTTGGACTGAACGCTGCAGACATCCACAGCTGGCATCCGGGTGGGCGATGGACACTCTCCGCTTGGACTCGGATCAGGGGTCTGCGAAGCAACATGGGACCGTTGTCGTTCAACAAAATGCCGGTTTTATACTCGCATACGCGAATAGGTGCATGGTTCTCTCCTGTCGGTCTGAATCGAAGTGTTCCAGCATCGAGTCTTCTTTCGTTCCAACATACTTGTGAAGACTGCCACCAATGGCCATATTTGAGCGACCAGTTCCCGCATCGTCCCGTCAGACTCGAGCAGAAATATCGAGCCCATCATCATGTCGACTATCGACCCGAACCAGCGATACGTTGAGCCCCTCCAGGGCACAGGCTTGAGCCTGTTTGTTGTTTCGATAGTCGGTGGAATTGTCTCCCTCATTGTCGTGGGTTTGCGGACCTTGGTCCGAATCCAGGGACGTTCATTCAGCCTCGACGATGGCTTAATGCTTGGTGGTCTTGTAAGTTCACAAAAGTCCTCTCAGTACACGATAGCCTGTGTCTTATTTACTGCACCGGAAGCTATCCGATCCCTCGCTAACTTTGTTTTCAGGTCGTCTACATTGTCGACGTAGCCCTCGCTTGTGTCGGTGCCCTCTCTGGCCTCGGCACCCGCAACGAGGACATGAGCCCAATCATGATGATGGAGTCAATGAAGTATCTAATGATATGGATGATGCTGTACGTCATCGGGCTCTGCCTCGTCAAGTTGTCTATTTGCTTCACCACCCTTCGCATCGCCACTACCATGCCGACGCTCCGCATTGGCGTCTACGTCCTCATGGGCCTGACAGTCGCCACTTTCGTGACAACATTCATCGGCATCCTCCTGCTCTGCCGCCCCGTCGAAGCGAATTGGGACCAGAGCATCATTCTCGAGGGCAGGGGCGAGTGTTCCCCCATGAGCGCCATGCTGGGGTTGTCGTACACCTCAACCGCGAGCACCATCGCCACGGACCTCGCGTGTGCGGTGCTTCCAGCCATTATTCTCTGGAGAACCCAGATGAAGCTTTCGAAAAAGATCATGGTCTCGACAATTCTGTCCTTTGGCTCCTTGTAAGTCGATCGTTGCCTTCGGCAACAAGACATATTGCAACATCAGCTGATCCTCTATATTGCAGCGCCTCCATCTCGACCATGATCCGCACTCCCTACATCGACTATTACAACCGACCCACGGAAGACCTGGCTTGTACGTTTTGTTGACTCTGAAAAGCTATCAAAAGATACTGACCCTCTCGCCAGTCCACATCGCCAACATACCCCTCTGGTCCAACATCGAAACCGCCGTCGGCCTCATTGCTGGCTCCCTCCCCGCCTTGCGGCAGCTTGTCATGCGCCACAGCAGCCCAAAGGCAACGGCCCACAGCGCTACCGGTGACACTCGCGGCCTCGATCCCGCAGCGTCCGCCGGCCTCGTCACCATCGGCGGCTCGGGTGCTGCTGTTCGTTCCAAGGACCGCAGGGCCCTCAAGTCTGTCTACGACATTGACGAGGCTGAAGAGGGCGATTGGACGCGCCTCGACGAAGATAACAACTCGGACAAAGAGAGCACGGTGCCAATTCGAGGGATTCGAAAGGACACGACTTTCGAGATGTCGTCACTGCCAGGCAAGGGGGGCATTCAGTAAAGCGGAGGTTGCAACGCGCATTCTTCTGACATGTCTCGCTGATTGACTGGATTTGCGATCAGCTTCGAAACTGCGGAATGGTGCATTGGTGAGGATTGAGCGACACTCGCCCCTTGCGGATGGTTTCGGTATCATTGTTGTCAACTGCACATATCCCCACTCTTGGCCTTCACCTGAGAGTCTCTGTAGAACCTTTCTTACTATGGAAGTGCACATGGAACCTCTTATTATCCGTGCGTGACAATGGACACCCTCTCCATCCTGGCATGAAATTTGTATGGACACCGGATCACCCTAGTGAAGCAGAAGTCGCAAAGGCAAAGATAGTTCACGCTTTGATGGCCATCGTGGCAGAAGTAGGCCTCGTCGCCCACCAGTGAGTTGACGCACACAGGCGGTTGTCCACTGCTCTTGGTACATTCAGTCAGGGGTTTACAATCTCAGCCCAACGCTCTTCTTCGCAAGCACAAATTGACGAAGGCGAAAAACATCGATGGTCGGAGAACCGGCAAGAGCCGCAATAGTAGGTAAGTAGAGAGCTGTAGGTGGTTCTCGATCGGGCCGCACGTGACTCAGGGGGCACTGAACCGTCTGCCGCGTCGAAGCGAAGCGGTGAGCAGAGGTCACGTGGCTTGGATGTCAAGGAAGTCTCCATGCTCGCATTAGGAGCGTTGCCTGATACAATTATTTACAATTCACCAGTGCGTACGTCTTGCATCTGTGATCAGTGGTAAATGTGTCATTCAGCTGCGTTTCAGAACTATGATACGGCCGTTGACGCCTGATTCCATGCCGGAAGACTCCAATTCCTGAGCCCTGCCTCTTCTCAGTCGAAGCGGCCCTGGTATGAATCGATTTTGGGAATGTAGTGTAGATGAAGGTTACCGTGACAAAAGAAGAAAAATCAGGACCAACGCACAGTTCTCTACAGCTGTTCTGATGCCAGCCCACCAGGGAGAAAAACGAGGAGAAAAACAGAAAGGGGGTATGTTGTCCAAATACAATGTGAAGTCATTGATGCGAGAAAAGGGGTGAACCATGATGAACATAAAGTCCAATGTGATCCGTGCAGTGTCGGTGAAACAAGATAAAGCCAAGCCGCGCCGTCCCAAGCTCCTTTTGAAATAAGCTCCTCCTCCGAATATTACACGTCGATATTATATTATAGGAAATTGGTGAGCCATGGTACCACGGCGCTGTCAATGTTAGCTTAAGATCCGCCTCGGGAAGAGGATGACTTGTAACTTACCCAACCATCAGAGTACCAGCAATACCCAGGAGGGCGCGGTTCTTGGCCTTCTCTGCTTTCAACTCGGTGGCCGTCTTGGCCTTCTTCGACCGCGGCTCAATAGCCAGCTCCTCTGCGTCCTTCTTCTCGTCCTCCTTGTCGCCTAGGGAGATATCTTGCGCCTTGCGCTTGCTCTTCTTGCTCGACGTCTTCTCTTCGGACTCCTCCGTCGGCGCCTCGTCGGCGGGCTCCTTATGCGCTTGAACCATCTCCTTAGCCGAGTTGATCATATCGGCAATCTCTTCCGCGCTTGGCGGCTTGCCAACATTCGGCAAGGGGATATCAACTTCGGTGGTGATAACCTTAGATTCGGCACCCTTGCGACCCTTGGCGATCTCTTCCTTAACTTCGACCGAAACCTTAGGGTCCTCCTCGCGGGGCTCGAGCACGATTTGAGGTTCGAATTCGGTCGTCTTTAGCACAACGTCGCTGCCATTGACCTTGCTCTCATCGTCTTCGTCCTTAGAGACTTCGATGATCTGGGCCTTGGCCTTTGTGCTACGCTTGCGCGGGGACGCAGTCGAGCGCTTCGATACGCTCTTGGTGGGGCTCACGGAGCGACGCGACCTCGAAGACCTGCTAGGAGTGGGAGGCACGAGTGCCGGCTTGGATGACTCGAATCGAGGCGGCATGGCCATCTTCGCCGGCGACTCGCCGTTGCTGCCAGCGGTAGTGATGGGGGTGTTGTCCAGGAGAGCCTGGATCCAGGGGGTGATGTTGTACTCCGCCGCCAGCTCAAGGGCATGCTCCTCTGGGATCCAAATGTTCCCGGCTGTTTCCTCTGGGCTGGTGGTAGGCAGCGACTTGATGTATTTGCGCTCCGCTTCCTCGTCTGCAACCTCCGCGTAGGGGAACGTAGCCTTGAACATCCCGGTAGCGGACACGTAACCGTCAGCGCTTCGACGCATCAGGAAGTAGCTGTTCGGGCTCGACTTGAAGATGCCAGAAACGATGCCCTTGGGCAGAGGTGCGCGCAAGTGCGCGTAGTCGAACGCGGCCCCGAGAGTGTTCGACCAGTCGCCGTCCTCGTTGGCGTCCACCATCTTAGAGGTCAGCTTGGTGCGGCCGAGGCGGCGACGCGAGACCAGCTCCGTGTCTGTGGGTAGAGTCAGCAAAATGTCGCCTTCCAAGGCAACAAACGTGTCGGCGACATACAAGGAACCTGATGTTCCGCGTCGGTCATCAGAGGGTTCGCCTTGGCGGGAAGGGTGCGCGCCACAGGACTCATGGTGAATAAGCTCGATCCCTGGATCGTGTACGTGCGAAGGTATCTAAAGGACGGGCGCGTATTAGCTTCAACGCATGTCGCAGACGCCGGCGTCGAGAAGAGGGTGCGTACCGTGGCTGGTGCTTGTCGCGGTCGCTGGATTCAGTAAAGAACAGCGAATGTTTTGGTGGCGTGCGCGGGCGCAATTGAAGTGATCGCGAGTGAGAATGATGGGTAATATCGTTCGCGCAGAAGACGGGGATAGCCACTGATTGGGGGTCAAGAAGGGAAGAAAGTCGTGTTCGCGCTGATCGGGGGGGTGGAGAGAAATGCGAAATGAGCTGGCACCGCGAACTGATTGCGATAGGGGGGACCTCTTTCAACAGTGGATCACGCGCGTGAGAAAAGGTACCCCTCTAGCGCTTGGCTTTCTCAACGCGCAGGTCCTAGCGCTTATCCCCTTTGGGACGCGCTTCACTTGGCCAGATTCCCTCTTTGGGCTTCCCCAGGATGACTCGCGCCCGCTGCTCCCGTCCTGTCGCCGACGCAGGTGACTGGGTTTATTGCTTTTGGATTTTTTCATAACTACTTATGTATAATCGTTCACCGTGCGTATTGTGCATTGCGCTTCGAGAGGGTCGTGTGGCTCGCCGCAGGAGAACCCAAGATTGCCGGCGTGGTGTGTTACCACCGGACCGCCTCCCTCTTCGCTGGCGAATGACGATTGACGGCAACGATGGACTCGGAGAATTGGTGTGTTGTCCGTAGTAACATGACGAGGGCTCGGGCCGTCACAAATGGGTCGCTGTTTGCTCTGTCGCGCTGTTCTAACTTCTTGACCATTCGGAAGACAGGACTAGGTACCGTACGACCATTCGATACTGATGAGTTCGTGTCGTGTCTCCTGAGTCGCATTCATGATTTTGACTTGATGGTCTGTATAGCCCCGGGAAATGCATCGTTTGGAACACACAATTTACAAACGCCCTTACTAATAAAAGACGTCGTAAGTAACCCCCCCAAGCTTGGCAACCAGCTGTCTCACAGGATTATCTCCAGATCAAGAAAATTTAGACTGTCCTTCTCAATGTGTTCAGTATTCTATCCGAGGATAGGAAGACTTTGTCAATTATACATGGCAGTCAGAAAGGATGTAGGGTAAGGCGGACAGAGGGGAATAGTATGGATCACTGGCACTTGGAGACAATACGCCCTGGTCCCGTACAAGTCTGACCTCGAGCACCGAATATAGTAGATATCGCTTGAGATTTGTAAACTCGAGACGAGACCTGCGTCAGGCCACGCACGCGCCATTATTATATGTATCGACCACGTTCTAGGTCTCCGACAAGTTTGACATCTCCTGGCCGCCCCTCACCCATCCCCTGACCGAGGAGGCGGTGTCAGACCAACGAATGCTCCACGACCGACCCCCACCAGCTTCCAATTGCCCCTCCATTGGACCATTATCACCACTGGCACTGCCTTGAGCCTCATCTGCACCTGTTTACTTTCCACCAGGAGATTCCACTATCTTTCAGAACCGAACCGTTTGGCTTGCGCACAGATCCCCCAACCACCAATTTCCACCATGGCCTCCAACCCCCAACACGAAGATGATACGATGCCCGAGGAGACGCAGGGCTACAAGCTCTCCCAGCCAAAGCAGAGCTTGGCCGAGTACCAGCAAATGGGTAAGTGTGCCTCCCTACCCGGGAATGCTGCTATTCAGCCCATGAGCTCCCTGGTCATGTCTACGAACTCCATGCCCTGTTTCCACACCCAGTCTACATCTGCCTGGCACCATGCTGACAACCAACCCGCATAGACGCCGGCGACGAGTCCCTCCAGCGTTACAAGGAATCTCTCGGTCTTGGTGGTGGCAAGGACATCTCCGACCCCAACGATCCCCGTGTCTGCATCATCCAGTCTCTTACCCTCGACGCCCCCGGCCGCGACCCCGTCACCATCGACCTGTCAGCCCCTGGCAGCGAGGCCACCCTCAAGGACAAGCCCTTCAAGATCAAGGAGGGTTCCAAGTTCACCATGAGCGCAAAGTTCAAGGTTCAGCACGAGATTCTGAGCGGCTTGACCTACGTCCAGGTTGTCAAGAGGAAGGGCATCAAGGTGTCGAAGGACTCGGAGATGATTGGGAGCTACGCGCCCAACACGGATAAGCAAACCACATACACCAAGAAATGTAAGTCTCGCACATTGCATCGGGAAGCTCGAGGCCCAACGGCTGACGCCCTACAGTCCAGGAGGAGGAAGCGCCCTCTGGCATGCTCGCGCGTGGCCACTATAATGCCATTTCTAGCTTTGTCGACGACGACAAGAAGACGCATCTCCAGTTCGAGTGGAGCTTTGACATTGCTAAGGACTGGTAGAGTCTTGAAGGGAAAACATATCCGTATGATGAGTAACGACTGTATGGTGGCGTGAACCGATTGCGGGTGGCAGCGTTCTTTTTGTGAATTGCACTTTATATCCTAAGTCAAGCCAGAATGAAGCAGCAACAGTCCCTTTTGCTATGCTGTACAAGTCTATCGCTCTGTCAAAAACCGCCAGGCCGTTCAATATCGCCTCTGTGTCATGCATCGTCGTGATACTGCGTCGCTATGTTCTATAGAAAATAGTCGGGTAGTGCATTCCCGTCGGCCGCTCTTTCGCCGGCTTGCTGCAGGTCTTTGTGTGCATCGTTCTCTGGGGCCGCTGCGAAGACGTTGAAAAATCTTTGGCCCTCTAGGCCGACTTCTAGTACTGAAGCCATGTTGCCGCAGCGGTAGCAGTAGTTGGGTGCGCTCCAAACGGTGCTTAATCGATCGTCGTAAAGTATTTGGAAGCCTTCTTGGCAAAGCTGATGCGCTCGGAGGATATGGCCCATTCCATTGACAGCAAGGAACTTCTTCACCACTTGCGCGCCAAATGTGTAGCCTGCTCCGCGTGGCGATAATGAGAACTCGTCTCGCTCGGGATCTGGATCTGACCAAACCAGGTCGGCCATAGGCCCCTCGTGGGGAATTTCGCGGAATCGGTCGATGATCTTGATCTGGTCGATGGAGTGTATAGAAGGAGAGAGGCCTGCACCGTTAGCTTGAGTGCGCGGTCTGCCACTTGGGTAGCCTTACCTCCATGCACGCAGAAAATCTGATTATCAATCACCACGCTCAGCGTCAAGAAGTCGAACATGTCCGTAAAGTAGTGCCAGACGTTGGCGTTGCCGTATTTCCGCGAGCATTCCGTATAGAAACCATAGGATTGTGTAACGCCTCGAGATTCGTGGTTTCCTCGGATCAGATGCACGCGGTTCGGATATCGTAGTTTCAAGCATACGAGTAGTGATATCGTTTCGACGCTGAACATGCCTCGGTCGACATAGTCGCCTACATGTGTCAGTCGCAGGTAGTGACCAAATCAAGGAGTACATACCCAAGAAGAGGTAATTTGTATCAGGGCAATACCCGCCTATGCGGAAAATCTCGATAAGGTCGAAGAACTGTCCGTGTATGTCGCCCACCACTGTTATCGGGGCCGCCACGTGCACAACGTTACTCTCGCGCATTAATAGCTCTTTGGTTTTTGCGCATATAGCTTCGATGACGGACTCGGCCAGCAGTTCCTTTTTGTACAGTCGCGCGATGCACTCGTCGAGATCGACGGAGGCTACACATCGTCAGTGTCTCCTCAAGCGTCGCAGCATAGGTAGAGCTCACAGGGTAAGCCGGGCATCTTGCGTGGTAGTCGATGTGGAGGTGTAGAATTCGGATGCGAAGGAGCACCTGCGCGCCGGCTAGGTGGTTGTCATTAAGGCTGGTCGAGGCTTTGTCTACTCCAGGCAATGGGCGGATCTGGAGAGGCGCGTGTCGGATGTACCAACATGATCGTATTGCCGCAAGTCTCGTCCTTACATGGATGCCCTTGAGCTAGCTTCGATAGTTGGGGAGGCGTTGAAAAGTTTCCGAAGATGCGCGGATATGATGGTGCTGGTTGGAGGGTATGGGGGTCCAATTGCCAGTTGCCAGGAGCTCGGGGTGGCTTGGTGGTGTTGGTACTGGCAGGTGCAGGTTGGGCGAGGCCGATGTGTGATCACCACAACCATCTTCTCCTGTGACTTAGGGGAGACGGTGCAAATATACAGCGAAGACAATATTTGATTGCTGACATTGCTTTTTCTTCTTTTAATCCTTCGAGCATCTTTATGACCATCGCCGTCTCATTATTTCCCAACGGCTATTGGAGGTGTTTACACCCAGCACTTTAGGGATGTCCTCCAAAGCCTGTCCTATATCTACACCAGAGATATTATACAGTATTGATGTATATTGCATTTCGATACCGCTACAGCCACGCAGCGACACCATTGTCACTTCGGGCTCATTAGCATCAAGTTTCGTTGGTTTGGTAGCATCCAATCTTGTGATCCACATGAACCGCGACCGGTTAAATCTCGGTGGACCGTGAGGCAGCTTTTGATACCTTACCATCGCCGGTAACGGTCCGTGCACCATCACGTGGAACCTTAACACTCCAACAGGACGACATCTCGACAAGCAACGCCAAATTGAAGGCAGACTCCATTTGGAGTAGCACTCCTAGGACGTATTCTTCTTCCATGCCTAGAGTGTACAATTATCGATGAGAATTTCTTTCGACGGTAATTGGAGGACCGAGACTGGGGCTGGGAGCACTACCAAGGGCGATCATTGAGTACAGATTGAAGATCTGTCCAACAATCTGGTCTCATGCATCGCAATCTTTGTCCGCTCATGAGATACAAATTCCGCAAGAGATGAGTTGGGTCCAACCGTACTCAACATGTCAGCCACGCGTTAAGCTCGTGAACTGAGCCCCACGCCGAAGTCAAGCTCATCTAACTTGTCGCATCGCTCATATCTTCCGCCCGAGACATCAAAACGTCTCGAGAGATTCAATCGCCGCGCAAAGATGTCCGCTCCAGCTCCGGGAGGTGCGCATCGCCCAGACGAGCCCAGATGCTATAATTGCGGAATCATGGGCCATTGGGCTGTCGCGTGTCCTGAGCCAACGCGCCAAACACCAGCGTGAGCACCGCCTCCATCTCTTCAGGTCTCAACTGTGTCGGAACTGACATATCTTCTAGTGGATTAGAGGCATGGCGAAGCGCCGCACCCTCGCAGCAAAACAATCGCAGAGATAACCGCGGTAGCAGCAGCAAGACCTCGAAGGCACCCATCATCACGAGATATGCGCCTCCACCGACAGCATATGCTCCCCAGCAGCATTACTATCAGCCGCCGCCCGGTCAATACCCTGGCGTACCGGCTGCTGCACCTCCTCCAGTTCCGCCACAGTATCCCCCGGCTTCGCAGTATCCTCCGGCACCGCCTCAGCACTATCCGCAATACCCTCAGGCGCCATTGCATTACCCGCCGAGGCAGCCTCCTCCACCCTCATACCCTCCTCATCACGGCATCCCAGGGTACGGCACGAGCCTACCACCGCCTCCACCGCCATCTCACTCACCGACGCCACCTTACCCGATCTATTCATCGTATGCGCCTCCCCCGCCCAGCTCGCTGCCAGCGCCATTACCACCACCGCAAGGGTCACCTCCAAGGGCAGGGCCGCCCCCGAGCCATAGCCCCCCCTCAAGGAGTTGGAGGACGCCTCAGCGCCAGCCATCACGGGGGCGCGATTCATACCAAGGATCGCCTCCGTCACGGAACCGAGCAAGCCCCTGGACGGGTGCCAAAGGGTCGAGGGAACCATCTAGGGGGCTTCCCACGCCGCAATCCTCCAGCTCAACTCTGCCCTCACTTCCGCCTCGGCCTATGCATGGATTGCCGCCCAAGCCTCCCGTGTCTTTACCAGATCGCAACGAGATTCCAAGGGACCATAACCTCACCAGGAGGCGGGACGAACCCGTCAGAGCCAGCCAAGGCATTCATGAGCCACAGCATAATGATCAGCCCAGTTCGAAATCACAAAAGAAGAAGAAGAGTAATCGCAACAAGAATCGTAGGAAGACCAAGAATCAGACTGCGCAAGCAGGCAAAGCCACGACACCACCCAAGGACGATGACCAACTGGGAGGCGAGCACGATGTCGAAGATGACAAGTCTGAACACTCTGAGCAGGACTCCGAGGCACCCGAAGATACGAATGATGCAGCTATCCCAGCCACGGACGCGGAAGTGATTGAGGCTCCAGCTGAAATCCCTCAGGGCGCCGAGCCAGTTGAGCCGATCGACAAGGAAAACGACAAGGAGACGAGGACCGTATCAGAAGGCCGAGAAGAAGCGGAACGCTCCCTGACACCAGGAGAAGAAACAAGTGATTGGGAATGGGAGGAGAAGATGGCTTTTGTCGAGTCACAAATCGTTCACGAGTCTGACCCAGTCGGGAAGCCATTGCCGGTAGAATATACTGAAGATGTCATGCTTCCCCCAAAATGGGATGCGAAATGTCTCGTTTCCGAGTTCTTCACCCATGACAACGTGGAGGAGTTCTCACGGCCAGTCCACGAGACGAAGCATTGGGCTCTTCTTCAGTTCGACCCGGTCTTTGCATGGGATGGCAGGCTGCCAAGTGGCGATGCATTCCCTCGACCGCCTCTGCCCGGCGCAACAAGCTCTGGCGGAGCGCATGAGGCCCGCGACGTGCCACTGGCCACGGTGGAAGAAGACGAGCCACTCTGTGGTATTTCGCCGAAACGCAAGCGCTCCGAAGAACCCCCCCAGTATGCCAAACGCCGTGATAGTCGCACCGAGGCGAGCAGAGAGCGTCCATCCCTGCCGAGGCAACGTGACTCTTACCGTCCTGATCCAGGTCGAAGAGTGTCCGGTTCGCAGAGACGAGACCAAAGCCCCGGTCGCCGGAGATCGGATATGGGACGTCGCTCGCCTACCCCGCGGAGATCACCGTCCGTCGCGTCGACGAGGTCGTCGAGACTCAATTCGTTGGAACGCGAACTGCTAGGCATCGACGGCGACGACAAGGAACCAAGCGACGACGAGAAGGAGCCTGAAAGGACTCGGCAGACCAAACGTCGGCGCGTCCAGAGACTGGATGCTGCGTATAGGTGAGACTTGATCCTCATGGGGCTTCGATTGATCCCGGCTAACCAAGAACACAGTCGACGCTGGTAAACTCACGGTTTGAGATCTTTAATCTTGCTGCTCCATTTTCTTTCCATATTGTGTTACTTATTTCCTTTATTCCACGTTCTTTCTGCTAGTCCAGGCGACGTTTGGGTATGATGGCATGGCGTTTTCTGATCTTAACAACCCTCAACGTCCTTTTCTTTCCGTGTTTCTCAGTTATCGTTGAAGCTTCGGGCGCTTCGAACCTGCTGCCAATGGCTATCCCCGCCTGGCATTACATAGAATTCTACTTTCTTCTTTCACAACTTTTCAATATCGGCATCTTGTCTACTATTCCTTCCATGCCGGACGGCGCTTTCGCGTTCATGGGCACAGACCCAGGAACCCCCCCAGCCTTGACAACATCGAGAATTCCAACCCCTTCTCTAGACAAGCCTGCCATGCCATGAGCGTACCTATTTCTGTTCTCGCTGATAGCCTGCCCTGTGCCGCGCCGATCCTAAGAGCTATGCTAGTCATCCCGAGCCCTGAAAACCACTCCTTATGTACGACTGACGGAAGCTTGCAATAACCATGCACAGCCAAGTATCTCCTCACTACCCGGATTCAAGACACATACGCTGCTCTGAGTGGAGTTGCTCTATCATTCTTCTGACATTAAGTACAGTATTCAAACTCTTCTCTTGAAACTTGTTCTGACCCCTCCCCCAAACACCAAGCTGAGTACCAAGACAGAACCTTTTGATCGCTATGCAAAACCAATACCCGCGCACGCTAAATAAGTAGAACAAATAAAGCGAAACATATCAAATGCAAAGGTGAACACCCTACACAACGAGCATGTTGAAACCCAGCCCCTTGAGATCCCTCAGCCAGTTCACATTCTCGGACTGAGGCGATGCGTCCTGCAGATGCCACGTCGCTTTGAGCATCTCAATCGCGGTGAAAATGTAGCCCCATCGAAACCGTGACCAGATGGACATGAGCCTCTTCAAAATCCAAGTCCTCTTCTCTGGATCTCTCGTCTCCGCGCCTGCAAACAAGAGTGGCCAGCTGGTTGCCTTGAAATACGGATCATCCTCGGGCATCTCGGCCAGATGTGACAAGATATCTTCCACCAAAAAGTTGGCATCGACCGATCGGACCGATCGGATAAAAGGCAGGGCCTGTATGATGTAGAGACACGCTGCCGAGCGGTGGGCACTGGCGATGTGCACGCGGCTCTCAATGTCAGCCACGTTGGGCAATGCCTCGAGGGCCGCTGCCCAGGCATTGATGTCGAACTCGAGGAGCTGGTCGATGAGGGAGAATGCCTCGCCAGCTGCCGGCAGATTCCAGTCTGTTGTCGCAGGCACGCTCTCGTTGTACGATAACTGAGATGCCTGCAGGATGATCTGCAGAATCTCGGGCGGACAGGACAGGTAGGTGATGACCTCGACCCGTTTCATAATGGGCAAGATCTCGAGAGCGTACCGAGCGATGCGGGTCGCCAAGCTGCCGCCCGAAATCGTGGAGCCGAGGATGTGGTAGATGAAGCAATCGGCAATCACAGTGTCGCGCAGCATCCGGCTGGACGAGGCCGACATGGGATCCTTGGAAAGCAGCGCCATGATGCTAGAGGCGCCTTCCAGATGCGTACGCCACCCGCCGTTCCCAGACTCTTCCAGATCCATCAGATCAAACTTGATGAAGAAATGCAAGGAAGCCAGGACCACCTCGTTCCCAGCGGGGTCCAGGGTGTCGAGGACCTCACGTAGATGGCCCATGGCCCGCTGCTTGGCCGTGAGCGCATCGATGAGCGCCTTGCGAGACACGAGGTCTGTCGAGCGCAGCTGTGCGAGGTAGCCACCAGGGTCGGTCAGCTCACTCGGGATGTCCGTGACAGGTCGGAAGATGTTGGACCAGTGGAGCGCAGACGTCGCGATGAGGATTTGAAGCAGGACTGGATGTTGCTTCGTCAGGGGCAGGAGCTCGCGAAAAGGGTTGTTGTTCGGCTGGTCGCGGGCCACGAGGTCCTGGCATACACGATCGGCGACTGCAAAGTGTCAGTGTCTTGCTGAGAGACATGAGGCGGTCACTTGGGCAGAGGAAAGCACCAAAGACTATAGTGCCTTGGAAGTGCTTGCACGTCTCTGCAAGAGCATGGCAGGCATGTGAAATAATGCAGGATACTCACAGTGAGACAGATAATATCTAGAGTCCCTGTCCAGATCCTGAAATAGGGGATCCGTCAAAGCCATGGAAGTGCCAGTCATCGGTCTACTAGTAGGCGTTGGCTTGGGCGTCAAAGGTGGCGTTCTGTCCACCGGCAACGGCCTTGACGGCAGAAACTTCTGAATCTGCGTCTGCACCGGAGACTGTCCATTGTGTTTCGGTGACTGCTGTACGGGCGCGAGTGTTGGCGGTTGAAATGCTACGAAGCCATGCGGAGGGTTTGGTGTGGTGGATGTGGACGAAGTCGCGGAAGCGTTTGCGCGGCGATCAGCCTGTGAAGACTGTATCACACCATTCCCATCGATCCCCTGGGTCCAGGTGAAGATCTTCCCATAGCCAAGACACTCCTGACCGGACGCAGCGCACTTGTGGCAGGTTGGCTAGCGATGGGCTGTTAGCACGTCGTCCATCCTAGGTTTGCCATGATGCGGCTCCGTACCCAAGAACGGTCGCAGCGAAGACGTCTTCGCCGACAGTTGTGGCACGGCTTGCCGTTGCTTTGCATTAGAGTGGCGGGTGAGGCCTGGGTGGTGGTCACAGTGCAATGTTCATTTCGAGGCGGGTTGATGGTCGAGGCCGCGACAGTCGTGCGGGAGGTCCCAGGTGGGCGGCGGACTGCTTGGCGATGCTGCAGGGAGCGGACAGCAGATGCGCCTGCGAAGATGGAGGGGACTGGAGGGGGGAGGAGAGCAGGAGGAGGAACCTGATGACGCTTCAGATAAGGTAATTTGAGGGAACGTTACTAGAAAAAAAAACCTCCCAGCACCATCGGCAATAAGAACAAGCAGGCTAGCAGCTAACGAGGAAGCTCCGGGAGTGGAATGGAGGGGGCGGCGGTGCCTCGACGACCACGGGACTGCAGTCACTGCACCGGGCGGCTTGAGTGCCACCGTAATTGATGTATCGGTCAACGAGCATCGAGTCCAGGCCTTCTCACGATGCCAAATCCAGCACAAGCGGCCGACGTGACGAGCAGCCGTAAGTCATTATTAGCCAGTGACCGGCTTTCGCGATGCCATGTGGTCACAGCGTGAAGGAAGAAAGTGGGACTGAACATTGGACTCGAGAATAACCAGTCCGGCCCTTCAAGAACAAAGCAGAGACGGATCGCATGATCTCAGTGTGTGCGCATCGTTCGTGGGCGGTTGGCTCATCATGTCTTGACTCTTCCGGAGTGGAGGCTCCGCGCCCGCGACGAAGGATCGCTGTCTGGACGAGGACATCAGGATGGCATTCATCATCTTCTTCGGCGTTTGGGAGACATGATCTTTGGAGAAACAGGTCGCTCCACCATGATGGATTCATGGGGTACTCGAATGCCGAATCCGGAAAACATCGAGCAAGCTGTGCGTTGTTTGGTAGTCTCTGGCCCGCTGAAAGCTTGTTCTCTACTACGTACTCGTAACAACGACAGACAGACAGACATGCAGGGCGGAAGACTTGTTGAAGCCTGAAGCGTGGAGCGCGTCATGTGGGCGCTCGTGAAATGCTGACTCAGCGGATAGCACCTCAGTCAGTCTGTCTTTCGATAATCCGCGACTGGGACCTGCATGAACTGCACTTGTTAACTGCGCCAGTCTGCTTAGCTTGGCTTGGCTTGTCCAGCATCCTCATTGATGTGCAATGTGGTCTTGAGAATCGGATCGGATCGATCACCAAGGCTGCGTAAGGTACATACTGCTGAGGGGTGCCTCTAACTTGGGCTCTGACCCAAAGGAGGGGCAAGTCATGAAGCCAATTCCTGATTGCAATCCGCCCACAGCCCCCAAGGCCACAGAGCTGCATCTTGTGAAGCGCTCTCGTCTGCACCTGGCTCAATGCAGATTGGTAAAGCACAAACTCCTCTACGTGGAAGGGTCTAGATCGCCTTCTTTGACCGCATGGCCGCACGGCAGATGAGTTCTAGGCTCAACGGGGACCGGGGAAATAATTAGAGGCCTGTCACGAGGTCCTCTTTGCCCGGGGCTGGGGCCGAGCCAAGATGAGCCAACAGGGCCTGACACATCAATTAGGGCACGAGACCACGTCCAGGGCTTCTGCGCAGAGCCTCCGCACCATGATGCGTGGCTGCGTCTCATCCAGACATGTGCCTAAGCTCATATCGCAGCGTAAGTCTTAGAGGCGTGATGATGCATTGGGTCGTGAATACGTAGTATACAATCTAGACCTGGCACTGCAAAGTCCATGTCCTTCATGGTGGCAAAAACACAAGAGAACTTGCATGAACGGCCCTCTTAGCTCAGAGGTAGAGCGCATCACTAGTAATGATGAGGTCATTGGTTCAATTCCAGTAGTGGGCATTTCTTTTGCTTTTTTGCTTTATATTCCCATAATGTGCACCTAATTACCAAAATTACCGCTCTATCGTTCATTGCGTTCGCGGAGTCCATGAAAGTTCTAGTGGGTTTGTACGGTGCATAGAGGTTGGACTACTCGCTCTGTAATGTCGTCGGAAAGGGGTGAGCGAACATTCGGTCTTGATTTTTTGTTAGAGGACAAAACCTAGTGAAATACATAAGTAATGCAAAAGAGCTAACGAAGCCGCGTGCACGGCTTTAAGCATAAGTTAAAAATTAATTTATCTCAAGCGCATGTCTAGAGATAACAGAGCCACTTGTTATAAACACCAGCCTAACGTGTGCTATGTCTGTCCTATACCTACGTGGGCGATGGCTCTCTTCCGCCGTTGCAATCTTATCACGACAAAAATATCAAGTGCTATTATAGTAAAAAGGAATTTGCCCACTGCTGGAATTGAACCAACGACCTCATCATTACTAGTGATGCGCTCTACCTCTGAGCTAAGAGGGCTGCAACTATCGCAAGCTGTCACGGCTGGCGCAGTCATTCGCTTCATTTGCGTAGGGTCAAGGTTCAACATTCAAGTGTTCAAAACACAAATTCTAAACTTCGCCGCTCAGAACACCGGCTGCCCATCTGCAAGCTTCCTATCTGTCTTGGAGGAGACATCGGCCCTCTCCGGATCCGAGTGGTCATCCGACGCATTGTACGCAACCCTCACGTCCTCTAGTTCAGCCTGCGAGACCTCCATCCACGTCTTGCTGGTGGCCGGCACGGGGAAGACCTTGCATAGAGCCCAGTACACCGCGAACGAGACGATGAAGCCGCCGAAGAAATTGACGTTGTAGATGTACGTCGCGACAGGAGGGACATCATTTCCAACGGCGCCGGCGAACCCGACAACGTTGATGAGAATTCCAGCAATGTACGCAGCGTAGGCGCGTAGGTTGATGCCAAAGGTGTAGTAATACGGGCCCAGCTTGCGGCCATCGTAAAGCTCCTTGATCTCAAGGTATCCCTTGCGGACAACATAGTAGTCCGAGACGAGAACACCGGCGACCGACGAGAGGAAGACAGAGTAGGCGCTCAGATATGTTGTGAACTGGTTGCTGGATTCCAGCAGATGCCAGGGCATCATGAGGAGACCAATGGCCGCGCAGATGTAGCCTCCGCGACGGATGTTGAGGAAGCGAGGCAAAAGGGCTGTCATGTCCGTACCAGCCGAGACCGAGTTGGCGGCAATGTTGGTGCCCAGCTGCGCCAGCGCAAAGGCCAGCGCGATGACGAAGACACCAAAGCGCTCGCCGGAGCCGCCGTCTTCGATGAACTTCTCCAGGATGTCCAGAGGGTCCCAGATGGTCTCTTTGTAGATGACCTCGGCGGCGGACGAGACGAGGATGCCGATGAGCGAGGTGATGGCAAAGGAAACGGGGATGGAGAAGAGCTGACTCCACTTGGCATCCTTGGGAGTCCTTGCGAAACGGGCGAAATCGGGCGCGTTGACGATTAGGGCAGCAAAGTTGGCAACGGAGCTCATGATGCCGAGGATGATCTCCCAAGCCAGTTCACTCCCATGCTTTGTGTTGCTGCGGTGGACCACGGGACCGATACCTCCAGCTTTCACAATCGCCCAGATCAGGAACGCGAGACCAGCGGGTGGCACGACGATGGATTTGACAGTGAACAGGTGGCGGATCTTGTGGACAGGAGGCCAAAGCGCCGGCAGCGAGAGGAGCCAGAAAATGAAGAAGGACACCCAGTCGGCCGTCGTCGTCGAGGTGAAGACGGGACTGGGGATAGTGTCGCGGTCCCAGGACTTCCAGATGGCGTGGATCATCACATAGACGCATCGTCCGCCGATCCAACTCTGTACGCCGTACCAGATACAGGCCATGGCAGCTCTGTTGAAGACGGGCCAGAGACTGCCCCAGATCCCAAACGAGGATCGAGCTGCGACAGGGAGGGATATCGCATAGCTGCAAATATTAGCATATTATTCTTTTCTCCTTTTTTGACACTTACTGAGCGCCAATTCGTGCGTTGATCACCACAAAGGCAGCGGCAATAGCGTATCCAGCCCATACACAGAGCCAGCTCTGCCACCAACTCAAACCGCCCACGATCATGGAAGAAGAGATCATCCAGGTGTTGAGGTTGTACGAATCAGCAATCCAGAAGAAAACATAATTCTTCCACCGCCATTGCCTGCGTGCGGCCTCGACAGGTTTCAGGTCATGGTTCGTCAGCTGTATATACATGTGTTAGCAGTGGCTCGCTGAGCACGCGTGCATGCCAAGAGGATTGATTCACCATGAGCTGTGTGCTGGTCAGGCCAGGCTCAGACTCGACAGCAATTTTGCGGACCAGGTGCTTGACCCGTGAGCCGCTCGCATATGCGACGCCCGACATTGTGTCCCGTTGTTGTGACTGGACGTCGTGTTACGCGGGTCGCGGTACAATGACTTGTTGAGGCTGCGTGTAAGTGGTCGATTGCCGAATGCGGTAATCGCAGGAGGGTGTGCTTGAACTTTGCGGGGGGACGGAGAGTCCCGAGCAGAAAGAAAAGAAACTCGGACAAGACACGGGCAGTGCAACAGCCAACGGGTAGGAGGGAAAGTAAGTTCTGAGATGCCGTTCCAGAAGCTTTCTAGATCGCCAAATGATATAGTCAATATCTTTGCGATCCTTCAGCTCCCAGTCTCAGCAGCGTCGTAGCAATGACGTGTGAAGCTGCCAGGATACCTGCAGCACCACGCAAAGGCTGACAGACGACGGTGGAGTAGCGCCCAATAACGTCCGCAGAAGCTTCCACCACGGTTGGTCGCGTGCTTGCAAGGAGGGAGAAGAGCCGGAGAAGTTGCGCCGAATACACTTGGATCATAGATCGCCTGACATTGTGGTCCAAGCGAGCACAGCACAGGAGGAGGCGAGGGGAACGCCTTGCTGAAATACATCTTCAGTGACCAGGTTAAAAGTGAGGGAATCCTCTATCAATTAATTCACTATCGCCTACTTCGACTCGTGAGACGCATGTCCCCCACATGGTCATGCTCAAAACGTTGAAGCTCTGCTGTCCCTGGTGTGATAAGCCTTCGTCTGGCTCTGGGGGAGCCAATCGCGACACGACCCGGGCCTGTCTTATCTTGATAGCTGCCGTGATTGCGGATCGCGACCCTGGACAGGCGACGCGGGGAACAAGCAATTACTCGATCACATCGAGTCAACACTGCCGGTATAAGACGTACATATCTACTCGCAACATCGTCGCTGAGCCCGCGCAGTGGCTGAACTTTGATAAAGCTAGTAGCTCTTGTCGTGGCACTGAACCTTGAGTGTTGATGGCATTTTCCTACAATTGGATTCCGCGAGGCTTTACCATTTTGACCCCTCCTGATATTCTTCGATGACGAGTCGTGGTGAAGATACACTGTTGTCCTGGCTATGGTAACGATAAGAAGCTGCTCATCTTTGAGAAGCAGTATTTCGAGCTGGTGGTCATGATGAAAAGGTAACATGAGGGTGTCACTCCTTGCGTTGGACCTGGGTGCACCAATAGTCAATGGTTTGTGGCTCGCTTATGGGACAAACGGTAAACCATGCAATACGGCATGAACATTCTGTAACCCCCTTCACAATGTTTTATCTTTGTGATCACATATCACAAGATCACATTTGACCTCACAAAATCTTCAGGTGGTGGTGGAAGGTTGCTGGAATAGGGTAGGCTTACCCGCACGGCAACCACGGCCGACGCACCGCCACATGCTGCGTGGCGGCCGGCGCCACAGTTGAACCCCTCCCTCCTCACTCGCAGCTCCAGTTGTTCCTTCTCAGGCTTTGATGAAGCTTGCAGACGCGCCTGGGAAATTTCGCGCTGTGCTTCCATGTACCCTCCTCCACGCTCGTGGCTCAAAGTAAACACTGCGATCACTTCCGCCCACCATGGAGGACGAGCTCATCCAGATCTTGTCCAACACGCAGCAAGCGGACGCCGGCATCCGCAAGGCTGCTGAGCTCGAGCTCAAGCGCAACAACCTCAATCCCGCTTTCCCGCAGGCTCTCGCCAACATCGCCTCGCACGCCTCAGTCGATACCAAGGTTCGCCAGTCCGCCCTTTCCACCCTGCGTCTGTTCATCGAGGACAATTGGGCCCCAGACCCCGACAATGAGGCACCTCAAGTTCCCATCCAGCCGGAGGCTCGGATCCAGCTGCGGGAGAGTCTGCTCAACCTCGCCATCATCGGCGAGGAGGATCGGAGGATCAAGATCGCCGCTAGTTACGCCGTTGGCAAAATTGCCATGAACGATTTCCCCGAACATTGGCCAGATCTTCTCGAGAAGACGCTCGCCGTCATCCCTGCCGGCTCCGACACGCAGCTCTACGGCGCCCTCCGAGTTCTCGGCGACCTCATTGAGGAGAACCTTAGCGAGGACCAATTCTTTTCCATGGCCCGCGACATTGCCCACACGCTGACCGAAACCGCCCTTAACGAGAACCGACGACCGGTCTTACGCGCGCTCGCCATCTCCATCTTCCGCTCCTGCTTCGAAATGATGGATATGATCAAGGACGAACACGGCAAGGAAGTCAAGGCATTCGCAGAGGAGCTCTTGAAGCAGTGGAACCCATTCTTCATCACTGTGCTCAAGACACGACTGCCAGAGGCCGATCTTAGCGGCGGTCAGCAGCCCGAGGCGTGGAACGATCTCATCACCCTGAAGCTGCAGGTGGCCAAGACACTCATTAGAATTCGCCGCGTCTTCCCATCTCTGCTGCTTCCACAGAGTACTGCCCTGTTCTCAGCCGTGTGGGAGGAGCTGAATTTGCTTCAGGACGCCCACTCGCTGCTGTACATTGACAACGACGCCCAGGGCCGTCTGGAAAATGCCGACCAGCTGCCGTACACCCTCGACTTCCTCATCCTGGAAGAGCTTGACTTTCTGAACCAGTGCTTCCGCGCCGAGACCGTCCGAGCCGAACTCGATGTGCAGCTCAAGGCGCATGCCTCTGGCGCCGACGTGCCGTGGATGATCGAGATTGTGCGCATGCTGGTCTCGTACGCGAGGATCTCGCGTGAAGAGGAGGAGCTCTGGGACATTGACTGCTCGCTGTTCTTGGCGGAGGAGACGTCGGTCTCGGCAAACTACACTGCCCGCGTCGCGGCCAGTGATCTGCTCATCAAGATGGGTGAGTGGTTCGATCAGAAGACCGTGGAGGCCCTTTTCGCCTTTACCAAGACTCTGTTCCCCGGCGACGGATCACCTTCTGCGTGGAGGAACCAGGAGTCCGCACTGTTCCTCTTCGTCATGCTGGAGAGCGACCGGCAAGACCTTGAAAAGGGTCTCCCAGCTCCCATCTCCGCTGCGTACCTTGAATTGGTCGACTTTGCCATTAACCGTCACGAGGAGCCTCTTCTCCGTGCCAGAGGCTATCTTGTCGCCGGGATGCTGTGCCGCGCCATCGAGCTGCCGGATGTATTGTTGGATCGCATCATCACCTCTATTGTGCAAGAGGAAGCCGAGGTTGTTCAGGTCTCCTGCATCAAGGCAGTTGAGGGCTTGATGAATGCTGAAAAGGTGTCGGTCGACAAGCAGATCCCCATCATCAAGGCTATAGAGCAGTATATGAGCGGCAAGGATCCCGAGGAGATGGAGTCGGCAGACGAACTCCTCGTCACGCTCAGCGAGGCGCTTCGTGCCGCTACCCGCATGGACTGCCGCGTCGCTCTGTCCAGCGATGTACCCTCAATCGACTTGCTTTTCCTCCTGGCCAGGACCGGTGCCAGCAACTTCCAGGTCACTATGATGATTTCGGAAGCCATGGAGGAGATTGTGCGAAGTCTGACAGGAGCTGAGGCCTACGCTGCGCTGTGCAGCAAGGTCCTGCCCACGCTGATGGGTGCTTTCGATGTGTCTAGGGTCACGGACGATAGCCCGCTCGTCACCGTCGCTGTTGAGCTGTTGGAGGTTCTGACGCAACATGCCTGCGAGCCTCTCCCGCCCGGCTTTGTCTCCGCCGTGTTCCCCAAGCTCACCCAGGTGCTGATGGAGTCGAACGAGGGAGACGTGCTGCGACCGGCGGCTGAAAGCGCGAAATGGATCCTGCAGCACGACCACCAGCAGGTCTTCGAGTATGCTGACGAGAACGGGCGAGCGGGCCTCGAGGTCTGCCTACACGTTATTGACCGTCTGCTCGGGCCTTCCATCGAGGACAACTCTGCCACCGAGGTGGGCGGGCTGGCCGCTGAGCTGGTCGAGAAGGCCGGACACGACCGTCTTGGCCCATTCCTACCACAGCTTCTACAGGCTGTCGCCAGCCGTCTCGCGACCGCCCAGGCCGCGCAACTCATTCAGTCGCTCATCCTAGTGTTCGCCCGCCTCTCCCTGAACACTCCCAAGGAGGTTGTGGATTTCTTGGACTCGGTCCAGATCAACGACCGGAATGGATTGCAAGTTGTCATTCCGAAATGGCTCGAGAATTCGGTCAACTTTGCCGGTTTCGATGAGATCCGCCAAAAGTGAGTTTACTTCAAGTACTATCTGCTTGCATCCGTGCTAATTCATGTACAGCGTCATCGCCCTCTCCAAGCTTTTCACGCTGAACGATCCTCGCCTGGCACAGATCCAGGTCAAGGGTGATCTTGTTGTTGCCAGCAACGACACGCAAATTAAGACTCGCTCGCGGTCGAAACAGAGTAAGCCTGGAGACCCCGACTTTCCCATCAAGAAAATACTTGCTCAAACGCCTCCAGACCCAGACCAATGGACCCAGGTACCAGCGCAGGTGAAAATTATCAAGCTGCTCATTGACGAGCTGATGCTCGCGTCGGGCCACAAATCAGCCGCGGACATTGCCTCTGCCGCCGTTGGCGGTGAGCTAGACTCGGACTCGGACGACGAGGGCTGGGAGGACGACGATGACGCGCTGGATCTAGGTCTCGGCACAACAAAGGCCGACCTGATGTCCATCCTAGACGGCCCAGGTCGACGCTACCCCGACAACGAAACGAACAAATATTTGACAGAGTTCTTCACGCGATGCGGCACAGAGAACCTCGCCAACTTTAACGACGTATATGTATACCTCACCGTGGAGGAGCAAAAGAAACTCCACGATGTGGTCAACAGCCAGGTGCAGTGAATTGGGCAAGGACGTGACATGGCCCATTTCACGCGAATAAGGCTTTTTATGAGGATATGGATAATGGACTAAGCAAGGCTCAAGGGCCAGGATGAGAGGGGGGGGGGAAATGCTCATGCTCATGGGACTGCGATGATATCATGGTTAGCATTAGCTGGAGGCTCAATATTACTGTCATTATGCCCCAAAAGGACGAAATATCCTAGCGTCTCCGCGTGCTCATCGTTGGGAGCCCACGTCCCGTTTCATAAATGTCGTTTCATTAGCTCATACAGTCATTCTGGTCCCACGTCCCAAGATCTCTTATCATACAAGCCCTAGATGATGTCACCACCACCTGGCCCAAAGCCCCCAAAGTTCCCGCCTTGTCCCCGGCCTGGGCCTGGGAATCTAGGATTACCGCCGGGACCTAGAGGATCCCACCGTGCGCCTGGCGGTGCCTGGGGGTCATAGCCTTGACCAGGCCCTCCTGGATGCGCACTCCCCTGACCTGTGAAGAGGGGGTCGTCAAAGGTAGGATGCATACCCGCGCCGCCTCCTGGCCGAGGCAAACCACCAAAACCACCACCGCCGAACGAGGGACGGAGAGGATCGTGGGGACCTAGGCCAGGTGGGTTCAGGTCATCATGCCCAATGTTATATGGTGTGCGGCCAGGGAAACCAGCGGCACGGGGGTCGCGCAATATCTCGTGCTCATCGTCAAAGCCCGGCATGGGCATGTCACCCTGCGGCGCACGGGGGCGCGCGAGGTCGGGCTCTGGATTGAAACCTGGGAAGGGTCGTGTCGGATCGTAGGGTTGCGGTGGGCGTCCCCCTCGGCCGGGGTAGTCTTGCATGTTGCGTCGTTCTGCGTTGGCGTTGGCTTCGGTCTCGGCTTCCTCAATATAGCCTTCTGATTGGAGCTTGGGGATAAGTTTTTGGACGATGTTGACCTTGAGGTCGTGGAGGATGGCTGGATATTCCGTGAGTACTTGCAGCAAGGTGGTGGTAGGAACCGCACGGGGCACTTACAGTTGACAGCTTCTTCGGACGTGAACACCTTGCTCAGCTTGTCTACCAGGTCGCTCCTATCTTCTTCGCCATTTTCGTTCATCGTTATCCGTACAGGCAGGGCATTTGATGTGACGACGTCGCGGACTGTCTTTTCGAAGCGATGGATGTTGTCGTCACCCACGGCGAGGCCGCGCACCTCGACCTTACCGCCCATGCGATCGATGCGAAAGGCGAAGCTCATGGCTGATTGCTTGTGCTGGTAGACGAAACCGAGCGAGCCAAAGCCGGTGTTCCATGATGGGGGGAGTCGGGGCGCGAGCGATTCTGCTTCCGCTGTGAGGGTCAGTTAGCAAAGGTTCGCAATAATGGCGGGGGAGAACAGGTGTCGTACGGATCTTCTTGTCTTCGTCAAATCCTTGCAGTCTGAAGCCGATGGCGGCGAGATACGCATGGACAAGCAGAGCGATGGCCTCGTATGAGCTTGCCAGGTCCGAGGACTCGTCGTCTTTGGCATGGGTAGGCAGGGCATCGGCCATGCCTTGCAGGATACTTTCTCTGCTGAGGCGCGACATCTTGTTTCAGTTGATGTGATCGATGGCCTTGCGTACGGGGGGAGATGTTGGAGCGGGTGAAACTGATATGGCGATGCAAAAGTGGGATGATTTCAGGATGCTGTAAAAAGTTGGAGTTTCGAGCTGGAGATCGTGATGATATTCGGGGTCCAGGCAGGCGTTGTGGGTGTCGTCATCAGCGGGTGGATGCCTTCTGCAGGAGCTATGGACAAGGGCCCGTGCTTTGCGGGGTAGCTTTTATAAAGGGGCAAGCCAGGGCCGCCAGGCCCCAAAAGGAGTTTAGCGGGCAATCGCATTTATCCATACTGGACCCCGATTTATCTGCCCAACCTTATCTTGGACAACACGATATGAACTGGCCACTTGTTCACCATCTGTCAACACGCAGTCAGGACCGCATCAGGTCTGACTCTTCTTTTCCACTTTCTGATCCCGCCTGCCCTCCTCCTTCAACTTGTCGTCATCTGGCCGAGAAAGCTCGACCTGAGGCATCATGAACCATGCCACGACAAAGGCCAGCGCGCACAGCCCAGCACCCACAATGAAGATGATGCGAAAGCCACGTCGGTAGGCTGGCGTGATTATGTCTCTGACCCGCCCAGCCTCGTTGTCGGGCAAGTCTTGTAGATGAGACTGGGGATTGCTGAGGAGAGTCTCGACCTCGTCGCGCGAAATGTCGAGCACAGAGAGCGACGAAGCGAGCACATTGTTGCTATATGCGTTAGTCATTTGTCGTCCGAGTTTATTGCAGGGCCAGAACGTACATGATCGTGCCGCAGATGGCCAAACCGAGAGTCGAGCCCAGGTTTCGCACAAAGCTTCATATATCAGTCAGTCGGTCTTGTTCTCAGAGTTCAGGAGACTTACTTGCGGAACGACGTTACAACCGCCATGTCCCTGCGCTCAACTCCAGCCTGCACAGCTATCAACGCTGGCTGCAGGGTGTTGCCCACGCCGACACCAATCAGGATTCCATACCCGATCTGCTTCCCTACACCTGTTCCCTCATCGAGCGTCGACATGAGCCCCAAGCCCACAGCCCAGCATACCCAGCCGAACAAGATACACTCTCTGTAGCGGCCAACCCAGTGCACTACCAGGCCTGACAATGTGCTGCTCAGTGTCTGGACCAAGGTGATGGGTAGAAGCATGGCTCCAGCTCGAGTTGGAGAGTATCCATACACGAGCTGGTAGAAGGAGGGGATGTAGTAGACCTGCATGACGAAATTCCATCCATTGATGGCCATTGTGATACAGGCACCGTTGACGATGTTGGACTTGAAAATGTGCACTTCCATCGTCAACATGACGGCTTCTCGAGGTCGAAAAGGGGCAACTTACAAGGTACGAGGGGGTATCTCGGACCCTTCCACTGCCACGAGACGAACCCAACACATACGGCCAGCCCCACGACAAGTGTCGCAATGACGGACGCAGAGTCCCAAGGGTATTCACCTCCTCCCCAAGTCAGACCAAGCATGAGGACAACAGTGCCTGCCAAGGCCAGAAAGATGCCGACAAAGTCTACAGCTTTGAGTCTCCTGCCATTTCGTCAGCATTTCCGGTACACCTCTTGCAATGGCCATGGCTGTACATCTTCCAGTCTCCCTCGACCTTTTTCAGGGGCATAAAGAAGATCACGGCACCTGTCGTCACCAGTGTGAGGGGCATGTTCATTCTGAAGATCCATCGCCACGACTCTGGTCCTTGAGACGAGATTGCGCCTCCAATGACTGGACCGATACCATTGGCCAGTGCAACAACGGCGCCCTGTCTCCAGTCAGAAGGATAATCCTCAAAAAAAGCACAAAGGCTCACCAGTATGCCTTGATACTTTCCTCGCTCTCGCAATGGCACCACATCACTGACGATCAACTGCGCAACCGTCATGAGACCGCCGCCGCCTATACCCGTGAACGCACGGAAAATGGTCAACTGCAAGACATTCTGGGCCAGCGAACTGGCAAGCGAGCCGATGAAGAACACGGCCAAGCCGGACAGGAGAATGACCTTTCGCGACCAGATGTCTGACAGTCTGCCGTACAACAATTGACCCACCGTCGAAGTGCTGATTTCGTCAGTATGAAGTGAGGTGAAGAGAATTTTGCCGGGACACCAACATGAAATAGCCACTGGCAATCCAAGAGACCTGAGATGTGGCACCCAGTGAGTCGCCAATTATGTACAAACTGGTCGCCAAGGTTGTCTGGTCAATCAGGGCCAACAGGTCGACGCTGGCGCATGCGAGGAAGATCTGCGCATGCCCTGTCAGCTGTGTCACCAAAATCTGTAGCAAGCGAGAAAGGGTACCGTGATAATTGTTTTGACGGGCACATAGTTTGTTTGCTCGTTGAACTCATGTTTGGGCTTAGGGTGAGCATGGTCTGTGGGTTTGGATGGTTGAGTTCTCGATGAGGCCTCTGGCCCAGCAGCCGCAGTTATTGACTCCTCGGCCATTGAAAGATAATTCTACGGTCAGTAAGAAGAAAGGGAAACAGGGAAACTTTTGCAGATTTGGATATGGCTTCGGGAGCTCAACACCGAGACCGGCACATAGCTCAAATATGACCAAGATGAAATGGACTAAGACCCTTGGTGGAACCAAAATAAGCTTTGAGCACCCATCTTCTCAAATAACTAAGCATGGGACCCAGTTTCCACTCCTAGAGTGCTGAAGTGCTGGGACGAGAGACATTTCTGCCGACTTGCGGCCCAATTGCCGGCGTTACGGTCCGGATCGACGCAGGGTGCATATGTCGATCACACCTTGATGTGCTCAAACTAGCTCAAACTAACTCATGTGGTCGCATTCGAGAATAACTCTCTCGAGTCTTGACTGCCGCACTAGTGCCACGTTCGCACTGCATACTCTTGAAGAATAGTCGACGTAACGGCAATCTTCGTCATTGGTGAATCGCCTCAAGGGGTCAGGGGTCAAGATGATGATGATAGCCTATTCGGGACGTGTGAGACAGACCTCTGTTGAGGTACCTTGTTGATCCCTTATAATGGTTCTCGTCTGTGAGTATGTATTTGAATGCAACTCCCCTCTTTTTGAGAGCCGAGCTGGACCGAAAGATCCTTCAGGTGTGTCTATGCCGTCTTACAAGCTTTTCCGGAGGCGTTCTAGAAGCGGCAGGCATGGAGTGAGCGGATCGATCACCTCCGCAACAAGCCTTTTTAGGCAACTAATTTGATGTTCTCAGGGTAGAAGCATGCAGAGAACGTCACGGCTCGAAGAGGACTGGTGCGCTCTCAGAGGGGCGCGAAACTAGGTGCAATGTAATGTTACCCGGCCCATCGGGGGTGGTGAATAGATGCTGTAGACGCGTGTGATTCTCTGCGAGTGAACAAACTCACGCCGTAAGCTTTCCGTATAGTGTACCACACGAGTGTCTCAGGAGTACAAGTAGCTTGAGGTCCCCGCATTCTCCAGATGTCACTGTCTTGACTTTTGAGTAGTATCCTCAACACTGTCTTGCAGTCTACCCCTGAGCTCTCCGTATGATGGCGAACGATCTCAACGTCTACAAGGGCGGCGACTCGGTGCAGCGCTACTTTGACCCAGACTCATCTCCACCTCTGCCCTTGGTTGAGATTCCAGCAGTTCTCAACCCATACCAAGAAGATGGCGTTAGGATCTATGCCAAGATGATGAGCACTCATCCCGCCAACAACGTCAAGTCTATGCCAGGCATGGCGCCCCACTGCTCCCACATCCAGAAGCGGCACTGACAAGACGCAGCATTGAATCTCCTCGAGAAGAGTGTAAAGCCTGGTACGACCGAGACAATCATCGAATACTCTTCCGGCTCGACGGTGATATCCATGTCCCTCGTGGCACGCGTCTTCTACGGACTGCCTGATGTACGGGCCTTTCTCAGCAACAAGACGAGCTCGGCGAAGCTGCGACTCATGCAGTTCTTCGGCCTCGACATGTGAGTGATGATAGTTCGGTCAGCCAAGATCAAAAAGCTGACAGGAATAGTACGCTCTTTGGCGGACCAAGCCAGCCGGAGCCGGATGATGAGCGGGGTGGTATCAAAGCAGCGGAACGCATGGCCAAGCAGTCGGATAAAGTGATCAACCCAAATCAGTACGAGAACGACGATGTGAGCCCTCCTATCTAACGCTGTCTTCACCGTACACTGCGGCTGACATTGGCAGAACTGGAAGTCACATGTCCGCTGGACAGGACCGCAGATCCTCCGTCAGCTCCCCGAGATCACTCTTCTCTGCGCTGGCATGGGCACGTCAGGCACAATGACCGGTCTCGGTACATACTTCAAGGACAGCAAGCCTTCCGTGTACCGCATAGGGTGAGTCAAGCTAAAATCTGTCTCGAATAGTGTGCTGACACAAAAACCAGCGTGTGCACTGCGCCTGGAGATCGTGTCCCCGGCCCCCGCTCGCACGCTCTTCTCGCGCCTGTCCTCTTCCCTTGGTCATCATCCATTGATCATATCGAACACGTCGGCTCGCACGATTCATACTCGCTGTCCCTCTCCCTGTGCCGCCAGGGCCTCATCTGCGGCCCAAGCTCAGGGTTCAATCTCCAGGGCCTTTTCCAGTTTCTCGACAAGCGCAAGGCAGAGGGGACACTCGATGAGGTCCGAGGCGAGAACGGCGAGGTGCATTGCGTGTTTCTATGCTGCGATCTGCCGTACCAGTACGTTGGCGAGTACTTTGACAAATTGGGAGCGGAACATTTCCCCCAGATTCACAATGAAGTAAGACTAGCCCGCCTCCTCCATGGGCTCTCGTCCTCTCTCGAGAACATTGTCTACCGATTAGATGTGCTAACAACATCAAGGAACTCACCAAAGTCGACCTGTATCGCTACGACGACCGATGGGAGCTGCCGCCCCTGGACGCCATCCACGCCTCCTTCGACATCAACCCCACCCTCAGCTTACCGATCACGTCCAGAATCACGCCCAAGAGCAACATTCTGACCATTGACATTCGGCAAGAACTGGATTTCCAGGACTTCCATCTGCCGGGGAGCATCAACGTCCCCTTTGCGAGCGAGTTCACGCCAAGTCCCTTCTCCGACCCGTCCACACTCGCCACTTTGTGGACCCGTCTCGAGACATACTTCTCAGCGCCGCCGGAGACTCTGCTGTCCGCGATGAAAGACAAGCAGATCCTCGTGGTTTGCTACGCTGGCGACGCCTCGCGCGTGGCCTCCTCGGTGCTGCGCGCCAAGGGATACGAGACCAACAGCGTAAAGGGGGGTTTCATGGCGCTGCGAAAGGTTCGCGCGCAGAGCAATGAGACTATATCCAGCGAAGAAAAAACGGACGGGCTCATTATGTCACCCATAGCGCAAACTGTGTAGGATACAGATGGCCATAGGGAGAAATAATGCAGACAAATAGGTCCACACAGCTTCTGACATGTCACGTGATCTCGCGCCCACGACGCGCAAGGCACGTCATCTCTCTTCCACTGTCCATCACGTCCAGTTTCAGACAGAGCAACATACGTACGTGACCAACATGGATCCCCCGCCCCCAAAACGTATGACTTTTCAAGAGCCAGACGAGCCTGGCCAGGAAAGCCTATCCGATCCCCCGTCCGCCCCCGAAGAAAACATCCTCTCCACCTACGCGGCATCCACCATCCTCTCCTCCTTCACATCCTTCCTCACCCTCACCATCCACACCCTCCTCCACCACCGCGACCTCTACCCCTCCACGACCTTTATCACCGTGCGCGCCCTCAACCTCCCCGTGTACCAGTCCCGCCACCCTGCCGTCTGCGCCTGGGTCAACGCCGCCGTGTCCTCCCTCCTCCCGCACCTGCGCGCAGGCACCCTCGCCAAGGTGGTCTTCTCAATTCACGCCGGTGAGACGCTGGACGTCCAGGAGAAATGGGTCATTGACGTGAGCCATCTCCCCCATGATTGGGGCGAGGAGTTTGATCCCGCCGCGGCTGCTGCTGCGGCTGCCGCTGCCGACGAGGAAGTAGTAGAAGAAGAGGATGTGCCCATGGTGGACATTAACGAGTCGTACCGCGGTGCCTTGCAGAGGATTGCCTTCAAGGCAGAGAAGCTACCGCCTCCGCCCAAGGGAAGCACATTCACTCTCGCCTTGGAACTCAGAGACGACGCAGCGGCGCCGATTGGGGTATGTTCCCGAGTCATCTTCGTGGTGAGTCGTAGCCTGTTGTAGCTGACATATTTGTAAAGCAACCCCAGCCATGGATCCCTGTACAGAAGCACAAAGGCAAGGTGCCAGCACAAGCACAGAGAACGGTGACAACACCAATACGCGCCGTCCATGCCGGGCCTATCTTCTTCGAGTGCTGGGTCGAGCAAGTAGACACTAGTAAACATACATCGTCATAACGTCATTATCGTAACAGCCCTCTCATCCAACATACATGCCACACAACGCCTGGCCTTGCTGTCCTCCTACCCAGGGCAGAGGTCTACTCCGTCCCCTTCAACGCCGCCTTGAGGCTGACAATCTCCCGCTTCAGTCGGGCATGGTCCTTCTTCATGCGCGCCATTTCCTCGCCTTGCTCTCGCAGCTTTTCCACGAGGGCCTCCTTGTCCTCCTTCCCCTTGCCCTTGAGGGCTCTAACGATCTTGCCCAGCTCGCCATTGAACTTCTCATAGAGTAGCTCGTTCTCCGCCACGGATTCCTTGTACAGTTGGTCGATTGCCTTGATCTTCGATTCGGCCGATTTGACATTCGAGTCGACGTCGCGCTGAATGGCGGACTGCTTGCTGGAAATACCCTGTATAGCGACGGGTATGCGTTCTTCGAGTGCCTTGATCGACTCAGCCAGCCGTCGGATGTCGGGCGAATCCGCCCCTGCGCTGACACGCGCCATCTCCTCGCCAATCTTGGATAGTTCACTCTTCAACGAAGCGTCGACCTCTTCGACGGCAGTCTTCTCCGTCTGTAGTCGCTCGCGAAGCTTTTGGGGAGATTGGAGCTTCAGTTTTGCGCTGCGCGTGGGCGACTTGGACGGGGAGTCGGCCCCTGATGTACGCGGGCGGGCGTCACCCGGGCGGGAGGGTCTCAGTGTTGGAATGTTGGAGGTGGATAGTGTCTTAGCGTGCGGCCGCTTGACCGGCGACACGGCGGGCCTCGTGGGTGAAGTGGGTTTCGTCTGGGTGTCAAAGGGGTCATTCTCTTTTTGATAACGCGGGGTGCGGAGTAGAGTCTGCGGGCCTGGGCTGACGGGTATTCTAGACGGCGTCGACGGCTTGGGACCCGTGTTATTAGGGGTGCTGATGACGTTCAGGGGCTGCAGAGGTTCGGAGTCATCGACGAGTGAAGCTGCAGCCATGAGGCCCTTGAGGTCCGACAACGAACTACGTCGTTTTCGACGGGGCGTCTTGCGCTCGGAAGCTTCATTGTCAGGCTCACCAATGGTGTCTAACGGAAAATCCATCCGATGGGAGCTCGTCGGCCGCGAGCCATCATCGAACGCGCCCGCGATAGGTGGTCGATCCCTGGACCCTGGTCGTCGAAACATCTTCTTCGTCAAAGAGCCGTCATCGACTGATCCCGTACGTCCCAGAGATGGTTTGTGAAATGCCGGAGCCTCGCCCGTAGCTGGGTTTCGGTGTTTGCTCAACGTCCGCCACACAGATGGTTTCTCGTCTTTGCTGCTGTTGGTCCGGAGCAAAGTGTCAAATCCAAATTTGCGCCGCAGTGATGAGGTGTTGGACGTCAGAGATGGTGTGTACGACTTGCCGCCACGGATAGCGGAATTAATGGAGGCATAGGCATCGTTGCCAAGGTTGAAGCTGTGGTTCAGCCCCGGCTCCTCGAAGATGCGATCACAATCCTCCACCAACCTGTCCAGCAGGTTGATATAATTAGGCGCCGTGCCATCCGTCACCAGCAACTCAGCGAACGCAAGCGTCAGCGCGCCCCGGTCACTGTCGTTTCCACATCCGTCCAGAAGATCAGCCAGCAGCTTGATCAGCGATGTGAAAGCTCGGCGATTCTGCGGCGCCATATCGCCGAATAAGTAATTGACAAAGTCCGCAAAATCACCTGGTACTCGCTTGTTGACGCGGTCTTGGAGCGTGTCCAACGCCTGCATCGACATGACGGGGCCCATCTGCTCTGACCAAGCAATATGGAGGAATTTCTCAAACGCCGAGAAGATGACCTCTGTGCTTGCCTCAGAGGGAAGGTCAAGGTCGTAGGGGTTCTCAATGAGCTTGTTGTAGAGGTCGTTGACCGCCAACTCGTCCGTCAGGGTCCGATTCAACAATGTCCGCCCTATGATAGCGCCCCTACGCGCCTGCAAACCTGCAACGTATCCTATAAAGGTCTGCTCCAGGCGCACAAGGGGGTTCTGCGGTCGAATCTCCTCCGTCGCAATGCGGTCATCTTTGCCTCGCATGGAGCTGAGAGTGCCCAAGAAATGGTGTTGGCTGTGGTGCCGTTGTAACGATGGCGTCTTCTGGTGCTTCGAGTCAAATGAGGTATCAGGGGTACTATTGCCCGAGTTGCCACCACCACCACCACCAGTGCCAGTGCCGCCCCAGAAGCTTGACAAAATCTTGACAGGTGACGTGGCCAAGAAGGACCTGGCCCTTTCGGTGCGCGTCGTCGTCGTCGCCGCTGTCAAGGGTAGGGTTCGCAGTATCTTGGAGTAGTACGACACTAGCGACCCCGTAAGCCGAGGATTTGACACGCCGAATTGCGAGCTCAGCAGCTGAATCACCCTTCTCGACAACGTCGGCAAGAAGTCTTCTAGCGCGACATCGTCCTGGTACTGCTTGCCGTTGAGTCCAGCGGTGAACAGTGTCACTCTCCTGAGATCGTTGCTCTTCACATCCACCACCACCTCGACTCCGTAATGCCCCACGGGCGCACCCTTAGTACCCTTCTCATGGTCTACCACCACGCGAATCGGGGCGGGCTCTCTTCTCCCCTCGATGAGCTGATCGGCGCCTTCCTGGAACACAGCAGCGTGCAAGCCAAGGTTGCTATCTGGCATGCGTGTAGATCGTAACGTCCAGCAAGGCCCTTCCCGCTCCTTTTCCGAAAAGCGTGCCTCAACACGAGCTCTAACAATGTCTTCGTGCCACTTGGAGGCCTTTCCTCCATATTGCTCGGTCAGAGTGAAGCAGCGTGAAGTTGGGGCTTTGCTGATGCGATGATCGCCAGTGTGCGCGCCGTGCATATCGGCCGTGGAGGTCATCCAAACAAAGGTATTGTCCGTCGACTCGGTGAACTTGACATCAGAAAGATGGTACCAGCCCGTGAACACAAAGTCGTACTCGCCCGGCCCTCCAGCTGCATTAGTCATGGATATCAGCAGTCCAGCAGCCGAAGGTTTGTCAACTTCTCGAATAAGGTCTTTTCCCGTCATGGAACAGCCGAGCTTTTTCAACACGACAATGCAGTCTGAGAACAAGAGGAAGATTCCCGTCTTCTCTGCTTGATTCGCCATTCCCCGAAAAGGAGGCACCAATTCCACGAAATCGGCAGATCCCACGAGACGACCCTGCGGCTCAAGATCCAAGGGCCACGCTTCAACCATATTTCGAAGTCGACTGGCGACATGGGGCTTGTCCAAGAGCGGTTCGTCCATGGAGCAGATGTTGGTGATGATATCTCTCGCTTTCAGCATGGGCTGAAGAGCAGGGTGTGTCATCGGCAGGCACCCTACAATCTGGTCGATGAGCAAGCTGTACCGCGGGAGGCGTTGGACCGGCTCGATAAGTAATGATCGTATCGCTTGCTCGCCCCTTTGTGCCACTCTTTGTCGAAAACTAGACTGCTGATCCAGGAATGAATTGAGCAGTTGGGGGAAATGCTGACTGGCTCGAATATAATCTTGGTAGCACTCCGTGAACTTGGGGAACCACTCCAAGAACAGTCTCGCCATAGTCAGCGCACCGCTCGGGTCTTTCGCCCTCGCCGACGGCCCTAACGTCGCTGCGCCTGTGTACATTGTCGTCTCGAGGTCCTCCTCAGTTGCCTCCATTATTTTCTTGAGCTCCATCATAAATGTCGAGTTGACCTGCAATATCGCATCCGCTGACTTGGGGAACAGCCGCTCGAGTTCCTCCTCAGACGGGCTCAGACTAGCAGGGTCCTTGTTTCGCGCACTGTCCCTGAAGTCTTTGGCAACAGTCCTCACTAGATCGCCTAGCTTGTGCACATATCGCTCTTCGGTGTCAACCAGCTCGCTGATCTTCATTCTCAGCTCGGCCCTCTGGTCCTTGGTGAACGATCGACTTCGATTCAGTGCGGTCGGCTTTGAGGGCGCTCGTCGTAAGCGACTCGTGGGCAGAAACACCGGCTCGCCCAAGACCTTGACTAGAGGTGTGTATCCGCCGTATTGTCGCAGCGTCGGGTCCAGAATATCGTCTTCGTCGTCTGGTACATCTTCTAGGTCGGCCGGCTGCAGTGGCACTATCGCCCCTGGCGGAAGTACAAAGTCCAGATCGACGTTGCTCACATGTTGCGTTTGGAGTGCTGCATTTAGGGCGGCGACGACTTCGGCCGTGTTCTCTGATTTCGTGACGGAGCTGACGAGACTGGCGGCATGTTGGTCCCCGAACAGAGCTGGCCCACTATCCGGCCCGCGCGCTCTTGTAGGGTACAGATTTCGCAGATATGTTTTCACACCATCTGGCAACTCTGTAAAGTACTTGAACAAGCCAAAGGCCAGCCCGCGATACACCTCGTCGCCCTGGAATTCTCGCGGTAGGTGGTTGACCACGCTGTACGATGCTGAGTTGGGCGAGATGGTCAATCGAGGAAATGATGAGAATCCAGCTGGCGTGAAGACGTGGACTTGGACGCGCGAGCTGTTGAGCGTGTAGTTTGCCGTCGTCGAGGGGCCGTGGAAGATGAGGATCGGGAGATGCCCAAGATGCGGATCTGAAACGTGGTAGAGAGCAAGATGCTCTGGCGAGAGCGCGACCTCCTCTGTGACACGTACCATGGTCGCAAACACGGGCCGCTCTGCGGCCGTCAGGGTCTAATTAGCGCAGAAGTTGTCCTGGCGAGACAGCGGCTGGAGAAGATGTTGGGTCGATGTGGTTTTGTTGTGGGCGCAAACCGATATCGCGGGGAAAAGTAAACAAGTCGCGTCACTCCGCTGCGACGCAGTCTGAGCGCACGCTAGCACCGAGAAAGAACAACCACGAGGACAAATTAAACGAAAAGCAGCCGTAAGAAAGAGGCGAAATGGATGAATCTTCAAGTACAGGTGTAGATGGATGTTGCTAATCGTCTTTTGCACCAAGGAATGCAAGGTCGCACCCAGGTCACAGATCATCGAGTGGGAAAGCGGTCAGGCCAAGCCAAGGCTGCTCCACCTTTAAGCACAAGCAGAGCAGGCGCGTCTCGGAATGGTGCTGCTGCCCCTCATGATACGATATTGGCAACTCACTTTTTCCACGAGCATCATCAATTGTGATCCAGAGGTCCTATCGCTGTCAAGCAGCAATCCAACGCGAGTAGCCATGTCCCAAACGACCGGAATACCGGTCTACAACTTTCCCACCGACACCGGCTACCGCCTACTCGAACTTCGCCCCGACCTTCTGTCCATCCTCGAGTCGCCTGAGGCGCCGCCATCACTCAAGCTCGAGACAGGCGACGATTCGGCTCTCCTAAAAGCGGGCGGAAAAACCTGGGCGCTTAGGCAAAAGAACACGTCCAACGCGCTCATACTGATGCGGCCGCACGGGGACAACGGGCTGGCTGCCATGTCCACCGTGCACGAAATCGTGGAATTGGACGCGGTTAAGGAGGACAAGCCAGAAGGGCAAGCTGCGCCTCTGTCAGCCAAGGGCAAATGGCACGAGAAGTTTGGCAAGAAAAGATGAATCAGTGGGCTCTCAACCGCGATTTCGCATACGAACCCAGGACGTCATGCCATCGAACGCGGTGTTACGAACCATCGATGCGCTTACCACGGAGCGATTGAGCTCGAACCAAGCACTGCGATGAGGCTCTGGCTTAGGTTTCCCGAGTCACGACACTCGAGCTTTTCGATGCCGATGATTTCACGAAGCATTTCGATACAGACGCTTTACACCATGCTGTATAGCATTGAGTACAAATTCATTCCGCTATGAAAACCAAGGTGCCCCCTGGTCCTCCTCACGTGTCGCGCCAAAACTCCACACAAAGCTAGATGCAACCTGTCCAAACGCCCTTGCGGGACTTTCGCTCCATTCATTACTTTGTCCTCTTGGGGTCTTTCTTCGGTCCCAAACGCTTGTTGCCCGATTCTGGAGCCCGTTCCGGAGCCCGTACGGCAAAGGGGTTCTGACCCGCTGCTCGATTCGCCGCCAGCGCCTGTCGGACACCGTCCTCCAAGGCACCACCTACGTCAGCCTGCACATTCGCTGCACGACGCTGCTCGACTCCCAATTGCCGTTGACCCCGGGCAAAGAACCCTCGTGCCCCTCTAAAGCGGCCCTCGACCGCACGCGCCATACCGTGCAAGTGATTTCGGAAGCGGGCATCTTGCGCCTGGGGTGCCTGGCGGTTAGGTCGTTGTGGCTGTTGGAGGGCTGGCGGCTGCTGCTCCTCCGCGGCTGGAGCCCTTTGTCTTTGCTGTTGCCCCAGTGCACGGCGTGCCTCGTCTCTTTCCTGCTCTGTCTGAAGCCGGAGAGCAGGCGCAGGCAGGAAAAGAGGTCGAGCTAGCGGCCATTGCTGTTCCTGTCGTCGCTCTTGGTGCCGGTTTTGATCCCGCAGCTGTTGCAGTTGCCGCTGCGCAAGAACGAGCTGCTGATACTGCAAGAACTCATCTTGAACCGGCTGTTGCTGGTCCCGCGGCACGTGTTGCTGCTGCTGCCTCGGAGGCCGGTGGCCCATGTTCAGTTGAGCCCGCACCGGTGCTGGTGCTGGTGCTTGCGGTCGTTGATGCGGTTGTTGCTGCTGGCCCTGCTGCTGTCGTAGTTGCAGTCGCTGGTGCCGCTGTTGCCAAGGGTTCCCCACGTCGAGACCATCAAAGATATCCCCGAAACGAGGTCTTCTATTCGCATGGTCAAACGCCGCCGGCGGATGGAGCCCTGCCCAACCCAATGCATTCATCTGATGCAATGGGCCGTTTGGGTTACCAGCCCCTGCTACCGCCGGCACTCGTCCGTGAACGGCATCAGCAGGCCACGCCGGTTGTATCGGTTGAGCTTGTGCGGCTGGGTTCTCTACATGTACCCACCAGGGGTATGGGCCGTGTCCAAAGGGCTGCGCGCCTCGCTGTGTCCTGATGCGTCTCCTTTCATCGTCTTCCTGAACGGCTTTCGCCATGTTGATCTTGAGCTTATCCTCGCTGATGCTGCCCTTGCTTTGGGCCAATACCCTCGCGCGGGCCGTTCTTTCGGCCGCTTCAACGGCGTCGTCGTGCCGACTCTGTATGTTCTCGTCCCACAGTATACACTGAGACGATCCGTTTCCAAAGTGCGAGTAGTCGTTCACCGACGCGCCGCAGAGGTAGCACTGTTGGTTTCTGCATTTCGTGCAACACATTCTGTTGCACCCCATGTCTTTGATAAAGGGGGTCCTGCACTTATTGCACTTGCGGATCAGCGCTTTCGTCCTCGCCTCTTCGATCTTCCTTCGTGCCGCGAGGTCGGCGTCCGTATACTCGGCCTCGCAACCATTGGGCTCGTGATCCTTCTTGTTGCATTTGCGGCACGACCGCTGCAGGCAACTTGGCGCTTCGCATCGGAAGACTGGGGCCTCCTCGACGGGCGGATACTCCGCGGCATACTCGCAGAATGGGCAGGTTGCGAGGCCCTCGATCCCAGCCGCCTGCAGCGAGTTGCTCCATTCGATGCGGTCCAGGGCTTTGGTCAGGTTTTCATCGAGGAATAACCGACGTTGGCTTTCGTCAAAACCGCCTTCACATTGATCACTCGACAAGCAGTGAAGAGTATGTCTCGAAAGGCCAATCTGCGTTTCAGCATTCCGTCGGGCACAGCCAATACAGACGAACTATGCATATCAGTCAACACTCGGAACAATATGCCTCGGAAGGCGGGGCGCACCCACGTGTATATCTTCTCCGTTGCAATGGACCACCGACACAATCGCGACCTCTTCGAAGCAGCACTCGCACTCTAGCCACTCGCCGTCCTTGAGCTGCATATCGTCCTTTATCTCAGTCTCGATCGCCGGCTTTGTGTCTTGTGTGGGACTCGCTGATCTGGCCTTGTTGTACGGTCGGCGCGACCGACATATAGTCCTCGCCTCATTGATTTCCCGCAAAAGGGCTTTGGTGGCGTCGTCCAAGGGCAAAGTGTAAACTTCCAGTGCCGCTTCGTTAATGGGAAGGCCAGGTTCCGGGTGTGGCACGTCCTGCGGTGCGAATTGCAAATTCCAAGACTTTAGGGGATGTTCGTGCCAGGTTGAAATGATGCGGTCCAAGTCGAGGTACGCTGAGAAGAGGGAATAATCGTGCTCTGCCACAAGTTCGCCAACATGGTTGGCCGGGACCATGGGAAAGTCAGTTCTGATGAGGTCCACACTATCACCCGTCAGTCCGTGGGAAATTGCTAGGAGACCAGCGTCGAACTTACATGGCTTGGGTTTGAGCCACTGTACTGGGGACAGCTCTGCGCTTTGAGCTCAGGTGCTTGCTCATGAGTGCCTCAACTTGCTCGCCGTCACCCTTGTCTTCACTCTGACCTGGCTCGGGGCTGCTGTTTGCGCGCTTTCGCTTGTTCTCCTGCGTTCGCTTGTCCTCTGGACGATTCGCCTGTCCGTGCGCGAGTCCCGCGTCCCGTTGTTGCAGCTTGAAATTAGCCATGGCATCCGCGTCGTGGTTAAAATGAGGCGCCAGGTGCTCAAGGTAGAATGGGTAGATGTCCCGGAACGAACGAGCGTCCTCGGCAGCGCGGCCAGGAGCTGGCGACTCGGCGGGCATAGCGCGTTGCTCAGACTGGCTCCTGGGTAGCGCATGGAGCGGCGTCCACGGGTTTCCCTGCGTCGGCGTGGGCAGCAACAAAGGTCATGGAGTACACCTCTGCCAAGCGAACACGTCCTGGATATCCTGTTCTCTATGCTGTATTTTCCTGTCAGTGTAGGAATGGAGAATGGGCTAGAGGGCGCTGAATGGATGAAATGCTTGCGTGTTGTTGCCTATGCTGGGCGGAGGCACCCTGGTGGCCTAGATGAAGGTTACCTTAACCTTTCCAAGCTGCAACGCTTGTATCCGCGTATGGGATGCCTTGTTGCGCAGCGGCTTTAAAGGGAAGGAATGGTTTATGTCAGCAATACCTGCTTAAGGGGAAAGGTGAACGTTGATGAGACGGAAGATTGAATTGCATGAGCCGACGATGAGGTTTGAAGAGAAGCCGATACGCTTGAGCGTGACTACAGTCATGTGCAGTGAATGAGAGACCGTCTGCTAGGATCACTAGCGAGAGCTCTTAGAAACCTGTCCCATAGGCCACACAGTGCTCCGTAGCACAGAGATGGTGGTGATTCAGAGGTGAGCATGGGGTGAAATTCAGGCCAGATCACTAACTAGTCAAGTCTCTTTCAGCGCGAGTATCACAGGCACAGGATCGAGTTTTCAAGACAGTCACCAAATTTCACAGCATGTCTAATGAAGAATGGGTAGGAACGGCATTTAAGCCGGAGTGTATATGGTACATATCTGGCTTTTCCATGGCTGCTCTCTGCGTGTGCGTCCACGTGAGCTCATCTCTATCTGCTCCTCTGATACTTCAGACGTCGTCACTGTCTGTTACGCATGTCTGACTGCTGCGCCCTTCTCCTGCTCACCAACACTCGCAGGTGGCGAGCCACCGTCCACCTCGACCAGAAGCCTTCGAGCTGCGACAGCCACATTGCCGCCCGCCTCGTCCATACGACGGTAGTACTCGACCATGTTCTTGCTCACAAGCAGACTCTCGCTCGTGAACAGCAGGTCAATCTCCTCTAACGAGCGCTGCGCCACTTCAGGGTAGAAAAGGTAGACGATCGGCAGGGCCACAACGTTCATGGCCCCAAAGAAGACAAAGGTTCCCCAGCCGAGACGGTTAAGCATGATGGGGATGACAAACTGCGTCATGCCGCAGCCCGCAGCCCAGCCGAAGATGGTGAAGCTGTACCCCTTGGCGCGGATCTCCTGCGGCCAGATCTCCGTGCCGTAGATCCAGGACGGCACAATGTTGAACATGGTGAAGAACCACAGGTACACAAAGACAAAGGAGGCGGCAGCAGTTCCCAGTCTCTCAGATTGAGGCTGGTTCCCTGCATGAGCAGCATCCTCAGACGTCTTGATGAAGGCGGCGACGAGGAACAGCGCGATGCCCTGGGTGACAAACGACACGAGCAGCGACTTGATGCGGCCGATGCGGTCAATGACCAAGGAAGCAGCTGCCGTTCCGGGAATTCCAAAGGTGTTGACTAGCCCTGCCAGCCACAGCGACTTGTATGAGCTGAACCCAGCGAGGTGGAAGAGCGTGGTCGACCAGCCGGCAATGGCGAGGATACCCGTCCACTGCTGGATCCACTGAAGGAGGAAGCCCATGACGGCACGTCGCCCGAGATGCAGGTTTCCCGAGTAGCGACCCGCGAGGAAGATATTGATCAGATCGTTCCTCTTGTGATGCGTGCTCTCGACAATGGCGTCCAGCTGCTCCACCTCCCTGACAATAAGGGGGTCGTTAGCCGCCAGATCGCCGCGCAGCTTGCACAGAATAGCAATGGCCTGCTCCCTCTTCCCGTTGGCAATGAGCCATCTCGGCGACTCTGGCAAAAAGGGGATGCACATGTCGACAATGAGCAAGGGGATGATCATCCACCCGAGCGGGAAGCGCCACCGAAACTCGTCGTTGGTGGACCGGACGCCAAAATTGATCCAGTACGCGATCACGACACCCAGATAGTTGGCGACGAAGACGAGCGAGAAGCTGGAGCCTCGATCGTGGGCCTGCGAGAGCTCGCTGACCCAGGGGGGCACAATGGCGTTGATGAAGCCAATACCCAGCCCGGCGATGACGCGCGCCACGATGAACATGTCGCTGTTCACGCTGCCTGCCATGAGGGCCGCGCCCAGGACGCCAAAGACGGTGCCGCAGAGTACACCTCGTTTGCGACCGATCTCGTCACCGACCCAGCCTAGTATCGTGATGTCAGTCTTCCATGCTGCGCCTTTATCAATGCGAGGAGCACGTACCGCCACTGAAGCAGCCGCATATACCGCCAAAGTAGTACGCAGCTGCGAGGCCACCCTGCTTGGTCGAGTTGGTGACCACGCCGTCGGCGCCAATGTTGGCCATTTTGATGAAGCCAGGCGTGGAGCTCACGGTGCCGAGGACACCTTGGTTGTAGCCTGTAAAGGGGGAGTCAGCGAGGGCGGATGAGAGAGCTATGTGGGAGGGAGGTTACCTTCGAAGATGAGAGCCGTGGCGGCGACGACGTTCATGAGGAACAGCAGTAGCTTTCCAGGCACATGGCGCCAGACTTGGATAGCCATGATGTATCTAGTTTGCTCTTCAAGAGCACAGGCTTTCTGCAGTGATGCAGCAACGGGTGGTTGATGAGCAGGAGGGTGATGTGAAGAAACCTCCAGTCCTCTTCGAGCGATACTCTGGGGAGTTACATGGAGAAGGTCGCGTGGGAAGTGCTGCCTTTATAGACACGGACCGTGCAGAGAGAGCAGTAGCGTCGACCTGGGGCCTGATGTTGAAGGTCTCGACGTTGGAGGCGGTGATGGACCAGGTACTGACTGTCCCGTCCTTGGCCTGTACAATTAACTCACTCCAGAGTTACCGGACTGTGGGGTTTATGTGACTTGTCAGCCGTCACTACGGGGTAAGAAACTGGACTGGAATCCGGAGTTGTGGAACATCGAGGTCTACATAGCACGGAGTACGGAGTAGTGCATCCACGATGCCCGGGGCAGGCATCGGTGAGAACTGAGAACGTGGAGTGTGTGCCTGACCCCAGTTGACCCAAATGAACACTAGCCCTGTAATTACATCTAGCGCCCTGCATGATGCCTTTCCGTCCTGTCAGCCCATGTCTAACTTGACGACAGGAGTCTGGTCACGAGTTCGGTCGTGGCGATGGTGGTGAGGGTGGGCTGACGGCCATCATTACTCGCTAGACTAGAGTTAATTAGGCTTCGAGTCGAATTCTGCATATTGGAGCCCCGGGTATAATTAATCAGCTTCACGAATTCCCGCTGCTCTAGTTCCCGCTGACACTCGTCTTCGCCCAAGACTCAACCGTCTCAGCCGCGGCAGCAGTCGAATGTACACAGCAAAACATGTGAGAAGTTGCTGTGAATCAAATCTTCTTCTCAGCGCATCTTGTGATTCGTACGGGCAGAGGGAGCACTGGATTATGCTAGCCTAGTATGGCACTACGTGTCGACGGTAATACCGACATCTCCTGTATTCCCCAGATAATGGCTTAAACGCTTAAAAGGCTCGCTTAAATATCCATGGTCGCTATTGGAGAAACGTTCAGCGGCACGACTCGAGCGCCTAAAAGGCTCGCTTAAAAGCTTCAGATGCTTTCCATTGCGACTGTCACGTAAACTGGTCTTCACCGAGGCTAGCTTGACCACAATACTGCCTCGTCTCGGGACCTGAACAAGCGTTTAGGCGTTTAAGCACTCGCAGACCTCATCCGATTGGCAGATGAAAGTCGCCAGGGGTGATCATAGAGTTCCAAAACACGGGGATTGTGGGCGGCATGTCCAGATTGCCCACATTCTCCAACTCCCTAAGCTTGCGGACCCCAAGTTTCCTGTCTCTTACGATCAAGAGCGCGAAAACTTATGGTAGTCATCGGAGCATGATGCGCCCCTTCTTCCCCGGAGCTCCAGGGTCCTCTGATTGTGGACTCTGAAGATGTGGAACAAGTGAGCGATCTCGCTGTACGTGACAGTCCCAAAGTCTTCAAGGCCCAGGTCCGCAACCTCGTCTCCAGGAAACCATCTTTGCCTTCCTTCCCTATCATCTTCCCCCTCCTCATACTCAAGACTGATCTCACATCCCAGAGACTCCAACACACATGCCAGCCATGGGCTCGATCAACGACCTCCCTCCCGCGGCCGGGCAGGCTCTCGACATCACCGTCCTGGGCCTCAACTCGGGCACGTCCATGGACGGCATCGACTGCGCGCTCTGTCGTTTCCGCCAACAGACACCCGAAGACCCCCTGCACTTTGAACTCCTCACCTACGACGAGGTGCCCCTCGAGCAGACCATCAAGAAGCGCGTCATGAACATGATTCTGCACAACACCACCACGCCAGAGGAGCTCTCCGAGGTCAACGTCCTCCTGGGCGAGACCTTTGCCGATGCCGTCAAGGTGTTCTGCAAGAGAAACAACGTGGACCTCCAAAACACCGTCGATGCCATTGGCTCCCACGGACAGACCATCTGGCTGCTGAGCATGCCCGAAGAGGGCCAGACACGCTCCGCACTGACCATGGCCGAGGGCTGCTTTCTCGCCGCACGGACGGGCATCACCACGGTTACGGATTTCAGGGTGTCAGACCAGGCAGCTGGTCGTCAGGGCGCGCCGCTCATCGCCTTCTTCGACGCCCTCGTCCTGCATCACCCGACCAAGCTGCGCGCCTGCCAGAACATTGGCGGCATAGCCAACGTCTGCTTCATCCCGCCCGACGGTCACGGCAAGCTCAACGACGGGTTCTTCGATTTTGACACGGGTCCCGGCAACGTCTTCATCGACGCCGCCGTCCGCTACTTCACCAACGACGAGCAGGAGTATGACAAAGACGGCGCCATGGGCAAGGCCGGCACGGTGGACCAGGCGCTTGTGGACGAGTTTCTCACGACGCACCCCTACTTCCGCAAGGAGATCCCCAAGACGACAGGCCGCGAGGTCTTCCGGGACACCATCGCGCACGACCTCATCAAGCGCGGTCTCGCCAAGGGCCTCACGCAGAACGACATTGTGGCCACCATCACCCGGATAACCGCCCAGGCCATCGTGGAGCACTACCACCGCTACATGCCCACCGCGTACGGACCGCTGGCTGAGATCTACATGTGCGGCGGGGGCGCCTACAACCCCAACATCACAGAGTACATGCAGGCGGCCTTTCCCGATACGCGCATCGTTCTCCTCGACGAGGCGGGTATTCCAGCCGGGGCCAAGGAGGCCATCACGTTCGCCTGGCAGGGCATGGAGGCCATTGTCGGCCGCAGCATCCCCGTCCCGAACCGCGTCGAGACACGGCAGGAGTATGTCCTCGGCAAGGTCAGCCCCGGCGCGAATTACCGCCATGTCATGAAGAAGGGTATGAACTTTGGCGGTGATCGGGATCACATCAGTCCTGTGAGGGAGATTGTCAACTATGTCGACGGAAAGGTGTTTGATAACAAGACGTGATGGGTCTGTGTATTAGCATGATTAGAAAGTAGGCTACTGATAATGCACAACTTTGATGGTCTTCATCCAGTCCTGCTCGTGCATCGATCGTCTTTGTTAATACTGCATGCTGCCTGGGTACTGCATCTGCCCCCAACCCGGCATGATCTGCGTGAAGAGCTGAGGGTCCCAGCTCGTATAATTCTCCCACTGCACCCCCATGTACGCAGCCTCATCCAGAGGCATGGGACTGTAAGACATTTGCGGCATCATCTGGGGCGGCGGCTGCTGTTGATGATGATCGTGTTGTTGTTGCTGTTGCTGCTGTTGGTGGTGGTACAAAGCCTCCTGCTGCAGCTGCGCCTGCGCATCATCGTACACAGGTGGTCGCTTGAACGTGCTGATGGTCGCCGCCGCGCTCGTGGCCTGCTGCTGCTCCTGTCGCCGCTGCATGACGCGGATGTGCTCCTCGATACCGGCAGCCTGCTCCTCGAGGCGCTCCGTCACCCGGCGGCCCTTGAGCACGCTCTCGAGATTCTTGAGCAGACCCGCGAGACGGCGTAGGACGCTGCTCACATTGGCGTACTGCGCAATGCCCTCCTGAAAGTCCGTATTTCTCGACAGCTGCAGGCTCGACCGGCCGAGGACGTCGCCTATCCCCGCGAGGTGGTGCAGCAGGGGGGCGCTGATGGCCAGCTGGAAGCCCTTGGGGATGATCTTGAACTTGTCGATAATCTTGTTCGCAATGGCGCAGCGTTGGTCTAGCGTCGAGGTCTCCTCGTTGACAGAGAAGAGGACCATGCGCAGGAGTTCGGTCGTCGCGATGATGTTGGCTGCCTGGAACCCGTACAGGTCCTCCCGCGGATTGTACGTAATGTCGCACTGGATGTCCCGGAAATAGTGCGGGAGATCCTCTAGTTGGCGTGAGATTGTGCTCTCCACGTTCTTCACCATGGCTGCGTTCCTCTCCTGGTCGTTCTCGAGGAAAATGTCGCGCGCGCGGAACGGTGGTCGTCGACCGTCGTCCGATTTGAACCGTGCCACGGCATGCTCGAGGATTCGATAGAGATCTGTCGTAAAGTTCCACCCACGCAGCCAATTCTGCTTCGAGACGGGCCTTGGCGAGATGTAGACCGACTTGTCGTCAATGTAGTCATCGTCCACCTCGGTCGGATACTGGACGCGGCACTGCTGTTCCCTCACTCGTATGACGCCGCCCCACACAATGTATGTGTAGATGTCGAGCGTGTATACGGACCAGAACAGGCGTCTCCGCTCCTCTCGCCCAATGTTGCCTATTGCTGCTGGCCACTCGTCCTCGTTGTGCCACCTCCCCATCGCGGCCAGCGTGTGGTACATGCCCATGTGGTAGTGCATGTCGCTTGTGTTGCCAAACTGTATTGCCGCAATGGCGAGCACGGCATGCGTCCGCAGAGAGTTCAAACTCGTGTCTTGTGGGTTGAGATTGACCTCTTCTTGGGCCTTCTGGTAGAAGCGGTAGGGCGGTGTCGCCGTGAGGTCCTGCTGCCGCGACGCCCATTGAGGATTCGTCACTGCGCCACATGTCACTCTCCCTGACACGAGCGCGCAGACAGCCATCGTCACGGCGTGGAAGAGCCTGTCCCTGTGGTACTCGCCGTTCTGCACGCGACGGAGAAAGGACGGCTGGTGGAAGAAGGGGAATATCGGGTAGACAATTTCAAAGTACAACCCGACCAGCGACACGATCCTCCCATGGGGAATCTCTACCGTCGCCACTGGCTGCAGCGCACGATCGTACCCATATGCGTCGCCGTTCCGCAACGGGCCATTGCTGAGCGGACAATGGCCGTTGTTGGACGAGACGCCCGCGAGCATGTCCTCGCCGTCCTTGCCCCTGGCGGGGGCGCCGCGCTTCTTGACCTGGCGCTCATACAGACAGTCCTGTCCAAAGTCAAGACAGTTTCGGCATTTCCCGCCGGGAAGCTGCTGGCAGCGGACAGATCGTCTGTGGCAGTAGTCGCAGGCGCGCGTCACGCGACGCCGCTTGAAGGTTTTCATTTGCCCTGCGGACGGTGGGCCTGTCACCGTTGACATGTCTGTCGAGGCGAGCGGCAGGCAGAGGAACGAGTGGGTGTGCCTGAGTGCTGAGTGGTATCAACAAGGGCTGCGTCGTAAAAGGTCACGTCTATTACAGACAGTGCGTAGCAGCACCTTGGCGGACATGATGTGGTAGTGGTGCGGCTACCACGAGCAGAGAGCTTGGACAGGCTACGCCATGTACACGAGGCACAGGAGCGATGTCTCACCGAACGCTGCGACGTTGGATTGGTGATGATGCCTGGCAATCGAGTGTTCCCAACTGCATGTCCATGAGTGCTTATGAAGCGCGGCAGCGTGTCAGTGCTTATTTCCTTCTTAGTGGGATGAGTGGAGATGGACCAGGTGCTGCCTGCCGCGACCGGATTCGACTTTCAGCCAATGGGCATCCACATTCCCGGTGCGGATCAAGGTTCCTGCGCTTTGCACTACGTACTGGAAGGTACGTACCTTCTTCCGTCAGTCCGCCCACCATGAGTCCGGGCCCAGGCATCTGTCATTGACAGCACAATGCGTACTACAGTAGTAGCCATTTGATAGCAGCAGCGTCAACAGCAATGAATGCAACAATTGGCATCCAGACGTGTCAAAATTACATTGGGGAACACAGTGTCCATGATGCGGGCGGTGCAAATTGCTGTGCGCCAGTCGTTCTTGTGGCTTGCCAGATATCAAGCTCTATTTCAACTACATTCGACAATCGTGAGCGGAAGGCCTTTCATGCTCACGCATCACCCGTGATATCAAAGCAACCTCCCGCCTCCTTGATATGACCTTGCAACACTCAGACAACGTATCGTCAGTGGTTGCACGTCATTATAGCATCACCCCGACCCTTTCAAACCCGTGGCGTCATCTTGAGCGCCTTGCTCATACCCCCCATCAGGGTAACCCAGTTCAGTCGCCCCAGTCACCTGATCGTCTCACCACGTTCGTGTTCCCTACAACACGCCGTTCTCCTCCAAGATGGCCTGCATATCCCGAATCCTGAAAGGCTTGCGTAGGAACATGCTGATCCCGCAGCTTTGTGCCGCCTCTCCTTTTTCGTTAAAACAACCAGCAGAGATGCCAATCACCGTCGTCGGCTCAAGACCATGCTCGCGCTCGTAGGCGCGAATTTGCCTTGTCGCATCGAGTCCGCCCAAGACCGGCATGCATGAGTCCATAAAGACGCACCGATATGCTCTGGGGTTCGCACGGAACGCATCAGCCGCCTCCTGACCGTTCGTGGCCGTCGTGTACTGGCAATTGAGCCTGTTCATGCACGCGACCATAATCTTCCGATTGACTGGATTGTCATCCACCAGCAAGAATCTTGTTGGCGATGATCCTTCGCCATGCGTTGCCGGGACGCTGTCCTGCGGGTCTGTGTCCTTCTTCTCGACAGCATCCCCCGCTTCATTCTCCCTACCAATGGTTGATTGCGCTTCAGTCGAATTCGGAGCAACAGGATGTGTAGATGTGTCGGAACTGTGGTTCGCAGCATCAGGCAAAGAAGAGGGCACGTGCTCGCGGGGTTCTGACGCCTCATCAGGCTGCGAGTGCGCCGGTTCTGGTAGACTTGGGCACCGCTGGCCCTCGAACCGTCGATCGGAAGACGCCATTGTTCTCAGGCTGACCAGTATGTGGGTATTGCGAACGCGGCAGTACGTACGGCTGCGATATGTTCTCAAAGACGTGGTCCCGGGGCGACGACGACTGTTGGCTGCTGGTTATGTACGGTCGTAAGCAGCCAGGGCACCCGCACACACACAACCACACAAAGCGTTTGGGAACGGAACACATTTGCAAGCTCATTGGCTGGCTTGTGATCGTCCCTGATGCCGGCACAATGGAGATCCCCACAGCCTCCCAGAACGACTACTCTCTGGCCGACCTTCTCCCGACTTATTGGCAACAGGCATACACAAGAGTCCACGCAACACGCCGAGAATCGTGTGGAGAGATTCATCTCTGTGAGTGCTGGCTTTGTAATGCGCTATTGCGTCCGCCACAGGCCCGGTTGGTAAGTCCATGGCTGCAATACTGTTGTGGCCTGGTCGACTCCGTATTTGATTCCCCCATGGACGAAGCCATCTTCTTCACAGGCGAAAGCCCAAGACCGGTCCTGGGACCGATGCAGTCGCATAGCGAGAGTGGCTTCGACACTTTGTCCTCGAGCGCACTCCTCAAAGGATTCATGACGACTCGACGTTCAGCACCTGGGCACGCGTCTCAATCATATGGAGTGTGTTGCCCGGGAAAACGTCAAGACCCGTAATCTGGAGCAACTCCGGGCCTAGAACAACACCATGTAAAGAGATTCGAGCGTCGTGTTCGTCCCACTTGTCAGGAAATGCTTCCAGTATTACGTCGACCGCCTCTTGCTGGTACACGATCGAGTGTCGTCACGCGGCGTCTTGTTGGTGAAGTATTACGTCGGCATCGGCTGGCATTCTTCGAGACCTGGAGACAGCTCTTTCTCGGAAGAGCCGCTTGCTGCTCCAAAGTTGAATACCGCGCCACTTGCATACGCTCGCCAAAGCTGGGGCAGAGACGTGCCGGTGGTGGCTGTAGCGTTCGTTCATCGCCGTGCGAGGGAGACTGTCGATACTCGATGGTTAGGACGCCAAATGTCCTAGAACGTTGCAATGACAGGTAGTAGCATTCTAGGACTAGTTCTGGCGAGCCATATTCTTCCTCGCTGTTCGGTAAATTTGCGACTGCAATATCTTGTTGGCTCCGTCCGCCTCGATCGATTCGCGGATGGCATCGGCTGGGATTGCAAGCCTTCTATTCGGCTCGGGATGTTCTCGTTCGACCGTGTTCGTCTCGTTCACGCGGTTGTCGACCTGACTGTTGTTGCAGAAGCTTGTTCGACGCGTCGAGAACTGCACCACTGGGAGATGTTACGGATGGAGTCGAGGGGCTCGGTTTGTCTGGATGATTGAGCTGCGCCCTTTCTTCGCCGCTGGTTACGTTGCTGATCTGTTGCGGGATTGTTTTCAAGCTCGTTCTCGTGGTCTACAAAGACAACAATGTGTGCGCCGTGTCTAGTCGCCGACCGTCTAGCGTTGTCTACCCCTCGACAAACGACCCGACAGTGTGATTCATCCGCAAGCTGCGTTGGATGGACACGGCCGGGCGCACAGGTTGCAGGTGTTCTCTAATTGTGGTCAATGTTGCACAAAGCCTGCCATTGTTGATGCCTTTGCGTGTTTTGACGGGAACGCCAGCGTAGAACCCTGCCGCTGGGGCATTATCAAGACGGGGTCCTGCTCGCTTCCGCCGCGACTCGAAATATCTAATACGTGGGACAGCAAATGCTGATATGACGAGAGATGTGGACACGTCTTCTCCGTCAGCTCGAAGTCGGCTCGGTATCCTCGTTCTGTACGCATTTTTCGCAGATAGTCTCCGGCGTCCGGGTGATGGCGAGACCACAAACTCATGTCCCATCTGTCAGGACCCGACTCAGGGGTCGAAATCGGTAACAGGAAAAGTGGCATTGTGGCTTCGGCGTTGCAATGGGGGTGTTGTACGTCGGATCGAGAGGTCAGCGCCCGTGATGTCAACGTTTGACGAGCCGCGAGCTTCGCGAGAGCCGACACGGCAGTGTTGAGCAATATGACCAAACTCGAATTCGGCGACAATTTGGCCCTGCAAGAGACCTTGGGAGCTATCGAGGATTGATGAACAGTTTTATTTGCAGTTTCTTGTTCACGGACGGACCTTGGTCACAGATGATGATTTGTGAGGAGATCGCGATCGGACGGCCAGTCGGGGATCACTGATCGCACAGACGAGACGCAACCACAATTGCGAGACCAGAGGCAAAAGGCACACAGCACTTCCATATGGCTATGGCTTGTCATGGAATAATCTTCCTCAGGGGCAGTTACTACGATCGCAAGCCCGCATTGCCGACTACCTCACCTACCCAAGTGATTACTTGGTAATTAGTTGGGGCCGGTACTGTGGTGCACAGGAAGCCTGCATGCGCCTCTGGGCCAGCGCAGTTCTGGGTTGTCCTACTTCTCTATGATTTTCTCTCCTTATGCCTGGGCGTTTCACTACAGTGAAGATCTGGTGATCGAGTTGGGGCTCAACAGTGGCTTTCTTTGTGGCTAGCCATCTTCCATCATGCCTAGGCGCCTCACTTGGGCAACATACAGGCCGTAACAGGCAGCATCATCCGCAAGCTGAGCTGCTTTCAGCCCAGCGGAAACGATTTACTAATACTATTTAGGACGCGAATACAGCATCTCGACCACCCGCTGCTGTGATTGATCAGGCAGCCTGCGGAAATGTGACGGGCACTTATGCGTCAAATACTTGTACTGAGTAGTAAGTACGGCCACCCATGCTAAAGAGGCCCACACAGTAACACAGTACAAGGAGAACATTCCACTCAGATGCCGCGGAGCAGTCTCCGGAATTCCACCAACCTGGTTGACATCGGCGATGTACTGGAACACCCGACCGCAAGTATAAGCCAAGATGCCCGGATGAGGAGATCGCTCCTCGACCGCTCGTAAGCCTACATGTAGATCAACCAAAAGACCTACACGCCACTACTCTATTGCGACTTGTCTCCGCCCGCCAAGATGCCTGTCCGCCACAAAGTTGCAAGATGCAGCAGTTTCGATGTTAAAGTCGGCAGTACTTCACCATTAGGTAAGCTCACGAGATGGAAGAAGCACTTTCATTGTCATCAGCCAATTCATTGGTCAACTCCCCTGGTGTCACGACTGACGCGGACGTTTGGGCAGCGGGGGCATTTGGTTGCCCAATCCTTGTCCTGCCGCAACGCAAGTGGGATGAATGTTCGGATTCCGTCCACGGTGCCCTTTGCAAGAGAGGAGAAATATGTACATAAGGTAATCAGTGGTAGGACGCCATGCTGAGACAGCGGATACTGCTGCACCAGCACCACGCATGCAAATCGGGAGCTGCGATAGAGATCAACGGGCGCTGATTTGATATGCGTGCTTGCAGTGTTGATCAGGGACTCGTTCCATACACTCATGAGATAACAATGACACGTACGGACACTACTACCGATCGATGTTCTTGGCATGCCTGGAGGTACACGTAGGCTGTAGCTCTAAGCTCGGAGAGTCGCGGTGTCGTTTATTAGCCCCGGAAGACTGGGAGAAGAAAACCCGGTGTGGCCTGGGCTGCACAGCCCACCCTCGCTCGCAGACGCTTTCTTCATCAAGATCGAGACGTAGTCGACATTGTTTCAGACTTTTGTCGACCCTGGCTGCCCGTGAAAGAACGACGAAGCCCTGACGCGATGTTGATGCCAACCATCCCGCCCCTTTCGACGGGCCCCAACAACACGAACAACACGGACGCGGTTCGACAACCTGACCACGAAGCGAGCTGAAAGAATACCATGTGCTTGCTTTCAGCGGAGAGCAGCAGGAACCTCGCGAACGAACGAACGTGGGCAGAGTACAGAAACGACAAACGCAAGAGTCCTTTCGACAAACGACTAAACACACGCGCGGTCTCGTCGCGATCTGCTGAGCTGCTGCGCCGCGAAGCACCCCCGCGCGTTAGAGAGTAATCATTCGCTATGCCCTCTCTCTGGTTGATGGCACGAGTTGGTCGACAACACGTACAAGACAAACAGAGCCTCCAATCGCGTAGACGAGTTACGCGCCCAATGTGCACAGTGCTTCGCAGCGTCATCGAACCCGCGCGTGTATTTATACCTCGGCCAAAGGTCTAAGAGCATTGTGTCTACTTGCCCGAGGCCGCATCGTCCAAAGCTCTTTGCGGCGCCAGAGACCCATTACATTGCTCGCTACATATATAAATGGTACGTACACAAATAGAGACTACCAGGTGTGTCATTGACCACTGGGCGACTGGGGATCTCTCAGGTAGAACCCCGTAGTTCTTCGACGTGTTGAACGAATGAAGAAGATCAATCGAGATCTTGATATAGCGAGGTTATCCTGGACTTGTGACTTCCCCTCTGTGACCGGCCTCTGGCCTCCTTGACCGTAAGACGGTCAAGGTACCGGCGCGTCTCTTAGTTCCCAGCCCTTGATTTTTGACGGTGATCTACATATGCACATTGGAGGGTCTTCGAATGGCCATCAGGTACGTAGACACCCAGATCATCTAGACGTCAGGCGTTTGTCATCCCCAGCCCAGCCTTGCTTGTAGATCTAACTACTTACGTGCGTGCGTACGTACCTGACAGTCCTGACTCGAACCAGCCCCAGAACGCAAAGGAGGGGGCCGCCTTGTGAACAGCCCAGGGGGCCAGCACCATGCCCACGTACGTACAGTGTGCGGAGTTGATACCATATCCGCGTTTCCACTTTGACAGGACCTACATCGTACGTATACCCTTAAAGGGCCAGCAACCCGAGGCAGAATAGCCAGCTCGTCCGTAGGTCTGAACGGAACGACAGGCTCCCATTATCAACATGCGCATGTGCTGTGTTCTTGGGAGAACCCATTTGGATATTGATGACCGCAACGATTCAGCCCCATCTCGATCCCCCTTTTTCTGTGGGCAGCGTGAAATGCAGTAGGTCAATGCAGATTGCGCAGGTCTCGAATGATCCTTCAGCTGGCGTTGGTCTTTGCCATATTTCCGAATGGTAGCGAAAGAAACGTTTGCCTTGGCAGCGTGAGGCCTTGAAAGTGCCTTGAGAGATGCCCCGTGCAACCACTACGTGGATCCGAAGTACAGCCCTTGAGTTGAACTTATTATTATAGACGATTGAGCGTCGTGAGATTTCCAGCTCGGAGACGTTGCATCTCCAACAACTGCGTCGAGGACGGACACTTGTTACAAGATCAGCCATGCCAACATGATACAGCCAAGACGCAAGTACTATGCTTGCCATCACTGCCGCCTCAAACGGTCCAAGGTAAATCATTGGTTCTCTTGATTCTTATACGATGCTCTTTGCGTGAGATTGAAGAAAGCACCGCAGCAACTGCCGCAGCCATACCATGTCGCTTCCGCGCGGACAAGAAACTCCTAGGGCAAGTGACTGTCTCTATGCGACTTGATTGACCTATGGCTATGGGTGAGCTGACGGAAGGGGGGTTGGTCTGTCACTCTTGCTGGTCCACGGAGAGGGACTGGGATCTTGCCTCTCGCAGTCGCAAGGTATGATCCCGTGTCCTTCCCCGTCCAGTCACTTGCCATGTTTTCCCCAATGATTTCCATAATAACGTTTCCCCACTGGTCTGTGCTTACAAACATCAGTGTGATGGACAACAACCTTGTCATCGCTGTCAACTCTGGAATATCGAATGCATCTTCGAAGACCGCGACAAAGAGTCCAAAAGCCAACTACGACAGATTCGAGACAATCTTCTCCAACAAGCAAAGGATGTTCAGACTGTCATCGAGGTCCTGAGATCGGAGGAATACGCTCACCAGGCCATACAGTCATTATGGCGACAAGAAGATCTTTCAAAGATTGCTACCGACTTCGAGAATGGCTCCTGGGATACCGGCGCGTCGACTCCCTCATCCAAACAGAAAGGTCACGTCTCGAAACTCCTCGCACGAAATCACTCCTCAGCCAGTGACCTCGATCCCGTTGATAGTCCTCGCGAAACTCGACCATGGATTCCGACACTCGACAAACTCTCCAACCCCGACCAAGGCAAGCGCTCAGGCGTCACGCGAAAGGAGGGCCCAGAAAGAGCTGCCGAGATTGCCCTCGAGATGGCTCAAAGCCAATGGGACCTGACTGTGGTGGAAACTGGTGACCTTCAGAAGCTGCTGTACACTTTCTTCGACGCGCAGTGTTTCCCCCTCTTCACGATTGACCGACAACTGTTCACCGATGATTTCATGGCGAACCGAAACGAGCACTGCTCACCAGCCCTCTTACGCGCCATACTCGCTCTGGCGTGCAGAATCGAAGGCGGCTACGACGCGCTCGAGTCCCACTATGTCAACCTCGGCGATCGCATGTTCCACGAGTCGAGGGCCCTCCTGGCAGCCGGGGGCCCATCTCGCTTCAGTCTGCCCAATGCACAGGCATTTGGATTGCTTGCAATCCATGAACTAGCCCGTTACAACCAACAAGATACATTGGATCTGATGGAAGAGGGTGTGTATGTTCTGGGCGTGTTGGTCGGGGCGATAGGCGCGCCTCACTATCCAGTCCCAGCTACTGTACCTCTGCTAGCAAAACATCTTCATGGGGCTATAGCTATTGCTCGGTGAGTATCAGCTGTGGTTGAATGACGCTGACAGGGTGGTATGCTAATCCGGCTTTGCTAGGATTGCTCGCATAGCTTGCTCGTCTATCAATCCTCCCAATACCGACGGCACGCGGCGAGAACGAAGTGCTCTTCGTGGTCCCAGAGTGGAAATATCCAGTCGTGAGTTGCCTTCTGGCATCGGAACAGGCTAGGTAGGATTTACTGATGCTGGCCGAAAGTCCTCGACATCTCCGGCGCCCTCGACGAGCTAGACGATCTCGACATATTCGAAGAAACCTTCGCACAGGTGATCGACGCGGTATACACCTTCTCTCGCAATTCAAGAACAAAGGATCAGAAGGACGACCGGAAGACTTTGATGCAAACTTACACAACGTGCCTCGAGTGGTATTCCAAGATCACCGGAGCGCTGGATTTTGGGACTCTGGACCGATCTGTCATCATTTTCACGCAGTAAGCCTCCATTGACGCTGTTCTTCTTGCGTCTCGCTGACTTTGCGGCTAGCCTCGTGTATCACTTCTGCCTGCTGAACCTCTTCCGCCCCTATTGCGACTCGACCCTCGCCGAAACAAACATCGACCTCCAAGAGATCCGGAACGAATCCGCTTCTGCCATTGTCGCCCTCTGCAAGACATTGCACGATTTGATTCCTCAAAAGCGCTGGCATTGTTTCCTGGCCCTGTTTGTCTATGCAGCTGGCCACACAATGGTACCCACGCGAGCCATGCCAGAGCTGACGGCTGGCGACAGCTTCGAGAGCAGAAGCACGCAAAAAAGTACATTTTCCACAGTCCCTTCCATCCTTTTCACTCCCTCAGCAAAGTCAGGCACACTGTCCACCGGCATGACGACGCCGGTGGCAGTGACTGACGACTTGACAGTACCATCTGCCACGAGTGACTTGGATGCACCGGATGGAAAGGCACCTCCTTATGCATTGAAGACATTCGACATTGGAGAGGCTCTGTCCTGTCTGGGAAAGATGAAGAAGATCTTTCCCGTGGCCAGAATAACAGAATGCTGGTTGATCGAGATAAGAGGCACCGACGGTACTCAAGAAGCTTGACCCATTGTCTTGTCTTCTGTTACGTCGTGTCATAAAAGGGGCTATTACTACAAGACGGCGTGGGCTTCAAGGCCCCATGGGACCATGGCACAAAATTGTGAGGAGATCAATATCAATACGGTCCATCAACATTCATTCCATGCTTCTCATTATCGCTACCACCGTGGTTGGCACGGGTTTCAAGCCTTCACATCGACGCTGCCGCTGTGGATACTGCTCTTCTCGGCAGCCGCAGCGACTGACCTCTGCTTCTTATTCTTCATTAGAACAAATGCCACGCCACCGACCACAGCAACAACGCCTAGCGTGACCATGGCACCAATGACACCGGCAACAGCATTAGACATGCCTCCCTTGCCACTGTCCTTGTCGCCCTGGCTGTTGGTCGATTCATTGTCGTAAGCGGCGCAGAAATCGGTTGCCGACTGGCAACGGTCGCACCAGGTGCTCACACCGGTAATTGCCTGGTCATTCATCTTGTCGACAAAGGTGGCGTACGAAAGCGTGTCGTCGCCGGTGCCAAAAAGCGGGAAGGTCTGGAGCTCGCCAGCGGTGCCGTTCTTGAAGAGGAAGCGCACGCGAAGATCATCCTCTGCGGGGAAGTCCTCGCTGTCACCGTCGGCATACAGCTCAAAGGCCATCGTGGAGGCGTACCCGGGCAGTCCGTAAAAGTCCTTGGACACGTCGAGCAAGCCGGACAGGCCAAAGAAGGCCAGGAAGGTGTCGTAGCTGCCAGCCAAGAGGGAGAACTTGAGCTTACCCTCGGAGGTGACAGTCTCGTTGAGCTTGGCGAGGATGGCGCCGGACAGGGTCTCGGCGCCAATGGAGCGGTCGGGCTCGGACTGATTCCAGTTCTTGCCGAGCTCGGCAGAGTCGGCCAGAGTCCGCAGCCTGAGGAAATCCTCGTCAGACACGTTCAGGGCGGCAGACGACTCGTTGTGGATCCGAGCCACGTTGATGAGGTCAAAAATGCTGTACGCGTTGGCGTAGGTCAAGTCCTCCGGCTCAATGTTGTACACATCGTCGGCGAGGATGTCATAAAAGCCCTCATAGAAGTTGCGCGTCTCATAGTCGCGCTGCATGAAGACGTCGCTTTTCTGGAAGGCCTTGGACGACTCGGCATAGCCTGGGCAGTCGTCGTCGCCTTTGATCCAGATAGTGTTGGGCGAGCTGTCGTCGACGCCCTGGAGGAGGACATACTGGTAGCCATCCAGGGGGCTGGTGCTGTTGGTGCCATTGTTGAGGGTCTGGGTGGCCAACGCAGGGGCAATGTCCGACAGAGGCGGGTACAGGCCCTGGAGGAAGGCAGTGGCCGTGTTCATCAAGATGCCCTGGTCGGGCGCGCTGGCAAAGACCTGCGACGGGACGTACTCATCCTCTGAGATGCCGACAATCTGGTGCTCCGAATCGGACTCGAGGTAGCGAGCGCGGTAGTCACCTCCCACTTGGAAGTTTTGCTCAGCGCCCAGGCTGGTGAGCTGCTGCGAGCCGTACCATTTGGTTGTGCCTGGAGGAGGGAGCCGGTCAGTCTATCATTCGAAGCTCGGCGGCTATATGCCCATCAAGGGATATTCACTCACGATCTCCGTGGCGGGAGAACACGACCACGCCGTGGACTTTCTCCGCCGCAGCAGAAGCTGCCGCGCTCAGCAGGAGGGCAGACTTGAAACCCATGTCGACGCAATGAGGCTCACTCGGGATAGATTTGAGGTTCAAATCAAAGGAGGAGAAATGAAAGGAGCTGAGAAGGCGTGCCAAGGATTATAAAAGGCCGGTCGAGCCAGCGAGCCGAAGGCGGTACGGAGTCACAGACGCGGAGGCTGGAGGAGCCCACACCACGCTCGCTCGTGCATCTCCGAATCGGCCGTCGCTGTTCATGGGCGGGCTATTGTTAGCTCGCGGCCGCTAATCCGATAACGGATATGCTACAACTCAAGCCAAGGGGTTCTTTTTTTTCTTTAGTTTTAACTCCCGCAAGCTCAGGCGAGACGAGCGTCGACAATCGGCTCGGCTGGATGCTGACTGGAACCAGATCGCTGACGGGAAAGTGCAGCGATTCCAGCCGACGGTGCTCGCCCCTGGCACCGTATCTTATGAGCTTGAATTCCGTAAAAATTTCGGTTCCCTAGGCCTCATTCGCTTACCGTTTGGAACGATTGTCACCACGAGGTCCATATGGCGCGCACAAGTGAGGGGTTGGAGGTGGATGAAGAGGGGTTCACGGTAGCTTCGATTGGCTTGCCCTGGACCACGATAGGTGGAGGTGCATTACCTACATGTAGATAAGGCGCAAAGTCAAGTACAGTAGGACCTCAAAGATGTGCATCTTCAAGCTGATCTGTACTGGCTTGGCTGTTTGCCTGGTGCCGACGCTCCGACTGACATGGAGCTACACGCGGAGGAGCCCGATGAGATAGCGACGGTCCGAAGCGGGGGTGGTGGAAGTCGCCGCGGAGAAACACTGACATGTCGGGGTCTCCAGTCGGTCGTTAGATTGATTGAGCCCTTTGCCGTTGCTTGTCTCTGATTTGAGAATGTAGCTGCTGCACTTTGGAGTATCTTTTGGTATTCTTCTCCATCGTTGAGTGGCTAGATGAGCGTAGCCCATGATTCGGTATGACTACCCTAGAGCCATGCATTCGCCGCGATGCGCAGCTCGAGAGAGAAATTCATGTCACATGCTGGACAAGCAAAAGTACATCTTTTACTGTGATACTTGGGTGGTTCTTTGATTAGTTGTTCTCTTGTATAGTGGTAATCTAGTGCCTAAAAGACATCGTTCACGTGGGTGGGCTCACGTTGTCAAATGAATAAGTTAGTGTCACTATAACAAGAACAGCTCGACAAAAAAAGAAAATTACTTGAGAGGTGAGGCTCAACTCCTTGGGCTTCGAATTTAATAAAAATATTAAATATATATGATTTCTTGTGCTAATCAAGTCATGAAGCCACATACGGGAGACGACCGCAGGACTCGACATGTCCGCTCATTCAGGGGTTCGTCTGTTTACGCACTCAATTTCCTGCATCTTGATCAACCCATACCGCCCGTCCGTACTCCATTTGTGCTCACATAGCTAAGACTGCGAAATTCTCAGTTGCCGCTTACTTTTGATTGAAGTATAGCTGAGTTTACTTCTTCCTCTAATGCGGCGCCCTGGAGAGGAAGAGCTGAAAGACTCCAGTCACTCGTCTGATGTTCAGAGAAATGGGCATGACAAGCAGAGCTCATTTGATGAACTCACTGTGGTCTTTCTTGCAGTGAAATCCAAGCCCCCGGCTTGGGAGTGTCAAGCCCGCTGTGCGGCCGCTTGCCCTAAGTTTGTCAATACAAACCGGATGATTGTAGGAAGCCAGAAGGCAGGTACATCCCCTGGTGAGTGAGGCTTGAGACGCCACTCAGTCCTCAAACACACGTGATCGTTAAATTACTAGTAAGGTATCTCAAATTCTCGACTGTTTGTATAATTCCTTGTTCTCCATCTCCCACGTCTATTGGCGACTCGCTTCGACATCTCCAACCAGAGAGATCCACAACCCACCGAAAGGTATCATGGGCAACACCTTGGGCGCTGCGACCTACTGTCGAGGCAAAGGGTTGAAACAAGGCCAAAGTCTTGACCCAGACGACCTCATCGAGAAGATGGGCGATTTCATGGACCAATTCAAGGAGATCACGGGTACGGCAGGCTCACGCTGCATCTTGAATACGTGTGAACTAACGACACATAGATGCGGCGTGCGAGATGAGTCTACCAGGAGATAGACGGTCCACAGACCGTCTTGCTGCCTTTATTGTGCTTCAGAAAGAGGAGATGGTCCATCTCGCCGAGCTTCACGATCGATTACTGCACGTGATAGTGCCCGACGACCCGATACTGGCAGAAAAGGTGGCAGAGGAGAAGAAAAAGAGGGCGGAGATGATGCTGTCCGCACGCAATCTCACCTCCGATCGGGGCAACGTTCAATTGCAAGCGGAGCATGACAATGAACAGATGCAATCCATGCATTCCGAAATAACCAGGATACAACTTCAGATCGAAAAGACCGGGCACACGATGCAATGCGTTACCCATCTCCAGGAAGACCTCGCGGCTTCATCCAGACGAGAGCAGATACTGCAGGAGTTGGTACGAGAACTTCCGAGAGGCCGCAATCTTGAAGAGGCAGCAGAGGCCTTTGCGGAAGACCGGAAGTCGGAGCTGGCAAAGGTTTTGGTAAGTAGTCCTGCACCAAGACGGCAAGCCAAATGATCAACGGAGCACTAACTTTGGTGACACTGCAGCGCTCCATGGCCATCACAGTTCCTGGCGAGGAAGCTTCGGAGTCTACCACGTAAGGATGGGAGGCGTTGCTCTGGATATTCAATGAGAGATGTGGATGATGTTGGAGATCATATGGCCTCGGGATGCTACTCGAAGTCGCAGAACATCATCGGGTCTGAACAGGTCTGAAGGACCGTAGGCGGAAAATGTGGCGGCCAGTGATACCAAGTTGCAAAGGAAACTGCATCACAGACTGTATTACTGTTTGAGTACTACTTAATATGCGAGCTCACTAAATTGACAAAATCATTAAATCGTGAAGTTGCTCGTGCTCGTGGCGTCTGAGTGGGATTGTAGCTTGGACCTGTAGAGCTCATACATGTGGATGCGAGACTCGCAGCTTCCTACGTGAGAATTTGGAATTACAGAGTACTTCATCTGATCATCTTGAATGTGCCCTAGAAGTGGTGCTCTTTCGGGCTAAGGGGTGAGCACACTTCGAGTTTTCACACCAAGCTGAGCTCAAGACCATTCAAACAAGCATCTCTTCTTGTTACAAACACACAAAACCTCACAATTGCAATATGTTCATCGTTCACCTATCTGCACAGTCGACTGCAACGCAGTGTAGTTGAGCTTGTCACGCAAGCGCTAACATGGCTAGCAAACGCAGGCGTGACACCACCACTGCCATCGAGGATTTCCGTGCAATCACCGAGACGACCAATTTGAAGCCCATGCTGAGTCTTCGCAGAAAGTACAAATGGCCATCATTGCCACTCACGCACACGGACCGTTGGGAAATAGAAACTGAGTTGAGAGAATTGGACACGCTGATGAGATATCAAGAAATGAAAATCAATCTGAATCGAGCTGGGGATCCGCGCAACGAGCATGCTCTAAACCGGGCCCGGATAAGAGACACCTTGAATGACGCAAGGTTGATCAAGAGGTTGAAAAAGTCGCTGTCCACATACCTTCGCGACGCCCTAGACACCAACGGAGCCCAAGACATCAACGGCGACCCAGAGGACCCAGGGGCTGCATTTACCGAGCCTGCCGCCAAAAGGCAGAGAAAAGACCGAACTCCAAAGAGAGCGGGCAAAACACCTACGAAGCGATCAAACCACGGTAATCGAGGTCAAATTCAAGAGACCGACGGGGCGGAAGCTTGCGGACAAGGAGAGTTTCGAAAATCTCAACACGCTACAGGGAAGGGGTCAGAGACGAGCAAACGCAAGAAGAGAGGCAAGGGAGGAATAACATATCACACAGCGAGACGCGAAACAATCGCCCTGACGGAGTCGCCCAGGTCTTCGGCGTCGATTGCCTACTCTTGGCTACCAGAAGGAGAAAGACCGGATTTCGTCGTCGAGCCCAAGACCGAGCAGCTCGCAACTTCAAGCCCTCAAACCTGGCGCTTCAACAAGAGCGAGGCAGAGTTCGACATGTCAAGACACGATCTACCAGGCCAGCCAATATTTCAAAGAGCAGCCACCAGTGACGGCGCTACCCATGTTGCCTCGGGCAATCACTATTCATCGAGCCACGAAGGATTCTTGGCAATGGTCAGTAATCGCTTCTATGATCTTAAACAAGATGCTTCATAGAGCTGACTTTGAACAGTTTCCGGACGGGCAGTGGGCGAGCACGTCTGGTGCCAACGGAAATCACAGAAAACGGGCAGCTACTGAGCAGGTGTACGACGATCCAATACCTAGTGGCGAAACGCGAACAGAACAGCGCAAAGCTTCTGTCAAGAAGGAGAAACTGGCGATGCCAATGGTTCTCATCGACTTGACCGACGAAACAGAAGCCTTTCAACGGCATGCATCAGAAAGCAGTAAAGATGGAGAGGATTGCGATGGGGAAGAGATGCTGCCACAGCAGGGCGCCGAGTTCTTTGATGAGACAACCAAACGCAAAAAGTTACTCCTTATCGCACAGCGGCAAAAGGAACGCCTAGAGCTGTGCGAGACCAATGAGAGGAATCGAGCGGCCGTGAGCAACAACTTGAACATCTGTCTCAGGGAAAGCGGACTTCGGGAGACAGAACTCAGGGCAAGGCTAGACAAAGCCAACAAGGAGATCAGGATGCTCCACCAGAAGCACACTGCTGCCGATAGTATGGGAAGCGAAGCGACTGCCTCAAGGAGAAGTCTCCAGACAGAGCTTGCCCGGCAGAAGAGCGAACACGAAGCTGAGATGGAGCACTTGCGTGTCGAAATGGCCAATCAGAGCAGGGCTTTTGAGGCAGAGCGATCCGCTTGGAAGAAGAAAATGGGATACAATACACACGCTCTTAACGTTGCCCTACAGGGGAAAGATCGCGATGAGTTCAAGCGATTGCTGCTCAATTCGTATGAGCAACAGGTTCAAGAGACCTTGGTGGGTTATATGATGTTGGATTATGGGAATGTTGCTGACCATCGCTAGGAAAATCTATATCTCGACCCCTGAAGAGGCACTGCCCTATGTCGAAGTGACGATCAATCACGAACGACAACTGGCGTTGCGGTCATGGTGCGTGCTGTGGGATTTACAACGGAGGGGCATTGGGTCCGAGAGGAAGAACTGTATGGATCAATCGACAGCTAGATATGTATTGGATTATTTGAGTTCTGTTCTGTCAAATCGCAGCAAACAGGTTACCTTAACTGTGTGCAATCTACATGTACCCATGCGTTTGTGATATCTCTGAGCAGGTTCTCTCACCCGTCACTGAGTGGAAAACATCAACGATTGCGAAGACATGGCAAATCAGGGCAAAAGTCTTCCTTCTCACTTGACTTGCCGGCGTAAAGACCATCCGTTCCGTTGATGCCCTGACCCTAAAGGATGAGATGAAAAGGGGTGACTGCAGGCACTATAGCGTCACATTTCCGTCAGCCTGCTGATGCATTTCTCGATTCAACCGACTCTGGGAAAAAGTCCTCTCTTCGAGCCAAGTTCAAGACTTCTCCTACAAATCGCCCCTTTTCCATTTCTTGCTCTCATCTCACCCAATTACCATGAAAAGGCGTTGGCAAGGCGATCGACGCCCGGCTCAAGCCAACACATCTTCCACCCAAGCTCACTCGGATCCTATTCCGCCTGCCAAGATCAAATTCGAGACCTCTTCCGATGTTGACACAGACGACTCCGAAGGTGAACAAGCGTCAGAGTCTGCCATCACAATGAAGGAGCCTGAGCCTAAACGAGCACGGTTCGACCAGGGCGCGCCCAGGACTCCGTCTCAACCACAGCTTTCTAGTCCTAACACAGCGACTCCCCGATGGGCACCTTCACAGCCCAGAGCTTCATTCAAAGATCCACGCAACGTGGTTCCCCATATTCCGCATATTGTCACCCCGGTCCCTCTACCTCACCGGCCAGCGTCGCCCCGTGTTGCCCCTACCAGCAACAACCAGCATCAGTTTCCGCAGGCACGAAGTCGACACTATGCCCCAAACAACAAAAACGAGCGGAGACCTTATAATCCGCCGACTCCCCAGAATCACTCCCGATTCGACCAGCTTCCAGATGCAGACCGCCCCGATCCGTCCTTGTATTCTCAGGTCGGGGACAATGCAAGCAGACAAACTCTTTTTCAACGTGCGAATCAGCGCGGTCAGTTCATCCAAGCGCATATGCAAAGAATCCAGCAAGTCATCATGAAAGAAAAGGAGGTAAACGAAAGGCTCGCTACCGCCAAGAAGGAATCGGAGCAACAGAAGCAGGAGCTAGAGCAGCTGCGGAAACAGCACGAAGAAGACAAGCAAAGCCTCCAGAATCAACTCGACGAGCAGACGGCATTTGGCAAGGACATGCAGACCAGAAAGAACAACATCCTCGCAAAGAAACGCTTGCACAAGAAGGATGCCGAAGAATTGCGAGGGGAAACAGCGACATTACAAGAGAAACTGAAGGCTTCGGAGGATGAGATCGCCTCTTTGAAGAAGTCTATCACCCAGACGAAAAAGCTGAACGCGGATCTAGGAGTAGAGAAAAGGGCTTTCAAAGACAAGAAACTTGAGCTGAAGCAGACGGTCAATGAGTTGACCCAGGAACAGACCGAACTGAAGCAAAAAGTGGACACGATGTCCAGGGTCAAGGGCGAGTTGGAAGCCAAAATTGGTTCCCAGGAGAGGTTCATCAGCTTCGTCCTAAATGGCCGTAGTGTCGAGGATGTGGAGAGGGAGATGACAGAGTCGTACCGCAAGCAGGTGCGCGATGCACTGGTGAGTGATCAGATTGATGTATGTTTGAGCATGAGCTTTACTGACACGCCACAGCGTCCGATAGCATCTCACAGCAGCCCGCGCGCCCCGAAGCCCGAGAGCTCGTGATTGCACAGGCGGGGGGGAAATGACTTGGCCAGGGGATTGGGAAACAACTGTTTGTGCAGTGTTCTTATCCAGAAAACGCTCATCTCGATTCCATATGTCAGGGTCATATTTTTTTCGTACCGGCCACATGGCCATATCTATTCCCGTGTATACGTCCCTCTAATCGTGTAGTCCTTCTTCGGCCCCTTGACAGTATACCCAACATCCCACTCTTTCAAGTTCACAGCGTTAAACTTGAACCCATACTCGACATCATAAAAGTCATCAATACACAAATGCCCAGACTTGGCCTTCCACCCATCGTCCCGGTTCTCCGGGACTTCAAAGTCGATCTCGTGGAAGAGATAGTCGGCGCGCTTCAGGTCATCAGGCTTGACAAACCAGACGCTCAGCTTATCCGTGGCGTCGTCGTAGCGATAGACATAGCGCCTCGTCGCGGTGAATCCAAAGCCCAAGTCTGTTTTGAACTCGCCTTCTTCAATGTACAGATACTCCAGACCCTCGTCTGTCACGGGCGCTGGCGTTTCGCTGCCTGCGCACTGCAGACCGTCGGTTGTCTTCCTTCGGAGGAGAAATTGTGCTTTGCCGCTAAAGTGGCCACTGGGATGTGTAGGCAGCTTGCTGACGAGGTCGCGCTCGAGACGCCACGTCCCCAAGAGACTGCGAAAGACGGCTTTGGCGACGAATCTTGGCGTGGTCATACCATCGAGCGCCACTTGCCACGCATCCTTGAGCGAGGCTTCCGTGTCAGAGTTGTCCTCACGCGGGTCTGGGTAGCGTGATGGCATTAGAGTGTTCAGGGGTTGCTGGTTGTGCGACAAGGCCGGTAGAGACGTAGTCAACGGCGGCAGCTGGGGGATCTCCAGGGCCTGGGCCATCTCTTGCATCAAGAAGGGGTAATCACCCATGGGGAACTGCGAGCACCGAGGGTCGTCCCTCAAGTCCAGCGTCCGCTGCATTGACACATCCTCGTCCAGTTTCTCCCGCATGATGGGCGACATCTCACTCTGGGACCAATATCGCGCCAGGAAGCGGGCTTGCATCTGCATAACTCCCCAGTAAGGCGAGCGGTAGAAGCCGACAAAGCCAAGGTTCGAGACGGAGGGATGATGCGTGCCGTGGAAAGCAAGGGCGACTGGCTGGTCGACGTGTTTGGGAGAGTGGCTCAGCGCTTGAAGCACACTCTCGGGAAGGAAATCGATACAGGGTGAGGGATCAAAGCCAGTCGCTGTCACAACAGCCGCAATATCATCCACCTTTTCGCCAGATGGACTGAGCGTCGCAGTTGTGCCATCCATAGTATCGAGCCTGCCCTTTGAGATTGTGATGAGCCCTGAGCGGACAAATTCAGCATACCAGTCGCTGACGGCGAGGTATGGTTGTGACCGTCGGTCTTTGTCACCGAATCGGAGGTGGTCCGAATAGGGGCTCTGATCAGTGCCAAGCGCGCGTTGGTAGATGTTATGGATTATCTTGGCCGCGTCTTCCGATATGTGACCCTGTGTGTTGACGAGCTGTGCTGGACGGTTGCTGAGGTTGTATGATGCGAAATCGAGTGGCAGGAAAGGGGCAGCCGCTTTACCAGCCTGCTTGGTCAGTGAAACGTACCCCCACGACAGGTAGAGCACATACCTCTGGACTGGTGTAAAGGGGGAACACCCAGATCGGCCTTTGAATGATATGATGTATCGTGTACTTGTCAATGTCCTTGATGCCAGAATCCTCCGACGAGTGGATGGCGGATGACAGGTGTGTGGCAATGGTACCTGCAATCTCCACACCAGACATCTGCCCTCCCACCACCAAGATTTTGCCTCCGCCTGGCCTTCCTTCACCAAGTAACCCCTTCAGGTCCCGATACGAGCTGCTATGCATCACGGGAACATCTTTCGGTGACCGTAGGCTCTGTGGGATGATGGGCCGTCCAAAGAACCCAGATGCGACTACTATGTAGTCAAACGGCCGCTTCTCCTCATCTTGGCCTTCCTTGCGCAGGACAACGTCCCAGCCATCGTCCGTCTTGTCCGTTCTGATGACTTGTGTCTCAAGCTCCAGCTGGAGACTATCTTCTCCAGCGAGGAAACGGTTCAGATAGCGCTTCAAGTAACAACCAACCTGCCAAGCCTGGGGCAGTTGCGGTGATCCTTCCTCCCACGCGTGCTCACTGAAGTGCATCGTGTGTTTGCTCTGATTGGCAATCATGAGAGGGTGCACCTGTCGTTCATTGTCATCCCTCGACGTCGGCCATAGCCCGCCAATATCATGCTTTGAGTCGACGAGGGTGACTTTGAAGGTGCCCTTGGGCGCATTGTGTAGTAAGCTCTTGGCAGCCACGAGGCCCGAGGGTCCAGCGCCTTGAACGGTCAGCGATTCTGCGAATTGGGTTCAGCCATCGATTCATGCAAGCTCACCAATGACACACACTGATTTCACCATTCTGCACAGCGACGGCGACATCCGAGGTCGTCAAGGTGTGCTATGGAGAGTTCGTGCTGGTGAAAGTGGGCACGACCAGGCTCTATATCATTTGGGCGGGCGAGCCAACGATGAAGATTCACTCAAGGTTAGCAGCCCAGTGAACGGCACCCGAGTATCATCAAATCAATCAGCACCGTGGTCGTTCTATGATGTGATCAAGCGGGCTTAGCGTGCGAGCCAAAGCGTGCTGCTTTGTCAGCAACGGAGGGCGGGCTACCCTAGGGCTACAGGAAGTAATTACAGCGCATTCTCACAAAACATCTCGAGCAACAAGCATCGTGACGCTGCATCACCCAGAATCTCGAGATCAAACGCCAACGCCGACAGCTGGACGGGCTCCACGCCAAAGATGCAATCGACCAGTCGCCCGCAATGGTCTTCTTTGTCCCGCAGGCGCCCCGTTGAGGACCCTGAGGTGGACTCGTGAGTCGTGAGCGGAATGCAAACGGAGTCTCGGCATGTCGTCATACGTTGTCCATGCTCACGTCAAGCCAGTTGAAGCTCCAGATGTATAAGTAACTATCTCGTGGCCGGTACAAGCCAGATTCTACCAACTTGACAATACATTGAATTTACATATCATCTAAACCATCACACGTCCAACATGTCCCAGCACGTCCTTCTCCTCGGTGGTCACGGCAAGATTGCCCGGCTCCTTACACCACTCCTCCTCAAGCGCTCGTGGACCGTCACATCCGTCATCCGCGCGAAAGAGCAGGTTCCCACCATCGAAGCGCTCGGCAAGGGCGCGCCTGGAAAATTGAATGTGTTGCTGAGCAACATTGAGGATGTTGACTCTCAGGACAAGGCAGACAAGATCCTGAAGGAGGCCAATCCGACATATGTTGTCTTCGCTGCCGGTGCCGGGGGTAAGGGTCCCCCTGAAAGGGTAGGTTGAACACGATCAGCAACGCTTTATTTGACTTGGCACTCACAAAAACAGACCTTTAAGGTTGACCGCGACGCGGCCACGCACTTCATCAATGCGGCCGCCGGCATCCCTTCCATCACCCGCTTCCTGCTCATCTCCTACCTCGGCTCCCGCCGCCAGTGCGCTTCCTGGTGGGCCGCGGGCGATTGGGACAAGTTCAACAAGGAGGTGAACGAAGGCGTTCTGGCCAACTACTACAAGGCCAAGATTGTGGCGGACGAGGTCCTGTACAAGGCCGGCCAGTCGGGTAAACTGACCACCGTCGGTCTCCGCCCAGGAACTCTGACGGAGGAGAAGGCCGGCAAGGTCACTTTGGGCAAGACGAAGATTTCCGAAAACGCAAGCCGGGAGAGCGTCGCCAAGGTGGCAGACGAGTTGTTGGCGGCAGATGGGCTTAAGACCTCCTGGATTGACTTGACCGACGGCGATGAGGAGATTAGCAGTGCTGTTCAGCGTGTCGTGGCTGAGGGCGTCGACACATCCGAGGGCGAGCCCGTCCGTAGCTCATAGGCGTTGACAGGGTTTCTGACCGCTGATTAGCGTTGGAATTCCATGCGCGTCGCAAATGTAAGAGTTCTGCAGTGTGCAAACCATGAAAGTCAATGGCAATAGCCTCTGATCGGTCTGGCCTTCTGTCATACAGACTCAGAGTAGCGTTCCGCGCGTAAAGGTGAATTGCCTACCCTGCTTCTGGGCGATGCCGCAGCACGAAGCATCCAGCCTCCAGGATCTTCTGGGCTTTAGAGACGTTACTATTGATTTCTTGAATGAAGCCTGTTACGGGAGTCGGCGCCTTGATCTGCAATCATTGAACGCCCATAGATCCACGTTGTATAAACGCGCCGCGCCCGCGCGTTGTATTCCGGAGTCCGCGTGCATTATTGTGTCCGACTCCGTCCTGCGTAGCTGTGCATGCGCTTATCCTTTGACGTCGGCCACACGATCCTCACCACCTTCACAGTCACTACCTAGCTCGCGAGACGAGTTAATACCGCGTAACAAGATGTCAGACAAGCCCGTGACCAAAGGCCACGATTGCCTCATCCCTCTCCTGGGCATTGTGCCAGCGCACACGCCCAAGGACCTCTACTCGTCCAACGTCGAGCACTTCCAATCTACCGAGGCTACCGCGCCACTCTTTAAGCAAGACACCATCCCCGTTATCTTGCCAGCGTTCAATGCTCCTTTCCCACATCGCGAGCAGTTTTTCTCCAAGACATTGCGCCACGATGAGGGCTTGACGCATATGCTCTCTCTCTTCACGAGACAAGGGGATAATGTCGAGAACCCCGAAACCATTGTGAAGGAGATGTATACACTGGCCACGGTGGAGAGGGGGTTGAGCGGCGCGCCAAACATGCTACACGGAGGCGTGATCATGTCGCTGGTTGACGAGGCCATGGGCGCCCTGATAGAGATCAATCGCGCCCTGGGCAAGAAAGGGGAAGTATTCACGGGCCTGGGCGTCACCGCGGGCCTGCAGATCAACTTCATCAAGCCAATCTTTGTGGGGACCACCGTCACGGCCAAGGCAACTATGGAAGGGTCGAGCGGGCGGAAGATGAACGTGAAATGCGAGGTCACAGATGAGGCGGGCGATGTAGCGGTGCGATGCTCCAGCGTGTGGGTTGCGATCAAGCCGAAGTTCTGAAGAACAAGTCATTATGTAAATGCATGTGGTAGAATACACACGCAATAATTGCCAGCCGTGTCGAGCTTCGTCATTCAAGATACCATAACACTGTGTTCAAATGTCAGGCTGCGCGTCCTGGCTCGACTCGCCCTTCTTCCTGCCGCTACCCGGGACCATTCTCTGCACGGCCGCCTTCATCTTGGTAGGATCCTCCAGTGTTGCATAGGCGGCCTCGCGCTTACTAGGCTGTCCCTGTTGCCACGTTCCGTCGCGGTCATTAAGGTCGCTTTCAGCCGAGCTCAAGCTGCTCTGGGAGTTGTTCATGACGACGTTCATGATTCTGCCTTCCGACTTCTTGATGGCGGTCTGCTTCTCCTTGAGCTTCTTGAGACGCTCATCACCGCAGTCCATGACCACGATGCCCATGCCAGGGAAGTTCTTCTCGAGAAAGTCTTTCAGAAGAGGGAGGATGCGTTTGTCCGGACGGTAGGTCCCCGAATCGTTGTCGATGATGAGCTGGTAGTACGCCGGGTTCCCAGGGGGTGGGCTCTTGGGTGGTCCGCCAGGGATTGGTTCCTCCGGGTGAGTCTTCTCATTGGGCTCGGGATCGTCAGAAGCATGGGGGTGCTTCGTACGCCTGATGAGGAACTCGCCGGAGCAGGCAATGTACGTTGCGACATCCGAGTGCATGGTGTGCTTGCTGAGCAGGTCGATGCCAAATTCTTGGCCGGTTTCGGTGAATCGCAATAGTCCGTCCAGCGTGAGGACATAGGTGAATATGCGACCTCCTTCATCAAAGTGAGCTAGCCTCAGGAAGGTCAGGGACGCTTCTTCTGTGCACGACTCGAATGAGTCGTACTCCGTGGACTTGTCAAAGTTGTAGACACGATGGTGCTGTTTATGCAGTGCTGCGTTGAGGACCTTGCCGCGAAGGCCTTTCGAGTTGAACATGGAGCCAATGATGGGCTTAAACTCAACGTAGCGATGGTATAATCGCGACGGCACCGGACCTCGCAACTGCATCTCATTGGCTTGGAAACTACTACTGTCAGTTCGGAATTTAGACATGCCTGGAAGCATACTTACTCATATTTCTGCGTCGATCTTTTTCGCTCCCCACAAGTCTGTCCCTCGGGGTCATCGCTTGAGTCTCTGTTGACCTTTGTGCCCGTGATAAGCCGTCCGATCATCGGACTAAAGTGCTTGAAGTAGAACGACGGCCCAATGGTACACATTTGCGCATATGGCGGGTCAGAGGTGCCCAGCACTTCCATACTAATGCAGAGCCGGGGCGTCATGTCGAAACTGTGATGCTTAATCCCAGAAATGGTTTTGAGGATGAAAGCTCGCTTGCTGATCATCCTCTTCTTGGCATTGAACTCTCGTCCAGGTCGTGGCATGCCCTCCCACTGCTCAAATACCCGAGGAACTTTGACCGTGACGTTACCCAGACGGTCATTTCGATCAGGGTAATCCTCATCGTACATCCGGCATTTCAAGGTGAAGCCTCCAGGCGGCACGTTGGCGACGATCCATTCGCTCCTCCATTCGGGTTCAGTCGTTCTCCTGAGAGTACGGGTACGATGTACCAGATCCGGGTCCTCCTTATGCCGCTTGGGCTGGGTTCCACGTAGAGTCGCTGTGAGAAACGGATCCGATGAGGCCGTGTTAAAGTCGGAGGGCGGAAGATTCTTTGCATACTCAAATGTGAAGCGCACCGTATACCCTTGCGGCGCGTCTGGAAGTGGCATCATCGAATCCTCCCGGCGGTCCCTTTCTGGTGAGGGCTCGCAGCGGAAAGGCAAATGACCTGGTTTTTGGCGGGGACTTGAGTTGCCCACTTGGTGTTGTGGTAGCAGGCGCCGTCTTGCTTTTCTTCGCATCTCTAGCAGCGCCATTCTGATGAGTCGGCTCCTCTGCTGTCCCGCCGGTCTGCGCGTGGCCGTTCTGGTCAGGCGTCGCAGCTGGCACAGCGCTGGATGTCTCCGCTTGTTGGTCGGTCATTGTCGCCAAACTCTCGCTCAGCCTCGAATCGGATTGATTATATATGAATGTCGCACTGTCGCCAATTGCTGGGAATCACAAATACACGGGTAGCGACCTGAAGCAAGCACAGGGGGTATCATTGTAGATTGGAACTCCAAGGACGTTTACGTAGTCAAGAAAGCAGAGAGTCGCGCTCACACCCGGTAAAGACTGTAGGAGGCAGAGAGGTATTAGCGAGAGCAAAAGAGTTCGGCTAACACGACCTGGAGACACAGCAAGGTGAAGTGGTGGTGGTCTCGGCTCCGGCCTTTTTGGGGGGGGCGCGCTGGGAGTCATGCCATTATAACAAATGACCTGCTGCTGCTTATCATCGTGTTCTCCGAACAAGTCGACAGTCGGACAGCGACAGCCACAGACAAGCTCATTAGCCCGCCCCATCTTGCATGTTCTTGGCGACGAGCATCGCAAGCTGCGAGGTTGGTCGCACCTGTTTGGGCGCGGCGCAAAGATTACGTCATTTGCGGCATCGTCAGTTCCGGAGAGCGGGTGACGAAAATAAACGCACAGTCGACGGTCACACACACCTCTGACCACACTACTTTTAATGTGTCAGTGTTGCTTAACGTGACACATGCGGCCACTAGCCTGTACCTTTGCCCATCCTCTAAGAAAAATTAAAAGTCAACTTCTCTCATCTCACATGGCGGTAATCGGCTAGAAGTTGTGTCAATTCCCGTGCCGGCACGTTGTATCCGACCTCGACGCGTGGCCTTTACAGAGTGCTCCAAACTCTTGGCATTATTGTCTCGAGACACCTCGTAGACAGGCGAGCTTTGTTGGATCAATTGCTAGAAAAGAGATCATATTAAGTTATCAATCGGTGTACGATCTAGGGGAGGACTGTCATCTCACTACGTGACCACGAAGCACCCATTGAGCGAGCGAGTGACACATTTGCCCAGCTCATTCATGCATGTGGTCTACAGGATTCTCGCCAGCTCGATTCAGCACGTTGATCCACCCCTGTTTACGCGGAAATGAGTATGCAACACTCCAAGCTTTGTGCCAAGCTCAATCAATCTAGGCTTATTTCCGTGGGCTTTATAATTTCATCAATTCTCACATCTCAATTTGAGTCATAGAGCGTTAGCAGAAGCCTGAGACCCCGTCCCTCCTCTACACAAGTGGATCGGGGCCAGCCTCTACGAGTACGTTACGTACCTTACTTGGGACACTCAGACATACAGTTCTAGCGACAGTACTTTCTATATCTGCTTTTGAGCGTCTGGATAGTCTATAATGCTCATGTCGGGATGCAGTCCAACTTCCACTTTCATCAATTCGTTCAAGCTCCTGCAGAAAGACTCTCTCGGCTCCAGTTTGCGCTGCGCGGTGCCTTTGATCGACGTCTTCGTAGACACCCGTCGAAAGAGCTTGACCGTATTTTTCTCTTGGGTACTTATGAAAATCTGCCAGAACCGGAGAGCTGTGCCACTTGAGCTTTCCAGGACCAAAACTTGGGCACTGAGAGTGCCCAAGTTGGCGCGCGTTTCGTCCATCCCACGACCAAGCCTTTCGCCATTCCGAGCGCCAGCACGAGTGAGTGCTTGCTGAAAATCCAACCGCCGCTATACTTTCTTGAATTTGGCTTTGCTTTCGCGTATTCACTTACAAGCCGACCACAATGTTGACAAAGGCACCCCTTTTCCGAAATCAAGATCCGCCCGCTTACCCTACGCAGCTCTACGGGCCAGCGTTTAGCAAACCGCGGTAATGACTTGACACTCGCAGTCTTCCCGCGGAAGTTGTGAGCAACGTGTTTCGATCCAACAAGAAATGAAAACGGGCTGTCGTTAAATCTTTTATCGGGAATGGGTATTGTAAAGCTCTAGTCAGCCATTCTCCAGCGCATGACCATACTTGCAAACGGACGTCAGACGTTGGCGCCCACCAAGCCCAGAAGAACCGCAACATACTTATCGATCAATCATTCAGTCTGAAACTTGACTCTCGGGCACATGAGGGTATCCCCAGCTTTCAACAGCTTCTGATACCCGAGAGATAATCCTTATCGATAGAGGATGAGCCCTTACGCAGCGTTGGCAGTTACTCAATCTGCGGCCTGTTTCGGGTGGATTGAGGAAGTCGGCCCCGTGGATTGAGTAAAACAGAGGCCAGATTGGATTGGATTGACTAGATTGACTAGATTGAGTTATTGTCTGACTCAGCAGAGGCTTCTCACTGATTTATAGTTATCAGGCTCTAACACACTCGACTTGTTCAAAAATCTTGTCATCGATGAGGCCTTGGGTCTTGAGGTTGAGGGCATAATTACTCGGCAGGGCCGCAGGGGGCAGCCTCGAGGCTCGCCGGCTAATAGGCGGCCGCCTTCGGCCTAATAAGTGGGTCGGCTAAGGCACTGGCAGTCTGGCACTACACTGGGCCACTAGCGGCGCTGGCACTGGCAGGTGGCCGGGTGGGTCCGGTCGAGGCAGGTGGGCTAAGGCAGGTGGGTCACGTGAAGACCCACCTACCGATCCAACAGCTACCCTATACTTACAACAGAACACCAAAAACACTACGAATTATTACTAAATATACGCTAGAAAGGGTATTAAAAAATATTAAATAGCTGCCTACTTAGATTGACTTTAACTCAATCTGCTGCCCGCTTGGATTGAGTGGATTGAGTAAGGTAAAAAAGGCCGGATTGGATTGAGTTGAAGACTGATTGAGTAGGTCTAGATTGAGTAACTGCCAACGCTGCCCTTACGTTACCAACCCCTCACCGTACCTGCCCTTAATCTTGTGGCGTCATTTGCCCCGCGCCGCACTTCCCGCCAGCCCCGCGCTGATCTGCGCGTCTATTGGCGCACTGCACAACACCGACCACTGAAGGAGGATCTATTGGCCCTGCGTCCTTCGAAGCTGATCCAAGCTCTTCCTCTGCAGCAACACGGTTTTCCATCACACCATCACACACTTTGTACCACCCCAAGAACGCTGTACAACCCGAAATCCGACATAATGGGCGTTGAGAAGATTGTCCACGAGGAAGGCCAGGGCGATGCCGTCCAGAAGGGCCAAACCGTCACCATTGCCTACACTGGTTGGGAGAGGGCCAAGGGAACATCCGAAAACGTCTGGGAGAAGGGCTCCAAGTACGCCGTTCCGTCAAATTCGTGCCACTGGCTGGCATTAACATCTCGATAGGTTCGATTCCTCGGTCGACCGCAACCAAGACTTCGTTGTCCCCGTCGGTGTTGGCAGGCTGATCAAGGGCTGGGATGAGGGTATCGTCGGCATGAAGCCTGGCGAGAAGGCCACTCTCCACATCACCCAGTGAGTACATCGAAAGAAGACATGTCGAGTAGGACAACCGCTAACAGCGCAGTGACTACGCGTATGGGCCTAGGTATGAATTGCTGTTACACCGCAGATGACGCAGACTAACAACAGTGTACAGGGGCATCCCCGGAGTCATTGGCGAGGAAGCCGATCTCATTTTGTAAGTGCCGGTCTGTATCAGCACAATATGCACGGCTGACCTTTTCATAGCGACGTCAGCCTCAAGAGCTTCAAATAGAGAGACCTATTGAGGTGTTGATTGTGACAGGAATATAGCCTTAAAAAGATTCGTACCGCGGGCCAAAATCGGTGCCGTAATGCACAAATCAACATACAAACAAATCATTGTCTGACGCTTATTCGTGGTCGCGACCTATAAGTAGATCATTGTTTCCGCCGTCTTAGACTCTCCACTGTCGAGTCGGCCTTGTACAGCGCCGCGTGAAGAATGCATCGTACAGGTTCAAAGTATGCACGACCTACATAACGACATTTTTCCAGTTGTACGCAGATCCTGGGTTCAATCAGTCTCCCAAGTGGTTGGTGGTGGCGCGCGCGCAGCATGGCGGCAAACGCTTACAGTTGATTTGGCATGCGCGAGGGCTGTGCCACGCGACCTACATCTGCGGCCCAAGTGCTGGACCAGGCCGACCAACATGCGCAAGTCACGACTTCATAAGCGAGTAATCAACCGCTGTGTAACTCAAGATGTTGTGTTACTCGAGAGTTTTTCTATATCGAAACTTCACACTAACATGTGACTTGGCGACAACTTACGTGCCTACATGGATCCATTGTCGATTGTTGCGGGTGCGGCTGGGTTTGTGTCCCTGGGAATCCCTATATCGAAAGATTTGATGGAATTTTGTGACGACTACCGGGGACTTGACGAGGACTTTGGGACCCTATCTAAAGAAGCGGCATTCCTGAAGAACCAGATTCAGTGCACTGAGCGCCAGATGAACCGCTGTGAGGGGATCGACAAAACACTCCAAGAGTCGCTGTATTCACTGCGTCAACGGGCAGAAGAATGCCAACATGCATCCGAAAAGATACTGTTTAAGATGCAACGGAAAAACTCGGGCAACTGGATTCAAAGGCAAGGCTCAAGGTTGAGGTATCCCCTAGGACCGAAGCGCAAGCTTGAGGATGTGTTGCAGCAACAGCAGCAGTTTGTGACAAAGATCAATCTGCTTCTCGCACAAAGCAACATGTATGCTTTACCGCAACCGATCACATATTTGTGGCTAACATATCTGTAGAAATGAGACGATTGCAACGAGGCATAGCAATGAGATGGCATCAGAGCGGTTACTTTTAATATCGGATCGCCACACAGAGCAAATAACCCAGATTCTGGACTCCATTGGGCAATGTTCGAGGACAGAATTGCTGCAACAGATGGAGAAGAACATCCTCGCAGCGATATCGAACCGATCGGTCAACATTGCTCACACCGGGGGCGAGAAAGAGATGGACATGGTCACATCGTCCGTAACTGACGTCTCAACTCGGTACGACTCAGCGTCACTGCGTCCTCGACACCACAAGCGCAACACAAGAGCAAACCAGACATCCAAGATGCGCCTTGCCCAGAACTCGAAAATCACTTCGAAACGCTTCACCGGCGACTTTACCGTTTTCCAACGGGCTGTCAAGTGGGATGTTGCAATCAAGCATTCGACCAACGGCGTGTTTCAGAGTCTCCAGATTTTCCCGTCGCTCAGCATCCAAGGCGTGGTACGCTGGGACTCACCAGCATTTATACTCTTGCGAGAAACTGTGCCACAGGTCATAGATTGGCATGCCGCTGATATAGTGGTCCGTCGTGCGCAATTGCGCAAATGCCTACAAGACATTGAGGGGCTTTACACCGCCGGGGAGGCGTCACCAACTGATATTATCCCCGATGGAAATGATCTCTTATCAGTAAGAGCCGTCCAAATGAGCTTCCGAGATATGGGCTGATACATAATTAAGCTTGCCATACGCACGATGGTCGACCATTTGCGCAGGGACCCTCCACCAGGCACGTCCGACATGAGCCGGATCAGAAATGATCTGGAAAGGGAACATGAGCTGCGAAGAGAACTGATATCAGCGCTACAAGACTTCGGCATGGACATTAACAATGGTAAACACCTCCAAGATGAGTCTCTTGTGTAAGTCTACTCAGACACTTGTGTCAATAGCCTGGTAGCTGACTCTTCATAAGGTTGGGAAAAGAAAGGCACCCCCCATACATGAAAGAAAGCATCGAGTCCCATGCGAACTGGGCAGCGATTGTTGTCGCCCTCGCTGAATGCGATTTTGACGTAACATACTTGCAACACGAATTCTGGACCAACGTCGAGCAATTAACGCATGGCTGCGGAGCAGTGTCCATCCATGAGCTCATGGACCCTGTCATAGGTATGGCATGACTGGAGCAAAGCAAGAGCTTGGCTAATTCAGTCCAGAGCCATTGTATGGCGAAGTGTCCCAAGCCGTCATCAAGCGTGACGAGGGCCAGCTTTCACAGATTCTGCAATTGCGGCCTCGCTTAATTAGCGAGAGGGATTCGAACGGGGACACGCCTTTCCACATCGCCACACGATGGCCGTCGGGACTGAAAATCCTCTTGAAGAGCGAGGAATCGATGGGAACCAGATGTTTCAGTAGTGGCCCGAACTTGGAAGGCTGCACACCTCTCCTTTTAGCCGCAATCAGCGGCCTCACCGAGACTATCAATATTCTACTCGAAGCCGGCGTTGCTGTCGATGAAAGGTCATGGTTTTTCGTGTCTAGCGAACCCAACAAAGAGCTTGCTGTTCTCTTTGCAAAAGGCCTCGCGCGTAAACGATTGCAATTCGGGGAGCTTTTTCACTCTGCCTGCCCCGAGGCAGACAATATCGGAGATGCTTGTATGGACGAGGGCATCGACGAAGCTCTGCAGCTGCTTCGAGGAAGGCGTATAGACGTGGCTCCGGCTTTGAGTGAATCATACTCTGGACCACCCTATGCCCTCAACCGGAGGACGGAAACCCCAAGTCTTGAGTTTCTGGACGCACTGCATGATACAGGCTTCCGCGGCATCGACGTACCCGATGAAAAGCACGATACGTTGCTTGGCCGACTGATCAGGTACATTAATGTCGATAGCATCGACGCAGTGTTCCGCCGCGACTTTGGGAAAATGCGAACATCGTGCCACGATGCCCACGCGCCGATCTCGTGGCTACTTGACCATGAAGCTGACGGCTTGACTGGCGCTTCTTTCATCAAAGACAAACACAAGATCCTGCACTGGCTGCCTGTTGAGCTTGCCTTCCTCAACATCTATGAAAAATGTGTTTCGGCGAACGAGTTTCAGCCCCGCAGTGAGGCTTTATTCAGCTCATATCTCAACAAGATAGGGCGTAGCGGTTCTCATGGTCCTTGTCATTGCCCATGTTCGCGACAGCCATGCGCCCCTGTCTCAATTTACAGCCGAATCCAACTGGAGCAAGCGCACCAGGTAGTCACCCCTCGGGGATGCCAGCCTCGCAAAGCGTGGAAATGGGACACTTCGAGATTTGAGTACGGTGGAGTCACAGGAAGAGCCTTATTTGACCATCGGGGCCATTTTCCCTATGTTGACAGCAGTCACTTTCTTTCGGTCATGCAATTTCTCTCTGACGCGCACGACAAGACCATGGCATTGGAAGCCTTGCGACTGGCAACATTTCACCGATTGGGGCTGAGGCATACATGCTGTTTGTGGCGCCCGAAGAATCCCGTGTCGGACACTCGCTTAACTGAATGTCACCTGGCTGCCCTTTCTGCGGAAGAGATACTCGAAATCGAGGAGGAGCAGGACGCATTGACATACGATCTGGAGCATCTGATCGACGAGTTTGAGGAAGCAATGCAGGAGCACGAATGCGACTTTATTGACTTCTTGCTGGGCTTTTGGTGGGAACGAATGGAAAGATACGAAAAGGAAATCAGTACTGTACAGACGGGCAGTGCGCAAACATTGCGGGACCTGGGGATTGTACTGACGATTGATGAAGCTGATGAAGCTGATGAAGCGGCCTGAGCGTTCTGTTGCACTTGGTAAGAATATGATATAGTACAGCAACCTAGAACTTCAACACATACTAAGTAATAGTATATTTGTTACCCTAGATTATACGCGAAGGTTTAGCGTGAATTATAGGGGTTTTGGTTGCCAAGTTTAAACAAGTGGCATAAACTCAAAAACTGATCACGGAGAAGATGCGCATGCGGCGCCGGGAAGCATGATAATTAGAAAAAGTAAGGACCAAAATAAAGTCACCTTGACACACGGTACACACCTCTCTAGTAGGTATTTTCACAACGGAAAGCTCCTCTGATAGCTCGCGGATCGTGGGCCCGTGGCCGCATGATTCTCTCTCGGTCGTGGTCAGGTCAATCGGCAGGGTCGCTAGCGCTAGCGGGTAGAATCTAACCGCCTATGGCTTAGCGCTGTCGATATATGCTTATACAAAAGTACGAATCTCTCAATAACTTTATATAGTCCTTAGGCATTATAACGCTTATAAGCTACATTTGTTACTCGATATTGGCACCACTCCTGACAGGGTTATTGCTCGCTAGGACAGACCACAACCACATCGCGCTAAGGGGCATGGAGCGGCAGGCGCAGATTGATAAGGCCGCATCAGCGCTAGACACGCTGTCATCGATCATTCCTGAGGCAGAATTGCTACTCGACGCCATCACCGTCAAACACCCCGGCCAGACGGGACTACCCGCGCACATCAAGTTCCTCACCCTGCAACAAAGCCAGCTCGAGGCATGCATCGCCATGCATGTGCCTGCCGTGGAGGAGCTGATTCGCAATACTGTCACCAACGTCCACTTGGCTGACCAGCAGATGGCGGTCCTCAAACGCTGCTCGCACCTCACCTTCATCAGCAAGATTGGCCGTGTCTCCGTCGTAGATGGCGGTCATGAGTGGATTGTCATTCGGCCCAAGACATGGACGCTCGCCAAAGTGGCACGTGACATGGCAGAAGATGGATGGGAATGGGGCGAGTACGACACTGTACACGATGTGCCACGGGACGTATGGGCGGATGCGGGGCCATACACTCTTGCGAGAGCGATCATGAGGCTCGTGGAGGATGCGAAAGCCCATAGAGTGGACTACAGGATACCAAGGATACGTGTCGTCATGCCGAGCTTGCGGAGAAGCGAGAATGACGACGTCGGGCTGTATCTGGACGTGCTGGAGAAGATGGATCCATCGGTCAAGATCACAATATCATGTGCTGATAGTGACTTCTTACTCTCGCCAGTACCAGATATGGCCACTGCGTTGCAGAGTCTGGTGGTTCATCCATTGACCAATCTTACATCGACTTTGAATCTGGATCAAACCATCCTCATGGACTTGGTTTCAGATATTACGCATTTACGTCTCAAACCGGAGAATTGGCTCCCGCGTAATACACAAGGCCATATCCAGGAGGAGAACGCGGGCGAAGGAGGCATCATGACCAAGGCACTGTACCCTGTATTACAGGGCCGCACACTAGTCTGCACGAGCGAAGTCGTGGGCGAGTTCATGGATCTTGTCACCAAGATTGGAACAGAAACAGAAAGAGAGCGAGCGAGACTGCTCCTTGGTCTAGAAGGGTCTCAATGTGAGACACGGGCCGGATACAACAAACTGACGATACATCCGCTGCCTGATGACCTCCAGGTCCCGATAACTGTCATACCTACGTCGTGGGCGAGCGCAACCACTCTGCAAGAGGTCATAGCTTCGAAAGGGCTCCCTAGCATAGCGCTGCCAGTCTCAAAGGCCGCCCGATCAAAGCTGAGCCCGGCGAGGATAGGTGTCTTTCTGCAAGGGTGGCTGATGGACTGCCATACCCTAACCGGCCAAAAGGAGATGCTGAGCAAGTTCAGAGTATGGGTCGACCAATGCCGACTGAGTGACGAGGACACGGGGCCGAGAGTGTGGAGAATCGATGTCACGAGGAATCTTTTGGCTACTAGACCACCACATAGGACAAAAGGGTTCAAAGAGCAGGCGACCGAGGTCAGGGCAGGTCAGGACTAGAGCGCTGGGATTCACATAGAAAGCTTATGGCAGGCTATATCAACACGAATGTGTTGAATTAAAGGGCTTCTAAGGATAAGATTGTCTTGAGTTATAGGCACTCATCCTCCCAACCACTTTGTCCTTCGGGTCCTGGGGATTTTGGTTGAGCGAATCTTCGTCCCCAGTATTGTCGCATTTTGTATCGTTCAAGGCCAGCTTCTTTCCATCTTTTCTGCGCTCACTCGCTTTTAGAATCATGAGTACGACAGGCGTACGCGGTTTTGACAGCGGGCTCATCCACCGTCGTTGTCGCGTCGAAGAAGACAACAGGTGGGACACCCAGTGGTATGTATTTCTCAACGACTGATATACAGCCACCACAGTCCAAGCTGACCGTGGTTGTGGTCGTATGGGTGAATACAGTAGTTGTTGGTCCAAAGTCGAGACTCATCAGGTTGAGCATAGTGGAGGTGCATACGCCCGACTCCAGGCTATCAGGGGCACCTGTGCCAGGCCTCGCGTAGGCGACCGCCGGTGAAAGCGCCAAAAGGTGGTAAAGCTTCATTGTGAATGATGTGTTTTCGAATAGTAGATGATGCTGATGTGGACGAGGTTCTTGTGGAGGGAAATCTCTGCCAGTCATATATAGTCTCGTGAGGAACAGACATGGCAATCACATCCGAGACATTGCCTGCCCTGGGTAGTCACTCGGCATAGATAGGAATGTGAGACTACTGACTTGGCAAAGCGTAGTATATGTCTCAAACAGACAAGTGACTTGATTCCTCCCAGGTACACTATGGCTTTGGTGTGGCAGAGATGGAGGGTTGCAGGATAGTCGCAGGGAAGGGACATGAAGATGTGAGAAGAGAGGTTGTGTAAATTGAGTTGAGAATCAGGCACAGTAGTGTGGCCTGTGACAAATGTCTAATGTAATGAGGCGGCCCTGACTTTTGGCCTGAGCCATGCTCCAAGACATACCATGTCGACAACATGAAGCTTTCGTGGCGCTTGAATAGCAAGCGCTACACTGTGCTCAAGAACCGTAAGGCGGTCTCGAATGCCTTCGTCTCCATATAATCCATTGGCAATGCCCGCTCAAACATGCCCTCCGACTTGAGGCAGCTCGGCAATATCTTGTGCAGCTTCAGCTTCGATCACTCGAACAATGGAGGTTGCCCAGCATCCCAGGGCTTGGGCGAGCCCCAAAGCAAGCCATCCATTTCATCCCAGCTCAGATCACCCAGGAACCCCTGGTCCATTCCGTCCCCGATCCCCAATCCTGGAGAGCCCTGCCCGAGGCCCACGTCAGCGGGTGGCAACAGGGGCACCGAGCTCTGGGCTTCGTCGTCGTCCACCTCAACACCTTCACTCAAAGCTATCTCCTTCATCACTGCGTAGCATGCGTTCGCTGACGCGACCGCGGTAGCAGTTATCTCGTCCTCGATCAATTTCTCATCCGTGATGCCCTCCTTCGCCAGGTCCACGTGCCGCAGACAACAGGCCGCGAAGACGTGGCCTTTGATGTTGGTCTCGCCCGACTGCGCCCTTCTCAACATCCACGCCTCACCCGCGGCAAGAGTCGCCCTGAGATCGTAGTCTTGCACGGCTGGTAAATATCCAAGTCCTGTCGTCTCGTTGCCATGCGTGTGGGTCAACTCCACGGCCGTCGTGGTCAAGCTCTGCATGGGAACGTTGCGGAAAATTCCCGACCCATTGGTGACTAGTCGTGCAAAGTCGGTCGACGGTGGCTCATCGCGCAAAGGACCAGAAAGACCGCAATTATGGGTAATTTTGAGCGCCCCATCGAGATACATCTTGCGAGAGAAGTAGTATCGCGGGTCATCGAGTGATTTCATGATGAGTGGCTGATGTAGCGCGTGAAAGCACCTGTAGACCAGTATCTCGGCAAACGACGTGTGAAACTGCGTCACTTTGGCCTTGGGCTCTTTGCTGTATCGCAGCATGGTCTGAGACATACTGCGACAGAATTTGACGAGGGCTGAATTGTGCCGGAGCGTCTGCTCGTACGACTCGACTGCTCGGAAGTCATTGGCATGCTGGAGGAGTGACAGTCGGAGGGGCAAAGACTTTGCGACTTCCAACGCGACTGACATGTCTGTCGCCCTTTGCGTGCTCTTCACCGGTTTCTGGGCAGATCTGTCGCGTCTCTCGCGATCCAACTCGTCCGTCAGCTCAACGTCGTCGAGATCTGCTGGGGGAAGGGTGTCATATTCTGCCGCTGATATGAGTGGCGGACCGCCCGCGTCGAAGCCGCTCTGCAAGTTCAGCTCCACGATGGTCGACCACAGTCTCCGCCTCATCTCTGCCCGGTAAACCGTCATGTCGGCTAGGTGGCGTGGGTCACGATGCAGACCCATGTACATGGCTTTTCGAAGCATCCCGCCCGTCGTGACCCAGACCAAGTCGTGCCCAACGGCAACAGCGGACCGAGCGAGGGTCAGCAAGCACATGATCTGAAGTCCTGGGATGGTCATGCGGGCCTTTTCTGGAGGCAGCATGAGCCAGAGTTGAGCTTCGTAGATCCACTGTGTCGCCCTCGGTCGCAGGGTGAAGGTGTCATCGTGGAAGACGGATCCAAGGGCCATAACCAGTCGCAAGAGGACGGTGAAGTAGGCCGTGTGCTGAGGCACGCTGGTGGCCCAGTAGCGCTCATATTCCAATCTAAAGGAAGGGACGTGTAGGATGCGCAAAACACCCTCAAAGGTACGGAGATACGACTCGACCAGTTCGTCCGCGAGTGCCTTGGGCGGAATGTCGCGCCCCAGAGCCGCCGACGAGAGAGGTTTGAGACGATGCTCCTTGATCTTCCTCCCAAGAGTTTTACAGCGATCCAAGAGACGACCAAATGGGTACTCCTGTGCGTCAAGCTTGCCCAAGGTGTTGATCTCCAGGAGCAGCAGCATAGCCCCCTTCATCCAGTGACTCCGGCCAAAGTACCGCGTTTTGCTGATGGTCCCTTGTTGGATCAAAGTATCAGACGAGATTGGATCATTTGTCTCTGGCTCTTTGGGACTCTTTTCGAGACCGAACCTGGCCAGCTTCTCCTCCAGATAATGCACCCTTTCCGCCAACCTGTCCACATCCCTTGAACTGCCGCTGGAGCTTGGCGCAGTCGAGCTCCCGCCCACGATGCTGGACAGATCACTGGAAGCTGGAACGATGTTTTCAGTGTCTTTTGGTGGCGCAGGCAGTATTGGCGCTGGTTTCCCGTCAATTTCCTTCTGCGGCTGCTGCGACTGGGACTGTTCTTGGGCCTTCTTTCTCCATGATGGCGGAACGTGTGCAGGCGCATACGAGCAATCCTTGATCTGGCTCCTCACGCAGTGATTGCAGGGTGTGTTCCTGTCGCATCGCACCTTGCGTCGCCTACATTGCTCACAGGCCAAGGGCGGACGACGGCGCTTCTTGTGCGTGGGTGGCACTGTTGGGAGCACCGCAGCGTCGTCGGGCATTTTGGACCGATCGCTCGCTTGGTGACGTTGTAAATGGTGCTTGAATCATGAAGCAAGATAGAAATTAATTTCAAACATGAGAGTAATTACATGTAAGAGACTTAACTCGAGAGTGAATGTCTTCCCAGGGCTGCCTAGCAAAAGCCCGAGGCTGGCAGTGTGTGATTGGCTGAGCAGAGCAAAAGCCCGAACGTAGCGCCGGAATGCCGCAGACGCTGTGCTTACATGTACATTTGTCTGATGGAGGCGGATCACCGTCGTAAGCCTTGTAATGATTCCTGCCCAAGGTGAGTGAGTGAGCAGTAATTAGATGAGAAGTAACCAGCATTGGGGGGGCGCCATTGTCGAGACTTGAATGCAGCGGGCTGTACATAAGGGCTGGCTCTCAGCAACAGCTCACCGCAGCCTAGAGGCAAGGTTGGCAGAGTCACAACATCCAAGGTCGACGTCGAATTCACATGGCAGATTCATCAAACCTGGGACAGTAGAAAAAATAACCAATGTACAAGCTAAACGACCCTCCGGACCCAAAACCAGCATTAGCAGGATCATTGTACACGGGCGTCAAGCCTTGGATCAGGTCTATAGAATATCCTCCGACGCCCTTTATCTTCATCTGCATTCAAATCCCTCCTCATACGTCTCCCTTAATTATGCATTCTCTACAGCATCAAGTCGAGGGGGTTCTCGAGCGCCTTCTTGAACTCGCGGATCCATTCGGCGCCGACAGCACCGTCCACGACCTTGTGGTCGAAGCTGGCAGTCACGCTGATCTGGTCCTCGAACTCGACGCCGTCGGTGCCGTCCTCGTTCTCCACGGGCACGGCGACCCTCTTGGTGGTGCCAATGGCAAGGATGGCGGCCTGGGGAGGGTTGATGATGGCGCTGAACTGGTCAACGGCATTGTTCATGCCCATGTTGGAGATGGAGATGCTTCCACCCTGGTACTCCTCGGGCTTGAGCTTGTTGTCGCGCGCCTTCTTGGCGAGCGCCTTGACCTGGTTCGAGATGGACTTGAGGCCACGCGACTCGACACCGGTCACAATGGGGGTGATCAGGCCAGTGGGCGTCGACACGGCCACCGAGACGTCGACGGTCTTGAACTGGCGGATCGAGTCGCCGCGCCAGCTCGAGTTGACGGCGGGCACCTTGAGGGAGGCGACACCCATGGCCTTGATGAGGAAGTCGTTGACGGACAGCTTGTACTCGCCCTCAGCGGAGCTGTTCATGGCCTGGCGGAGCTTGAGCAGCTTGCCGACCGAGATGCTGCTGGTGACGAAGAAGTGGGGGTTGGACTGGACAGACTCCTGGAGGCGGCTGGCAATAGCCTTGCGCATGCCGGATACGGGGACGTCCTCGTATGTGGCGCCAGGGGCGGCGGTGGCAGCAGGGCTGCTGATGGCCTTCTTGACATCCTCCTCGGTGATCTTGCCACCCTTGCCGGTACCCTTGATGCCCTCCAGGTTGACACCCTTCTCGCGGGCCAGACGCTTGGCCTGGGCAGCGACGTTGGGCTCACGGTCGAGGGCGGTCTGCAGCTTGCCCTCCGAGGGTGCGTACTGCTCGGGCTCGGTAGCGGGCTCGGGGGTGGATGGCTGGGAATCGGACTTGGACTCGCTCTTGTCCTCCTTGGCCTCGGGGGCCTTGGCGTTGCCACCGGCGTCCTCGATGGTGAACTTCTCAAAGGCGGAGATATCGGTGCCCTCCTCGACGAGAATAGCGATGGGCTGGGATAGTTAGCGCGTGTTTTACGCGAGAAGAAAAACTCTGGAGGGCGAAAGCACTCACGCTGCCAACAGCGACATCCTTCTCGCCAGACTCCTTGAGAATCTTGGCAATGATACCCTCCTCCTGGAACTCAAAGTCCATCTGTGCCTTGTCCGTCTCAACCTCGACGAGAACATCGCCGGGCGCGATGCTGTCGCCAGCCTTCTTCTGCCAGGCACCAATGTTGCCAGCCTGCATGGTGGGCGACAGCGCCGGCATCTTGACGACCTGGTGCTCTGGGAACGACGCGTAGTGGCGGACTACGTGCGCCGAGAAGCCCTTGCGGAGGACATTCTGGGTGGGAGCGAGAGCTCGCCTTCGGAGCGCGGCGCTGAGCATGTTGTCGGGTTGTCGAGATTAAATGGCTCGGGGGGGATTTGGGAGGGAGGAGGAAGAGATGGGGGGGGTAAGGGGGCTGCCGCACGGAGGGTTCGAAGCGCAAATCCTTTGGCTTCCGAGAGATGCTGGCGGCGCGCAATTGATGGAGTGCGGTCGGAAGAGGAGAGGAGAGGTTGGAGAGGCTCGTGGTGATGGACACACGCTGCTTGGACGGAAATCTTTTGGGGCAGTTTTTCCATGCGTTGAGGATGGACGCCGGGAGCTCGAAAAGCTCCCGGAGGCTAAGCCTTTTTCGGCAAGACTGCAATCGCACTGAATTCACTCAAAGCACCCAAGTCTTTATTCATGGCACATGAACAATATTTGGCTATACACATACTTGACAATCAATGTCTCCTGATCACGTTTTAATCAATTGATTGTTTCGTCACTCACCTACGGTCTTTGCCCTCTCAACATTACTGTTCGGTGCATTTCACGCGAACCAGTGGGCCTCAGGCATCCAATCAGCGCTTCCCCTGTCAAAGCCTTGGCATCCCTGAATGGACTCCCAGGCTCAAGCCACATGTGGCTCGTGCCTTTCGCGCGTCGCTCGTGAGGACACGCTATCGCAGGTCAATGCACCAGCCACATCACCCCTTGAAGTCCGACCATCACCTCCAGTCCCCGAATCCATTGTAATCCGGGACTAACTGCAGCCTACCAACCCGTGGCAGCCGGGGTTCTCGAAGAAATTCTTATTGCTTCTTTGTTCGGTCTCTGACACTGCCAACAATCCGACCGAAACCTCGAGAGGACCCGACTCGCAGATTCTACATGGCCCCCTCATGAGCTCACTCAAGTTTGTCGTGTCCTCCTTGGACGCCATCGCTTCGTCCAAGGATGCGCAGAAGAACAAGAAGCTTGGTGAGCTGGCCAACACAGCCTTGACGGCCATCAAAGAGCAGGACAAGCTGCCCGACCCCGACATTGTCTTCGCCCCTCTGCAGCTCGCTACGAAAACGCACAATACTCAGCTCACGACAAGCGCGCTCGATTGCATCGGCAAGCTAATTTCGTATTCCTACTTCTCCGTCCCCGGCGGCAACGGCAGCAAAGACAATGAAGAACAGGCGGGTGCAGACGCGCCCCCGTTGATCGAACGAGCGATTGACACGATCTGCGATTGCTTCGAAGGCGAAACCACGGCCCCCGAGATTCAGCTGCAAATCGTCAAATCATTGCTGGCGGCTGTGCTGAACGATAAGATCGTTGTTCATGGTGCTGGCCTGCTCAAGGCGGTTCGCCAAGTCTACAATGTGTTCCTCTTGTCCAGGAGTACCAGCAACCAACAAGTTGCCCAAGGTACGCTGACGCAAATGGTGGGGACCGTCTTTGAGCGCGTCAAGCTTCGCCTACACATGAAGGAGTCGCGACTGAACCTAAGCCACGGCAGCAACGAAGCTGTTGACGAGGTGGAGCAGGCGGAGCATGTTGTTGAAGAGGCGGATCAAGATCAGGGTCAAGGAGCGGACACACCCGCCACAGAGCTGTCAGAACAGGCGGCCAATGGAGGCAAACTCACTCTCAAGGACCTGGAGCATCGCAAGAGCTTTGACGACTCGACATTGGGCGAAGGGCCAACGACAGTAACGAGGTTAAAAGGCACCCGAGCCCAAGATGACAACGCTTCGGTGTCCAACATGTCGGTGCAGAGCAACGCTCAGCAGGAAGACAACGATGCACTCGACGACGAGGACGAGGTTCACATTCGCGATGCGTATCTGGTCTTTCGCTCGTTCTGTAACTTGTCGACAAAGGTCCTCCCGCCCGACCAGCTGTACGATGTCCGCGGGCAACCGATGCGCTCCAAGCTCATCTCTCTACATCTCATACACACACTACTCAACAACAACATTACCGTCTTCACTTCGCCACTTTGTACCATCAGAAACTCCAAAAGCAACGAGTCTACAACTTTTCTTCAGGCCATCAAGTTTTATTTGTGTTTGAGCATTACCCGCAACGGCGCGAGCTCGGTAGATCGAGTCTTCGAGGTCTGCTGCGAGATTTTCTGGCTCATGTTGAAGTACATGCGGCCATCCTTCAAAAAGGAAATCGAGGTTATCCTCAACGAGATCTACCTTGCTCTACTCTCGCGGAAGAACGGGCCTATTTCGCAGAAGCTGTACTTTGTCACTGTGCTCAATCGCCTCTGCGCCGATCCTCGCGCGCTCGTGGAGACATACCTCAACTACGACTGCGATCAGTCGGTTGACAACATCTACCAAAAGGTGATCGAGGACCTCTCCAAGTTTGCGACAACACCAGTCGCGATCACCAGCGTCCACGAACAGGCGTATGAGGAACTTCGTTTGAAGACGGCTGCAGCGAGCGAATGGCAGCTGAAGCCCATACTACCGCCCTCATTGACAGTGGCGCGCATCATCACCCAGCCGGAGGCTGAACCCGATTACCCGAAGGAGTACGCCATCAAGAGATTGTCATTGGAGGCTTTGGTCGAGGCCCTGCGGTCGCTTGTGAATTGGTCTGCTGCGGTGCGCACAGACAGCGCGCCGTTGCGAAGTAACCTCGACGAAGGTACACAGAATCCTTCCATGGATGAGCTGCGGCCATCGCAAGACCCGAGTATGCTGGATAATGTGTCCACGCCGTTAGCCTCGACACCAATCCTTGAAGATGACCCTGATCGGCTCGAAAAGGAGAAGGCGCGCAAGACAGCGTTGACGAATGCAGTCCGCCAATTCAACTTCAAGCCGAAGAAGGGTCTCAAATTGTTATTGCGCGACGGCTTCATCCCGAAAGACACCCCCGAAGACATTGCCAAGTTCTTGTTGACTGAGGACAAGCTTGACAAGACACAGATCGGCGAGTTCCTTGGCGAAGGTGATCAAAGAAACATTGACATTATGCACGCCTTTGTCGACCAGATGGCGTTTGAGAAGACGAGGTTCGTGGCAGCCTTGCGTCAATTCTTGCAGTCCTTCCGTCTCCCCGGTGAAGGCCAGAAGATCGACCGCTTCATGCTCAAGTTCGCCGAGCGTTACGTTCTCGGCAACCCCAAAGCTTTTGCCAATGCGGACACAGCCTACGTGTTGGCCTATTCGGTCATTATGCTCAACACCGATCTTCACAGCAGCAAAATTGCCAAACGCATGAGCAAAGAGGAGTTCATCAGGAATAACCGCGGTATCAACGACAATGCAGATTTACCGGATGAATACCTCCTGGGTATCTACGATGAGATTGCAGGTAACGAAATCGTTCTCACTAGTGAGCGTCAGGCCGCGGCTGCTGCAGGTAACGTGCCAGCCCAGCCAACTGGTATTGCTGCCGGTCTGGGGCAGGCCTTCTCCAATGTCGGTCGCGATCTTCAGAGGGAAGCATACGTGCAGCAGTCGGAGGAGATCTCAATTCGATCCGAGGCCCTGTTCAAGACACTGTTCAAGACGCAGCGCCGCAGCACTAAAGGCGCGCCTAAATTCATTCCCGCGACGTCGTTCAAGCACGTCGGTCCAATGTTCGACGTGTCATGGATGTCCATTTTCTCGGCGCTCTCCAGTCAGATCCAGCGTGCTCACAACATCGAGGTCAACAAGCTTTGTCTTGAAGGTATGAAGCTCGCGACCAAGATTGCATGCCTCTTTGACCTCGCAACGCCTCGGGAGGCCTTCATGTCGGCGCTGAAGAATGCCACCAATCTAAACAACCCCCAAGAGATGCTGGCCAAAAACATTGAGGCACTCAAAGTCATCTTGGAACTGGGACAGACCGAAGGCAACGTCCTCCGGGAGTCCTGGAAAGATGTCCTCATGTGCATCAGTCAACTGGATCGTCTCCAGCTGATATCTGGCGGCGTTGATGAGAGTGCTATTCCTGATGTATCCAAAGCCCGCTTCATGCCTCCTCAACGGTCAGAAACACAGGACTCGCGATCCTCGACACAGTCAAAGCGACCGCGGCAACGTTCAAATACAGCGTCGCGTGGCTTCTCTCACGAGATCGCCCTCGAAAGCCGTTCCGAGGATGTCATTCGCAGCGTTGACCGCATCTTCACCAACACGGCACATCTGTCGGGAGATGCGATGGTGTACTTTGCCCGCGCACTGACAGAGGTCAGCTGGGATGAGATCAAGGTGTCTGGATCGAACGACTCGCCTCGCACATACAGTCTGCAGAAGATCGTCGAGATTTCCTACTACAACATGAACCGTATCAGGTTCGAGTGGAGTAATATCTGGGAAGTGCTGGGCGACCACTTCAACCGCGTTGGCTGTCACAACAACCTGAACATTGTGTTCTTTGCTCTTGACTCGTTACGACAGCTGTCAATGCGTTTCATGGAGATTGACGAGCTGGCTGGTTTCAAGTTTCAAAAGGATTTCTTGAAACCCTTTGAGCATGTGCTCGCTGATTCTAGCGAGCCGACTGTGAAGGACATGGTGCTCCAGTGCCTGATCCAGATGATTCATGCGCGAGGCGATAACATTCGCTCTGGATGGCGGACAATGTTTGGCGTCTTCACCGTGGCCGCCCGCGAGTCGCACGAGAGCATTGTTAACTTAGCCTTTGAGAACGTCAACCAGGTGTACAAGACAAAGTTCGGTGTCGTCATCTCACAAGGCGCTTTCACCGATCTCATTGTCTGCTTGACGGAGTTCTCCAAGAACCTCAAGTTTCAGAAGAAGGGTCTGGCCGCCCTGGAGCTATTAAAGTCGATCATCCCCACGATGCTAAAGACGCCAGAGTGCCCTCTTTCCCAAAAGCACAACCCAGCAGTTGCTGATGGGAAGTCGCACCAGAAGTCACCAGACGCCATGAAGAGAACGCAAACCAACACTTCTGTCGAGGAGGGCTTCTGGTTCCCCGTGCTATTCGCCTTCCACGATGTGCTCATGACCGGCGAGGAGCTTGAAGTGCGGTCCAAAGCCTTGGAGTACTTCTTCGACACGCTCATTAAGTACGGTGGAGACTTCCCGCCTGAGTTCTGGGACATTCTTTGGCGCCAGCAACTGTACCCTATCTTCATCGTGTTGCGATCGCGTCCGGAGATGTCGAATGCATTGACGCACGAGGAGCTTTCCGTGTGGCTGTCGACAACCATGATCCAGGCGCTGCGCAACATGATCACGCTGTTCACGCACTATTTCGATGCCCTCGAGTACATGCTGGATCGCTTCCTTGAACTTCTGGCGCTCTGTATTTGCCAGGAGAACGATACCATTTCGCGCATCGGCAGCAACTGCCTGCAGCAACTGATCCTGAAGAACGTGACGCGGTTCACAGAGCAGCACTGGACCAAGATTGTTGGTGCATTCTGCGAGCTGTTTGAGAGGACAACGGCCCACCAGCTGTTCACCGCTGCTAACATCACCGCTACGGCTGCAGCAACTGCCAATGACGACCTCGACTTTGCCTCCAATGGCCTTCCACCCGCGACGGACACGGCGCCAGTCGAGTCGCTGAAGATCAATGGGACCGAAGAGGCCATTGCAGATACAGATTCGGTACAAGACGGTGGACCCAAGACAGTCGACGGAGATGTTCGAGCGCCCGGTGCGCCTGACACTCCTCTCGAAGAGTTCAAGCCGTCTTCCAACCTCCAGCAGCAGCCTGTGGTCGTGACTGCCGCGCGCCGTCGCTTCTTCAACCGCATCATTTCGCGCTGTGTGCTGCAGCTGCTGATGATCGAGACGGTCAATGAGCTTTTCAGCAACGACGCTGTCTACACTCACATTCCGTCCACCGAACTCCTACGGCTGATGGCTCTTCTCAAGCGTTCCTTCCAGTTTGCTCGCAAGTTCAATGAGGACAAGGAGCTTCGCGCCCGTCTTTGGAGGGAAGGCTTTATGAAGCAGCCTCCCAATCTTCTCAAACAGGAGTCCGGTTCTGCGGCGACGTATGTCTCCATCTTGTTCCGCATGTTTGCTGACAACGACCCGGAGCGTCTTAAGTCGCGCCCGGATGTTGAGGCAGCACTCGTGCCGTTGTGCCGCGACATTGTCACAGGCTACATTGCCCTTGAGGAGGAGTCGCAGCAGCGGAACATTGCCGCCTGGCGGCCGGTGGTCGTCGACGTGCTCAAGGGATACGCGGAGTTCCCTGAGGACGCCTTCATCCGAAACAGCGTCGAGTTCCATTCCATGTGCGTGGACCTCATTGGTGGAGACACGAGAGAGCTGAGCATGGCGATGAAGAGGGTACTTCGGAGAATCGAGGAGGTCGGCCTGGCTGCTTCTGGTAGAAGGCCCAGTGTAACGAGTGAGGCGAGTCAACAGTAGACGGAGGAAACTTGTACTAAGAGTTCGTATATATCGTGTGTTAGTTTTGGCGTCTGTGTTCAGGGGTGAGAATGTCGATATATGGCAGGCGGAGTCTACCGTGTTGCCATGTACAGTCTGTATCTTAAAATGCCTTTGACGTCTACACTGTTACTTAGTTGTCTAGGAGGTATTGTACGTATCGTCCCAAGTCCCTGATGTCGTCTTCCTCGATAGGCCTTTCGCTCCATGCCTCCCACCCTCTGAGTCCGTCACTGACATAGGCGCCTACATTGCCATCTTCCTCTGCGCAGGCCCAGTGGATCAACTCCTTCATGATGGCGTCGTTCGCCTCACTGCGGTGCGTTCGCATCTCAAGGACCAGATGCTGCCAGAAGTCTGCTAGCATCATAACCATCAGAACATCCTGCTTATCCACCATGTGATACGCTGCCCACGGTAGCAACGGCTCTGGTAACCTTGGATGCGGGTGGCCCGTCAGCATGGGAAGGTTGAGTGTCGCGAGGTGCGGCAGCAGCCGCAAGAGCCGGCCTTGTGAGAGCGATGTCTGTCTCGCGTCCCGATCATAAGAGGGTGTGCAATACTCGACCACGATCGACGCCGAAGACTCGTGGGTGAGCAACAAATGCCACAGTCGCCCGCTGCCAACAGGTGGGTGTCCGTTGGTGCCGTTGATACCGTTCACCATGGAAGAAGCAACGGGCACACTGCAGTCTGTGGTGAGAAGGTCCAGTAGCACGCGACTCGCTTTTGCAGGGACGTCTGGCAACTCGCTCGGCTGCATCCAGACGTTGAGTAAATCATTTACAAGCGTCCCGTTGTCCAAGGACGTCAAGGTGTCCACATCCTGGGGTGAAGAGGCTGCCTTGTGAATGACCTCGAGACCAAACATCTTTGCGCTCTCGAGTGGTGATGACAGGCACCGAAGGATATCTTCGACAGTCATCATGGCGGGAACCACCTGACGAAAAGTCAAGGGGGCGAGCAGCTTGGTGGTGAGCGTGAGGAGGGGCGTGGGGTCTGAGGGCCGCTCGAGTTGGAGGAGGGCCTGGAGGGTAGGCAGTAATCTGGGTAGCAGAGGGGGCGTGTTGGCGTCTGGCGTTGATCAGTATGAGGGTTTCAAGATGTGCATCAAGAGCTTGACGTACCGGTGAGCTGGAATTCCACATCGTTACAGAGCTTCGGGTCAGGCGCGAGAGATTGATCGCTCAAAAGGGCTTGGAGATGGGCTGACAGGGCGTCGAGGCCGGCTATAGGAGCGAGGTCCTGTTGCTGAGGGATAATAAGGTTCTCCATGATGTCTGTGGTCCTCTATGTTGATGATGACGAGAAAGGGAGTCGGGTGTGGCAAGGTCAATGTTGTCGTTGTACAGCAGGCAGCGGGAACACGCATGTCAATAAGTGGAGATGGACTACCCTACGGCAACCAGCCAAAGCAGAAGCCTGGCGTATAGGCTGACAAGATGCTCGAAACGACATGCATGATCAGATTCTAAAATAGAAGTTGTCCATCTGGAGAAATATACAATGTCGAGTGAGCCGGTATCTTGGGCGAACATGCTGTCAGGCTGCTTTGATCGAGCGCTTTGAGCAAACAACACCAACACAAGACAGACGAGTTTCAATTTGGCAGCGATGATCTTTCGCAATAAAAATGATCCAGATAATGCAAAAAATGGAATATACAGATGAGATCTACTGCTCCAAGACACCAAGAACTATTTGTCCTTATCAGCACGCCCTGGCTAAGCCTTGAATGGCGCCGGGTAGTCCAAACCTTCATCGCGGTCCAATTCCGCCCGCCGCTCAAAAAATGCCACCCCACGTCCGCCAACGTCCTCCGGATCTGCCAGTCATCCTTCCCTCTTCATTCCCTCCCTTCACTTCCCTTCCACCCAATCCATCAAGATGTCGCGCGGCGGTCGCGGTGGTGGCAGAGGTGGTCGAGGCGGCGCGCGAGGTGGCCGACCTCAATTATCATGGGACACGGGCGAGGAGCCCGACTCCAAGCCTTCCGAGCTCTTTCCTGTACGTCCAACCTCACGAAGCTTGCGCCGACTTTGCTAACGTAGACGACAGCCCTACAGGATCCCAGTACCTCGCCAACTGACCGAGTCCGAATCGGCGTCGGTCAAGCATTTCCTCTTATTACGACATCAATTGCACGCCAGTCCACTGTACACGGCGAAACGCACACAGAGCATGAACCCCACGAAAAGCTACGGCACAGCGCAGGCCAACGCGCAGTACGACGTGAAGAATAAGGCCTCCGTCGACCCGTTTACGAGCATGCCCACGTACGGGCAACGATTCGTCCGCCAGGAGCGCGCATTGCCAGACTGGTCTAGGCGGCCAGTGTGTAGAGAACTCTGGCCGCAAGAATTGCTGGATACGGTCGCGTCGGATGCCCACACGTCTAAGAAGCGGAAGTTGGAAATCTCGCACATTTCGGCATTGCCGACAGCCGACGAGGCGTTTGAGATGTTGACGGGTCACGATGACGAGGAAGAGGGCACCGGTGGTGGGAACCTGCTCGAGAAGCTGGATGCGATCGGCGGGGAAGAAGGCGAAGGTGTGCCTGGGGAAGGAGAAGAAGACGAAGCTGGGCTGGAGGAGGAAGAAGAGGATGAGGCGTACGATGACGAGGATGCGGGCGATTATGATGCGGAGAACTACTTTGACAATGGCGATGAGATGGGCGAGGACTATGGCGACGATGGCGATGGAGAGGGTACATTCTAGTCACTCGGGCTCAAAGATGAATCATGATACCCAATACATGGCATGCTGCTGTGGACGTAAAACAGATGCCTCCCAGAAAACCGGTGCCTAAGGTGTGTTACACTCTATGGTATTTTGCTGTAGATTCCAATCCATGACCGACCTTTCCCCTACTTCAGATGTACGTGCCCGCCTGCAGTCTCGAGAGCCTCTCCCGCGTATCTGCAATCTTGCCTGCCTCATTGATGATCGCCGTGCCCATCTCGCGTAGCGCACTCAACACTTGCCCGAGCTGCTCGGCCACGCCGCTCCCTTCCTCCTCGTGCCTGTCGCGTATCGCGCGGACCTGCTCGTACAAACCGTTCTCCACGCCCGGCATGTCGCGCTCAATAGCCACGCGATACTCCTCCAACTTGCGGTGCTGTCGCTCCACGTCGTCGGCAATGCGGTTGAAGTATGATATCAGGTCCTGCGCATCGCCCGAGGGCTCTTTCGATCCATCGGCCTTGAACAGTCCTGTCTGGTGGTAGTGCATCGGCAGCTTGAGGTTGTCCACAGCGCGGAAGTTCAGCTGTCCGTCGCTAATGTTTCTTTTGCTCCGGTCCTGTAGGCCCTTCACGTTGACCACGTCGCCGTGTAGTGCGTTTTGTACGGTTCGGTATTTTTGCTCGACAAACGCAACGTCGCGCGCCAGTTGCTCCACATCAACGCCGTGCTGGGGCATGAACTGGGAGATCTGGTCCTTCATTTTGATCACGCGGGTGATGCCCTTTTCGATGAGTGTGATTTCGTCTTGAATGGGCTGGCGCAGATCGTCGAAGCGGGTGCGAGGACGAATGTCGGCGTAGTTAATCTGGGTGGCGCTTTGTTGTTGTTGCTGCTGTTGCGGTTGCTGCTGCTGCTGTGCTTGTGGTTGTGCTTGAGACGCGCCGCTGCTCGCTGTTAGTCCCTGGCCCTCAAAGGTTCGTGCGGAAACACATACAAAAGCGATGGCTTGGCCTGTGTCTGGCCAAAAGCGCTGGTCGTGCTAGGCCCAGTAGTGTTGCCCTGATTGCTCGCACCGCCAAAGAGTCCTCCACTCGGAGCGCTCTGCTGTGTTGTGTTCTGGCCTCCTCCGAATAGCGATGAGCCCTGCGTTGCGGTTGTTGTGGGATTGCTTTGCGCGGGTTTGCTGCCAAAGAGCCCTCCACCAGTGCTCTGTGTCGCATTGGATGTGTTGGCTGTTGCTGCACCGCCGCCAAAGAGACCTCCGCCGCCTGTGCTGCTCTGTGTGGTCGTCGCGCCGGCTCCTCCAAAGAGCCCACCACCGCCGCCCGTGTTGCTTTGCGTATTTGCCGCTCCTCCCCCAAACAACCCTCCAGCTCCGCTACTGCTCTGGGTATTGGTATTGGTCGCAGCACCTCCGCCGAAAAGACTGCTCCCTGTCTGGCCCGTCGCGGGCTTTGCGCCAAAGAGACTCATCCCGCCAGCTGTTGGGTTGTTGGTCGTCGGTGCGGTGGATGTGGTGGCTGATGCTGGTGCACCGAACAGACCACCCGAAGGTGCAGGTTGCGCCGCGCTTCTTTGCAAGGAGAATTAGTTTGTTTGTGGTCAAGAATGGAACAAAGCGTGGCAATGGGCGTACAGTGAATTGGCAGCACCTGTGTTGATACTCAGACCTGCAGGCCCGCTGGCAGAACGCGCCAACGACATTTTCTGGTCGAGCGTGTCTCGGCGTGGCGGATTGTTCCTTTCCGAAAACCGCTTGGTGATGCTGGTGGAGCTAATTCAGTGAAGCTTCGCACGGGGCGCATTGTGGCTTCGGTGTGGAGAGGGTGAGGCTCGGCTGAAAAGTGGCTGAGTAATCATCGCAGCTCGGTCAAGGCGCGTTGGACTGTCGCGGAAATGTTCCTTGAACTTGGAGAGGACATCAACTAACAAGCTTCCGATCTTCAGACCGCCAAGGGTAACTCACACCCACCCCACTACAAAATGAGCTCCGAAAACATGGACATTGAGGACGAGGACGACTTCTATGCGCCCGAAGAGCCCAAAACCACAACGACGACCACAGAGAAGACAACCACGGAGAAGAAACCCGCGAACAACGACCTCGAGGAAGGCGAGGAGGAGGACGAGGGTGCTGCTATGGACGAGGACTCCGACTCTGATGACTCTGACGTTGATATTATCACGGACCGTAAAGACGGCTCGACACCTGCACCAGCAGCAGCGACACCAGCTGCCAAATATTCGGACATACGAAACATTCCCCAGCGATCGACCACCACAGGCGAGGCATCCAAACCAAAAGAAGAGAAGAAGACGGCTGCACCGAGCGCGGACCAGTCCTCCGCAGCAGCATCCAAATCCACAGTCGACATCAACGCCGATCCCATCTACCCTCTACCCTCAGGCGAAGGCAAGCCGATCACGCAAGTCACCATTGACACCGATCTGCCCGACAATGACAAGCCTTGGCGCCGACCGGGAACGGACATCTCCGACTACTTCAACTACGGCTTCGACGAGTTCACATGGGCGCTGTACGCGGCCAAGCAGGAATCGCTACGGGGCGAGTACGGCCAAGACGGCGGGAACAAGATGATGGACATGATGATGGGAGGCGGGGGGATGCCTGGCATGGACGGCATGCCGGACATGGCGGCCATGCAGCAGATGATGGCCGCGCAGGGCATGGACCCGAGCCAGATGGATCCGAGTGTCATGTTTGGTGGTCAGCAGCCGCAGCAGGGCTTCCAAGGCAATTTCAGCCAAGGTGGTTTCGGGGGCTACGACCAGAATATGGGTGGAGGCGGCGGCGGAGGGAGAGGCGGTGGCGGGTTCAGGGGGAGGAGAGGGCGGTGGTAGTGGTATGATATTGCAGCACAGGACTTGTGTCGCATGGGAAAGGATGGCGTTGTTGGTTGAATACATATACCCGTTCACGTTGGCTTGTCATCTATGCGCCCGTCATCGTCTGTGCATGGGCTCACAGGGGCTGGTTCAATTGCGACTCAAGGCTTTTACACAAGGCACTGTCATTCATCATTGAGACAGGGGCTTTCATTGATAGGTCTATTGACCATACCGCGCCACAAAAGTCTTGATGTTCTCGATCAGACCACTGTCAGCCTTCATACCAAGACCATCAGCCCTGCTCGTCTCCGATCGAGCCGGCCAGCTTCCGACGATACCCTCAATTTTGGCGTCATGCTCATCCTTGATCAGCTTCAATGCGTCCTCCCCTCGAATGTCGCGCAACGCATCCAGCATCTCCTGCACGGTAACGGTGATACCCGGCAGATTGACCGTTCTCCATATGCCAAACTTGCTGCTGGGCACGTCCTTGATGCGAATTAGGTTCTCAATGACAGTCGTCGGGGAACACACCCACAGGGCCAGGGATTTCGGCACCGGCAGGGTCGTAGGTACCCCGGCGACGGGTTCCCGAATGATCGCGCTACAGAAGGAGGATGCTGCGGCACTGGGTGCACCGGGACGCACAATGATGGTGGGCAGTCTCACGACTCTGCCATCCAGCAGACCGCGACGTGAGAAGTCGTTGAGATATGTCTCGATCATGAGTTTTTGTGCACCGTAAGAGCTCTGCGGCTGCGGCACGGTTGTTTCGCTGACGAGTGTGGTCTGCTGTTGAGGACCGTATACGGCCAGAGAGGAAGGGAAGATGACTTTTGTCCCTGGATGCGACTTTCGCAGGGTGTCGAGGATGATGCGATGGGAGTCAAAGTTGACTGTCCAGCCCAGCTCGAGGTTGGCTTCAGCGCCGCCAGACATCAGCCCGTGTAGGAGATATACTGCGTCATAGCTTGGTTCCAGCAGCTTGGCCACAGCGGACGCATCTGTGAGATTGAGGGCGAGCGATGTGACGGTTGATGAAGATGGCGGTTTTGATGGCTCGTGGATGTCAGTGAGTGTGAGATCAAGAGATGGGTCGGCTTTCAGGAGGGCAACGGCCAAGTCTTGTCCCAGGAAACCTCCTGCTCCAGTGATGAGAATGTGTGGCATGGTGGTTGATGTTCAGTTCCTACTGTTGTGGGTATGGGCCAAAAAGGGGCTCAAGTACGATGGTGCACGTTTAAATGTGATCACCTGGTGAGGGGCTTAGGGGAATATGTAGTGTGCGAAGATATCGACGCCTTCGCCAACCGCTCATGACGAGTCTCCGATTGATCGGGAATGGCTTTCGTCGAATTGGAAGGTTTCGGGAGAGCTTGAGAGGTCGTCGGGAAGAAAGCCGGGTGGTTGCTATGGAGAAGTTCCCCGCTTCGGTGTCTTCTCCGGCTTCACAAAAAGGGGCCATCTCTAGGATTCAATACTTTAGCGAAGACTACGACTTGACTGATTTAGTTGATGAGGCGTTGAAAAATATTTATGAGGTGTGGAATTGATCATTGATTGATTGATCAGGCTTTGGGTGCTTCACGTCAGTTGGCTCACGCGGGGCAGATAAGTTTCCTAGCCGAGCTTGGACCCTCGCCAAATATTCCCATACATGTACCGTGCCTGATGGCGAGCTCTTCATGGGGAAGCAAACGTGAGACAACTTCTCACGACTTGCTGTAGCTCAAGCTTCCAGAATCGCAAAGCGTACGATCACCTCCTCCACCTGGAAACGACGTCCATCATGGAACTGGGTTCCTCGATGCGCTTGGGGCGTTGGCAATGTTCTTAATCAATCACACAACGTGTGGAGGTTTACTACAAACACAGGCGCATGTGTTTCCAAGATGCTAATCGCAGGCATGGAAATCAGGCTGCAAGGTGAGGAATGGGTGACTTCCAGCAAGCCTTCTCAGATGCGATTCACCAGGCTTGTTTACTTGTCGAGCACTTGACGCCTCGCTGAGCTTCCAAGGAGTGCTCAAAGTCGGTTTAACGGCTAAATAAAGTGTTGGCTCACTTGTAAATGAAGCCGGAAGAATTGGTAGACGGCCCTATCATCTCGTCTATCCGAGCAAACAAGTCGAGTACCAGCATCCATTGTCTGCAGCACGCTCGTAGAGAACCTTCGAGCATTTTGTTCGAGAATTTCAGTCAACCTTTGCTCATTTCACATCTTCTACCACACTTAGTTGCAGACACGTCCAACCTTTTCATCATGGGCGCCATGTCCGCTCACGGCAGCGAGGCTGAGCACGAATCACTCATCAAAGTCGATATCCTTCCTGGAAAGGGACGAGGACTCGTTGCCACGACTCCCATCGCATTTGGGACCACCATCTTCGCCGAAGTGCCCTATCTCAAGCTCGAAGATAATTTTGCGAAACTCAACCCCCCGGCTGCCAATGCGCTTCTCGCCCAGCAGCTGCGCGACCTTGACAAAGAAGACCAAAGAAGCTTCCTCCAACTGCGAAATTTCTTTCCAGGACTGTATCCGCTCCTCGGAACATTCGGCAGCAATGCCCTGCAGATTCACGACTCCATGCACGCCATCTTCCGGCACGCGACGCTGATCAACCACGACTGCATCCCCAACGCGCGATACTTCTGGGACAAGGATACCGGACGCCAGGTTGTTCGATCCCTGAGAAGAATCGACAAGGACGAAGAGATCACGGTGGCGTATATCATGCGAGGGACGCGCGCAGAGCGAAGAGAAATGTTCAAGACGCGCTATGGATTCGAGTGCACATGCGCCCTGTGCTCGGCACCCGCCGAAGTTGTCGAGCAGAGCGACGCAAGGCAGGCGATAATCAGGAAGCACGACGCGCTCGTAGACTCCGACCGCATCAAGACTAACCCCGTCGCCTGCATGAAATCCTGCCGACACCTGGCGTATGCGGTTAAGCAGGAGTACAAGGCAGACAAGGGGCAGAGCCGCCTGTATCAGCCGTTCGAAGAGGCGATGGACACCTGCGGTCGGCACGGTGATCGGGCGCGGGTCGTTATGTTTGCCAAGCTGGCCGTGGCCAGTCTGCAGCTGTGCTTTGGCTACGACCACAAGAGGACCTCACGGGTCAGGAGACTGGCGATGCATCCGGATACCATGGAGGGCTTTGGTACGCATAGCATGGATTGGGAGACCTGGCCACACGAGATACCTGAGAATCTCGGGGGAAGCCAGTTTGATGAGTGGTTGTGGAGGGCTGGAGAGTGGGCTGTGCCTGTGATGGTGAAGGTGGACGACGAAGAGTGGATTGCAACCTGCAAACGGTTGTTCTTGAAGGAGGGATGGGAGCCAGATGCAGATGGAAGCGATGCTTGAGTTGGAGGCGGCCTTCGGTTTAGCTTGCAGAGGAGAAGGTAGACGAGAGTCTGAACTTGGGGTATCAGGAGACACGAGAAGGCGCCCATGAACTTCCTTTATGAAGTGTGTATGCCCCATGCGCGTCGAGGTGGTCTGGTCCTGGGCCTTTGCAGTTGACCCTGGGCTCTTGAGTGATGCGATGGGTGCTTTATGCGCGTTTTGGCTTTTCCTTAGTCCGCGAAGTGCAAGGTGACGCGACGACCCCTCCTATCCCGCCTCACGTTGCTTGCTCTGCCTCTCGAAAGGAAAGCATGCAAAGCCCTGTCAACATGAAGGTGTCACTGGCAAGAAGCCGAATACCAGCTTGATTCCTCTCGTGGCTTGCGACGTCGATGTCGAGCCAATGCATCCACCCATACCTTGATTTCCTCCGACAATGCCTTGATTTCCTCCTCAAGTTGCCTCCTCTGCTTCTGTGATTCTTGGCTTTCAGCGACAAGCTCACGCAGCCTCTCAGCGGACAAGAGACCGACGTGGCCAACCGTTATGATGTCCGTCAGCTTACGAACAAGGCAGCGCTCGATTACTAGATTCGTAACGTTGCTTGTAAAGTTGCGGCAAGATATCTTGGCCAAGGTCAGTGACATAAACTAACCACATTCCGCTTTTGTGTGTATCCTCACCTCGTAGAAAGCATTCACTACTCGAAGGAACGACTGTGTCTCGGGATCGCCCCCTTCACGCGTCTCGGGTTCAATGTGAGAAGCCCTGTGTTCTTCCAGCGCCTGCTGGAGCTCGAAAACGCCAGGACGGGCGTACCCCCTTTCATAAGGTTCTATCATCTCCTCAAGCTTGTCCTGCAACATCGTCCCCATCTCGTCGAAGAAAGGGTCTACAAAGGCCGTTACAATGGCGCGCGTAGTAGGATCAGACCATTGCAGGCCCAACACATGCTCGAAAACCTTGTCCGTAAACGATTGCACCGCAAACAGGACCCTTTCGATGTGAGATTGGGCCATAGCTCCCCACGGAGAGACTCGTCGTCGGAGCAGCTGCATGAGGACATCGTCACCAACAGAACCTAGCGGCCCAATACTTCGGTAGGCTGAGAAGGGGTCCATTTGCGCCATAAGTTCTTGTGCTTGGATGACCTGAGGTTCAGAAAGCTCAGAGGCGTACAGTTCGAGGGTATTTTGCAAAGAAACTGGCAGTTCATCCGCATCATGCTGGCCAGTTCCCTCGACGATGATGTTGCTGCCCTTTGTCCTGACGACGTAGTCGAACACTTCGCTCAAGCGCTGCAGAGTTGTCCTCAGCCGGCGTCCTTTGTCGTCTTCGAAGTTGCCGAAGAACGGATCCTGGTACCGTCCCTCGACACCTTCTCGAACTATCCTCTGAATGTCAGACGCAGCGTTCAGAAGATAGATGCGCTTCTCATCGTCATGGGCTCTTGGTTTGCCGAGCCGCTCCAAGTGTGATCGTTTAGACTTGAGATCGTCTTCCGCCTCTCTCACCATTCTCAAGGTGCGTGCCCAGTGGCGGTTGTAAATAGCCATGGCAATCTTGGTACGGAGGCTTTCTATTCCAACATCCTTTTTGGAGGCTTCAGAGAAGCCATCTATGGTCAGGAGGATCTCCTTGTACCTCTTCCTACCGTCAGGCTGTACTTCCACTCTCTCTCCGCCATGAAGTACGTGCCAGCCGTACCTGGTCGGCCAGTCATATCTGAAGCCATCAGGGACCCTTTCAACCATTTTTTGTCACAAGGTCCCCGTTATGGCGGTGCGCATCAAACGAGATATTTGAGTGGCTGTGGTCATATATGACAGCGATCGATCTCTCGCCTAAGGGATCACTTTTGTGAATCATCGAGGCGTTGACGTCGAAATGATCGGGACTTCGGGGATTGACAAGGGCTATAATGACACTCTGCTCATCATTGAAGTACTTAGCGAGCACATCCAGAGAAGGGCGAGAGGGTATCGGAAGATCGACGAAAGTCAGTGGCTCCAGATCAGGGCCCTGAACGTCCACTCGCAGCACGTTAAGTGGATTGTGGTGAATTGATTCGGATTCAGTCACTTTGCAAGCAACCTCGATGATCCCTGCGAGTTCTTTGATAGACGGATCAGTGTTTTGAAAACTCTCTCGCCCAACACCTACCCTCGAGGGGTCGATGCGGAAGGAGACTTGGGCAACGGGCGCCGGTCGGAACGCGAGCTCGATGGTGAAATCAATGCTCACGTCGGGGAATTTAATGCCACTGAGAGCTCCCAGTGCAGAACCACCGCCCGTCCCAAGCCGGCGTGCCACCACAATCTTTGGCGCATTGGCCGTGTCGCCTTTCGAGTAGACAGATGTCAATGCTTTGTTGAGATGCAGGAGATCGCTGGTATCAGCAGAGATGAGCGGACTAAAATGAGACGACGACAGCATCTTGATCAACGCTCGATGGCGACAGGAACAAACAAACCAGAGCCCAGAAAACAACGGTGAAAATTGTGAGTAAGGGACAAATGAAGAATTTAATTAATTCGGGGCGCCGCTTGTTGCGCTTCGCGTGTCCAAGGTAATTTTCGCGGATGGGGCACGGGCAAGTAATTGAGCACCCCCTTGGCGCCAGCATGTAGGCGCATTGGCTTCCCTATATGCGACTACTCTCGCAAACTAAGGTATATCTTGCCATGATTGTTATGCACATGACCTGTGGTATATGTCGATGCGTGAAGTGAAAGATACGTGACTCCAAGGTCGAGTGTCTCTCTTGGGTCACAGAGATTATTTTGTGATTGCCACTCAGAATGTAAACATCGAACGACATGACACCCTTCCCTCGCACACTCGAGGCTACCAGCCAGAGACGGGCTTTTGCACGCCACTATAATGAAACTACGAACCGGTGGACAGGTGACCCTCATTAACAGGTAGTCATTTTGGCCATTACGATGCACAGACGTCAAAAGATCCATATGGCAAGGAGCCGACATTCGAGAGGCAATGTCCAGTCCCCAGCAGATGGGGATGACGCAGGCTACATGTACGTCGCCGGTGAGTTAGTCTTCTGGACACAAGCCTGACAGGTTTGAACACACAGACTCCGTGTTGTGCCTGATGACTCAAGCCATTGTCGGGACCTTTACATCCTAGAACAAATGAAACCAATTTCATCTAGCCTTCATGTTCACTCTGTAACCAAATTACACGTTGCCGAAATGAAGGAGGTCAAGATTTGAATCATCGTCAACGGCACATACAAGCTCTTCGAACAGTCAGGCACACTACCGTTCAGCATTATCTTCGGCTTCGTTCGACGCTCCCCCGATGGCATCGACCCGCGAGCACTTTGGCTCAACGCGACCAAGTCGATCCTCGACGTGCCGTATGCTGTCTCTCAAGGGCTTCTCACAATCTCAGCGGCAGATAGCGAGAGCAAGCAAGCATTGGATGTTGAGCTGAGCCAACTGAGCCACAGTGAGCTGGACGATGTAAATGAAAACGACCATGTCATGTTTTCGTCGCCTGCTAACAGGGCAAGAAGTTAGAGAGATGCTTTGACGGTATACCACTAGAAAATTAACCCGAAAGGTACCTTGGAAAGGTCATTCAAGCTTGGCACACGTTACGAGATCCTTCGGAGGGGCATCGAGATTGCTGGCAAAGGCCACAGGTTCCTTACAATGATAGTCAGCTAGGGAATGACACTCCAGACGAGGCTCTCAGGCTATCATGCAGCATCACGAACTGCTATGCCATATTCACTACAATCCCCAAGCTCTCCTGGTCTCCGCCCCTTGAGACTCGTTTGAAATTCCGCGGGAGCATTGACGACAGCGAAACCCCTTGCTTTAAGACCACCATTCTGAACAAAGGTTCGGGTCCTGTTACCGTTCAGACTGCTGGTCGTCCATATTTCTTGATTCCCGAGGGACCAATGGGCCTTGCCCCCTGGGATCAGATGGGGACATTGAGGACCCTCGGCCTCGCATCCTGAACGCGAAGTATTCTTGTGCTAGAAAAAATCTCCAGGTATGGGATATTCCCAGTCAGACAGTGGTCCGAAAGAAGAGAAGGCCGCCTATATGCGCACTAAACATGTGAGATACGTCCAAATATAACCCTTGCCCCAAACTGGAGAACCTGATGACAATCAGACCTGACCATCCTTTGACAAGGCTGGTGAATTTGGATGATTTGCTGTCAAAGCTAGCCGATGGGCACTACTTGACATGTAAAAAATTGTCCTGGAGCCGCGAGGCCTGTGGTGGTGACCTGGAGATGTGGTAAATTTCGAGGCGGAGGACAAGGCGCGCCTGCCACACCCCTTGTGAAAGAGAAAGGTGCCGCCTGCCATGCTCGAGTCGGAAGATACTGTCACGTTTGAAATGAAAGACGGAGAAGCAGTATCAACAATTTAGGCCAATGGACGGACATATGTTGCAATCAAGGTGTTCGTGAGGACATGGATGCTATCATATACTCATCAAGTGCCCTCATCTATGAAATTACAGTCAGGTCTAAAGACATTTTAATCTCACTCAGTCTCCTCTTTTCCCAGCTCTAAGCCTGTGCGTCATGTTGACACTGAGGTCAGACCGACCGTACCAAGTAGCAGCATGAAATGAAAGGTTTGCCCTCGTTCTTGAAACTTCCCATACTAATTTAGGGCCCAGGTACGTCAATAGCATGTGACCGACTGTGCCCTTGGACAGCTCCATGAATGTGACATACCCCGTGTTTTGCCTAGTCGCTTTCCAAATCGAGGCCTACGTCTGCGACACCGTTGTGTTAACGAAGAACACCAGCAATGCGGAAAATCTGGTATCCCCTATGTCAGAACTCAATAAATGCGTCTAGTGACTGATGAGAACACTTACGCCGCAGTAGCAACAAAGATATTATTGGTACTAGCCGAAGTGGCGTGAGCCAAGGCCACTGAGAACACTGCGGTGAGTCCTGCAATGACTCCCAGTTTGGCTGCTGGCGAGTTGACCAAGTAGAGGAGCATGATACTCAGAACAGGAAACATTGAAGCGAGGAGCGCTTTGCCAAGGCGTAAGAAATGCCCAAATCCGTCGCCATATACAATGGTGTTTTGTAAATGGTCTGGTGATTCCTCTGTCCTGTCTTTTTTCTGTCGCGAACCTGGTCAGCACCCTTCGCTCCAAGAAGCCATAGCCACAATAATAGTATCATGATCACATACGTGTAGATGTCGTCCAACGAAGTCATGGTAGATCTTGAGCAGGGTCAATGTGGATCCCGGCATCGCGCTGCCATCCTCGTTTGGGGCTTCTATCGAAACGAGTTCATCGATCGCGGAACTCTCCCAGATCTTGCCATCCTGTCCCAGCAGCCTCATGTTGCCCATGGAGGGTCGCCGCATGTATGTTCTCAACGCATCTAGAGAGACAGGATGGGGCTTCTTTAGGCTTGCGATCTGTTGATGGAGTGCAAGTGCTGAATCTGCCCAAAACCTTAGTGATATGCCTGTCAACAGCTCTAGACGGCGACTTACAGTAGTCTCTAGTCACCTCGCGGATTCGTTTCAACAGAAGCCACTGTGCCCTCTGAGCCTTATGCTCATCTCTGATCACATCGCCATCATTATCACCGCTAGGGTCCTTATGGTCATTGATGTTGCCACGATCCCCAGATTTGCATTTGTCTTCGTTGTCTGGATCATTCTCGTCGCCCGGCTCAACGATGCTGTCAGTGTCGCTACTGTCGTCTTGGTAACAATATTCGGACTCTCGCATTAATTGCGACGAAGATGAGTAGAATTTCCGAATGTCTGTTGATAGATGATCTTCCTCTTGAACTCTTTTGAGCTCCGCCTCTAGGTCGCATAACTCCGATTGATAGTGCAAGAGGACCTCAGCTGACAGGTGCGTGAACCGTCGGAAGATGGCCGCGTTGGGTACATCTCCCATAAAACGTGCCAACCGTGCATATCCACCTCTCACTGGTGTTCTCGACGCTGAATCCATGTCTAGGCTATCCTTGGGCTTCGAAGAAGCGGCTGGCGCGGGTTGCATCGGTGGGGTTGCGGACATGCCTGATTGCCTTGCTGTGAGAGAAGTGCAGTTGCGATTTGGCTTTTGAACCGAGAGGGGAGCACCGGCGTCACGCTTCATGTTGTGCACAGACTGCTCACTGGCTGAGCCCCCACGACACGGTTCTTTGAATGACAGCAGGTAATTAGGACATGCAGGTTTGGGTGTACATTATGTTGCCTTGTGATATGACGAGACGGGTGAGGTAGTGCTGTTGTGCACGGAAGTGCACTTCTGCTACGAATTCTGCACTTATGCAGGTCGCAAATATCAGTACCAATTACGCCTGGCTTGGAAAACAAGGCGACCAACCGATATTGGCCACATATCGAGTAAGATCGATGGCGTTGGACCAATGTGCTGGTTGCCTCGTTGGGCTCAAGTACGTTGCAGCGGCCGAAATCACGAAGTGCGATTGGTCTCAAGCCAAATCAACTCACCCCTGACAGAGATAAAATGCAGGGGGGTTTTTTGGCGGTAACGGCAGCTGAGGGACGACTCTGGGTTGTACATACATGTAGAAGATGTCTTCCCATGGCTGTTGATCAATGGGTCGTTCAGAAAACTCGAGCAAGACTCCTTCGTAACGTCTACTGTTTCGTCCACTCACGACTCGAATTACCTGTACGACTGTGACAGGCAATGCGCCCTGAGTTTGGCTAAACAAATGGCTGCTGACTCTTTTGACAGACGCTGTGGTTTCACGACAGATACCGACACACAACTGTCATACTTTGCCGCGACAATGAGCACCAAAACTTGGTTCGATACTGGCTCAGACGCTTCCTCCGAATCAACCCCTTAAGAAAGCGAATGTGTGTGGATGACAAGCCCAGACGCAAGCTCAGATTCGGAGGAAGACCCCCAGCCTACGACTGAGGCGGTGCAAGCCACCCGGGAGGGTGCTCAACTTCCAAACAGGCACCGGGGCCCAGAAGGGCTGAATCCACTTAGAAGCGATCGCCTCAGTGAGTTTCAAGTCTCCGTCTTTGGCGAAGATGATTGGTTTTCATCCCACGATGTCGACAACATGAAAGCTACTTGGCCAAAGTGCGACTTGCCGTTCATGTTTACTTCAAACCCTAAGATGGGGGTTGAGCTTGGTCCGAGCCTGGAGGCTCTGCAGGTTTATCTAGGCTTTTTCCCTGCGCGCAAAGAGGACTCAGGTATGTCATGTTGCGTTGCTGTTGTTGACCTCAGCCGAGGCTGGAGGACTGACGCAGTTTCGTAGATGAGGAGCGTCAGATGCGGGAAAATGAACGAACGGACCCGGCGGATCTGGCAGAGGCGCGGAGGGTAATAAAGGAAAGAGATGATGCAAGAGGAAAGAAAAAAAAGAAGGAGCAGAAGAAGAAGGACGAGAGCAGCAAGAAGAAGCGTAGAGACCGGGATGAGGGCGACGGCGCTGAGGGAGGTGGCAGCTGCAGTAGGTCCTAGCCGCGGGCCAAATTTGGAACATCAGTATAATGACTGGATTCTGCCTTATTCGGGAGCCTAGAGTTCACTTATGCTGACGAGGTGAGCGTAGCCTACTAAACTCGCAAGACGCATGAACATAGTAGCTCAAGCTTGCTGGCCGCATTCAACATACACGGCAGGGCTCGGGCAGTGCTGATTGAAGTATTGGTGGTACAAAGACGACAAGCGAGTGGCCTGAGACCACTGCGCGCGGCTACCTACATGTATATAAATATGTATGCCTCTCGCCCGGAATGTAAAAGCTCCCTGCATCTAAAGCCTAGGCCGGGAGTCATCAATCCTAATTCTAGACATACCTCCTGCATATGAGCCTTCATCCTCTAGTTATCATTCTCACTTTCTCGGAACACGACCCTGCTCTTCGGTACTCACCGCGAAATTTTACTGAAGAAGCTCACGGCACCATGGGAATTGCATATAGCCGATATGCTCCCATTGGAGCTGACTGTCCGGGACTAACCCACAAAGGTAAGCGTCTTCAGCATTGGTATTCTTATATAAATTTCTAGAACTGACTCATGTACTCTTCAAGAGAAGGTGAGACGCGCGCAGGAAGAGATGGAGGAGGAAAGCGCCGCGTGTCGCGCGTTGGAGGACAGGATAGACAGGGAGCTTTCCGAGCAGGAGAGAGTGCGGAGGGATAGAAGAAAGAAAAAAGCCCGGATGAAAAAGAAGAAGAAACGTGCAGAAAAGGCCTCGGTTGAAAGTAAGGAGTGCCATCCATAGAGTCTGCTTGATGATTGATCATGCACTACATATATCTAGCAAACGATGGACCTGAGTCGAGTAGCTAAACAAACAATTTGAGTATCAAAGGCTCTGACTCATAGTGGATGAATTTTCGGCCGCTAAGTCTGCACATCGACGGACGATGGCCGCATCTGCTACTTTGCCCATGAAGTTGAGTGTTTGATTGTGATCACCTTGAGTGCTATGGTCAGGTTCGACATGGGGACATCCCACTGTGAATGGAGACCATGCTTGCTGAGGACAACTCTAGATGTGACCAATTGTGACCAGATCGTGCCAATCAAATTTGAACATGTGTCAGGGACTGGATGGGTGGTCCATACCTCGGTCGAGCAGGCCTTGTTGTCTTCAAAGCCCAACTACATGTGGTCTTTGACTTGGGGATCAAGAGTGGTGGATCTGACATGCCGAGTGGTAGCACATCTAAAAGGCCCGGGTTGAGCAGGTGACACAGATACATGTACTCAGCGACGTGAAGGCTGATTGCACCCGGTAAAGTGAGTCAAATTTCACTCGGTTATTCTCAACTATTAATGAGCACGGTGGGAGCAGAAACGCGACTCTGAATAGCGGAGGACCGGCGATCAGTGACTTGATGATTGAACACGGAACGTGAACTCTGGTCTGCCTCGAGCGAGGGCGCATGGAAGTTCGAAACAGTGTGGTAGCAATGGCACATATGCGACAAGGCAGAACGACAGAGCCTGGTAAGATACACTCGTGCAGGGCATTGGCAGTCTGGTCAGCTCAGCCACTTCTCTCAAGTTTCCTGCCGCTTGGCCCTACCGAGTTTCAAACTGAGCAGGATGCCCAATACTAAGTCGCAGTTCTCACACCAGCGCACGCCTCGTGGCGATCGCAGGATTTCTGGCACGCAACGTGGGCATAGCGTCTATGATATCATTTGGGCCTAGGCCTTTAGATGTCGATAACACTTGGCGGCACGATACACATCGTCCATGTATCACAACCACAATGCTACAGGGCCGTCGCCTGGCGTTCGATGAGTCGTACGCATAGGTCCGACGGATACCCCTTCTGATGCCGTGCGTCATAAACTGTGTGGCAACTAGGCGTCGCTCGCATCCGCATGTGTTCTCGGCGTGCGACCTATTTATCCCGTCTCGACGAGTTGTTGCATGGCCGCCTTGTCAGGCACAGGTGCATCATTCCTGAGTATCATCCAACAGTCTGTAGCCATGAATAGCCTAGCACATCTGAGCCATATCTTGGCGGGAGGCTCTCTTCGTTGAGCATTCATGTTTCTCGGTAGCGGTGGCCTACACCTGTCCCGAGGAGCCTCAACGTGACGGCATTCGGCGCCGATGCTACATTCAGGTTGCACAATCTTGTTGAACAACTCCGTCACACAAATGCGGACACGAATATCCCCTTTAGTGCATGTTGCTGGCACAGACAGAAGCCATTCACGAGCTCAAGCGTATCTAATCCAGGGAAATACAGAGCTACGCACTACCTTCAACTATGTGCAGCGAGGATGTGAAATCATACAATGACTACCAGGAAAGTCATGGTGCTCCATTTTCGAGCCAACTCAAGGGCACTCGATAATTCAGTGTATGTCAAGATCTTGCTGCCGACGACGACGGCCTTCAGAAACTCGATTTGTCCACGAAGCTTCAGACAGTGACTGAAGGTACTGACCATAACCAGAAACAGCAGTGTTAGGCTAAAGATGACCCTGCGGTTTGCCATAGACGTCAAGCCCCCTCTCCGACTTCTTGCATAGATTCTGTGGGTGGGATGGTCTTGGCGACATACATCCTTACCGAGAGACCAAGAGAGCATGTGCCAGATATCATACAACAACGCCAATTACAGATGTACTTGTGTGTTTATTCTTGATCTAGTGAAGACCCCTATTTCCGCCACGGTAAATCAGGAGAACCCCAAGTTGAGCGTGTACTTCATCGGCGTCGTGCCTGTGACATAGACATGGTGCCCCTCCAGGACAAGATTGCCGTTATGCCAGCTATACTGCTCGCCAGCATCGGGATTGACGACGCCATCTCCATTGCCTGGCCCAAAGGCAATGGTGTCTTTGCCATTAGTGTACTGACCCTCGCCCTCCTTGAGATGGTAGATAGTGTTCCCTTCACCGTCGACAGATGGCTCGACACCGCTGAACTCACCGCCCTTCCTAAAGGTCACCTCAAGCGTAATGTCCACGTCCTTCTCGCCTGTGACTTCAAACTCAAGATCATAGCCTGCGTCTGTCGGCACAATCTTCACATCCGTCTTGAGGCGTCGCACACTGGCAGGTCGGTTCTCAAAGTCAAGGCTGGCGTAGAAGCGTCCGTCGATCGACCTCGATAGGTCATATGTGCCATTCTCGTTGCGCTGGTCGGCTGGCATGGGTAGGTAGTACTGCACCTCCATCTCATTGCCCAGTTTGGCGACGCCAGTCTCGCTGTCGAATTCAATCCCGTTGGATCTAAAGTGGCCCATGCTGAAGAAGTTGGCGCTCATCCGGATACCCTCGAGGACAAGATCGCCATTCCAGGCGCGGAAAAAGGACGGATTGGTCGACAGACCGGAACCGAATCTGTTGTAAAAGTCCGTCTTCTCCCCCTTGTGGTACCAGTCTGTCCCTCCAAAGGCCGATACGGTCAGCTTGTCGTTCCGCACGCGGACCAAGCTCACAGTGGGGTAATGTTTTTGAAAGTCGACAAAGGGCTCCTCGGGTGCAGAAAGTTCCTTTGCCAGCTCAGGTTGCTCGATGAGATTAGCCAGATAGTCTCCCAGTCGCTCGGGTACACGCGACTCCAAGAGCCGCGCCATGGCGGCAAATCGACCATTGCCGTCGCGCAAGGCCAGCTCCCGAAACTGCGGGTAAAATTCGCCCATGTTGTCGCTCCGATATTGGTTTTGATCCTGGCGGCGGCTAAGAACGGTCTCGATTTCGCAATTAGGCTCGGCGTGCTCAATGGACAATTCGAGGTTCTTGCGCACAGGCTCTAGGAGTTCAGTGCGGTTGAGCTCGCGCGCCACGGTCAGAAGAGATGGGTTGGAGACGGCGGCGTAGTAGATGCCACTGCGCTCAGAGTAAATGCCATCTGCATCGATATCGATGCCTTCGGCGAGCCATTCGTCAATGCGCTCGATCAAGCTCTCGTCATCTGTGATGCGGCTGATGCGCGCCAGGGCAGCGCAGACCTTCCATCGATGATTAGGGGTGTGGATGCCGCCTTTGGCCAAACCAGGCGCGGCTTTGCGAAGGATAGCGCGGATCGTGTCAGCGAAAACCTGCGAATCCTCATGGTCGTCTTCCTCAAGAATGCGAACCATAATGCCAAAGTCCTCGATCAAGAAGCCTGTGTCAGGCGGAGAGTGGTAGTTGCCAACTGTGTATGTACCATCGCAGTGCTGAACCTTAGTGAGGACAGCAAGCATCTCTTCAATGTGAGGCAGGAGGGTCTCATCGTGATAGTGTGTCGAGTTGGGCCAGACAAATGGCGTCACAAGCTGGCGGACGGCACGGGTAAGACCGCGGGGCGACCCAGCGATATATGCCTCTTTTCCATCGAGGACGGTCTGGACCTGCGCGTCGGCAGCTGTGGTGAGAATCTCAAGGCTAGCCCAGTCTTGACCGGCTTCAGCACGTGGTGCCAGAGCTGCGGCTGACGCGGTGGTAGCCAGCAGAGCCATGCCCGTGGCTCTGAGGACGCTGTATATGCGGCCAATTTGCATCATGTGGAAGGGGAAGAGGGTGTGGTGCTCGAAGAGGGTGGGGGAACGGATCTGTCAAGTGTTTATGCTTAAATATCCGGCGGTACTGGCTCCTCGGTGCATTGGTCACCGAATTGCCGTCGGCAACCCCATCTGCCGAGCTTTACGGACATGTCCCCGTGGGGAAATTAAGCATGCATGCTATGGCTAAGAGGGTGAAAGACCGGGGTCCTTGTTCTGGTTATGTCTGTTCGCTCGGCAATTCGGTATAAAAGGTGCTGATGAGCAACGCCTTCCCCTCTTTGCTCGTCTCCGCAGACAAGGGCCGGAGATTCACGATTCGATGGCGCCATTGGCGCTGAGCGTGCAGCACAGAGTGTAAGAGAACGCCTTGTCTTCCTATTGAGGCAGTAAGATATGGGACGCTGTTTCAAAGCAAGGCGAACAAGTGGCATGCTCACTCACATGGACGCGGTTGATCCGGTAGCCGAGCCGGCATTCGTCCGGTAGTTCAATTTAACTTCAGCCCCACCCCGACCGGCCAGCGTACCGATGTCTCCACTTCTCTTCCGGAGTGCCCGGATGGTTTCTGGCTCTCCGGAGTTTGTCAGTCGCTCCTCATGGGCTATGAAGCACAGCTAAGGTAGGATTCACAAAGATGCTTGATGACTCGCGAGCAGAGGAATTTGTGAGCTCTGTTACGATGGCTGCAAAACCAGACCCAACGGCTAGGCGTATGAGTTATCTTCGCTGTTAATGTCATCGATGTCATTATCGTGAAATGGGCATAGGTACTAGAACTAAAAGAGACTAGAATCTATAGTCATATGCATATATTCAATACTCGGTACCTAAGTCGTGACTTAGTTTTTGGCTTCCAATATAGAGACATTTTAAGTGATTTCTGTTCCGATTCTTAAAGACATAATAGATAAGGGTAGTGGTTCATTCTTCCGTGGGTTATCATATAGGAACGTGTTGACGCGTCGCCACTTAGCTCCTGAAATAGAATATTACACTGTAACTAAAGAGTCTTATTGTCGAAGCTCGTGCATTAACATCGTCCGTGGTTGGTTAGGGCGTCTCTGTTCACCTGCGAAATCCCACCCAGCGTTCGCCCTCTCGTGTGATCTAGATGTAAGCTGTGACTGATCTTTAACAAGGAGCATCTGGCATTCTAGGCGGGCGCGAACCAATCTTCAACCGTAATTCGCCGCTGAAATAGCCACGACCCCGTCGCCTACCAGGTCCATGCCCCTCACCAACGATTCCGGAGCTCACTCCACCGTTCTATTTGGCAATTTGTCCAGGGATGACATGTGGTCTTCTTGATTCGATCCATTCTACTTGTTGACTTCTTTCTGCCGTGGTTTAGAACTCTTTCCTTTGTGGTTGACCTGCAGCTATCCGCCAAGACTCGGGCAACAGCCAATCAATCAGCGCGCATCCGCCGGTTCAAACAGGAAAGAGATTCATCTTAGTTGTCTTGACAACGCTCACGCCGGATGTCGCAATCAGAGGGTTCCATAATGAAACATTTCTGTATATCATTTCTCTGTCCAGGTTGAGTTCAACCCCGCATCAGATTCAGCGCATGCTACTTGACGACTAGTAGGCCGCGCACTTCTGACGGTGGCTTGCCTAGACTTAGCCACCATCGAGCACAATATGCCATGCGGCCTCCTTCTCAGGGCATATCCTCTCGGTCATTATCTATGGTCTCGTCTCCCATATCTCAGTTAGCTTGTGATGTCTAGAGTCTGATCGTTCCATCCGATTTCCGCTCGGGAGCGCTACTACCTGCTAATTGTGGTCCCGCGTCGCTGTGCCGGACTAAAGTGCTGTCCGCGGTGTTAGGAAAATCATTCTCCTGACTAAAGAGTGGCGTTTGAAATTGCAATAAAATGGGAGCTACTAGTCATAGGATGGATTCCCTACCACTCTCAGCAGGGTGGTCCCGCAATCACGACGCGTGGATGAGACCACCACCATAGGCCTACTCGCTTGTTTCAAATTACTTAACAATCGAGCTACCAAGATCCCACATATCCTAGAATAGATAGGGGAAACATGTACTTGAGCGGAACAAGCGTTTCCTGACCCACTGGAGCACAGGGCGATATTCTGAGCCGCCGGCAGCCGGCTTCAACCGCCATTTCCTTCCGCGCTTCCCCATCTTCTCTCAACAGCCAGACCCTCAGAGGATCTGGGGTCAAGGTCCCAAAACACGAGCCTCCACAGACGTACATTTGTGTGTTTATTACCCCAGTATTACCAGTATACTCCACGGTTGGGCGCTGGGCTGCCGTCTGACGCTCTCGAGGCGCGGGTCCTCACACCAGCGCTTGCCCCGCGAGAGGGTGAGCAAGTTGTGGAGCTCGAACTAGGCACAACACAGGATCTTTGACTAACTAATGTTTCCTCTTGACTTCGAAAGAGCATCTCTGTCCGACGGCTGCAGCTCCCAGGATCCAGACTTGGTCGAAAGTCTGTGGAACTGTTTTAGGGGACTGGGTGGCGCTGCAGTCTGGGTCTCTAGTCGGGTAACACCTGCTTGATCATCTCTGCACCTGCCCGTGCATAAAGGAGGATCCGCGAATGGAGAATGTGGAGGATACCAACGTTAGTGAATCTGGTTCATTTCCATGTCTTGTTGTGGGCGTTTACGCCTGTGCAAAGACGAGAGAATTGGACACATATGAGTAGAGTCCGCGGGAGAAAGTCGACTCGATCATGAACACATCCCAGGATTTCAACTCTCAGTGATATGAATCTCACCCAGTGACAGTTGAAAGCCAGAGCACTCCTATAGACAGCTAGGCAACGGGACTTTGATGTGCTTTTTGCAGGGTAGGTGAAATATACCATGTGGATATGACGTCGGAGTCCGGACGTCCCTGGAATTGACTCTGCAATTTTTTTCGCCCTTCTCCAACAAGCCTCCAAACCTCACGAGTAAGGCACACACTCCTTATATTACCTACGTAGTGTCTGGCTGATGGCAGGATCCCTGCGGTGAGCCCGCCCCGATCACCGGGACTTTAGTCACTTTACCACAGGCTGGACTAGACGGAGGTCTGCGCCCGTGACGACGCTAGAGCGGACGCTCCGAGGAGTAGGACGTGGCCTCTCTTGAGTTTGATATGGACGTCCGCGTGCTTACCTGTACCTTGGAAGAATTTATTCTTGTCCACCCTCAACGTTCAAGTTCACGTTCACTCAAAGAGTCCAGAGATGCCGATTTGTGCACGCCGCCAACGGCTGCGCGGTAGGACGGATAGACGGGCGGAAACTCATCAAAACAAGGACAGGATCGCCCGGCACAACGACTGGAGTCCTCGGTGGAGACCGCTAGACGCAGAAGAAGGCGGATCGGCCTTTTCCAGAAGCATTGCCGCAGAGAAGACCCGGGGGCCGGCGCAGGTCCCACGTCTCGTGTCGCGACGCATCCAACGGCACGCACCGATGTGGATCGTCTTTACGTACAAGTTACCCTCCGCGCGTTGGATCATGGAGCACCGTGAGCCCAGCCTCGCCTCTCACTGGCAATGAAACTCCACGACCCTCCCCGATCCCGGAAGGGTGCGCTCCATCGGGAGCAGACCGCACACGAAAGAATGAGGCGGTAGCATGACGCTGGTGGAGCAGCATGTTGCTCTGCCTCCCGAGTCTCGACGCCGGCGCCGGAACGCAAGCGTGCTATTAGTTCAGCGTCAGGGTGCACTCGACCATCAATCTCTTTGTCAAACCCTCGTGTTCTCCTGATTCTCTAGACACTCCCTTCATTTCGAACAAAGTGGCCGTCTTCCCCAGATTCCCCAGGAAATTTTCAACCTCTCGACAACCACTTTCCTCCCTCTCTTCTCTAGCTGCTCCCCATGAACAAGTCCACCAAGGAGGTCGACGGCCTCGACATGCCACGCTCAAAGATTGACGATGCTGAGGTCCAGCAGAGTCACGTCTTTGGCGACAGGACAGATGGCGGTCCCGACTATCGAAATGTGAGAATCCCCTCTCCTCTTACTGCTGCAGCCTGCTGACGCGTGCCACGTAGGTTGGCTGGCTGGGCACCGTGGCCCTGATGATGAAGACACAAATCGGCCTGGGTATCTTGACCATCCCCGCGTCTTTCCATGCGCTGGGTCTGATTCCCGGTATTATCCTGCTCTGCTTCATCGCGGTGCTCACAGGGTGGGCGTCGCATGTCATTGGCACGTTCAAGCATCGCCACTTTGAGACATATGGCATCGACGATGCGGCCAGGCTGCTCTTTGGCCGGGCAGGCTTCGAGGTGTTTGGTTGCATCTTTGTGATTTGTAAGTCGTTGTCTATAATCCAAGATTCCCGACTAACCTTCCAGACTGGATCTTCATCGCCGGCTCCGCCATGCTGGGCATCTCCATCGGCCTCAACGCCGTGTCCGCCCACGGAGCCTGCACAGCCGTCTTCGTGGCTGTAGCTGCGGCCGCAGCTTTTGGCCTAGGTAGCATCCGCACACTCGGTCGCATCAGCTGGCTCGCCTGGATCGGGCTGGCCTCCATCCTCACAGCTGGTACGTTTCGCATGTCGTGCTTTTTCTTGGCATGCCCAATTCTAACACGTAACCAGTCTTCACCGTGACCATTGCCGTCGGTGTGCAGGATAAGCCAACCGACGCCCCAGATGACCAGCCGTGGAAGTCTGACTTTCAGCTCTTTGGCAGCCCTCGCTTCGTCGATGCGGCGACTGCCCTCTCCGGCTTTGTCTTCGCCTATGCGGGCGTGCCGGCGTACTTCTCCCTCTTTGCGGAGATGAGGGACCCTCGCCACTACACGCGCTCCGTCATCACCAGCCAGTGCGCTATCACGGCCACGTACATTGTCGTCGGTACTGTGGTGTACTACTTCTGCGGATCATACGTGGCTACGCCCGCCCTGGGCAGCGCTGGCGGTCTGTTAAAGAAGGTCAGCTACGGCTTGGCTCTCCCTGGCCTCCTCGTCTCAGCGACGCTCTTTGTTCACGTACGTCTTTTCTCTGAACCAATACCATCCGTGTAGACTAACGCAGTGCCAGATCCCCGCCAAGTACCTCCTCGTCCGCGTCCTGCGCGACTCGAAGCATCTCACCGCCAACACCATGACCCACTGGCTATGCTGGATCGGCTGCACGCTGGGCATCACCATTGTCGCCTACATTGTCGCCAGCGCCATCCCCATCTTCGGCTCCCTCACGTCTCTGATCGGCTCCCTGTTTGGCTGCCTCATGTCCTTCATGTTCATGGGCTTCATGTGGTTCTACGACAACTGGTCGGTCGGCAAGGCCCAACCGACCAACAAGTGGCGCCTGAGGGCCCTATGGGCGGCCGCTGTCGTCCTCATGGGTGCGTTCCTCATGGTCGGCGGCACATATGGCTCTATTGTGTCCATTATGGATTCGTACTCGGCGTCGGGCGGCGCGAGCGCGTGGAGCTGTGCTGATAACTCGAATTCGAGCTAGACCTGTTATATAGATGTTCAAATAATCCTTTTCACTGTTCAACTTTGTTGTGTACGCTTGATGCTAATGGTACACTCGTTACAAGAACCAATGCCTACATGTGTTCTTACAAAACCTACATGTACTCTATCTGCGCCTGTTTCTATCGTCTACCGCAGCCTCCCACGTGCTGTCCTCCCCCATGGATCGCGTCCCCAGCGTCGTGACCTCAATCGTGTTCAGCAAGGTTGACTGCGTCAAGGCAACACCCTGATCTGTCGCCAGACTCAGGGCCAGCCGCATCGTGTTCTTGATCTGTCGCCCGTTCAACTGCTGAGCCGCGAGCGCAGCGCAATCAATGTCCGACGCGACAGGGCCGGGCAGATTCGCCAGCTGGCTCTCCCAAACCCGCAGGCGGGCGTCCCGATCGAGCGATTCATACCGAATGGCGAGGGTGATACGACTCTCAAACGCCGGGTCGAGATTCCGTACTCTGTTGGTCGTTAGGAAGAGGATGCCGGGATGATACTCGAGGATGCGCAGCATAACGCAGACCATGGCGTTGCGAACGAGGTCCGCGTTGCTGCGCGTTTCGAGAAACACGTCTGCTTCGTCGAGGACGGCGAGAGCGTCCCACTCGGCGCACAAATCCAGAACATCTGTCAGTCTCTTCTCCAGCTCGTCTGGGGTCACACCGAGTTCGCCCATGGTGATGTAGTACAGCGGTCGATGGAGCACCTCAGCGACAGCCTCGGCCGTCAACGTCTTTCCGACGCCGGGTGGACCGTGCAACAGAAAGATGAGTCCGCCCTGCTTCCCGCTGATGAGGTCCTGCGTCTGCGTGGTGGTTCCACACCGCACGACGGCACGGATGAGCTGCTTGCGCTCCTGCGAGAGAACCAAACGGTCGTACGCCTGGTCCTGAAAGTCAATGTGCGAGAGGCCGTCGACGAGAACGTGGCCCCAGATCTTGGCCGTGAAGCTGAAACCCACCAGGGCGGGCCAGCAGGTGATGAGGAACTCCTGGGGCACCTGGTCCCAGATAAAGAGGGATTCCGTCTCGGGTGTCTCAAGTCGAGAAGACTGCGACCGTTTGGATAACCATTGACGGTACCGTCCTGCGAGTTGGACAATGGACAAGGTGGCCTCGTCCACCCCCTGGCACGGGGAATGGCCCATGGACGCGCCTCGAGCCATGTCCACCATGATACGGCCACCGATTAGTGTCTGCGAGCTGTTGGTGGACTGAGACATGGCCTGGCCTTCATGTCGAGCGCGTGACGTGTGGAGGAAGAAGCTGTCGGGCGAGTAGGCGAGATACTTGGCGCCCCCAGCTCCGTACCCAACAGCTCGTGCGGCGCGCGCGAGGAGAGCTTCGTGCTCGCCATCGGACACTGGAGAGTACGTAAAGTCATCGAGCGGTCGAGCCCGCGCTCCGCTCCAGGTGAGCATGACCTCAGAAAAGCTGGCGACGGAGAAGTGATCGCCCATGGAGACGACAGCCTCCAAGGTGACTCTAAACTGTTTCTGGGAGCCGAAAAGGGAGCGTCGTTCCTCGTAGTAGGCATCCGTCACACGGAAGACGCATGGAGCTTCGGATCCGGAAATCATAGATGCCTTCACATGCCGCTCCGGTCTGAACAGCTCACCCAGCCCGTCGAAGGTAATCTTGCCGTTCTTGATCGTGTCTCTGGCCTCCTGGATTGGCCTTTCGTGAATGGCCTCTACTTGGCGTATAATCTCGTCGAGCCCGGCTACGCGGATTGGTGCCACTGCCTGACCTGCGTAGAAGCCAAAGCCAGACAGCAGGTCGAGAGTATGGCGTCGCCAGTATTGGAGGAAAGCTGCCGACTGCGTGGCAAGACCGTCATTGTACCTCTCCAAAGCATGGCGCAAGCAGCGAAGCCGTCCCAATATCTGAAAGACCTTGTCCGCGGTGGCTTTCGCGGATTGCGGCGCGCCTAGATACGATCCCACGACAGTACGGAGGGAGACGCTCCCTGATGCGTCGCGCGACTTGGGAAACTCGAATTCCATGTTCCCTGTGCCCTCGCCATGGAGGATGAATGGCTGCGAACTGCCGTGCTGGCTTCCATCATCTTGGCGCGGGCTCCTGATGGCACGAGGTGGAGGTGGTGGTGGTGCGGGTGGCGGGTTGGATGCCATTGTGGATGGGAGCGTAGATATGTAGAGACAGTGAGCAAGTAGAGAGTGGTTGTGTAGGTACTTACTTGAACTGATGTCTATGGCAACTTATTAAATACCTCTGCCTAATTTGGCTGCCTGTCGTGCCAAGGAGGGCGCCTAGTGTGGCGCTCTTTGCCTGGGAAACTATGGAGCCTGTGCCGTGTATTTTTGAGGCTTTGTAACGACTAACTTAGGTCTAGAAGAGAGCTGAAGCAGCTAATAATAGGTAAATCGGATCAGACAATAGGAAACACTGTAATGAGTAGATGCTTCAGTGGCTCGGAGAGCAGTCTGCTAATTTCAATTTCTTTTTTCAAATATGTTTGTGTGGCGGTTGACTTTACGCTCTATAATCATGCAAAAACATTGTCGTGTGAAATTCAAACTAACCTTGCTTCATGCAAAGAGCCTATCTTTCGCCAAGACCTCCTGATGATTACAGGTTCTCGAGAATTTCATAAAATACAAAGCGGCGATAGAACAGGAAAAGGAGAACAATGGAGGCCCGAGTGCAGGGTAGGTAGAACCTCAGTAGGACCTCGGGTTGACTAACGATAGTCGATTACCATGATAAGCTCTGCTTTTAACATAACCGAGCCTCCTGTCTATATTTGCTCCGAAATGTTATCTGTAATGCTTTCAATTCTGCTATGGGATATAGCCAATTACTCCAAGTCCACCAGTGCAGAAATCTACTTGCAGCCTTCTAATTCCCCTGTTGCCAACACGGAGATATACTACACGTGGACAGCGACCGTGGTCCGAACGTCAACTTATAGTCGAAAGTCTATCCCACCAATCTCAACAAGGTGCGTGCGGCGGCAAACCCCCTCTCGATGCAGTGTAACCCTTCACCGTGCGACTCAGAAACGTGGTCAGCCTCCTGCATGGCAAGACAATGCCCCGCCCCAGACCTGCAACAGCCCTTCGACCACCATCATCCTACATCTACACCATGCTGCCCCCAGAGACAGAAACAACAGTCTATCCGGCGTCACCGTTGCACGAAGAGACCTCTCCGGCCAAAGCACCATGGTGGCGTCCTCCCTATCGACGCACCACATACTCGGGCGCCCTCCTCTTCAACCTCGTCGCCTTTGTCCTCCCGGCGCTCTACAGCACGCTGTCCAAGCTCTGGGTGGCGAACATTGACAAGTCCCTCGTCGTGACCACCGACGTCTACACCTACATTGGCGTCATCGCAGAGGTCCTCAACGAAGGCCTACCACGCGCCGCATGGGTCGTCATCGGCGACAAGGCATCGCGCAGTCTCGGACACCGCCTGGGCCTCACCCACACGCTGATCATCATCCAGTCCCTCCTGGGCCTCATCATGAGCATAGGCTTCGTCGCGGGCGCTCGGACCTTCGCCAAGGGTTTCGTCCCCATTGAGGTGCGCGACGTGAGCCTCGTCTACGTCCGCATCAGCGCCTTCTCCGCATGGACATCGGCCCTCGAGACGGCGGTGGCCGCTGCCACAAGGGCGCTGGACAAACCGGATGTCCCGGTGGTCATTAGCATCGTCAAATTTGCCGTCAATATCCTCCTCGACTTTCTCATCATATCGACGTTTCATGTCGGTCGCCATACGCCCACGGTCAATATGCAGGCTGGCATTCAGCTCGCGTGCAACATGGCGGCGGCCATACTTGGACTGGCCTATTTCCTCTGGACAGTAACACTCCCGTTCTGGCATCGCGAGAGACGCCTCATGCGACACGAGGAACTGGTGGCCTCCAGACCAAGCCTGTCCGCCTTGATGGTGCTTGTACGGCCCGGGATGCCCACACTCATCGAGTCCGCTGTTCGGAACGCTCTCTACCTATGGCTGGTCAGCACGATTGTGGCCCTCGGCTCAACGTACGCCACCGCATGGGGTGTCTTCAATACCATCCGCTGGGGCCTCATTATGGTCCCCGTGCAGGCCCTTGAGGCGACGAGCTTGGCCTTTGTTGGGCACCGATGGGGCGCCTGGCGAAAAGAGATTGGAGTCAGTCAGAGGCGCCCAGAGCCAGTCGCGTGGCGCGCAATATCCCGGATCATCGCGCCAGCAATACAGTCGCTTGTGATCGCTATTGTGGTTGAGGTGCCCATCGCCGTGTTCCTGTCGCTGTGGGGAGCAAAGGGCTTCGCGTTCTACCTCAGTGGCTCGGAAGAGGTGGCGGCCGTGACGAGCTACATGTGGCGGTCCATCGAGTGGTGCTACGTCTTCTACGCCGCGTCCACGCAGCTCGCGACGATTCTTCTCGCGACGAGACCGCTGTGGTATCTGTACCAGAGCCTGCTCAGCAACTTTCTGTACGTGCTGCCCTGGGCGATTGTGTGCCAAGTCCGGGACTTGAATGAGGGGAATGCGTGGACGTATCACGGCCTTGTATTTGGGGGTAGCTTGGTCTTTAGCTTTGGTGCGATCATGATTGTCGACTTGCTCTGGGCGTGGACCCTGAGTAGGGGGAGGGCCCGGCTCGAGGAGTTCCATGGGGATTGATCATCCGTCAAGCGCGGTACTGTTCGGGAACGATTTGTTCAATGATCCACGTTGGAGCTTGTGTATTGTTTGTAATCTCCCCTGCGAAGACCTGGTCCCTTTTGATATGTAGCCTCATGATCGCGTAAAGGCACGCAATCTCTGATGTTGTTATCAACACACGCGCAAGGTGAATGATGCGAGGGATCATAGGTCCTGCTCGCTGAGAGAGAGGCCAGAAATTCTTGCAATGAGCAGATAATCACAGAGCAGGGATTGGTGGTCTGGCGACTCGAAACCATCGCTCTTTCTGAGATTTAATGTCGTGCAAAAACGCCATTCTCGCGATGCAGAATTGGACTTGGGACTTGGCGGATGAGTGGTGGTTACGCCGCTGCGCTAAGGCGTTGTGCGATCTGGCTACCCTACGCCGCTTATCACTCCTCCAGCAGGAGATCAGATTATGCCGCATCACGACCGGACGAGACGCTGACAACAACTTGATGAGCCCAGATATCAGCCACCGCGGCCGCTCACCTCACCTTCGCGCCAATTCACATCCATCGCCATCATGACGGCCCCTCCCGCTTTGGCCCGGGCAAGAGCGGCCATCAACGACCGGATCGCTTCCATCAACGCTCTCAAGGGCCTTCCCCCGCAGTCCATCCTCCTCATTTCCACCCTCATTCTCGTCAACATCCTCGTCTGGCTCGCCGTCGCCTTACCCATCCTCACCACGCATCCTAAGCTGGCGGCCCCCGCCGCTATATCCTGGACACTCGGCCTACGCCACGCCCTCGACGCAGACCACATTGCCGCCATCGACCTCACGACGCGGCGCCTCATTGCCGCAGGCCAGCGCCCTGTTTCTGTGGGCACATTCTTCTCTCTAGGCCACAGCACCATTGTCATCATCACCTGTATCGTTGTCGCAGCGACGAGCGGTGCTCTGAGGGAGCGCTTCGACGGATTCGCCAAGGTAGGTAATATCGTCGGTACGAGCGTCAGCGCTGCCTTTCTCATCGTGCTGTGCCTTGGCAACGGATGGGTTCTTCATGGCCTGGTCCGACGACTGCGAGCTACGCTCGCCGCGCAGCGGGATAGTGGGGTGGCGGCAGGGGAGCAGCAGCAGATGAGCCAGGATGAGGTCCAGCGCGTGGCGGAAGGCCAGTTCCACCTCGAGGGCGGCGGATTTATGGGACGGGTCCTGAAGAAACTGTTCCGGGCTATTGATCGCCCGTGGAAAATGTATCCTTTGGGTGTCGTCTTTGGACTTGGCTTCGATACGTCCAGCGAGATTGCCATCCTCGGCATCGCCAGTATCCAGGCCGCACAGGGCACGAGCATCTGGGTCATCCTCATCTTCCCCGCCCTGTTCACCTCGGGCATGTGCCTCCTCGACACCACAGACGGCGCCCTCATGCTCGCTTTATACACGTCTAAGGCCTTTTCCCGCGATCCCGTGGCCATTCTGTACTATTCCATCGTCCTCACCGGCATCACCGTCGCCGTCTCTGCTTTTATTGGCTTGGTGCAGGTTTTGTCTTTGGTGCAGAACGTGGCGAAGCCTCATGGGAGGTTCTGGGACGGCGTGGAGGCCATTGGCGACAATTTTGACATTGTCGGCGGATGCATCTGTGGTGCCTTTTTGCTCGTGGGCATTGGCTCCATCATCTTGTATAAGCCATGGAGGCGACAAGCGGACGCGGATGAGTTGAGGAATGAGGGCGAGGCAGGGACAGTCGACGCTACGCATGATGGTATGCCAAGCGGAGCAGCAGTGTCCCGCGAGTCAACACCGCTGTTGGGAGTCGATCAGACACCCATCAGCAAGGCCACTGATAGTAGTCAGGTATGAGGACCTGGACAGGGCCTTGGTATTTGATCCAAGATGAAGCATACCGTAGACAAGCTCTTGGTTGCAATGTTCTACAGGACACTAGAGTCTCTCGTGACATTTTCTTGAGGACCAGGTCAAAGCATGTGTCTGCAACCACTAATCCACCTGGTAAGAAGTGGCTCGGCACATTAAATGTCTTCGTCTCCTTCAACTTATACGTACGCGCATCCTATTGCGCCCCTACCATTGACTAGCTCGCATACTTCGCCCCCGCGGCGGGGGCTAGAGTTCTAGTTGAGATGACTGTATGGATAGGCTGAGGCGAGTGGAGCGAGTCATATATATGTATGCAATCGCAGGGCTGAACTGGCTTATTATGCTCACAAAATATCTTTCGGGGCGGGCCTGCGAAGCAAGGCACAGGAGGCCGGTCCCCCACGGGGCCCGCTAATGCCTTTTGGAACGAGTCTGAGAAGGAAAGAAGTAAGGCACTTGTAAATGAAAGAAACAAGAAAGAGGTGTCGCCTAATAGTAAGATTGATTGAAGGGGCCCGCCAATGCCTTTCGGAACAAGTCTTGCAAATCCTCTGCTTCAGCTAGATACAGGCCAGATACGCCAGCTCATTTCGATATTTAACTGGAAATAGTCATTCACCTTTTCCTTGAAATTATCACAGTCCTCGCAGATTTTGTTGCTGCTCAGTATGACTGCCTGTGTCAGTGAGATAGAGGGCTCCTTTTTACTCAGCTCAATCAGGTCTTGGTGTATCTTCTGTCTCTTCAACAACCTGCGGTGTTCCTCCTTTTGAGCTCTCATTGTAGCCACATCAGCGTCCGAATCAAGGCTTAATAGTTCTTCGTCAATCACACAGATCTCATGTTTCAGCCTTTTGACCTCTTGTTCATCGTAAGAGTCACCAAGCACCAGATCATCTGCATCGAAAAGCTGAAGATCCAATTCTGATTTCCTCTCCTCCAGATCACACACCCTTGTCCAGGCTGCGGACGAGTGCCTTCCATCTACTGGAGAGTCTTCCAATTCAAGGATTGAGTTTTTCAACGTCTGGTCCGGCTCTCTATCTTGAGGCATGAATACGTGCTTGTCTAAGAAGTAGGCGATCAACTTCTTCTCTGCATGGGAAGCAAAATACTGGCCAGGTTTGCCCTGATCCCAACCTGGATCTGGAGCATCTCGGACCTCATGGCCAATTATTGATGCGATATAGTAGACTTGCTGGATCCAGTGTGGTCCTATCCTGGAGTTCAGAGGTAGAGCATCGGGGCCCCAACCACTGGTTGCCGATATACGAGTGAATTGATCTCCCCTGTCAAGAACGGCGGCGGTTTTGGTGATACGCGGCACGCGGTAGCTTCGAATGGGTCCACAAAGCGTTATTGCCATCTCGGATTTGGGTTTCCTGAAGCCATAATTATCCCGTTCACTCCTCGATAATGGGCTAGTGAATCCATGTCGCTTCTCGGCGTTCGAGTCACCGAGTAAGATAACGATGTGCCGCCTGTCTCTGTCGCGTTCGGGGACGCTTTTTGCAGCCGCAATGGGAGAACGCCCATATCTCTCCTTTTCGTTTTTGCGAGCTGCCTGTGCTAAATCCATCGCACAACGGCCCTGACGGTCTCGAAGGCCTTTGTCAGCATTGGAGTTGAGCAATGCTTTTACACTCTCCATTCGGCCCCAGAGCGCCGCCTCCATGAGCGCACTTCGTCCGTCATTGTTGATAGCGTTCACATCTGCGCCATTTCGCAAAAGGAGTGACACCATCTCGTGGCTCTTTTCTGCTGCCGCCATAATCAGAGTAGTGTTCATGTTTCCAGTTTCATTTTTCCCGTGCAGAAAAAGGTTCGCTTCGACCGAAGTGTTGAGATATTGGCTTATTGCAGGCAAGTTACCATGGACACATTCTGAAACAGCGGACCGAATCCTCTTTTGCTCAAATGTATTGCCGCCTGGAAGTGTGATAGTTTCCATCTCTCTTGAAACTTTTTCGAGATTCAAAACCGGATCTGAGTTTGGTTCTCTGCCCGAGATTTTCATTGTGTGGAAAAGATCGGCCAATTCGCACTCATCTCTTTCCAAGGAATATAATTCCCCATCCCTTTGACCTCTTTGCAAGCTAGCATTCACGAAACAGGCCCTTCTCTTATCAATCTCATAGCCGACAAGCTTGCTGCTTTTATCGATGGGAAATATGAACTCATATTGGCCGCCGGGAAAACAGTTCGAAGCGCGTCTCCCCGGATCCTCGACGCCGTGCCGATGTATCTCCTCGCAGTACGGACATTCAACATAAACGTTCCGTGCATTCCAGTGAAGCACATCAATTTTTGGAATCGGAAATGAGTTGGTCGACATAATGCACTCAATGAAACATGGAACGGTGCTTGATGGCAAAAGTATGATGCAAAAAGAGAGATAATAGCCACGTCCCAAGTTAGGATGCGGTGGCTTATGTTTGCTTCATACTACCCCGCACTTGATCCCAGTCACTGCCACTGTCGCCTCCAGGCATATTACGTGCTGCTAAACTAACCCGGCAAATTCATCCAGTCTCCTTGACTGTCGTAATGCCTCATGGCCTACACACCCCTACATACCCCGGACAGATAGCTAGCTACTGAAATCTTAACAAATAAACGCGATAGAAGCGGGTAAATATGTGAGTACATGTATACTAAGTCATTGCTACTACCGAATGTCATAGCCTCCTTTAACTTATACGTACGCGTAGTAGCGTTACGAGTCGTATCCTATTGTGCCTTGCCATTGGCTAGCTCGCGTATTTCGCCCCACACCGGGGGCTAGAGTATTAGTTACAGATGACGGCTTCGGGATCGCCAGCCGGGATGACAACACGCGTAGCGAGGCTGAGGGCTTATGTTGAGCGGATCATATACGTAATTGCACTTTGCAGGGCTGGGTGGACTAATTATGCTGACAAAATGGCTGATGGGCCATGGCAGGTGTCGGAGAAATTGTTGCAATATCTAAGCATACTGACAGGACAAAGGATTCTGGACCCTGTCCACAGCATCTCGGACGCGAACATGCACGTCTTTTTCTTAAATCGGGCCTCGTCATCTATGTCCGGCAAGTGGATTACTTCCCAAAATAGCTTCTTTGTAAGGAGGCTTATTTGGTAAGGTATAATGGGTCTGGATGTCAGCAATGGATCTCTCCCAGACTAGCCACGACCTTGCCTAGTCTATGTGTACATGATTCTGTTGGGCATAAAGCTTCTGCGGTCCCCTCGCATTGAGATTTCTCTGGCTGCCATCTTCCGGCAACGACAATGACAGCCACCACCATCCCATCAGGGACATCTGTCTCTGCCTCCAGCACACCAACATGCTTTCCGATGACCCCGAATGAGGTCGGCTACGTGCCGCCCGAGGGATGTGGCAATCTCCTCATGTACGAAGCTAGCTTCGTGGCTCCTGTCCTTTTTTGCGTCTTGTTTGGACTCACTACCATCGCCCATTTTGCCCAAGCGTTTGTATACAAGAAGGTACGATGCCCCTGCCCCTACTTTGTCACTTACTGACGGTTCTCTAGCGCTATGCCTGGGTCATCATCATGGGTTCTCTGTGGGAGCTAATGGCCTTCATCATGCGTGCTCTCTTCGCCAAGGACCAGAGCAGCGAAGCCTACGATACTTGTCACGTAATCTTCTTCCTCCTCGCCCCCATTTGGGTCAACGCGTTCATCTACATGACACTCGGTCGCCTCGTTCACTTCTTCATCCCCAACAGGCGTCTGGGCGGGCTACCCGCCAAACGATTCGGGCTCGTCTTTGTGTGGCTCGACATTACGGCTTTTGCCGTGCAGTTGGTCGGCGCAGCCTTCACGACCGGCTCAGACAATTCGGCAGAGACGACCATGAGGGGTGTGCACATCTACATGGGGGGCATTGGACTCCAGGAACTTTTCATTCTCGTCTTTGTCTGGTTTCTGGTGGTCCTGCAGCGCAGGATTGCGCGTCTGGAGCAACATGGCGCGCTTGACGTCGAGAAGCAATCCACTGGGTTGAATAGCGTCCGCGATTGGCGCTGGCTCTTCTACGCCATGTACGCCACCCTATTCCTCATCTCTGTGCGCATCTTTTTCCGGTTGGCACAATACGCGCAGGGTACGGACCTGAGCAACCCAGTCCTCACCCACGAGTGGTACGAGTACGTCTGGGATGCGGCGCCAATGTTCATTGCGCTGGCCATTCTGAACGTTGTGCATCCTGGCCAAGTCCTGAGAGGGCCTGACAGCGAGTTTCCGCGGATGAGTCGTGCGGAGAAGAAGGAGCGCAAGCGGGCAAAGAAGCAGAGCAAGGCGGAAGAGAGGGAAGTGAAGAAGCGGGCCAAAGCTGAGGAGAAGGAAGCAAAGAAGGAAGCGAACAGTGGGAGCGCTGCATTAGACACTCCGTCTACTCATCAATGATTCCCAAGGCAACAAGATTTATATTTGGAAGAAAAAAAAAAGGCTTTTGGTGAACGGAGCAACCTTTATGGGATCTTAAGCAAAGTCAAGGGCCAAGGCTCATCTGCGGAAGAAGCAAACGAAAAGAGTTCATGCCGCTGGCACTCCTTGATACTATGATCGCCTTGTATCATTCCATCCCTTCATACGCGGGTCAAACCCATCATCAAAGGCCTCTCTCTAGCTACACTGTTCCATGTCATCAGTTTGATTGCTTGTCTGATGGACATATTCCGTCCCGAGGCCCCTGATTCGGATCAAGGGGCACGTGCGCTACACTTGAACCACAACCTCGGTCCCGGAATTAAGCCATGATAAAGTCCATTCACCGCAACACACGGCGTTTCCAGAGGAGGAAGTTCGGTCGACGTTCTAGAGTAGCTCAAGCGAAGCAACGTGCCAGGAACAGGAAATGAGCTCCATCGATTAAGATTGACCATGATGACTCGACGCTGAGAACGTATAGAAAAGTCTTGGGCGGATCTTTTGACGTCTTAAGAATTCTTCTTTTTGCTAAAATACGAGTCTTCGCGCCATCTCTCTTCGCGAGGACTTTGCTTCACCTCTTCCCACACCCGCAACAACTCCAAATGTCATGTTCACATCATGACTCAAGCCCCAGGGACGGTCTGTGACTAGTCCCGCTATATTACTATTAAAGATGCACACACAGGCTCTTCTTGGAAGAACGTCGGCTCGGACGAGTGGCTGAGGATTGTGGCTGTCGTGATCAGCGCGAGCCTCTCGACCATCGCCCCGAAAGCCACGCCTCTGGAAGGAAAATCTACTCCCCTGGCGAAGATACATTTGGCAAATGCTTCCTAAGATCTTTTACCTGTTCCATCAGGCGCTGGATGGTGTTCAGGTGGTTATCCCATTTCTGCATCTCGACGCGCTTGCCGAGGTGCTCCAGGATGGTAACGAATCGTTCTATATTGAGCTGCAGCAGCGCTAGACACGTGACCTTGAATTCCTCGTCGGTGTCCAGGCAGTACTCGCCGAGGTTGGCGGCGGTCGCGTCCCAGTTGTCGGCCGTGGTCGAGCACTCGAGAAAGCTGACGAGCTGGGCGAACTGCTCCACGAGCTTCTCGGCGAGCAGGACGAACATGGTCATCGAGGTGGACATGGGCGCGCAGCGGGTGCAGGTGGCGAGGCGGTCGAGTTGGGACAGGACCCGTTTCACGGCCGACATCTTCTCGAGAGGTGTCGCGTGGAGGCGCCAGTGCGTGATGGCCTCGAGGACCTGGATGGAGAGCGCGTCGCAGCGTTGCGCTATGGCACACGTGTACTGCGGGCCGTGGGTGGACGGGGCCATATCCGCGGCAGTCACATTGGGTAGGCCAGGAGCCGACCAGGTCATGTCGTTCGAGATGGGCGGGATCCACGACTCCAACGTTGTGTTCATGCTGTCGGCCACGTCGGCTGGGGCTGTTGTCGTGCAAGGAAACTGGAGCCAAGACGCGTCCAAGATTTCGTTCCCCGGCTCAAACGAAATGTCCATCATGTCATGACCCAAGTGTATTTCCGGCGCATTCTTGTCTACAATAGAACCCTTTTCATTCCCACCCTCGGTCGAGGAAGCCAACAGAGCGCTCGTCCTTGCCGTGGATGTAGCTGTCTTTTTGTGTTCCTGTGTTCCAGTAGGTGTCGGTGTCGATGCCTGCGTCTTCTGTGACTCTGTTTGCGTCTGTGTGCGCGTCGTCTGTGCCTGAGCGGGCTGGCAAGGTGACAAGGGTGTGTTGGTCGACTGATTCTTCTTGTTGGTCGATTGACTTTTCTTGTTGGTCGGGTATCTGCATGGCAGCTGGGAGACGAGACACCGGTGACATTGAGGCATCTCATTTGTGCATTTGACCTGGTGTGTCGCATTGTCTCAGCAAGGTGTCGTTCCATCTATGTTTTCCGCATCGGATTGACGCCAAGTCAAGAGTTCCATTGGCACCTTACCTTTTTGAATCGACAGAAGTAGCACGCGGCCGCCTGTTGGCGCCGGGACTGAGGGGACTGGTCTATAAATTTGATGCGAGATACTGCCGACATTGGAGTGGAGGAGCTCAGTAGCGACTGACTTTGGTGAAGTGTAGGTGAGCGTAGCGGCGCACAAGAGATCTGTAGTGCCGATATAAGTTCAATGTTGCTACCCCTATCCACGTAAAGCACACCCAGTCTGTCGTCCACATTGAGCACGCGTAGACAACTGCCCCAGCGGACGTCAGTGGTTTGCGTTACATTGGGAGACACCGGCCTGCATCCGACTCCCCCTCCGCCGTTTTCATGTTCCTATCAGTGGCAACTCGCGTTCCTCGTACATATATGCGGTTTGGTTGACTGAATCCTTCGGCAGAAGTGAAGTAGCCAATTGACGAGTACCTGACCTTCTTTCTTCATCACGATCCATTTGTGCCATCAACAACGTAGATTGCAGTAGCATCGAATCTTGTCGACAGGCTGTGGCTCCTGCCTTGCAGCGTCGCACGGCCCGTAAGCAGGGATCTGACTGTGTGCGGAAACCCGACCCTTGCAAACATGCACAGCAATTCGGCCTGTCCTATCATCACGGCGTATACAGGGACAGTGTAAGCCACCCACGTGTGTTGGCGCGGGAGATGAGGGAATAATCGACAGCATAGTATGCTGAAGGCTCTGGAATGTTACCTTGAGCCAGGCGAAGGGTCTGTTTGATATGACCTCGTCCAATGCAGTCTTCTATAAACGGGCCAAAAAGGGCACAAGTGCAGTGACACATGTCTTGTCTTATCGGCGTATATGTATGTATGTACGAGCAATGCGAGCAACGTTTTCTACCACTCATGCGCAAGCATCCTTTTCCACCTGGCAAAAATCCGCTCTCGACGTGCATCAGAAACGTGACGCCAGTGCCACAGCCACGGCCACCATGCGTCATGTGTGAATCCGACATAGCAGAGAAGTAGTTCCCTGGCGTGTCCCAATTTCGTCCTAGTTAAGTACATAGTTGCCGTTCGCCGGCAGTTGGGAACAGCCGGCCTCCCCCATCGACATCCTTGGACATTTTGCCAAGGCGGAACGGACACACTTTGATCTTGTACAGGCGCTCAACCGCCGTGGCTTGCATGAGTGTCTGACGTGCTGACCAGCTCTGGATTCTCATCCTTATCGCGTGCGTCCAGGTTACCCAATAAAGCAAACTGAATGTTCCCGCCCACAATAGCTTCGGATAATCGGCTCTCGACCGTGTCTGCCGTCAGTGGGATGAGGAGTGCCAAGTAGCACGACCAGCTAGAATGACGCACAACAGAGCGGGTGGAAGATACCCCCGGCGCCACCAGCAAGGATAGCCCTGAGATAAGATTAACCTAGCCAGTCCGGGCCGTCCCAGAGGCTTGCCGTAAGGCACTCTTATAATCCTACGCGGCTGGCACTTGGCTGCCGCAGGCGTCTCGAATATTCCCGTGCCGAGACTTGACGCCTGATTCAATTCAACCGGTTCATTTTCCTGCCTTGGGCAGCTGTCCATGACGGTGTTCAGTCGATGTCCGGCCAGAAGGCCCATAACTCCGCCCGTGCATGCTCGCCAGTCGCAATACGTTCCCCGTCGAGCTGTACGTAGTACGGTCGAAGCAACGTTATGTGCGCCTCCAACGTGGCTAGTCTTGTCTTCACAACCTTTTGCGCCATCAGCGTCAACACTGCAATGTTCAATGTAAGTAACAGCCGAGAGACAAGCACGGCGTCGTGGTTCTGGGTGATAAGTACGAGGAAGTCAACAAACGTAGTAGCGGATCACCCCCGAGCCTTTCAGTCGTCTCCACCAAGTAAGACCAAAATGACATTGCTTGAATGAACTATATCAAGTGAACTATCTACTTTCTATCTGTCTTCGTCTCCCACGTTCCATCAGCTAAGATACCACAGAGTCGACCTTGACTTTGACGTGCTGCTTGATCATGGCATTTCCACAGTCAGTCCAATCCGTAGTCTTCTCATTGGTGTCAAACAGGCTCATGTTCAGCGAAGAGAAGAAGTTGGAGAAGGTGAGGTAGGTCTCCATCCAAGCGACACTGCGAAGCGTATCGAGTCAGTAATGGCAACAACGGCAGCCGCAAGAAAGAGCAGGAGTACGGTAGGGTAATCTTACTTGAGGCCAATGCACGCTCGGGAGCCCTTGCCGAAGACGACTAGGTAGTGGTCCAGATTGTCGTCGCCTAGCCACCGCTCAGGGATGAACTGGTCGGGGTTGGGGAAGATTTCGGGGTTGTCGTGAACAGAGCGGATGGAACTGGAAACAGAGGTCCCCGCAGGCAGGTAGTGGCCCTTCCAGGTCATGCCAGTGGAAGGGACAAGACGTGGAATGATGCCAGGCACAGGCGAAGACATCCGGAGAGACTCCTTGATGCAGGCGTTCAAGTACGGCAGAGACCGGACGGTCTTGTACTCGTACAGTCCGCGGTAATTTTTGGGGACAGTCTTGAGCTCGTCACGGAGCTTCTGGAGTTTGGACGGGTTGGACAGTAGATAGTAGGTGCCCATGCTCATGGTGTGGCTGGTGGTATGGGTTCCGGCAAAAGCAAACGAGTAGGTTTCATCCTCGACAGATTGGTGGGTCAGGGGCCTCCCACCATCCTCGGGACGCAGCAAAAGATCGATGACGGTTTTGCGGCCATCTACTGCCTTCTCCACACCGAGTTCATGTTCCGCGGCGCGGTCACGAATCCACTGGTTGATGCTGGCGCGGAACTCAAACTCGCCGGGGATCAGCTTGGCGGCAATGCTCTTGGGAATGTTCATTGCCATCCAGATGAGGACGGGAAAGTGCTTCAGGACGAAGAAGTTCTCGGAAAATGTGCGCAGGGTGGCAAGAAATGGTGGCTCCTCGTCCGTAGCGTCGATAAAGTTGAGCGTGCGGTCACACAGGACGCGCATGATAGTGTCGATGGTGATGCCAGTGTAAAGACGCTGGATGTCCAAGACTTTGTTCTCATCATGGTGCTCATGCGCCTTCCGAAGTGCATTCTGGACAACGTCCAGGACGAGGTGGGAAAGCGCCTCCATAGACTTGGCAGAGAACAAGTCGTTGATGAGCTTTCTTCGGCGCCTGTGGTACTCGACATCGACAATGGCGGGAAGTGCTTCGGGAATGCCTCCAGACGATTGGAAAAAGGCAGGATCCTTCATGTATTTGGAGCCCGAGGAGTAGACCCTGGAGCCACCTGTCAGCCGGAGAAATAAGTGTTTAGTTGGAGACAAACATACTCGTGGAAGAAGTCTGGGTCACTGACGTGAACCCGATCTGGGCTGGCTCTGATGACAGGCCCTGTTGACGCGGAATCAGTACATGCATTCATTGTAAAAGTCCGGGGAGCTTAAGGAGCACCAACCATATTTTTCGTGGAGTGCGGGATAGTTCTTGACGTACATCCCACCAAGAATGACGTCTTGGTAGAATTCATACCAGTATGTTGTCCTCGCTAGGAATGGCCCGGGGATCTTGGCCAGGGGATGGAAGTAGAGTCGTCTCACGACGAGCTGTATGGAGTAGACGACAAAGGCTGCCAGTGCAAAGACAGTCCACTCTAAGAGGGTTTGAGGTAGGCAATTGCTCACAATCTCGGAAAGGAGACCCATTGTAGGTGTTGTGCTAAGACCTGGCGCTGAATCCGGATGTAACAGAATGACATGTAACGTAAGGTGCTGAAGAAATGAAGAAAGACAGGAGCTCGCAGGAGGGATGAAGTAGGGATGCCTAGTATAGCCAGGCAACTCCCTTCATCAATGATACCTAGGTAATCAGCTCATTTTGGCAGGGGGTCTTGGGGTTTCGACAACACCCAAAGTCACTCATCATACATGTAGTCCGGGCGATACCCATTGTGGCGACACACGGGCTATGCCCGATTTCATCTTAGCGAGGTAGAGCCACATGGCCTTGATTAGGCACGTCCAAACTGCATTTCCAAGATAGGGCTAGTGCAACATCTTACTTTCGCTACAATGCAGCCCCCCCGTCGGCATTTACTTATTTAGGCAATAAATATCGAGACATAGATTCTTCGGCAATATAGATTCTTCGGTGACGTAGACTCTTCCGCCTGATATGGATAACGCGGTTGCTCCTGTTTAGGATCTGATCTTCTAAATCCCACGTGAAGACCACGTGCAGAGCTTCCTAGGTAGTGCAGTGAAATAGGGCACGGCTATCCGCCATTCATACGCTCTATCAAATCACATCAAATTAGTTTCTATACACTAAAGTTAGTTTCTGCTCACTGAAAATGGAAGTAGCCTCTGGAATCCAGCAGCACCGTATGGACGCCGACATGGGCGCGGCCTCGAGCGATGTCAGCGGTAACAGCACTTGTTCTGGCTATAACACCCGCTGCACAACACCGCCAAGGGAAACAAGCGATCAAGAACCAGAGCAGCGGGATTATGCAAAACGTCCGCCGTTCGTTCATATCCCGGACCTGTTCGGTTCTATCATGTCCACAAAGCCCGTCGTCAATCCCAACTACTTTGCAGCCAAGGCTAGAGGAGATCGATGGATTGCAAGGTACGTAGAGTATCGCCCGCTTTGTAGTTAAGAGGTCTCCCGGCTTGATTTCTCTTGCGAAGAAGATCAAGCTGATATGCTGACTTACCACGTTATGTAGGGTTATGAAATTCGACAAGACGACAGCAGCAAAAAATGCCAAAGTTGATCTGTGCTTCCTAGCTTCCATCTGGTCAGCAGATGCATCTGAAGACCGGCTGGTCACAATGTTAGACTGGAATCATTGGGTTCGTTTTCCCCTTCCTTTTCATGTTTCTATAGCCGTACACTCCCAAAGCTAACCCATATTTTTTACGCACAGGTATTCCTTTTCGACGACCGTAAGCTGCTCTCGAGAAATGCACCGGCCGACTCTTGAATTGGCTAACACTGTGCGCGGCACGCAGAGTTCGATGAAGGACACCTGATGGAGGATCCAGCCGCTGCAGCGGAGGAGGTGAAGCAGACCATAGCAATCATGGGCGGGGATGCACCACGGTATACTCCTGAGTCGAACCCCATTCGATACGTCTTCCAGACGTGTTGGGACGCCATAAGCGCTGTGTCCAGTCAAGGTTCGTTGTACACCAACTCAGAGACGTATTATTTGAAACGCCCACTTTTCCTAAGATGCTGACTCTTGACCTTAGAAATGCAACAGCGGTGGATAGACCAACACAAGCGATACTTTGCCCAGCTTCTCGTGCAGGTTGACCAGCAGGTCTCTGGCCAGAACTTTACACGCGATGTTGATGCGTACATGGACCTTCGCAGAGGCACGATTGGCGTGTATCCGGCCATCAACCTCGCCGAGTATGGCGCAGACATCAAGCTGCCACAGCACGTCTACGAGCATCCAAGTTTGCAGGAATGCATGAACGTGTCGGCCGACCTGGTCACATTGTAAGAACCCGCGAAAACACGAATCCATCTCCAGGTCAGAAAGTATAAGCTGATGTTTGATATTTCCAAGGGTCAATGACGTTTTGTCGTACCGCAAGGACCTGAAGTTGGGCGTGGATCACAATCTCATCTCACTACTCGTCGAAGGGAACCATTTGACCATTCAACAGGCTGTGGACAAGATCGGCGACATGGTCACCGACTGTTATCGCAGGTGGTACCTCGCTCTGGCAGAGCTTCCGTCCTACGGCGAGAAGATCGACCGCGAGGTGATGAAATTCGTGGAGGTTTGCCGGGCAGTGGCCCAGGGTAACCTATACTGGAGGCGAGTCAACTCCGCCACATTTGATGGCAGCGAAATCGAGTAGGAGTGAGGCTAACAGGGGCAATAGTTTCCAAACAGGTCGTTACCTGGGCTCTGAGGGCCATGATATTCACGAAACAGGCATCATGCACCTTCCGCCTGCTGAGAAGGCGTGGTGAACATGGTATGGAGGACTTGTTAAAGGTCGGTTGTTAGGCACAGCGCAACTCACATCACGATCATTAATTTCCTTTCTTGGCACATTAGCTAGCTGTGTTATTCGTGCAATATCAAACAATGATTAGGCTAAGTTTATCGTATGCGCTGTGCATCGTGACGCTGTGTTCACAATATCCTTATGCGCTGGCCGAATTGGCCTTGGAATTCCTTGGAGACTAACACACTCACAACGTGCCCCCACCTTTGAACGACTGGACCTGGCATCGAGGACGCTGTGACCTCACAGCTCTTGCAGATACTCATGCACCTGGCTTACTCTACATGTGCACCTGGCTTATTCTACATGTGCACCTCGCTTATTCTACATGTGCACCTGGCTTACTCTACATGTGCACCTGGCTTATTCTACATGTGCACCCGGCTTACTCTACATGTGCTCAGTGCTCCGTTTCTGACATCGGCTAACCTACCCAAATTCCTCGGCAATATCTAGATCTAGTAAGAGCGGGATGCGGACGGGGACCGGCATGTGGGTCCCGTGTGGGGGGCAGCATTTTATTGCCGGACAAAGCCCCGATAGCCCCGCGCTTGCAAGCCACTGCCAAGCCATTCAGTAACTCAAGTATATTTAGACAAACCAAGGTCATATATACTAAATCACACCAGACGTCGCGGCCTTCTTGCCAATTAGTACTGAGAGAATACCACGTTTCTCGAGTACAGTTGTTCCCCCTGAATTCTTACACGGTTCAAAACTATGGCAGCACCCAAGCCTGTATATAACCTGCCAGACGATGCAGTCTGGTTCAGTAAGTGCCTCCAAGCTTACCCTAAGCTATTCCCCTGAGTCCTGCTTCTTCTTGGCATTGAACACTTTGAAATTGTTTTTAACACATGCGGTCCAGTCACCGGCTGCTCATCTGGTATGGGCTTGGCTCTGGCGCAGCTCATCGCTTCTCGCCCGACACAGCGTGTGGTCGCCACAGCCCGTAACGTACCCAAGCTGAGCGGCATTCTCCCCAAGGACAACCCCAACATCTTGTTGGTGGCTTTGGACGTTAATAGCTCCGATTCCATCAAAGCTGCGTTTGACTCGGCGCTCACCAAATTTGGCCGCATTGACGTTGTCGTGAATAATGCAGGATATGGCCTCATGGGTGACGCAGAGTCATTTGTGGTGAACGCTGAGGATATGGATAAGGCTCGCAACATTGTCGAGACGAACTTTTGGGGCACCGCGCAAGTGTCTGCACACGCCGTGCGTGTCTTCCGTGACGAGAACCCCAAGAGTGGCCAAATTGGCGGCGTGGTACTGAACGTGACATCCATCGGTGGTTTCGCGGGATTCCCTGGCAGTGCTTTCTACCACGCTTCCAAATTTGCCACAGAAGGCTACACCGAGGCTCTGAGTAAGGAGACCAGGGCCGAATGGAATGGTGAGTCCTCCTACTATCGATTCACTGTTGCGCAGCGAGCGCAAATCCCTTGATGCATGAGGCTGATCAGGGTTCTCGACAGTTCACTTCTGCATCATTGAGCCTGGTGGTACAAAGACCAATTTCGCTGGCGACAGTATGCAGTGGCTCTCTCCCCACCCCGCGTACACAGCACCAGACACTCCTACCAGGTTGTTGGAAGGCTACGTCAAGAGCCCGGACATGCAGAAGACCTGGGCACCGAGTGAGCACATCGCCGCTGCCATGTATGAGGTTGTTGCTCGGAAGCAACCCATTCCACTCCGATTCCCCACTGGCGCACCAGCTTGGACTGTGATCAAGGCCGAGTGCGAAGAGGTGGAGAAGGCATTGCTTGAGGTGAAAGACCTGAGTTTCGCAGTTGATGATGGCTTAGTCAACAAGAGCGGCGAATTCCTAAAGAAGACTTTCTAAGGGAAAGACGACTAGGCAGCCAATGGCTGGGCAGTGTTGTGTTGGATCATATTTTCTAATAGATATCATAGAGGCGTTGAATATTGCCATGAGGCTCTGTCGAGTTTGCAAACTCTCCCTGCTCAATATCCAAACCTACGTAAGAACGCAAATCGGGGTACGGTATTAGACTGGATACTCCATGTCACGAGAGACAATCAAATGAACCGAGCGTCAACCTCAGCGGTTTTGCCGCCGCGGAAAGTTTAGCCCACGGGGATTGCTCGGAAGCCTTCACAGACTGCTGAGACATGCGACCCCCGTCGAGGCAAATCCGATAAGTCTGCTTTCAAATACAGGACGTCGACGACTTGCCTTTTTGGGCTCTCGGCGGCACTTCCTCAATCGGGTATGCGCCGGTGGACATTGGATGTACATCGCGGAACTTTGGGCTAGGCTGAGCAGACCACCCTACCACTGCGTGGCTCTCTATCTAACGAAGGGACCAAAGTAGCCCAATAGTCAAAGTCCTGAGTGGAAAACAAAGAGTAGGTAGCCTCACACCCAGGCCTGCTTACCCAATAACTAACATCCGCAACGCTTGCATACAGCGTTAAGGTTCTCGACTATCAAGGTCTTCGAAATTACCTGATATCCTACAGATCAGAGTTCAAATGTCTTTCTTCGAGAATAACGCTACAAACACTGCGCTGGAGTCCAGGGTTGGGTGGCCAGTCGTCGATCGTCTACTCGGAGGAGCCTACACCAAGCCAGAGGCGTGGAACTGGCAAGTGGTGACTAGATGCCTTGTGACTATTGTAAGTTCTGTCTGAAACCCTGATGGTTGCGCATGACAGTGGCAATGGCTAATCGTCTTCCAATACAGATCCTGTGCAGATTCATCGCCGTATGGAGCTACAACCTGTGGTTTCATCCTCTCGCCAGGTTCCCAGGGCCTTTCCTGGGTCGCTGCTCTCTCGTGAGTGATTCCAAGCCATTGGAATACAATAGTCCGGGAAGCCACTAACATATTATGCCGCAGTTCTATCGTTTCCAACATAGCTCTCGAGGAAGAATTCATTCTACAGTGGCAGACGCCCATAAGAAATACGGTGCGTCACTTAATCAAGTCGTATTTCCTTTCCTAACGCGGTTGGTTAGGAGATATCGTTCGCATTGCGCCCAATGAGCTCTCGTTCGCCAGCGTTGAGAGCTGGAAGGCCATATACGGCCACCCTACAGCGGGCAAGCAGATTCCACCAAAGGGTCCCTTTTACGAGGTCTTTGCTGCCGGTTTCAGCAGCAAATGTGTCGGCAGCGAGCGCGACCCGAAGAAGCACTCTGCGATGCGCAAGATGCTGAATCCAGCCTTCTCACAACGTGGGCTCCTCGAGCAGGAAGAGATCATCTCCGGAATTAATGACAAGTTCGTCAAAATCGTGGGCGAAAAGGCGGGCCCCGGCACCAAGGGGTTGAACATGACAAAGTGGTATGAAATGAACTCCTTTGATATCCTGGGCGAGATGGCCTTTGGGGAAAGCTTCCATAGTCTGGATACCGGTCAGTCTCTAGGTGCAATCTCACATGTGTTGTGGGGGAAGGAGGAGAAGAATCTTCACTCATGTGGACTACAGGCACACCACACTTCTGGGCAGACATCGTCCTCGAACATCTCTATATCATTACACTGTTCGACAATTTGCGGCGAATTGGCTGGCTAGCCACGCTTGCTGGTCTGCTTATCCCTGCTTCGCTCCTCACCAGAAACCAGAACTCGAATTACAGCCGCCAACAGGTCGAGAAGTAAGTCAACACAGCTCGAAAAATTCAAGCAGTACTGACCTGCAAAGGCGTCTCAAGATCCAAGAGTCCCGCAATGATTTCGTTAGTCTGCTCGTCGACAAGGTCCGAGCTGGAAAGGTCTCCAAGGAGGAGATGACGGCTCATGTCTCAACCCTTACGTATGTAATAACCCTGCTCCTACAACCATTTTATCATTATCAATTGACTGAACGGTCTGGTTGTCTGTAGGATTGCTGGTGGAGAGACCGTGGCGACTACTTTGAGCGGCCTGACGTGTTTCCTCGCTCAGAGCCCGGAGAAGCTTAAGCGGCTTACCGACGAGATTCGCGCTGCTTTCAGTCATTACGAGGAGATTAACGCAGTCAAAGCCCAGCAGCTACCATACTTGCAAGCCGTCATTCACGAGGGTCTAAGGCTGTTTCCTCCCGCTTCTGGAGGTGCGCCCAGGGTCTCGCCTGGCTTTGAACTGCATGGCAAGTACATTCCCGAGGGCGTAAGTTTCACTGTTCCCGCCGATTCGTGTGTTTGCTCAGATCACTGATTTGTTCTTGGCATCATAGACTGAGGTGAATGTCAGTCCTTGGTCCATTTGCCACAGCCCGAAATATTTTTCGGACCCCTGGCAATTTAAACCGGAGCGCTGGTTGGATCCAAACTCCACGGACATTAAGGATGCCAGTCGCCCATTTCTACTGGGGCCCCGAGACTGTCTGGGACGAAAGTAAGTTGCCGAATCTCAATCCACCTGTGAGTTTCGTACACAGCCGCTGACCACTTTCCCTGTAGCTTTGCCTGGATGGAGCTGAACCTGGTGCTGGTTAAGCTTCTGTGGTCGTACGACATGGAGTTGGTGAACAAGAATATTAACTTCTTGGAGCAGAGCACGGTACACGTTCTGTGGTGGAAGCCGGGATTGTTTGTCAGGTGGCATAAGAAACCATCTCTTGTTTAGTCTGCTTAACTTCTCAGACTTCCTTGGCCAGGAGATGGATAAAGATAGAGGCTCGATATTGTATGGAATGAATTGAGAAGCATTTCTTTACTATCGGGTTCTATTTCCTTTGAGATTCCAGACTGTATCGTGCAATGAATATACATGGATTTGTCTTTAAAGTCACCCCCTATCTATAAGACTACCCAGCAGGCAACAAACCCGGGAAATGGTTATGATGACCTGAATATCACAACACCGGGGCACATCTTGCTCGAGGGCTGTAGCAAGGGCCTAGGCTGGGAAGATACAGGGCCCTGTTCTTGTCGTTGGCGGAACTGATGTCACGCCGACTTGTTGTCGAGCTGTAGCATTTGCATACTATCCATGACTGTGTCTGTGCCTGGGCGTAGGTCGACAAATCCATTGTCTACGTGTTGGCTGCCGATCGCTGGAATTCCGCCTGTATCAAGTCCCACGTTTCTCGCCTCAAGTAAGCGTGGAGCCAGTGGTTGCCGCCTTTGTCCTTGCCATAGATCACAAAGGTGTCGCGGGGGTTGTCAGTGACGCTCAAGGTGGTGCCCCAGTACATCACTGGTCTTCCCGGCCCTGGCCCATCTGCTTCAGCATTCCTCGCGTGCATGTCGGACTTGCTATTCCCCGTGTCGACCAGAGCAGTTGGACCGAGATCAGCTGCATCCAGAAATCTGGCGTTTGTCCAGTTCGTAAAGGCCATGATTCGCGAATCCCACCTTGCGAATAGTGGCATCATACCCATCTTGGTGAACCACTGTCGTGCCAGACGCATGAGTCGGCGGGCCTGGGCATCACTAGTTTGCTCTACAATGGCTTGGCGCATGCGCAGAGCGATCTGGCCTGTCGTGGCGGTGGACGCCTCATCCTTCGATAAGACGACGGTGGCCGGCAGGATCAGATTCTGCAGATATGTCTGCCCGGGAGTAAAAGTGGCCTTGAGACGTCTTCGGAGGTCGAAGACGTTGCAAATTGCCGCACTGCAGTTCCTCCATGAGCTTGATCTGATGACCATGCGAGAGCCCCAGGCTGTAATCAGGTCACCGTCACTGACGAACGGGACCACGTCATCATTCACCTTCTTTAGTTCCAACTCGAAGCCCTGACGCAAAGTCTTTATATAGCTCGCAGGGAGGTAGATGTGCCGCGTCTCGATGGATCGACAAGTCATGACATCCCACATGTAGCGAGCCATGAAGGATATCAAGGAGATGGCCCCGGTCTGTTGGCGTTCTAGAACAAACTCCCCCAGCGAAGCTTCCTTGTCAAGGGCTGTCCCAACACCGTCAAGCACGTCATGCTGAGTGCCCTGAAGAGGCTTCACAAGATGAACCTTGCCAGACACAAGATTGGCCCATGCTTTGAGAAGCTCTGACGTACCCATGGCGTCGGCGAGCGAGTGCGGAAAGGTAAACCCAAGCAGCGTTGCGTCTGCGAAAGACGTTACGTGGAGACACAGCAGAGGCTCGTCGTTCTCCCAGTAATGCTTGATATTATTAGGGAGATGAGCAGGCGAAGCGAAAGACCGGAACGCGCGGCATCCCTCCTGCACAGATGGTGTAGATCCTGTCGGTCTGGGCAGTTGTGATGCGAGAGGGTGGGAATCGATTTTGGCGTTGCCGCAATCGACGTGGGAGAATCTCACTGCCGGGCGGGATCTGCTGAAGCTTCTGGGTACGTGAATCTCGAGCTTTCCCTTGCTCTGCACAAAAGCACATGTCATTAGCGTACGCGCTTACATCTGGCCCCCTGGAGACCCAACGGCGGATGGGCGTAGCTACTCACAGTCACTCGGAGCCGGCCTCCAAGTTTCTCCCACCCGGGCATCTCCACCAGCTGGAGCAGACCTTTGTGAAGCTTTGCCGCATCGAGAACCTCGTTGTAGCGGAATGTGTAGTTGATAATAGACGAACGTACAATGGCAGCCTGGTCTACAAAGTGGACGGGCAAGACCTTGTCATCAACTCGCGGATTATCCTTATTTTTGGACACCGCCTCTTTGACGGCGACGTGCTCTGTATCGCCATGTAAGTTTTGAGGCTTGCGGACATGATAAAGCCTCCATAACAGTATCAGCGAGAGGAAGAGTGGTATTTTCATCATCTTAGGCAGTAGTAGCGTTCGTGAATCGGTGGGATAGTTCAAGGTGCGCCTTCGTCTCGTTGCACCAGACACTTGAACTCAATAGCTCTAACATTTTTTAAGTTACCCTCTCAGCTATGTGGCAAGCGTCTGCAACATGCTGAATGATCATCATCATCGTATCGCACCAATCAAGCAATTTGCTGCTGAGAACGAAATCCCAAAACAGCAGCGCCGCGATTTTGCCGAACAGCCTATCTGAATGTTACCTAGAGGGGATTTCCTCTTCTAGCATGTCCGAGTCCCGACGAACAGGCGAATAGCCCGATTACTCGGAGTCCTAGGATACCGAGATACTTGCCCCAACACTCCCACCACAGAGTCCATAGGCAAGCGCTCTCATGCGCTCCATATTTACATACTCTCTCATCGGAGCATACAGTAACCTTGACCTTGCGTTGGATATCGACTGAATATTTGATCCCTAGTTTTTTTTGCGTATCTTTCACAGCTCAAACCAAAGCCACGACTTGAGAGACCCTCGATATGGAGAAGATCAACCTGCCTCTGGGCCTGGCCACCGAGAAGGGGATTCTCACATGGGGGAACGTCTCGGCAACGACTAACGCAGTGCTCCGATATGGGCTCCGGCGCGCCACTACATTTGCGCTAGATGCCAAGGACAAGACATTTGAGGCTGCACACTCAGTCGGAATCAAGTTGGCCGAGGGCAAGTTTGGAGAAATCGACGGGGCGGATATTACAAATGTTGTCTCTGTCATCCTCGGCTTATACTTTGCCTACGTATCTGGCTTGGTATTCTACCGCTTATATCTGCACCCATTGGCGAAGTTTCCCGGTTACAAGATCTGCGCCGCTTGCGAGTGGTACGAGTTCTACTGCTATATTGTGAAGGGCGGACAATGGGGAAACGAAGTCCGAAAGATGCATGAGAAATATGGCAAGCAACTCCCCGAGTCTCACCTACACAGCGACCAAGTCACTGAAATCCAATTTCGTTTGATCGTGGATCACTAATAGCATTTGGTTTCGTAGGCCCTATTGTACGCACGAGCCCTTGGGAGCTTTCTGTCCGCGATCCGGTATTTTACGAGCAGCTATATGTTACTGCTGCAAAACGCAAGACGGATATGTGGCCCAGAGGTAGAGAAGGAAACGGATTTGACGGTAAGCCTCCCAGCCTGATGTTGGTATACTTCATGTTCCCGACGAGGATCGGTCTAACATGGTTCTTGCGAAAAGACTCGCATCACTTGTCGGTTTCTCATGACCTTCACCGTATACGGAGAAAAGTATGTGAAGCCCAGAGATGACTTCATCCCCAAGAGAACAGGACAGGTTCCTAACGCAATCCATTCGTAGCATTTGGAGCCATTTTTTTCTCGCCAGGGCATCACCCGCATTGAGAACCGGATCGCTGAGCTCGTCATGAAAATGGACGACAGATTGGTGGGCCTCAAGGGATCTGGTGCTATTATTCCAGTGGACACTATGCTCTGTGCATTGACCGGTGATATTATTGGCCAAGTGTCCAGCGGTACGCAAGCTGGTCTGCTCGACGATCCTGATTTTACTCCTGCATGGTAAGTGGACGATGTTGCTCAAAATAGTGAAGGGGATGATGAAGGCTAAATCGTTGTTCTCCCAGGAAGGACCTTATGATCAAGTCCACCACTATTGCGCCCCTATTTCGATGCTTTCCATGGATCAACAAGTGAGTATCATCTTCCCTATGGAGGACGTGTTTTATGAAGCGCATGCTTATAGTGTGAAAATTCAGGGCTCTGCAGTCCTTGCCTTCCTCAGTCATGGCCAGCGTGTATCCCAAGGGCATCGCTAATATGATGCTGGGCAAGACTGGCCAGCGAAATATCGAAAGGATCAAGTCTGAAATCGCCTCGTCCAAGAAAGATTTGTCAGGCGTCTCCGTCTTCCACCACCTTCTTTCCTCCAACATTCCCGAGACCGAGAAGTCTACAGACCGCCTGCGTGCTGAGTCAATGATCTTGTTGCTGGCTGGAACGCTTGCAGGCGCGCACACTCTGACATTTGTTGTGTTTTACGTTCTTCAGAATCCCCAGATTGAGAAGCAGCTGAGAGCAGAGCTAGCGTCCGTGTTCAAGGACTATCCAAACAAGATGCCTCGTTGGACGGAGCTGGAGAACTTACCTTATCTCAGAGGCACCCTAAAGGAGGCCCTGCGGCTGAACGGTCTCGTCGGAAACCTCGCTCGATGCTCGCCGGACGAAGATATCCTATTCCATCAATGGGTCATCCCCAAGAAGGTCTGTCGCTCCATTCCTGTCTCACTAGGCTTGAACTGCTCTCGAGATCCCCCTTGAATTCATCAATGAACATGAGTCTGAACAACAACAGACCCCGGTTGGCATGTCTATCTACGCTATGCACTATGACCCGAGCATCTTCTCCGAGCCCTGGGCCTTTAAGCCCGAGCGCTGGATCGGGAAGTACAACCCGCAAATGGACCGCAACTTTGTTCCTTTTACTAAAGGCTCACGAAGTTGCCTTGGAATCAAGTAAGCCTGTGCCCAGATCCACCATTCAGTGTGCGGTCTTCAATGAAGAGGGATCGCTAACAAGAGTTCTAATGCCGTAGCCTGGCCTGGGCAGAGATGTACCTCGCCATTGCAGTGCTATTTCGCCCTGGCGGCCCCAAGCTTGTACTTCACGATGCGGACGAGTCTGATATCAAGATCGCCCGTGATTATATTATGGGCTTCCCGAAGGCGGATGCAAAGGATATTTGTATCAAAGTTAAATGAACGCCCCGATGCTACGATTCGAAACTCTATTGCGCACGAGTCTTTCGTTAGGTTATTAGGTTAGGAGGTGCTAGGAAAGCAGTTATGATATCTCACGTGGACCTGGACCATCCTGCATAATGATAGCTTGTTGAGAGCTTTGAACGCAGCTTAACGGCACCGGCATTGAATTGCGAAGACTAGACAATACTAACATACACTTGCTATTGAATCCGAGGAAAGCCATTCGGGCGAGCCACCGTGTCTAAGCAATAGGAGCGCCCGAAGTTGCCTATTTAGGTAATTCGGTGTTCCCCCACTCGATGTTAGTGAGGGAGCGTCACGCAGCTCATTTCTTCTAGACGCCGCAATTGGTCTTTGGACTCTTTGGTATGGAATTGCAGTGCTCTGCAGAGCGAATTATGGGTCTGAATTTTCACGTCTTGAAAATAGCTTCCTAGAGACAAGCATCATTCCGTTGCATCTTGCGCTTCTCCGTGCCTTGTAAAGGACAGGCCTCACTCCAGATACGCCGGCGGTGCTAGTGCAAACTCTTGGCCCGCGATGTTTGCAGTGAGACAGCGGGATGGGCCAAGTCGTACCAGGCACCCAGGTAGCAGCTGCTGGCGACCAGAGCATACAGGGGAGAAGGGCACCTACCTGTAGTCACGAACCAGATGGTCGCGCCCGAGAGGCCGATTACGGTGGTGAAAGAGATCTGTAAATGGAGAAATGCATGGAGACGATGCTCGCCACGGTTGAATTAACACGCATGGGTCAAGGCCCCAGCTATCGCTGCGGCCAAGCAGACCAGCAAGTTCGGTCCCTTGGTCAACGCAGTGGCGGACATCAAGAGCTGACTCCTGCGTCTCAGTGTGAAGGGGCACTAGTCGACGAACCGTACCATCCCCGCCCGGAAAGCCCGATGTTTTGGATTTGCCGTTGCTAGTCTAGTCGGTGCCGAAACCGGGATCGACAAACGGCCCCCTGGACAGCGACCTACCAAAAGGGGAAATATCCAAATATCGCAGCCACAGATTCCGGGGTTGCCCAGGATGAGATTGTGCATGCCCGTCATGAGATTCAAGACTAATCTTTCAATCTACGGTAGCATCATGACGAGAAATATTTGTGAGTAAATCCAACCTACGTCTGTGTCCCAATGCCTGATGGCATCGGAGCGAAGCGGACTTGCCGATATGAGCCAGCCAAAACCCCTTATCGAGCTTGCCGGCGCCGTCATGCAAGTTGTCATCATAACATTAACGGATCGTGTTGCTTGACCATTGACACGAAACTCAGCTTCCTGGAAAGGAAAATTGCCTACTTTCCCTTGCCGGTATCACATCATGCAGGGCATGGGTGTGATTTATGTACTCGTATGACCGCAATTCTGCGCGCATCAAAGTGAGAGTGCTGGTCTTAACGTTTCTGTTGTCTTTATGCTCACTCATGTCACGTCACCACGCGCCACACCTGCCTCCACCTCAGTCGCTTCCATGGCGCACAGCAATTTAGATTCAAACCAGCCTCTCCGGTTTGCCTGCGATCGCTGCCATACGCAGAAGCTGCGCTGTCCTCGGCAGCGGGAGAGGAGTCTTACTCATCCAGACGAGCCCTGCTCACGATGCCGCAAGCACAGCATACCTTGCATCGTCAGTCAGCAAAGGAAGGTCGGACGCCCGCGGAAACTAAAGGCGAAGAAACAACAACCAGAGCAGCGAGAGACATCCAACACACTGCCCGGGGCGGGAACTATGGGATACCACCATGCCGCCGATCCTGCGAGAATCTCGACCGATGGAATGGCCAAGATGCCATTTGAGGCGTTTCCAAACGAGTTTGGCACAATGAGCCTGTCTCCCCTCAATCTCACTGGGGGTCCCTCCGATATGATGGAGTCTCAAGGGCAGCCTATTTCAGATGAGGATGCCTTCGGCCTCGACCGGAGCTCGAGCTTATCTTCGGCAACCTCGAGTTCCAAGACGGATTCTCTGCAGCTTGACAGCCCCAGCGTCTTCCTCAATACTCCAGCATCCTCCACCAAGCCCTTTGAGAGTCCACCAAGCTTTGATCGGGCCCTAGAAGACCTCGCTGACATGGGGCCCCCGCCCACGGTGTCCAGGGGTGCGTTGAGCTATCGAGAGATCTTAGACTTGAACGTGAGGATCCTTGCGTTATGGGAAGAGATCACTTCGGCGACGGACAGTTCGGCTATGCTTCAACATATAGTAGCACTGTCCAAGGACCTGACCAATGCGGCGAGAAGCAGTGTTCCGTACCTGTTCAATTCATCGTCGTCGTCGTCGTCGGCACCGTTGTCTTCATTGTCCTCCGGAAAATATTCGACAATGGACTCCGATGATTATCATGAGCTCAGCTCTGCTTTCAGCCCCAAAAGGTCGCCCAGTCCTGACACTCTAGGCCGACTCTCGTCTCCATCGGCGCACGCAGAATCTATCCCTGACTTTACTGCGATCTTTCAGCTCGCCGGATGCTACGCACAGATTCTTCACCTCTTCGAGGTCACTCTGGACTCGTTGTGGGAGCAGTACGGTGAACCAGAATCGAATCATGGTTTGGATCAAGGCCACGGCATCATTGGGTCCCTCGAGGCCTCCTTGGCAGTCCACACGGTCACATATCTACTAGATCGTCTTCATCGGGCTTTTTCCATGAGTCACTCGCTCACACAAGGTTCTACGTCATTCTGCAGTTCTAGAGAAATGGCGACCAGACGGGTCCTGACGGGCAGCGCAAAAGTGACGGGTGGGTTGATAGGGCGTGGGCTGGCTGAGATGGAGGAGCTCGAGGAACGACTGGCCAGTAGGTCAAAGCAGCTACAGCAGAATATCAACCGGTGTGATGTGTAGAGCAGTTGGGAGACCGGTTGATATTCTACTGTAGCAGCTTCGACCCACGAAGATGAGCGGCTATACAGAGCTCTTTAAGTAGGCTTGACATATATCTGCGTTTCTCAGATCGAGTGTACATAGACATCCTAAGCAGACAACCGAAATGGACCCATGAAAATGGATTCACTGTGCCGTGTTTTCTTCATGGCCATCATATTTGCAGCCCAAGAAATAGTCCTTGCACGCCGGCAGCCCAAAGACGAATCTATGGACGGGGACCCTGCTCACATCACCACTTTGCGGCACAGGGTTTCTGAAAGCTGCCGGCAGGCCAAGCTTTGGCGCGTGGGGGCCGTGATCTGTAACATGCCTTCGAGTCGTCACTCGATCACGACAAGCTGCCTCCAAGTTCAAGCTGGTGGAAGCATTCAGCTGTTGGAGATAGGTACAAGGCGATGTTGGGACAGGAGTGAGCCTCGATGAACAGAGCCTATTGCGTGGGATAGAAGAACTAGACGGGATCCCGTATTTTTCACTGGGTATGGTCGTATGTGCTCAGGCAGCTCGAGTTTAGTGATCACGTCGAGGGGAAGAACAGGGCTATTCGCTCTGAAATGCAGCGTCGCAAGTTTAGTTAGCGAAGACACCGGTAGGCTCTGCCGATACCGAAGCCTGCCAAGCTGAGCATCTTGCGGCGACGCCTTGCTCAGTCCGACTGCATGTGTCGACCTGTTATCCGTGGACGAACAGCGGTGCCTCCCCAACCGTCAAAGTGTCTTGCCACGTGTCCCTGCAGGTAGGCGGTTGCACTAGGGCCACGGCCCAGGCATCTTTCCACTTCTCAAACGTACATATATCCAGATACAAAACGACATTCACCATGTCAGTGGTTCAGAGCGACACTGAGGAAGGCCCGACGGCACGTGTGAATCGGTCTAGAGACCCTCTTACTTCTTTTCTCATACATACACGAGGCGAGGAGGGTGCAGACGTGGAAGCTAGGCTACATCTTCAGAGTCTCAGGCACAATTATCACCACGGCGTAATGAACGGCATTGCCCACGAGTATGCCTATGGCACTTGGGGCTTTATCGGTGAGTTAGCTCTGCCTGTTGACGCTCCGTTTAGTGAGTACTCAGGCACGACTGACGCAATCTAAAGTACTACGCATCGTCTACACGCCAGAGTCAGACCACCTCTTTCCCCAGGCTATCAAAAAACTCAAGAAATGGGTGCATTGTGAGCTCCACGCGCCGCGATTTTGTGGGTGTGGCGCCTACGGCGAATCCAGGAAGATGCCAAACCCCGTTTACAATACGAGCTGTGGAAGCGCTTTCACCTAGACGTGGTGGAAGATCGAGCTTTGTTACAGTGCGATGATCCCACACCAAAAAAAGATCAGACCCGGCTAAGCAACTTCTTCCGGGGATGGGTCGCGTCCAAGGAAAATGCGTCCGACTGCTCCTATAACCCACGATTCTTAGACTTCATTCTTATCGACAACGAGTCAATGCAGTCCCTCGTCGGGCTTTCCGACGAGACACCACCCCTCAAGGTATTTTCCACCAGGAAAGAGGCTGCCGAATGGCCTGGGTGGTCTAAGGTGGATCCCTTCGTGTGGCTGCTTGATAGTCGCGGCGGTTTGATGTCGCAAGAGGAGAAGGACAACTGCTACTATCAGGGCAAGACCCTAGTCAAGCTAGGAATAAGAGACATTCGATCAGCTTGGTTTCGTAGGCAGAATAGATCTGGAGAGGTGGAAGGTCTGCCTTATCGCGGGGGAGACGGTCCATACTCGGACTATCTCTTGCAGTGGTAGAAGCATGATTGATATTGATGTTGTGCCAGGCGGTACTTTGTGGGTCGAAGTACAAACTTCTGACGTGCGGTCAGTCCTGCCTGTTGACCTTCTGCGTACATTTTAGGCCTTGTGCGGCGCTTTCGGCGCAGATAGGAAAAGAAACCCGGGAAGTCGACGATGCGGAGCACTCTGGCAGTCTGATTCGCCCCACGCTAACAACTGATATTGTGACTGTGTGGTTCCGAGGGCAATCATTTAGTATATGCAAGAAATCCATTATATATACGCTGCAGAACGAAAGAACTCCTTAGTCCCCTCTCCAAGAGCCCCGGAAAAGGTGACGCATCAAAGCCGCCGACGGGATACTCCCATCATTCGTGCTATGCGAATGTGGCTGACCCATCCCAAATCCGTCAATTGTTAGGACGAGGATATCACCGAATAGTGTCGGCTCCTTCAGGAAAGAGAGGTCTTTCGTTGTGTTCAGAGATGGGTCGAAGGCTTGCAGATGCTCAAAGACAACGTCGGTCCAAGCTGCCGGTCCAGTCGAGTTCATAACTTCGAAACTCGAGGGGTGAAGGTCTGCCACAGCTTTCTGTCCATCCGTGCCATTCGTGAGCTCAGCCACTGAGCTTAGTACGCGGGCCACCATGGTCTCGAAAACGGGGTGACCTGGGGCTGCGGCTATTGTCCATTGACAGAATTGGACCCAGTGGGAGATATCAGCCCACATACCGCCATCACGGCGATCGAATTCGATACCCACGACGAGCCGGACTTGATCTCGAAGATAGGGAGGGATCCATTCCCTGATTCCCTTGATGGCCACCGTGTCGGTGTCCGTATAGACACCACCGTGGGTATGGAGGAGACTATAGCGTAGTAGATCAGACTTCATGCCCACATTCTGCAACTCCTCAAAAGCTCTCTGTGCTTGGGGGTGGTAAAGGGTGTTCTCCTGCATGAGCAATTGGGCGCCTTCCGCACCAACAAGTGTACTTGATGAAGGTGTCAGCCCTATTACCAATATGCTGCTGCGTGAATCTCACAACTTACTAGTTGAAATCTGGATTAAGGGCCAACCAAGACGCCGTATCCTGCAGGTTCCCAGGCTCAATGGGACCGCTTGATCCGGATTTAGGGAGCATGATTTGCCATATTTGCGGTGGGATTAAGCTCCGGGAGATGGATGAGACTTCGATCGTGGTCTGGTGTTTTGACGCAACCGCGTGGAAGCTTTCTATCGCAAGGTCCCGCGACAGCCACAGGGCGGACACCACGAGTAGCAAAGCGGCGCTGATGCAAATGATCCGGAGGCGACGAGGGCTAATGTGATCAGAATGCCACGGTTTGCGTAGTTCCAGGACACTCTGTCGTCCAAGGAAGTTCATTGTGACTTGGTGCACTGAGAGTTGAGTGTGACGACAAGAAGAAGAGTTACACAGCACGAGAAGAGAAATGCGGACAGGATAATTACATGTAATGTTGGATCAGTCTTGGGCGAGTTCCAGACATCCAGTCCATATGCGTGTGAAGCATTCCGCACGGTGTTGCGGCGCTGGGACTCAAGGGAGGCATGTCGGAGCCTGGTCCAGCTGACCAATTGACTGTAAACAATAAGCGATCCGTACCGCTCTCCTCACATCGCAGAATCTAGGCGCAAATTCGCCTGCAGGGGTTATCGCCAAATTCACCACGAATCTAACGGGCGCCAAACACCCCTGAGCCATTGGGCTATCTCCACACAGTCGTCCGAGCTCAGGGCACTGTGGTCACAACTCGAAGCATGGGGTATCAAACTATTATCCGCAAGTCTATGAAATGTCAACGCGACTCAGCGAATTACCAGCTTACATATTTCAAGGTGCCACCCAAGTCGGTCATTGAGACATCAACCACGCCTGAGTCAACAGCCGAGACAGCAACTAAGACAGCAATCCCAAAGACTGCAGATAAGACAACAACAGAGAATGTCGCCCAGGAAACCAATCCAGGCGTTGAGGAGTCCTCGGCGAAGCAGTTCTCGACTGGAACTGTCGCTGGCATCGCCGTTGGTGCCGCTGCTGCTGTCTTGATATTGTGCATTGCTGGGTTCATACTATATCGAAAAAGACGGACTAATAAGACACCTGCACACACTGACGTGAACGAGGATATTCGGTTCTTCGGCGCACAAGCATATCATTACCCGGCTACCAGCGCACCAGCATATTCACACCAAGTGCATCAACTCGAGGCGCCTGATTACGAGAACCGAGGTCAGAAGAATAATGTCTGGGAACTTCATGGTTAGCATGTGTCAACAGGGGGGCGAATCATTGTTTCTATATTCTACTATCTTTGATTTAAGATTGTGGGAGAGTAAAGACAATGATTGCTGGCCTGAAGATCGAATGAGCTTTTTCGAGAGATCCAGTTGCCCCCTAATTATACACCCCCTACCTTATATAACATGTTTACCTATATTATACACTCACTATGGGCTCGGAAAGGACATATGTACTACAAACCTTTATATAAGAGTAAGCTGCTAACGCGGCAGCCCACGAGATTTAGCCTATTATCTTATACTCTAGTATAACCCCGCTTCCCTTAGAGCTGATATTTCTCTCCCTTCTTATTTCTTATTTTTTATTAGTAGATATACTTTCGTCACCCCGCCGGCTACTCTCGGTCTTTTCTTCAGTAAACACAATGACAATTCCGTCGCTCCCCTTTACATTCGGTGACTTTTTTCGCTACCCTAAGCACTCTCAGCCCGCAGTCCATGATTACCTACGCATACCAACCCTCGAGTGCATCACAGAACTCCATGCCATCATTAGAACAGGGACATTTCAGCAAATCGAAAGGGCTCTCGAGCGTGCCGGGGTCTCGCCCCGCGCCTCTAGTCTCGCCGTACTCTTCATGGCTATAGAACCGACAACAGGCAACTCACTCATGCACACCGCTGTTATTGCGCAGCGAATCGATGTCATGGACTACCTGCGGGCCTTTAGATCTCACAGACCCGCCGCATACCGGCCGCCTCACTACGCCCTGTGGAGTCACCAGAACCACGACGGTAATACGATGCTCCACTCGGCGGTGCAGTCCGGCCAGAAAGAACTGGTTGTCGCCGTCTTCCAAATATTCCGGGACGGAAATATCGACGAGCTCGACGAATTGCTGCGATCAGAGGAGGCCGATGATTGGGGATTTGATAACGATAATGAAGAGGAATTCCACTTGCGGCTCGGGGAGTTGGTGTTACTTCTTAGAGAAAACGCCAAGGGCAGAAGTGCTGCCGATGAGGCACAGGCGCTTGGCCACACGGATATTGCGACGTGGCTGGAGAGGACAACGCAGCTTGATGATCCTCTGCGGGAGCGGAATGATCCCTCGATTGTGCAGATATGGCGGGAGATTTGCGACGATCACTACGCTTTCTTAGATGAAGGGGCTCAAGACGTCGCCCCTCCTCTCACGACGTGGGGAAGCGGGATGGCATATTCGTAGGTGGCACATTGATACACGCAGCAGAACTTCTCCCGCGTTCCTGAACAATAGAAGGCGAGAGTGCGATAAGTGAATCTAACGGAGCGGTAGTTCCACGTGGATAATCAAGCAATAGCTTGGTCCCGCGCGAGGTTTATTTGGGGCAGGTTAGACTACTAGCTGGAGGTTATACAGGATAAGTTAAAGTGAAGTCTAAGTGGCATGGTCTTTGTCTTCTTATAAGGAAAGGCCGCAGTCCTCTGGTGGTTCCTCTCGCCTTGCATATTTCCACTGATCTTACTTCTTATTCTCCAGAGTCTTTTGCCAACCCCGCGACCCGAGACTTCGCACCCCGCGTTAAGATGGATTCCTTCGCCAAGCTACCTCTAGAGCTCATTCTCCAAGCCCTCACATACCTCAAAGACTATGTTGGGGCCTTCAAGGCTATACAGACATCGCCTGTATTATTTCGCCGAGGTGCGAACTGCGCAAGACTGCACGCAGCCTTCATCAGGAGGCATCTACACGGTAGTGCGGTCCAAGACGCCTTAGCAATCATACAGTTTCCGAGGCAAGCAAGTCAACACGAGAGAGACACACGCCGGGCTGCCTTGATCCAGTCCCACCTTATGACATGGGGTGCCGGTGGGCTCGTTGATCCTTGCAGCGTTGCGCATCCAGACCTCGCAAGATTCAGGGAGCTTCATAGCTTTTGTAGGCGTCTCCGGGCCTACATCGACGATTACCTATCCAAAGCCACGAGCGTCCATTTCGAGTGGGCGTTTCTCTATCTTCCCCGCTGGTCTCATTCCGACTACAGAAAGATCTCCTTCATTAACAAAATCCCAGCAAATATCGGGGATTTTGACGTGGAGGGTTTGAGCGGCCAAGCCTGCCTAAAGATTTACAGAGCCTTTATGCAATACGAGATCCTTTGCAAGGTCTACGGGCCTATCACGGAAGAGTCTCTCCTCGAGGATGATTTGCGTCAAACAAGCTCGAATTCAATCAACCCCGAGCGTCCTCCTTATCTAAGCTCCTGGGATTGGGAGCTTCTTTCGAGATATCGACCAGGCGACCACACCCTGGCTGACGTGTCTTCACTCAAGTGTGTCCGCGAATACATTATCACTCTCTACGAAGGAATGATAAATTATGGATTCCTGTCTAAGATATCATTCGCCTGTAGAGAATATTTTCGGCACATCCTCCCCGATGCTGGCAGTAGCATCCACTCCACAGCCGATTCGCACATGCTCCGACATATCTGGTTATGTGCAGGAGAGCGTTGGCATTCCCCTCCTTCAAGGGCTATAATTGAGGCTGTCGAGAAAATCTTAATCCGTCACCCTTTTTCGTCCATGCCAGGGGGCGGTGATTGGGCGCCAATCAGGAATTGTAAGTGGCTGGACCTACTTATAGCTTTTATGTCCTCCGCAGGGTTCGATGCTGTTCATAGTATCTTAGCTATGGGGGGTGACGACAGCAATGGACTCCTCGAACGCCAATTCTCTGGACTTCCCGAACACTTGCCTTAAACGGGTAACTCGAAACCCCTGGCGAATGGTCGCGGCGTCGGCTGGGTAGCTGACAAAATTACAAGAGCCTCTCGACAGCGGGCATGGGCCTTGTTGAGCGCAGATGAGCGGCGTGGACCGCCACTGCGGCTCTTGTCGCCCGGGATGACGGAACTTGATGCAAGACTTGTCGAAACCGAGTGGATTTGTCAGGGGCCGGACTATCGGCCCTATGACTGTCTCGTTGGGAGAATCTTGCCATTCTGGGGGTAGAAGTCAGAAATTCCTGTTGGGGAAGATTCCATTATTCGCATTGGTCTAAGTGGACGACAAGGATGACACGAACAATGTTAGTGTTTGGGGTCGACGCCAGTTCAAGAAAGCCGTGTATCGCATTGCCACACGCACCTGCTATCACGCGACATCGAGCCAACGTGAGAATACCTCAAGGCCATATGTGCGATCACCAAAACTTGTTTGAAGGAGAAAATCGCAACGGTCGAGGGCTGGAGGATTTTCTTGTCAGAGTCACTAGACCAGAACTTGCCGCCGAATGTATCTCATGTGGTTTCTCCGATCGCACGCGGAATAAGATTGCATCGCTTGGACACACAGCCATGGAATTTCATGCATGGAGTACAAGAAACAGGAAGATGGTGTCATAATCTATATCTTATGATAGCCTGGGCGTCGACGAGGTTTAATACACTATGTGTTTCGCCTGATAGTTGACGAATGTCACGCCACGTTAATTGAGACATGAAACAAACCGATATACAGACAGTCACAGCGGGAAAAGACAGAAGTTCAGCACCAGTCACATTCAATTATGAAATGTTTCTTGCCTCTTTCTGGAATGATTCTCCTGCAAGAGTCGAGTGTATTGTAGCTGTAAGGCCACTGATTGAGTAATTTGACCCTTTGGCTGGTCATATCGAAGTGCCCCGTCGATTGTGTACAAGAAGAAGGCTGATACGTGCGTCTTTGAGAGTATTCGTGAGGGCCGTGCCAGTCGACCAACGGCGGTGTCGAAAGCGATGAGGAACTCTCGTGCAGATTTTGACTAGGGAAACCAAATGTTCAGTCTGGGACTCTGATAATAATGACATTGATGCTGATGACATAGAGCAGGTCTGAGTCTCCTCTTAGCGAGGATAAGTAAACACCAATCGGGCGCTGGCACCTCTCTCCCTCGCAGGGCCTCCAGCCGTCAGGCTCTTCCCGTCCTGTAGATCGTCTGACCTCGTTTGTTGCCGGAATTCCTGTTCGACAGCAGGTGTCTCTGGCCTGACGCTTGCCTTGTCTCGACCTCGGCTACGTCTAAAAGGAAGGTCCTTCGCTTTTGGGGTATTCTTGAGTTCTAGTCCATCAGGTGGAGGCCGAGTGATTATATTGTTTTAATGAGTACATGGCCATCATTGCGCGTGTGAAATTACTACTTGGGCTTTGTCGCGCGATTATGTTCGCGGTTCTGAATTTCTGATGCTTATAGAGGAACTTAAAGGGTACTCCGTAGTGGGGCCGATTTAGTCCGCCGGGCTACCCTAGACTGCCGAGAATAGTATACTTACAGAGGCGGCGAACCGCAAGAGACCAGTCATTCTCACGTAATTAAAGGTGATTCGAGAACATGTTGGGACAAGATCGAGCCGTCTAGAGCTTGCACAGCATATATTCTATCGACCTTGGTGCGATACTGGGGTTACGTGTCTTCACTCAAGCGTGTCCTCGAGTAGAATCGCATTGTGTAGAAGGGTCTGTACCGCGTTCAAAACGACTGCGTTGTCTACCTCCTCTTCCCCGATTCACCCCTTGAACAACTAGCAGCGGCCAAGACAAGGCGTCGGCCCAATACGGCCCAACATGATCAACCATGGCCCTCACCAACCCAGACTCGACATTGCGAAAGACCCAAAAGTCGCGATGCTGGTACATGACGGCCGTGTAAAAGGCAAAGACGGCGACGGCTTCGGGTCGGCGTTGGTATAATGCCTCGGTATATTCGTCCGAAACAAGCAGCGGCCAGGCCATGACGGCCTGCACGTCCCGCCGTGGATCGTCATGGCCGTCCGCCTTGAGTCGCAGGATCCATTCCAGCCATCGAGTGGCGTCGACGCAGGCTCGCATGGGGGACGACGACGATGACGACGACGACTGGTCCAGGCAGGCGCGCAAGCGGGCTGTCTCGGCGGTGTGCTCGGAAGAGCAAGTGTCGGCCTCGTCGACCCAAGCCGTGATGGAGAGGAGGTGCTTCAAGTCCGACTGCATGATGCGGTCCCAGTATCCTCTGATGACGGAGCGTACACCACGGTGAATGTGCACGTAGTCGACAAACGCCGAGATGAAGCTGCTCGCCGAGTGCTGGTGCTCGGCAATGGCGATGTGAAGACTATGGACGCCGAGAAACGAGGCGAAGAGGAAGGCGGAGAGGTAGGTATCGTCCGAGAGATGGCAGCGGGTCCCGTTGAAGAGGCCCAGCGCGCGCGTCTGCAGCTCCGTTGCCACGTGCTGCAGGGGGGGCGCCGACGATTGAGGCTGCCGCGTAGATGAATGGAGCGCGGACAGGGCCAGCAGCTGGTACAGGACGTATGGGGCCTCTGATGCGCTCCCCAGAGCGTGGCTGATGATGACGTGGATATCGCCCTGGAGAGCCATGTAGTCGGCCATGTTGGCGATGGCGTTGTAGAACAGGGTGAGATGAAGCACGCTGAAGGAGGTGAGCGGCCCGTTGCCGTCTGGGTGGGCGCGAGGTGATTGTCCAGACGGGGACGGCGAGGCATTGTTGATGGCGGGAATATGGACGTGTACCGGCCTCGATACATGGTGTGCAGAGTGCGTCCGGGCGGAGGCAGCACGATCATGCCCATTGGGCCTCGGCCTCGGGCTCGGGCTCCCGGGGATCAGGTGCAACGTCGAAGACGAAGACGACGAGTACACGCACGCTCGGTTCCCATACGTGCATTTGCGGCAACGGGGGCGCGTCTCGTCGCACTTGACCCGCCGTCTCTTGCATACCAGACAGCCGGTGCGAGACTTGGTGTGTGTCCGGCGGTTCTCGCGCTCCTCTGTGGGTGGCGGGGCTGCCATTTGATGTGCGTGATTGACTTGGGTCAATGAGAGTAGATGAGTGATGGAATCGAGCTCCGGGTCGGGAGCGAGAGAGCGAGGATGCTTACCGAGAAGAAGGAAAAGAAAGGGAAGGGGAGGAGGGACTGGAAGAGGTCAGGTCGGGCGCGAGGCGCTAATTAGATTTGACTATGCCATGCTTGCATGAGCTAGTGACGGGACACGACACCGAGCCCGAACCCGAACCCGAACCCGAGCCAGCACTGGTGAATACGAACGCGAACCCGACGGTGTGGGGTTGCGCTTATACGATTATAACAGTAGCGTACCTGGTGTCTGATGGCATCATGGTAGCTCAGGAGTCAGGACTCGGATGTAGTACTCTCGGGATTAATTGCACGCATACAGCCCGATGCTATAAGAACCTTGAATCCAGTTGACCCTCGTGGATATACGGGGCGCTCTTCATCTTTCACACGACTCAACTCGTTGGCACACACATCGTACATCGACGAAAGCATCAAATCGCCATGGCTGAGCTCAAGCCATACAGAGGGGACTACTACCTCTGGCAGTATGTCCCGTCCACCCCAGCGGCCGGTCTGTTCGTCGCCCTATTCTCTCTGGGGACTCTGCTCGTGACCTGGCGCACTGTCAAGCACCGCGCCTGGTTCTGCCTTGTCTTTGTCATTGGTGGCCTTTGTACGTCCACGATCAGAATGCTCAACTCCCTGGAATCCGAATCATTCTGCCTTTTCCAGTCCCTGACACGCTGACTGACGATGAAACCTGCTGTGCAGTGGAGATTATAGGTTACATTGCTCGCGCGCTCGCCAGGGACCAGACCGATCGCCTTATGCCCTTTGTCATCCAGAGCACCTTCATCCTCGTCGCACCCGCTCTCTTCGCCGCATCCGTATACATGACGCTCGGTCGTATCATCCGTAGCATTGGGGCCGAGGACCTCTCCTTGGTCCCTGTGCGATGGCTCACTGTTATCTTTGTGTGCGGCGATATTGCGTCCTTTGTCACCCAAGCCTCGGGTGCCGGTGTCATGGTCACGGGGGACACGATGACCACTGGAGAGAATATCATCGTCGGCGGTCTTTTTATACAGATTATTGTCTTTGGCCTCTTTGTCGTCACTTCGGCTATCTTTCACCACCGAGTCCGACGGCTGCGTCCAGGCACATCTCTCGAGTACGGGAATCGCTGGCAGAGCCTTATGACGATGCTATACGTCGTGAGCGGCTGCATTATGGTGCGGTCTGTCTTTCGTGTCATCGAGTATATCCTCGGAAATGACGGATATCCTCTTAGGCACGAGTGGACACTATACGTTTTCGATGCGGTACTCATGTTCGTCAGCGTCGTCTTGTTTGGATGGAGGTTCCCTCATCACCTAAAGGTTAAGACACACCTTAATGCAAGCACGGACAGGGAACTTGGTCAGATGCAGCATAGTTAGACGACACAGCAGGACTAGGCTACACGCACGTCCCGTGTACCTTCGTTCTCGGCGGCTGTAATATCATTCTCTTCAACTTTGCCTCCGATGGCCCCTGTCGTCTGTAACCTGTCAAAAGCCTCCATAACATCCTTGTCTCGAAAGTTCCGCGCCAAATGCTGTGCCCCCGTTCTCATTGCGTGCTGAAAGGACTTGCGAGTCCGGCAATTCAATACGTGCATCGCGCTCTTGTAGATACCTTGGAGCGGGTAGACTCCTAGTCCCACAGTTGCTACCATCAGACCGCAAGTCAGCACAGTGCCACCATGAGATTCCTTTCGGCGAAACTGCTTGGCCAGGCAGAAGGGGCGAATACCTCACCTGTGAAGAGTTTAGAGGAAATGCTCGTGACGCCTTTCAAGACGCCCGTCGCAGCGCCAACTGGACCCCCTGTCTTCCCCCCCACGTAGGGAAGAAGCACCAGATCAGTGACCCCATCGTATATACCAAATACGACGGCTTCCAGTCAGAGATGTGCCCGTAATCTCTGACCTCTCCACTGTAGAGCATCGGGATGTTTCGCCAGCCTTCGGCATAGGCGAAGGGGATGATGATGGCGCTGCTCGTCTTGGCCAAGTGCCCCATTTCATCGGCAGAGGCCACCGTCAAAGCTTTCATAGTGCTCCCACACTGTCGCGATTCCTTTGTTTTTCTGGTACTTGGACTGGCCCGGTCTAGTTCACCTTGGCGTACTGTCGGGAGAGGCAAGTCGGCATTGGCTTCGGGGATTCTCCGTCCAGCGTACGCCTTGAGTGGCCTCGTCACCTTATCCGCAGCGGCCTTGGCCCTGTGCTTAACGTGAAGCTTATAGCCTAACCCTGTCGATCCAATACTGTAACTACAAGTACAAAATAAAATTAAAAGTAAATATAGATAGAGATATTTGCGGTCGGTTTTAGAGAATAGATATAGTAACGTTAGTGCTGCTCGATCATAGTGACATTATTAATGTAGCTAAATATACTATTTTGCATGATATCTCCCGTGTTCATAAACTAGGACGTCTGTAGGTAGAGTACCCCTGGCTATCTACACAGGCTTTCTTTACCTTTCCGGCTAAGCTTTCTCACACGTCCCCAAGCAAAGAACCCCTCTCCTCTTTGTATCTAGCACCGAGGTAGAAGGAAAAAAGCCGCCCTGAACTTTAAGCCATCCGCGAGTATGGATGGCTCGTCAGTGTCTGCCTCTGATCCAAAATTACATCATCATCGAGGGCCCTTTCCTCGGCCAGGAGAAGGCCAGGATGGAAATATGCCATCGTAGCCGCCACGATAAACATCAATGCTGTATCTAGCAGATAGATGTATATCTCCTTCTGCAAAAGCGACCCGTTGTTTCCCTGGGCGTACTCAATCATGCGGAACACGGAGCGCACAAGGATGAGCAGGCTGACAATGTATGTGACCCATATGACCGTCTTCCACCGTGTGAGAGTGCCGCGAGCCTTTGTCGTCGGTAAACTCGCGATTCGGCGGTGAAATGTTGCCATGACAATCATGAATCCGCTGAAGAAGGTGACCTGGACGCCAAGCCCGAGAAGAATGATTGTGTTACCAAGGTTGCTGGTCGACTCAGAGTCAGAAGCAGCCATGAGACCACCGCCTGTCAGTGTTAGCAACATTACACAAGCCATTCGGCAATAGCATAATACTGTGCCCACCACAGCATCCGTTGGAGTAGGAACTCACCTCCACCCTGGCCAAATATGGAGATCACGTCGCCAAGGAGGAAGATCTTTGTCAGCCACCTTGGAGAGATGACGGAGAATTGCTCAGCGTCCAAATGACGAATGATTCGGCCGAGGAGCATATAAATCGATGCAGCGAAGAGGGTTGGACCAAGAAGAATGAGGAGATTTTGCAGAATATATGGCATCAGGGTCCAATCGGGTGTCTGTTTGGCTGACCATGCTCGCATCCCGTATCCGATGCATTCGACTGCGAGGTGAAGAACGTCTGGGTGAGCCACGGTATACGTAGACGTGCATGCCAGCGGAGAGGCCAGTCACTTACGACAGCATCCCACCAGGAAGGGGATGAAGAACCAGGTCTTCTTCCGGAAGAGGATTTGAAAATGTCGGATAGACGCAATGGCGAAAAAGAGGGTGAAGATGATGGCGGCAGCCAGTGAAGGATCGTAGTGATATAGCTTGAACCCCTCACTGTCGCTTTCGGTAGAGGTTGAGTCTACGGCCATGACGGACGTGGGAGCAGTTTCGAGTGTCCGACGCCGATGGTCTATTTCACAAAGACAGCAAAAGAGTGACTTGAGCGAATGAAAGTAGAGGACAGAATGAATGTATAGAAGGATCGGCGGGTTGAATAAAGACTTTTGTTTCTCCCAAACCTAGAAGCCGAGGAATTGAGCCTTTATGCGATATCTTGACGCATTCGGGCCATAAGGGGTTTATGCTGTGATGGGAGGCAAGGCTGACAAGTGCCGTTGATTCAATTCTACTGAGTCTCATCGTACGAAATCATAATCGCACAAATGTTTCACGTCTCCGAACACTGCCTCGTGATAAAGGGGCTCTGTACATGGGCGCGGCTCTTGAGGAGCCGATCTCGCCGAACGAGGGCCAAAAATATATGTACGAACCCGAGGCTGGGAACGAACCCGAAGCCCCGTACGAGAACCCGAGCCTCTCCCCCCCCCCCCCCCCCGGCGGTCTAAGACTAGGCCTTATTTAGAACTCCAGACCCGACTTCTGCGTACCGACATGGAGCTTTAGAAACTACCAGCGTAATGCGACCTTGGCGAAATGTCGCGAACTTGTGATGACCAAACGAGATGAACGTGGTCGCAGACTAAACATACGCTCTACCCACGCGAGATATAAAACGTTTTGAGGCCCCCAAAGTTATCAACGAACAATCTCAGCATAAAACCGTCATGTATCGATTCTTGAACAAAATGTCGGGCAATAGTCAGCATTTGCCAGCCTTATTGTTACTTCTCGCCGTCGCAATCCCTGGCCCCACTGTTGCGAGTATGTATGTCTGCGTTCTTCCTCCCGATTGTGCTCAGAGAGCATGCTTTTCCAAGCCTTTTTGTCGTCCTGCTAACGTCGAAGCAGCGTGGTAGGAGGCTTCTGAGAAAGCCCACGACTTCGTCTCTCAGTCTCTGGTGTGCAGTCCGTCGGTGTCCAGGCATGCGTCAAGCATCACGTTGGAAACGAGCAGGAGACGCAGCGTACTTTGACCACCAACGACGACGGGGCCATCATTGACGCCGTGTCGGCCAACATTAACGATCGCACGCTCCATGAGCTCTATCTCTGGCCGTTCGCCAATGCCGTCCAGTCTGACGTGTCGAGCATCATGTGCTCGTACAATCGTGTCAATGGGAAATATACGTGTGCCAACCCGGAGACTCTCGGGATGCTGCGAGACGAATTGGCATTCCCCGGCTATATCGTCTCTGACTGGTACTCAACGCATTCTACCATTGCCTCTGCCAATGCAGGGCTTGATGTTGAGATGCCCGGAAATTTCAGCGCGGTTGCGGGCGAGGCTTACTTTGGCGACATGTTGCTAGAGGCAGTCAGCAACCAGTCCGCATCGGTGGAGCGCCTCGACGAGATGGTCGAGAGGGTCACGAGGCCTTATTACCTTCTCGGACAGGATGGGGGATTCCCAACGCTGGACCCGGCTAATGCTGCCGCCTTTGTCGTCTATCAGTATGGCCACAGCAGCGAATTACTCTCGTACTATCCCTTACTTAATGCTCGGGACGTCCGTGGTGAGCACGCAAAGCTTACTCGGGAGCTCGGAAGCGCCGCGACAGTTCTCCTCAAGAACGAGAACGACACACTGCCTCTCAAAGCCCCGATAAACGTGGGGATCTTCGGCAATGGTGCACCGTATCCGACAATTGGATCAGCATTTCTCGACTACGGAGATCATCCCGAAGGGTTCGAAATGGGAACCGTTGACATTGGCGGCGGGTCGGGCACTGTCAGGCATACCAACCTCGTGGCGCCCCTTGAAGCCATTCGGAGGCAGACTGAATCGTACGGCGGTCGTGTACAGGTTCTGCTCGACAACACCGAGATAATCAAAGGGACATTCAGAACGATTTACCCTGTTCCGGATGTCTGCCTGGTCTTCCTCAAAGCATACGCTACCGAGGGGCAGGACAGACAGAATCTGGACCTCGAATGGGAAGCAACAACGTGTCACCTACAACCGCCCACACCTTAGTATCCCGAAATTTTCGCTAGAGTCTATAAGACACAGAATAACCAAAAATAATCATAAAAAAACATACAACAGCCGGTATTCGCTAGTCGTCACCGACCTAACTACTAGTCGGCCCCTTAGCGGCTTAACTATGGGAGAGCGGACGGGATCCCGTGTTTTCCACTAGGTGTGGTCGTATGTAACAGAGAGTGGTTTGTTTATTATTATCTAGATTCCGTCGATAACAAGACTCTGTGGACTCGGCGCGGATGGCAGGGCAGTGGAGACTCCACCCGTCTATAGAAACAACTACCGTGCCGCTTTAGGAATGAAGTTTGGCACGCAGCATATCTGGATCTCGAAACGTGTTCCCGGCCCTCGATTCGGGATTTGTCTGCAATCTAGTGGCTGGCCCTTGTACTTGACACCCCTGGTGACTAGACATCCTAACGAGAAGCAGTGCAGTCCCTAGAGTGCTTTAGCTGGGGCATGCGACATAGCCAGGGCCTTTCACCGTTGGAACCTAGATAAGGCAAGTTTATTTGGTCTTTGACTTGCAGATACGCCGCGGCTCAGAACGCGGGCGTAGGCTCGCGTGCACCCGATAGTCAAACATCTTGAAAGCACATGCACAGGGTCCGCAAATCCAAAGTCCAGTTACTCCAGTGGGAAAGGTACCTCATCCTCCCCTGGACCTTCAGAAACAATGTACCCCTGTTATCGAGCTCGAGAGAATTGAGAGTTGTTCAGGCCGGGCTCTGAAACCATTCGGGAGTGACCGGTAGTTGCAGTTGTTTCACAAGCTCCAGAAGCCAACAAAGCCTTCTCCTACACCATGTCTCTCGGTCGCGTTCATCCACTTGTGACTCGCCCTCGTACAGGCACTGCCCCTTGATCCACTCAACGTACGCTTCCACATCCTGCACAGCCTTGGCAACTGGGTCGGGCATCTTCGGGAAGAGATTGAGCCTTTCAATAAACTCGTCTCTCTTCCGGTCCACTACAAAGTGGCATGGGGGCTTGACAGATCAGAACCTGAACAGCTTGCTCGCGAAAAACTATACTTACCTCCCGACTTCGCCTTGGGAGGCCCCTTTTGTAATCGTCTGTCTTGCTGATCTCAATATCGAGGGATTTCTTGGTCAATCCCATCCAAGTCACTAGTAATTCGTCGAAACTTCTTTCGACCAATTGCTTCATGGAGTCTTCTAGCGTGTCGGTAAGGTCTGACTCTTTGTCGATTATCTCGTTAATTTTTCCAGTGGGGATCGTGTCCGGACGCAGGTTGGGGTGCCAAGGCGATGGAAAAAAGACCTCCCGTTGACAACAGACGTGGGTCATTCCAAGATGATCGAAAATCAGCCTTCGGATGAAAGATAACAGAACGAGCCGCGCCTCCTTCGGGCCAAGAACTTCATGAAGAACATGAAGCAGTTCTAGAGACCAAACAGGAACGCGTCTATCCTGGCTCGATCCAGGCGTTAATGGTTCATGTGCCAGTGCACTAGTTGGGAAACATCCGCCGGGGGAACATGGGCATCTGCAGTTGTCCGGGTATACCGCATTGGCGCCGTGGGACAGCAGAATACGCACAATGGCCATATTATTGCTGATCTTATTTATGCAATGATGCTTTAACCCCACGAGGGAGTAATACAATGATGTGCGCTTCCAGTTGTCTTCGAGGTCCACGTGAGCTCTAGCGGCGAGAACGCTTCGAACTAATCCGGGGTTGTATTTTTGGACAGCCCTGATCAAAGGACTCTGGCCCATGTTGTTCCTATGATTGATGCGTTCAAATCCATGCCGTAGCAGGGCCTCGACTTGTTGAGAAGAGCTGACAGCGTGCATCAGGGAGTTGTTACAGACTCCTTCGTGAAGGTCATTGAACAGGAAATTAACCGAAACACACTGGGTCAGTAGCTGATCAAACAGTTCGACGTTGTAGTCCACGCTCGGATTCGCCATGATAGAACGGTCGAAGAGAAACTGCATAGTGGTTGTTTGAGATAATTCTTCAGCCACGTCTTGTCCTGCTGCAAGTTCGATTTGCTTGAGCGAGGAAAGGACAAGCCTCCAATTCTCTCGTGCCATGGCGTAATGAAGAAAAGTACGCTGGTTCAAATTGCACTCGGTGAAGAGGTCGGCGTCAGATCTGATCAGAATCGCCAGCGCATCCAGTTGGTTTGTTGCTGCGGCGTACATGAGAGGTGTTATGCCGTGCCTGTCGACAGAGTTCACGTCATGCCCTCTTTCTATAAGGGCATTTAGAAATTGTGGCGCAGATACAGCGATATGGATCGGAGTCTGTCCGAGACTGTTTTGTTGGTCAGGTTTGGCTCGATTCAGCCATCGTTCGAAAGCGGCGGTGTCGCGATCTAAGATTGCCTCGTGGAGCGGTGTCATTCCGGCAAAGCCTTTCGCATCAAACATTAGCATGGGTACTAGTCCGATGGAATGAAAGCTCCTTGCCTTGGTTATTCTTGCGCAATAGATCCAGGTACTCGATGAAGAAAGGATCGGGGGTCAAGCTTTCGGAAATCCAATTTGGTGAACAAGGTGCTGGCCAGTCGTTGCCGGCGACCTCGGGCAAATCAATGCCGAGGCTGAGCAAAGACTCGAGCAAGCCCAAATGAGGACCTTCACCGATCAATTGAGCACACTTGATCAGGAACCTGTCATTGCACTTGAATTAGTGGATCTGAGCAAGACAATGAACATGGCGGTGACGCATGGGGTTCTCACCGCGGATGCTCTACTCCTCGCGTCATCTCAAAGTCAATAACGAAGAGCCGAAGAAGAGCATGAATGTTTTCAAGGGGCACCCTCCTGAATAAAGCCACCACTAGCTCCTACAAAGGCGTCAACTCTCGGAAAGCATAGGCGAACAACTGGCACACATACCTCAATGTATGACACCCCGCTTGGGTTGACATGTTGGCGGAATTCTCCTGGACCGGCTCGAAACATGCCAGTGAGTGTTTCTCGGGCTTCTCGGAACGAAATCTGTCTAGTCTGGACCTTCCAAATAGTCTCAAACCCAAGTGAAGTGTAAGGCACGACGTGCTCTACCGTGAATGCTGAGCGGAGAGAAAATCCCCTAAACGTCGATAGAATGAAACAATCTACGACAAGTGCTCTCTCGATTCCTAGCTGTGAAAGCGCGATTCTGAAGTTTATGCCGTATCTGGTGGTGCTACAGGTGTCCGTGTCGCAGTTCTGGAAGAAGACCGCGAGTGGCGAATATTCAAGCGCCCAAAATCTTCTCGATGTCGCTACCATGCGGTGGCAAGCACATGGGCATGAGTTAGCTGCACATCTGTCCGGTTTTCTAGTCCTGATCCTTTGCGAAGCCCGAGGTGCTCCTCTCGGGTTCTGGCGACTCGGAGGCGAACTTGGAGCAGTGGGCTCTGGTTCTGCATTTGCAGTGTGGTCAGTATCATTGCCTTCGACTTCAACTTCGTCTTGTTCGATGATCCTAGTAGATGATTCGACAAATTTCGCCAGGAGTCTTTGTTCTCCCGACGAAGGGCGCCTCGTGAATGAATTCAGTCTATGAGACAGCCCAAGTCAGTAAGCTTTAATCTCCAGCGGTTGCAACAGCAGTAAGAGCTTGGATGCGAAAAATACTAACAGGAAAAGGTCGATCTTTGCTAATTGAATGCTCTCGCGGAGCTTTTGTGCCTCTGGTCTCCAATGCCGAAAGGTTAGCACCTTGACAGGGTTCCGGAATTTGCTTTGACCCCTATCCTGAAGCTTCGCGTTGAGCACTCCGAGATCTTTCATGAGCTGAGATAAAGAATCCGTACAATGACGAAGTAAGAACTCATCACAAGCATTGGCCTGAGGTAGACCCTCCTTTGCGCGACCGACAATGTAACTGATAAGATCCAACTCCGCCAGCAACGAGCTCACTTCTGCCGGGGCTTCGAGTGCGCTGTTTCTAATGTCTTTGTATCTGTCGATATAAGTAATCGTTTGGACCAACAGAGGCACAATGCCCAGAACCAGGCCGGCGACTTCTGCCATGGTGGACTGGTTTCGCGGTCAGTCTTGAGATGTTTGAGAGAAAACCTTGATGGATGTGTACGAGCCTCGTCTCGACACAGCGACGCCTCGGACTATTAGAACCGCGAACCTGGCAACGAAGCTGCCCTGCAGTCTGCCTTCTTCGTTCTATGTGACCTATGCAGGCAAATTTGACCATGTAACCTGACAGTACAGCCAATGGTGTACGGGCGGTTCAGTTATTTGCATGCGTCGGCGGTTAGTTGTGGCTGTTGGCTGCAAGGACGCTCCAGAGGACGCTAGATGGGCCCTTTCGTCGCGCGCCGAGGACTCGGCCTTGTTGAGAAAATGTTTGTTCAAGAGATACTTCCTGTACAAAAAGGGCGAGAACCTTGAAGAGGTAGAAGAGGTAGAAATGTGTCCCGACAGGAAGATCGCCGCTCTATTCGTGTTCACGCCTTCATTCTTAGCTCCAACCCACAACAACAACAACCACAGCAACAACAACAACAAAACGCCATTTAGATCTAGAATATCAACTCCTGCTAACCCGTGAGAAGAATAGATTATTCCGGAGACGTTGGTTAGATAGCTTTCTCGCCCATGGATCATATATTAGCATGGTGCTCGGGCATTGACATCTTTGCTCAGGACGCTGGAAGTGGCACGCTCTTACAGACACTTCGGAAGCACTCTAGCAGTGCTTTGTCCCTTGCCTTCTCACCCGACGGCTAAATATTAGTATCAGGGTCAGAGGACGAATCTGTTCGTATGTTGAATATGCAGAGAAGGACGAACACACAACGCCCTGCAGACCATAGTGACTGGTGATAGACATGAAGTTTTCAGCAGACGGTTAACTCGCAGCGTCTGTATCCGCTGATGACAGGGTGCGGATCTGGAACACCAGGTCAGGCACCCGTTTGAGGACAATGGCAGATGTCCAGAGTAACGGATTTCAACGTCTTACTTCTGGCATGCCTGGCAGAGGACGTACGACGAGAGTCTACTAAATATGGGCTTGATCTTATCACGGCTTGGACTTGCAAGGGAAAGCAGAAATGGGTGTGCATCCCTTAAGAGCATTAAATCACAGTCTAGACGGGTAGGGGGCTAATAGTCTCCCCTGGGTGTAGGTTAGGCCGCGTGCTTGGCTTGTAAGTTACCAACGACGAGTTAATTAGATATGAATCGTGCGACATGCATAAGCAGTTCTAACTTATAAAAGATACACGAGCCCGACTTAGACGATCCGTTTATCTCTAGCACGTAGAGGTCATGGAGTCCAAAATATAATCCTAATACCTAGAAGACATCCTTTTCTTATGAGTCACGACAAAAAGAGACATACAACAGTCGGTATTCGCTAGTCGTCACCGACCTAACTACTAATCGACCCCTTAGTAGCTTAACTATGGGAGAGCGGACGGGATCCCGTGTTTTCCACTAGGTATGGTCGTATGTGAAGGATTTGGTATGTAATACAGTCTATGGTACCTTGAGTCAATAGAAAAGCCGTGATATGTCGAAGGGAAGCAACTGCTTGTCTACAGAAGATAAGCGTAGGTTGCAGCCACGGCAGAAAGAACCCCCACAGTAGGCTGGTACTCATAGACCGATTTACTTTTTGAATAATCGTGGTAATTTAATTTAATAGCTTCTCTCGTCTCTGTTATAGCATTTTTGACCGTACTACGTACGGTTTGTCCAGTCTACTAATTACGCATTGGCGGGTGGCTAGCGTCTGCGCCTACATGTAATTGGCCAATCCATATCCAGCTGTGCAATTGCGCCCTTCCGCAGCGTCGTGACATGAAAGGCGTGCACATTGGCGGGGCAAACATTGATCATTTCAATAAAACAACGTAGCTATAAATCAGCCTGCAACCATTACCACAGAGCCGAACGCCTAGTAAAGAGTGCACAGAATCACAAATTTCCCCAAGCCACCAAGATGCCCGCCGTTTCCATCCCCTCCACGCTCAACTCCTTTACAGAGACTTGGTCCCCGCGCCTCGTCGCCTCCGTCAACGGTCAGCATGTCAAGATCGCCAAATGCGACGGCGCCTTCATCTTCCACTCCCACCCGGACTCGGAGGAGCTCTTCTACCTGCTCTCCGGCCGCCTCATAATGGAGATAGAGGGCGACGCGGACAATGTGGTCATGTCGCCGGGAGATGTCTACGTCGTGCCCAAGGGCGTGCGTCATCGGCCCGTCTGTGAGAATGCGGAGATCATGATGGTGGAGAAGGCCGGGACGGTGAACACGGGGGACGAGCCGGCGGGGGAGAGGACGAGGGTGCCAGTCGATGCTATGGAGCAATCATGATATTGATTCTTGGGGATCTGTCAAGACTTTCGAGGGCAAGTCATAACAAACAGGTCGAATTTAGCGGTAGACCATGCTAGATCGTTACTTTTGGTCTCGAGGGCTGCACAGTGGTGAGATCCATATCTAATGGAACGTTGTTCTATCTACATACCGTCTAATTATTCACGGCCTTCGGGTACGCAGTGATCTTTTCGGATAAGGCGCTCTCCCAAGTCCTTGGCGGGCTCTCCAATGTCCCGGAATCCTTCCTCGACTTCCGCGCCCCTCTACCATTCGGCGCCAAGTCTTCGGTGGATGGGTCCCTCGCTTGATCACCAGCCCGAGAGCCGAGAGGTACGTACGGAGTATGGTCGGAAGAAAAAAAAAAAAAAAAAAAAAAACACGTGTTGACCCTCTCCCAGGCTGACGGTGAGTCTTGACTTTGTGCTCTTGGTAATCAGTCGCTTATTATTAGATTAATTAAACCACGTGTGCAGAAGATAAAGGAGTGCGGACTGTGCGGTCCCTCAGCCTGGGCACCTACCTTGGCGTCTGGAAATATTGGCTGAGGGTGATTTGACCTGACCGAACCGGACGCAGGAGCAAGTCCCCTAATCCTGGCTCTGATGCTCCCATGGGCCATGGGCCATTGCATGGATGGAACTTGGAAGCTGGAGGGCTAATGCACCGCGACATGGATAGTGTGGAGTGATGGAAGCAGACGACGGGCTTCTCACAAGTCCGAGTCTGCGGCGAGTCATGAGAAGATGGACTCTCCCAATTGATACCAGAGATCATGGCACAGGTAAAGTAAAAGGAATCGTCCTTCAATTGAGCCAGAGGCTTGCCGCTACATGTTCTCTCGCCTATTCCTATTTACTGTCATACTCGACAACAAAGTCCTTGGTACACATGATCCCTGGCGCAGGCCCTGGATGCTGCAGAATGATCTCCTCGCTGTTGTTATCCGAGCCCCCTCCCCCGTATCCGTCTCTTCCGTGGTCTGATCTCGTCCCCGCTGTCGAAGTGTCCCCCTGCGCGTGGACCACCGTTCCGGTCTTGGCGTGCATCTCGAATTCGTCGTCGAGGGTTCGACCACCACCACCCCTGCCCGTGCCCGTTTGTCTGCTGTAGGCGTTGCTGCCGCCATAGCCCATGGGGCCGCTTCGGCTGTACGGCTGGTCGGAGGGGTAGTAGCCTGCCGAGCTGTTGATCTTGAGCATGCGGCCAACCAGGGGCTTGAGGAACGAGGCGCAGGCCGCGATAATTCCAATATTCAGCTGCATGCTTTGGCGCGACAAGGATCAGTATTTGCACGTACGTACACCGACTTCGCTTCTCGGGGACAACTTACTTCTGCCAGAAATGGACCCAGTAGTCGAAGATGGCGTCGGGATCGCCGCCAGTCGTAAGCATAAACACGGCTTTGAGGACGCCCATGAGAACAGCCCTATGGATTTCGTCAGCCTCGGCTGTCGCCGCCACCATGCGACTCGGTGTCGCCGTCCCCAGAAGAGCACTCACAGGTATCCCAAGTTCAGAATGCCAATAACGTAGAGCTTGACGCGAAGCTTCATCTTCAGATTCCAAATGATTGGCACCGGCAAGGCTCCCAGGCACACATCGGTAAAGATGTTGCATGCTTTGGTTCTCTGGTGTCAGCAATTGGACATGGAGACTCCCCCCAAAGAGGACGAAAACTCACAAATGTTCCAGTACGTGAGGTCCAGGAAGATGTTGAAGTCGCGGCATCGTGGGTCAAAGGGGTTCATCCACTGGAACTCCCACCAGCCGGAGAAAGGCGTGCAGTACACGAACAACCAAACAATGGCCTGGATCGAGTACAGCACCACAAAGGCTAGAGGGGACGAGGTCAGCGCCGAGTTCAAGAAAAATCAGAAGAGTCAGAGAGTCGCATACCCATCACAGCGTAGAGCGACCACTTGTACCACATCAAGTCTCGCTTCAGGCGCAGCAGCGAGATGGCCATGGAGATCCTCAGCAGTCCCATGGCCAACCCGTCTGAGAAGACAGTCTTCCAAAAGGTAATCTCCTCAAATTTCTTCCGATCGTCAATTGGTATAACGGCGCCATGCTTGCCTAGACCGTACTGGATCTGGACAACGAGGCAGATCCAAGCACCGAATCCAAGCAGCTGCAATGAATCCGGATCGTCAGTATCGCTGTGGACGAGGAGAAGGAGTGCAGCGACGTACGGCGGTGACAATTATGAGCCCATCGTCGACACCAAACGCTCTGACCATGAAAAGGCGCGCATAGACGCGAAGGGCCACGAGCGTCAGGGCGATGAAGTGGAAGACGGCAATGATGCCCACGATGCGACCAGCGTTGCTCTCCTCGGCGTAGCCAGGAGGATACTGTGTGGGATCGGGCGTCGAATCGCCCATGGTGTCCTTTTCTCGTGCGGGCTGGCGATCTTCGACGAGGTGGAATCGAGAGGGGATTGATTGATTTACGTTGCTGGGTCCTCGAGCATGATCTCCATGGAATTGAGTCCGATCTTTGAATGCGGAGATGGCTAATAAAAACGACTGAAATTATGGGCAATCGACAACGACTGCCCAAGGGGTCGATCAAGGGGTCTAATTAATACCGCCCTGACTCTTCGTCCATGTGCTTTTTTCAGTCTCGAAATTACTGACTGCAGCGTGCATGTGCCTTGCATTGGACTTGCAGCGAACCGAGACGAAGCTGAACCCTCGCCAAGCCCACCATCACGCTGCAAGTATATCGACAACGCAGGGATCCAACCCTCCATGCTCGGTCTGCTCGGCCTGCTCGGCCACATACAAGGATCTCGTGATATAGCCTGAACTTGGCGCAGAACCGGAAGAGGCAATGCCCCGGGATAAGATCATGCACAGTCTCGCCCACGTTGGCTGATCGTGGAGCCTGCATATGAGTATGTTTAGCCCGATTGACCGAGCTGTATCCTTCAAAAGTACACCACCTCCGGGGCCGTTCTGATATTTTTTTTTCTTTCGTCGTGGCATTGCAATCGCTTCCATTGCTCAATCTCATCTCCTGCCCTCCTTATCACACGCCCCCTCTTGTCCTCTTGCCACTACGCATCGACAAGAACCTCTGCACCACAATGCGTTCCACGCTCGTTGCGGCTGCGGCCCTGGTGTCAGGTGTCGTAGCAAAGAAGAACTGCTGCAGCAAGACCATCAAGAAGGATGTGGCTGTCATTGGCGGTGGTGCTTCTGGCTCTCATGCTGCTGTCTGGCTGCGCGACCACGGCCGCACCAACGTTGTCATTGAGAAGGCTGAACAACTCGTGAGTCTCCTCTCGCCGTCTTCCTTTGACGCCGTCCACTGATCATTTTTCTCCCATCATGCAGGGTGGCCACACAAGCTTTTACAAGGACCCCGTCTCTGGCATGGACATCAATGTCGGTGTCCAAGGTTGGATGGAGTATGAGAACGGGTACAACTTCCCCCATCGCATGGGCATCCCGACCACCGGTTCCATGTCCTTCACGCCCAACCAGAACTACTTTATCGACTTTGCGTCAGGCGAGCCCGTCGAGGGCTACCAGGCCCCTGCTTCCGACGCCATGGTCGCTGCTCTCCAGAAGTATCTCGAGGTCCTCTACAAGTACGAGGATTATCTGCTCCCTGGCTTCGAGAACTTCCCAGAACCTGATGCCATCCCGGAGGACCTGACCATGCCCTTTGGCGACTTTGTCGTCAAGTACGGCATCGAGGCTGGTGTCCCCCAGATCTGGGACGCCACCGCCCAGGGACTCGGCAACACCATGGAGGTCGCCACCATGTTCGTCATGCAGGCCTCCGGCGTCCCCATGATCGAGGCGTTCCTCGGCACCGCGCAGTCCGCTCTTCCTCCCTCCGGCCGTCTGTACGACCTCTACGAGGCCGTGGCCGACTTCCTCGGCGAGGACGTCCTGTACAACAGCACCGTCGTCAAGGCCACCCGCGAGGAAGGCAAGCCAATCAGCCTCCAGGTCCAGGACCACGGCGACGGCAGTATCACCTGTGTCGAGGCCAAGCGCCTTCTCATCGCCATCCAGCCTACCATGGGCGCCATGAAGGCCTTTGATCTCGACCAGCAAGAGAACGACGTCTTCGACAAAATCGGCTACTCCACCGTCTACGCTGGTGTTCTCCGCCACCCCTCGCTCAAGCCGCTCAACGCCTATTCCCACCGTCTCCCAGGCCCTGCCTCCCTAAATTACACCGACTTCCCTGAGGCTGCGCAGGTCGGTCGCATGGACTACCTCGGCGGAACGGAGGATCTGTATCAGTTCACTGCCGTCGGTACCGACCAGGACACCCCGGAGAGCATGAAGGCGCTCATCGCCGAGTCCATCGACACCATGATGGCCGCTGGCACCATCCCTGAGTCGGATGGCGAGGTCACGTTTGAGGCGTTTGCCAACCACGGCCTCATGCACCCCCGCGTCTCTGCCGAGGAGCTCTATGACGGTTTCATCCAGAAGCAGGTCGCTCTCCAGGGACACCGCGATACCTGGTACACCGGTGCGGCCTTTTCCGCTGGCTTCTCGACCGTGGTGTGGGAGTACAATGAGAAGGTCCTGCCTGATCTCGTCAGGGGGTCTTACTAATGTGTCGTGGCGGCATGATAATAGACTATAGAATAGGATCGGTAGTATCAATAATGCACACAACGTTCTGTGCTTGGTAGATTCTCCCACCGAGTAATTTGGGTACGGAAACCTCCTTATTGAGGAACAGCCGCCTGATTGCTCGCAATGCCTGCGCGTTTTCTTTCCGTGATGCAAGTGAGGCCTCCCGACTTTTCGGGTGCTGGACTTGGCCGTGCCAAGGAAAGAGAATTCGTGGAGTTAATAGTAAGGCGAGGCAAACATCAAGGGGGGCAATTTGTCACTAACGGGCTGCCCGCCTGACACAGGTCTGCCCTCGAGTTGGACACAGGACAACGGCAAAGCTCTTGTTCTCGGGTACAAGCGGTTTCAATAGATCAGGCGTTGACCTAGTTGGTATCTCGAGTCTGCATGTCATAAAATTGACTCGGGATATCACTCATTTCAAGTGATTTCCTACCTAGAGCTTCTGCCCTCATAGCACCATACACCAGCCCCAAAATTATTGTTGCAAACCAGTACGTAATATGTCATTCAAGGGTCTAGAAATAAGGAAACGATTCCATGGTATGGTATACCCTGTCATCCACGTGGGCCTTGCAGCCAGCTGCATAATGCATCAGTTCATCATGCCGTCCCTGCAGTTCACACCCTTCTATATGAGCGGAAACTGTGCGGCGCCGTTCTGTGCCTTAAGGCCATTTTCTTCCCACCAGCCAGTCCTTTAAATCGCGGTTGAACCGATCAGTATCAACCATATGGAGGAAATGGCCTGCGGGAATCACGCCGATCGTATCCAACGTCTCATCTACTCCTGCCCGCCGTTCCAGCTCTAGGCTGGTTTCTGCGGAACACCTAACGGAATCTTGGAATCTCATTTCTACCGCCAGCCGGTCGGGTCCGATTGAGATAGGCGACGCCGGACTCGCCGAGGTATTGCGCCATCTGTTGGAACGTGCTTGTCACAACGCGGGATTGCATCGCCCAGGCGCGCCGCTGGTGCCAGATGGGCAGCCATGCCGGTGTGCGGTCGGCTGGATACACACCCGCCGCGGCGAAGAAGTCGGTCGCCGCTACGCCTGCTTGGCCTGAGTCTGCGACCTCCAACAGCTGGACTACGTCGCTCATGACCGGGGGCGTCATGTAGTACGCCGTGTCGACCTCGACAGTGCCGGATACCAGGTGTGTGTGCCGAAAGACCAGCTCGTGGGCGACAACAGCACCTAAGCTATGACCCATGACTATGGCTCGTCGGTCGTTGTCCCCATGAATGCCGTGGTGCGCGAGCAGGGCCGCAGCGTCGTTGGCCAGGGTCACGGGGTCGAAGGCGGTGATGTTGTCTGCTATGGAACTGCGTCCGTGTCCGCGCAAGTCCATGCTAATGATCCAGAAGCCGAGAGACAAGAGAAGGGGGATCTGAAACGACCAATCATTCTGGTCGCAGACCCATCCGTGCAGTAGCAATATCGGTATCCCGTCCCGGGGACCCTCCTGTGTGTAGAAGATGTCGACGCCGTCCCCAGCAGTGAAGTGTCCCCCGCCTTTCATACTCAGCAAGCCCGCCTTGATTCAACGCTGGACAAGTGGTCAGACGATAGATAGGATGCGGGTAGTTGCAACTGAGAAGGGTAAGACACTGCTTATTCTAGCGTATTTATGTTGTCTTGAGGGAGGCAGTGGGACCGGAACAGAGTGTCTTATATTGCTCGCGGGCTCTCTACATGTAGATACCAACGTAAGCTTACCTCGTGCATATACTGCATGCATATTTGCTTAGCGCTTAGTGAGCTCAATGAGTTTGTCAGCAGCAAAAACGAGCAGTGTCTGAGGCAAGGTTCTGCATTTGTATTACTAAACATAGGGGGTTGCAATGCTTCTTCTGCACCGACAGTCTACAGGTACATTTGGGTCGGTGTGAAATTGAATGCAGGTTGACTTCCAAGACATGATAGAGAAGAGGCTTCAATGGTGTCACTCAATTGATCCAGATGGCTACTTGCAGTGGTATTTCCCAGAAGGACGCTTCGTCCAAATCGGCCTGCCGTCCTCGGACGACGCACGCCTGTCAATTATCCCGGAGGATGGTAAGTTTCCCAGGATTCGCTGAGGGGCCACCTTGCTATACACCATTGGCACGAGAGCCTCAAGTGCCCGACAGTCTCGATATAAGATGGAGGTGAGACTTTTGATGGATCATGTTGGCAGAGTTCATGTGCTTAAGCTTGCCTTATGTCACGTATAGTCCCAGGGATGCATTCGTATGCCTAGACCACTGCACCGAGAAATAGGGAACCAAGACCTGAAACCTCCTAATCGACATGAATTTATTAATATATATACATGTAGCTATTCAATAGGCTGTCGCCTGCCCACATCTGATTCCAAGTTGAGAGGCTCAATCCGAGCTACCCTACACCACCGGACCCGGTGTTCTCTTCGCTGACCATGAAGACGTCCACACCTAGTCTTTGATAATTTTCAAAGCCAATCTAGGTTTAACAGCGAGAATCTCCGTCTGCTCTTGTTCTATGAACATACCGCTGTCTTGGATAAAGGAATTTACACAGCAGCTTTAGATGTTGCAAATGACTACTTGCGATTTCATCAAAAGGGCTGATGTAATAATGTCCACACAGGGAAAAGGATTAAAGTTCAACCCATGTTCCTGGTGATATAGGTGAAATTTCTTTGGCTAAAGACATTACATGCTCGTGCAGGCTTTGTGTGCGAAGACTCGACTGATCACCCCAAAGTATCCAAGACGCCCATGCCACGTACGACACCTAAAACGAGAAGCTTCGCCTGAAGTTTGGCTTCCTAAAGTGCTACGGTGTTTTCACGTAAAAATAGCGAGTCTACTTGATACGAAACCTCCTTCCAGGGTGGACAGTCACACTGACATAAATAGCACCGGGACAGTGGGATTGATCGTTGAATACGTTCGCTGGATTAAAACATGGACACATGGAGAACCGCCTTCAATCGCTTGGCTACGTAAGTGCCAGAATTATGCATAAACCTTGATTGATTCACCGACAGGCAAAAGTTCACCTCCCCTCATCCTTTGCAAGGATAAGCCTCTCTTGCTTGTGCAGTGCGTCACCCCATTGGCCCAGCCCCTAGCAAAGTACTGGAGTCGAAGCATGCAGCGACGACTTCCAAGCCATGGGGACGTCAGCGACCTCCCTACTTGGGCATAGTGGTGCGAAGCTCACAGTGATGGCCCCTCATTATCATCATGATCATCATCATCGCGGGGACTCAGCCCAGGTTATAAGCCGTATGTACCCTCGCTCCACGAAATATATCGCTCTCTCTCTCTCGCGCTTGCACATTTTACAGACTCTTGTAGAATCTGGGGCCAATAATCACCGTCACCAAGATCGGAAGAATCGCCATGCGTCTCTCTACGCTGCTTTCCGTCGTCACTGCGGTGGCAGTCGCCGCAGCCGAGACCATTCCCGCTGCCGAGCTCGTCAGCAGCAAAGCTCATATCGTCCCGGGCCCTCTGCGCGTCACCGAGCTCACCTTTCGCGTGCCGTTGGACTATGACGACCCAGAGGGCGAGACCATCACTCTGTTTGGCCGGTCTGTCACCGGCTATGAGGTCCCCATTGTGCCATCCGACGATGAAGACGAAAGCTCTTCTCTGCCATACATGGTCTACCTCGAGGGCGGTCCAGGTTTCGGCAACCGAGAGCCCCAGAACCACCCTCTGACCAGCACGGCACTCGAGCGTGGCTACCAGGTCCTCTACCTGGACCACCGTGGCACAGGCTACAGCACCCCCGTGTCAGCCAAGATGCTAAACCAGCTGGACGGCGGCGAAGATGCGCAGGTAGAGTACCTCCGCCTCATGCGCCAGGACAATACCGTCCGCGACTGCGAGTCTGTGCGCAAAGCCTTGACCAAGGGCATGTCGGACAACCAAGCCAAGTGGTCCATCTTTGGCCAGTCTTACGGCGGCTTCGTCAGCCTGAGCTATCTCTCGTTCCACCCCGAGGGCTTGCGAGAGGTCTTCCTCACCGGCGGCTTGGCTCCCGTCGGTAAGACAGCGGAGCAGGTGTACGAGTCGCTGTACCCGCGGGTCATGAAGCGGAATACTGCCTACTACAAGAAGTTCCCCGAAGATGTCAAGAACGTTCGTCAAGTTGCTAGCTACATTGAGGAGCAGGGCGGCAGCATCGACCTCCCAGCCGGCGGCAGTCTTACTGTTCCCCGCCTCATGACTATTGGCATCGACTTTGGCGGCGCTGGCGGCTTTGACAGTGTGCACACGACCATTATGAATCTGAAGATGTCTCTGGACCAGTTTGGATTCCTTTCCAGGGCTTCCCTTGCCCCCATGGAGACCTTTACTACGTTCGACACCAACATCATTTACGCCATCCTCCACGAAGCCATTTACTGCGACGGACCTGGCGATGTGTCTGGCTGGGCTTCTGACCGGGTTGCCAGAGAGCTCAACTTGTTCTCCTGGTTGTCCTCAAACGGCACTGTCTCGTCCAACTCGAGCGAGCCCCTGCTTTTCGCCGGCGAGAACATCTTCCCCTTCTTCTTTGACACGTACCCTGAGCTCATTCCCCTCAAGGGTGTCGCTAACAAGCTCGCCGCCGTGGACGACTGGACCCATATCTACGACAAGAAGCAGCTTGCCAAGAACGAGGTCCCCGTATACGCCGCCTCGTACATTGACGATCTGTACGTCGACTATGAGTATGCCAAGGATACTGCAGCCCTTGTAAAGGGCACCAAGACGTGGGAGACGAATGCTTACTACCACTCGGGCTTGAGGACGAACACGAACGAGGTTCTGTCAGCGTTGTTCAATCTCCGGGATAATGTAATCGACTAAGTTACGATAGCAAGTCACTCTGTCAATGATCTTTGTCGTCCTTATGACAATATCAGGTCATCAAAATCATACAATGTGTGCTATGTTTACCTTTCACAAAAGAGGCTTAATTCGTAATGAAAAGCGAATACCAAGAGAAGCGACGAGCTCAAGCATATCTCCTATCGGACAGCTCGTACACCTGGGGCTCTTCCGGCTCCATCGCAACAGCGACAGTTTCCTTGGGATCTGAATGCAACTGGTAGACCTGAGTGGTATCCCCTGCTAGTTCCTCTCCTCTGGGATAAAACTCCTTTGGCTCACCATCCATTTCTGGACTGCCAGGACCAAGAGTCACCGCGCTGGACTCTGGACGACTCGGTGACGATCCCCCATCGGACGACGATGCTCGCTTTCGACGGCGAAGGAGGAGGAACAAAGCCGCGCTGACGAGACCTACGGCCGCCAAGGAGCCGACGACAATGCCAGCCACGGTTCCGCTGCCCATGGATGTTTGTCGCGACGAGGTGGACACTTCGCCCACGGTCTCTGTAGGAGAAGATTCCGACGCAGAGCCCGAGTTGGAAGTGTTGGAGCTGGAATCTGCATCTGCAGCCGCGTCTGTGTCTGTGTCTTTCGAGGTGATTGTGATGATATTTGCGGTTTTGCCCTCGGCCCACTGGCATTGAGAGACGTTGAAAACGCGACGCTCATAGTCAGCTGTGATGTAGCTACACAGTCATAGTCAGCAAAACTGTTTTGGATTCCATGTTCTCTTGAGAATGCTTACGCTTCTTGGAGGAATGCTCGACCGAGCGTGTACTGCGACTCATCCACCGCCTGCTTCAGCGGGAAGTAATAACTCGTATTGTCGACAAGGGGATATTCGGCCTGGAGATCAAACGCCTTGTACGGAAGGGTGATCGTGGTCGTCGACCCGCCTTGGAGGACATCCGACAACCGAAAGCTCACCTCCGCGCCGGATTCGAGCAGGGTGGAGTGATGGGACTCGTTCACCAGGTACAGGCCCGAGCTGTCGTCGAGTGTGAGATCAAAGGCTGATTCGAAGTTGCGGACCGCGTCCTCGGGAAGCCACAAGTTTGGATCGGTCGAGTCGATGTAGATGTTGATGGGCTCGGATAAGAGGGATCGCTTGTCCTCGCCGCTGTAGGTGATAGCCTGGAGGGCGACGACAAGGTCGCGGGTCACGTCGTCTGCAATGGTGAAGGAGACGTCGTTCGCCTTGAACCGAGAGGTATCATATCCGGAGAAGATGAGCTGCCCGTAGACCTTCTTTGCGCCTGAGAATGGTCAGTCAGGAGGGGCTACTTAGTTAAGTCTGTTTGTCTGGGTACTCACGATAAATCGCTCCAGCGGTATAGCTCCAGCTCAAACTTGGAATGGCACCCTGATCCTTGAGTGTCGTGATGAACGAAGGCGAGGAGAAGTTTCCTAGCGTGCTGAAGTTGAGAGGTTGGTTGTTGATGCCGAATATTCCACTGTCCAGTGGGTCAGCATCTGCTAGACAAAGACTTCCAAGCTGTGCTCACAGGTAGAATGGCGATGCCGTGGCAATGCCCCCAATCGTCTGGTTACTGAGGCCGAGGCTCCCTCCACCATCAACCAGGCCGATGCTCACATTGTCCAGCCCAAACTGTGCCCTCTGTACGTATCCGAGGTTGGCCTCCAGCCCAACTCCATCACCGTTGATCTGGAAGATCCCCAGCGGATCCCACGTTGACGAGTCGTCCGGGCTGAACATGTCTCCTCTCGAAACGGCACAGTCCGCTGGCACATCTTCAAAGACCGCTTTCGAGCACCCGTGCTCCGCCAGAACTACCAGCGTCTCTGGGGCTGCTGTAGAGACGAGGACGCGCACATCCTGTTCAGGGCTGCCCACGCGGATGTCGAAGCTACTCCACGGCCCATCATTGCCCTCGCTATTTTCATCGTCAGCCGTCTATCGCGTAAGGTTTAAGGGCAGAGTTACAAATACTGGCTGGGTGGGACAACGACGGCCGACGGGGACCCTCGACAAAGTGCATGTGGGGTCAGTGCCGCAAGTCCTGCCACAGCAAGCGCAGATAGTCGGGGTCCTGGAGAGATCATCATCTTGAACAGTGTCCTTCAACACGATGATACGATGATAGCCTCGTGGAGAGACCAGACACAAAGGCAGAGTGCTTGCGGCCTGGTGCAGGTCAAAGCCCCGACTAGTGACTACTAGCATTCAACCTTCACGTTACGTGAGTGGGGGGTAAAAAAGATAAGGAGACAATTTGGAACGTCCTCTGCTATTAGAAAGAACACTCAAGGATTGCTAGATCAATATCCATGTGCGTGCCCGGCTTTCGCTGATGCCGTGGGCGCGGAGTGTCATGTCCGCCGGCATTTTCAGCCCGTGCCTGGCGAGTCGCGACTCGCGTAGAGATTTCGCCAGTGTCCAAATTACATGTACCCTGACCCCTGGCATACCATGGACATGCTGTGAGCCTGTGACGCCCACACCGACTCTTCCCACTTTACACTTCATCGGGCGAACATAAAGAGGAGAATGGTGCCGAGAGCCGGGAGATGCCCTGACGGGGCGCTTGAGGCTGAGAGGCCCCATGCAAGGCAGATGACTACACGGAGTTTCGAGTTGACGAGTCTCGGGCAGCCTTCTAGCTTGCATCTACAGTTCAGTGTTGCTCTTATGCCTAGTCTCACTCGGCAGCTAAAGTCATGTTGTCTCCATAGAATTATATTCCGAACTCCCCATGCGAGCGAGTGGACTGATCACTGGCAAGGACTACAGATGGCAGATCATGTGCACTAGACTTGTAAAACGAACGCATAAAACGCCCTGATCCCTTTCTACTACGTACTCCTCATCGGAGATGAGACAGCCCAGTTGGCCGCCGAGCAGCGCTTGAGTGGTCCAGCCTAGGTATTAATAACACGTATTGTGGGGAGGTGGTAGGGCTGAAGTCGATATGCCTCTCCTACAGAGGATCCAGATCGTCGTCGTGGTTAGGCAACCATATAAGGCCGGCCATCCCGCCCGGAATAGGGGCATTCGTCCGGGCCCCTGCGTGCGATGCCCGGCAAGCCTGCTGCCAGCCAGCACTGTGAAGTTTGTGTTGCTATGCGTTATTATGAGATCAAAACCTTTGACAGACTGGTTTAGTTGGCTCCTCCCGCCGTCAGCTTCGCTGGTCTGTTTCTGATTCTCGTCCTTCTTTGGACAGCTTCTTGTAATTACTCTCGTTCAAAAACAATGATGCTGTCCACTAAAAGTGTATTGGGGCTGCTCGCCCTGGGAGCGAAGAATGTGCACGGCAAAGGTAATAATGAGAAGACTCAAAATCCCACCTTCAAGAGGACAGAGATGACTAACAAGTTCTAGCCGTTCCTGTTCCCGCCTTAGGCAATGAGAGTACCGCCACGACAGAGGCGTCGTCGACCATCACTCAGGCACCGGCCGAAAGTCTCCCAGTTCCCATCAACACTTGCTCGTACTGGGACAGCACTGCGTCTCAATGGTTCTGGAACAGCCCGTCGTGCAACGTGTAAGTCGCTCCTCCAACTGGGGAGAAAATGGGCAGTTCTGACCAAGCATAGGCACGCCGGCACGGTCGACCTCGTCTTCTGGCCAACGACGGGCAACTTGACGTATCCGTCCACCTTCTACGACTCTGTCAATGACTACACATTGTAAGTCAGCTGTGCACCTGTGCGCAACAAGAAATCTCGCTCACCGTTTACAGCACTTCTCCATCGGTGTACATGGTGGTCCACACGCTGTACGCAGAGAATGCCTGCGGTCCGCTGGGCCCTTCGACAAGCAAGGCCATTTTCGACTTTGACTTGACCCAGGTCTCGACGCTTGTCCCTTACTCGGACGAGACGGCGACGACCCGCCGCGCAACGAGGCAGCTCTATCTGAGCGATCTCGGCACCAGCTGCCAGGCCTCCTTCAACACGACGGAGCTCGCCACCCAGACCCGCCCCGTGAAGGACGAGGACACGCGCTGCAACCCCTTCCTGGTCATTCCCATGGACATCAAGCGCTGGGGCTACCCGTACTGGAAGCACTGTCAGATCTACAACAACAAGTTTGGGCTCTTTGATCCTCCGTACGCCATCCCCGCAGACACCGAACTGATACCAGAGGTTACGGCAACCACCACAACGGTGCCGGCGGAGACGCTGCCTGCGGAAAGCTCGACAGTGGCTGAATCCGCGTCCGCAAAGCCTACCGTCCAGCCGGATCAGAGCTCTGCCACCGCGAGTGTCTCAGCTCCAGAAGAGACAGCCGCTGTTCCTCCTGTCGAGGAGGAGCCTTTGCCGTCTTCTTCTGCACCGGTCGAGACCAAAGGCACGCCTGATGAATCCGATGGAGCTTCTTCCTCGGACATTTCCGTGCCGGTTGCGACAGCAGACAACCCCGAGGAGTCCAACCCATCATCTCCCTCAGACGACGTGGGCCCCGAAGACATGGATACGGAGCACACCTCGGCCACCGTTGGGGATCAAGAGAATGCACAAGAGCCTGCTGTGCCTGGTACCACAGACACGGCCGTGATTTCCGATCCTCTGGCAGCCCCGGATCTACCCTCTGATGATGCCATCGTGTCCACCGCAGGGGTCCAGATCGTCAGACTAGGCGCCGAGGGCATCGAGGTGGTCGACCAGGACAGCGGGAGAACGTCCACCTACATTGTGCCCGCCTTTGGGGCCACGCAGCAAGGAGCAAGCATGGAGCCCGCGACGATTGCGGTATATGGCGGCCAGACGCTCATCCAAGGGAGTCCAGCAGTGACGGTGACTGGCGTCCCTGTGGTGTCGCCTGGGTTACCGGCCTCTGTGGACACGAGCGCGCCGTCGGTTGTTGCTTCGAGTCCTTCGACCGTGGAAACGCCTTCGTCAGCGGGAAGAATCAACACCAACGCTGTTCTCACGTGCTGCAGCTGGATGGTCATCGTTGCGTGTGTCATGCTGTAATGCACCGTGAACGAATATCAGCGCTAAGGGTACTCGAAACTTTCGATTCAGTAATATCAGATCATAATTGCAAATCCACGCTCTTTACCAGCGTGGGCAGTCTAGCATGATTTCGTCCACGTGTCACGCATATCATTAAGGTGCTATAGGGTAGGTATTACGCGGACTACACCAACACGTGCATCAACGAAATGCACGACGCTGCGTAAGGCTGACTCGCAGGCGTTCAATCGGTTAACCCTCGAAAGCCAAGCACCAGACTTCTTCGAGCCAATCGCTAAGCATAACATCATGATGCCCCACATCACGTCCCGTGTTCTTAGAGGCTGGACTCTGGACTAGACGCGGAAGAAAGCCCAACATGTGGGCGCACTCGCGGATTCAGACCCCAGCCTGCAGGACCGGTTCGTGGGCAGTGCAAGCGACCTTAGCGACGCCAAGTCCCTAGCGACGCCATCGCAGCACAGCAATGCCCTGGTCACGCTGATCGCCCAAGGCGTTGCCTCGGGTCGCACGATGACATCAAATGTGTGTGAGCGAGTTGGGGGCGGCAGCTCTGTGGTGGTCGTGAGGGGTTCGTGATAAAGCAGCACCATCTCGCGTTCTGCCGTGCCTCGACTTCGCGCGCCATTCCTTTCGACATTCGTGAACTGGCGAGAACCTCTGGTCTGAGCGATTGACAGCGATTTTAGACATCAGTCCACGTGCCGATTCGCGAGCGCCTCTGCGACATCCAGGACCGTCGACCTCCCTCACCCCTCATCGCGTCGCCATGAATCCTCAGCAGCCACCGTACGGCCAGCCTCCCCAAGGCGGCTACCCAGGCTACCAGTCTCACTCTCCGCAACCTGGACAGCAGCCTCCCCAAGGTCAATATCCCCCCCAAGGACCGCCCGGACAGTACCAGCAGCCGTACGGTCAGCCACCGCAGGGCCAGCCTCCCCAAGGACAGTACGCACCTCCTAGCCAGCCTCCGCCAGGCCAGTATCCTCAGCAGCCTTACTCGCCTCATCCCCCGCAGGGCTACCAGGGACAGCCGCCACCATCCCAGCAGTATGGACAGCCCTACGGCCAATACCCCCCTCAGCCCTACGGACAGGCACCACCAGCCCCTGCGTCGCAAGGGTACGACCTCGCGCAGAAGCAGTTCACGCAGCATGTAGACACGTCACCCGACGTCGAAGCCCTCCGCAAGGCCATGAAGGGTATGGGCTGTGACGAGCGTGCTCTGATCAGAGTCCTCACAGGACCAAAATATTCAAATCCGTGGACCATGCAGCAGCTGGTGGACGACTACAACAAGCGCTTCATCCGAGACTTGCTCAAAGACATAAAGAGCGAGACGCGGGGCACCTTTGAGGACGCTCTCCTGGCGCTCATCCGGGGTCCCCTTGAGAACGACGTCCGCACGCTGGACGCAGCCATGGATCGCGCGGGGACAGACGAAGTCGCCCTCGGGCTGATGTTCTGCTGGGCCGCACCAACGCTGATGCCCGCGCCATCGCGGCGGAGTACAAGCGCATCAAAGGCAAAGATCTCTTGACAGAAATCAAGAGCGAGGTCAACGACACCCTCTTCCGCCTCTACAGCATGGCTCTGAGCGGCGCCCGGGCCGAGCCATCCGCGCCCGTCCACCCTGTCGAGATCGACACCAAGGTCACCGAGCTGCACCAGGCCACCGAGGGCGTCATAGGCGCCAACGCCATCTCCGTCGCCCAGATCCTGGCCACCTCCAACGACGCCCAGATCCACGCCATCAGCGAGGCCTACCAGCGCAAGTACCACCGCAACCTGCAGGACGTGATCGAGAAGGAGTTTCGCGGCGATACGGAGGATGCCCTGCTGCACATGCTGATCAAGGCACGAGACAGGGCCAAGGCGGATGCGGACTGGCTCCGGGCGCCACTGCTGCGTAAGCCGGGGGCCAAGGAGAAGCACTTTATCTATCGTATTACTACGTTGTACTGGGACAGGTCACGTCTGGAGGCGGCCAAGGAGGCGTACCAGAGGGAGCACGGGAGGAAATTGGTCACGGATGTCAAGGCATATCTCGATGGCGATTATGAATATCTGGTAGTGGCTCTAATCGGCGGGAAGAACTAGAACATGGGGCCTACGTTCCCCTTTATTGCTTCCCCACACTGACGGATCAAACTCGTGCCCTACTCTCGCATCCCTAGCCATCCTTAGTTCCGGCCTGCCATGCATGTTATCAGGAACGAGACTTGCGAGGGACTCAAAGACTCGGCAAAACACTGGACAAAAACACCAATCTCGCCTTGTAGCTGTCGGCACATTCAAGGCGACGCATAGAGCCCAGCGCGAGAAGTCAAGAGGAGCGCTTGCATCTGATACATCCCCACGCAGTCGGCCAGCTTGCTCTCATGCGCGCCGTCCCGCGCCATGTGCTTGCGCATCTCTGCGCAGAGCTGATTGTCGGTAGTACCATGCGTGCCCCTGTCCATGACGAAATCCAAGATCTGGCGGCACGCCGTGTAAAAATTTGCCTTGCGCGTGTGGTCCTCCCTGTGGGTGAGCACCTCAAGATTGAGTGCGTCGACGACCCAGAGGGTGTTGTCGTCCCGGATATGGGACATGACACCCGGCAGGGCATTGGCGAGAGCGGCACGGGGGATTTCATGCGTGGTGAAGTCCTTGCCCGGTGCGCGGATGGCGATCATGTCTTGTTGCGGGTTAGGACTTGGTGGAATGCTCGGAGTGGCATTCTCACTGTTGACGCTGTTGTCATGTCGAGTACGGGATCCCTGTCCGCCACCTCTGGAAACGGCTGTTCGTGATGGTGATCGTCTGGTAGCCCGCCTGCGAGGGTCCATTCGGCTGACTGTCGCGTCGAGGTGGTGGACGTCTTGGTGTCCGGGACCCGACGTTGCTGATACTGTCGAAGGGATGGACGGTCTCGTCGTCGGAAGCCATTGCAGAGATCATAGATTGCCTCTTGGGTGATGCTGGAAATACAACAGCAGGCGAGAGCGACGCCAGCGTATTTGTAGCTATCGAGATATATGTGAACCACTGAAATCCACACCACGCCCTCGAGAGCACATTATCATGGGTCCTAGTGCGTGATCAAGTGAAAGGTCACATTGTGTATCGTAGATGCCAAGTCAGTCGACCGTATCATTGAAACATGCTGGAACTCCGTACACCAGACGCATTCACCCAACTATCCCCAAAAGAAACCCGGGTTGCTGTGACTTGTCTCTTCGTCACTTGCACACTTCGCTTGCGCATCGACAAGTCAATCAGTTACTCAATCATCAAAAACTTGGCACAAAAACAGATAATCACCACAAAAGGACACGCCAGCGCCATCCCTCCAGGAGCTTAAAGTCCCTGTCGTCAATGTCGGGGTCACCACGCTCAATCCGCGCGGTCAACTTGCGCACCCGCTTCTGGACGGTCTTGGCCACCCGGAGCGAGACCTCGTTCTGGAACACGTACAGCACGGCGAAGACGAAGAACGCCATGCTCGCGAACCCGCCCTTGCCTAGGACGCTGGATTTGAGGTAGGACACCAACCCGTGGGACCGCTTGAAGGCGTACTCGGTGTCATTGGCGGAGCTGTCCGACTCAGGATCAGAGCCCCGTCGGAAGATCTTGCGCACAAGAGGGATGAAGGAGGCACTGTTTGCGTATCAGGACCATGAACGAATGACTGTCAAACAGGGCTACAGAGACGTACATGGCTCCCCCGAGTAACCACTTTCGCCACCGGTGGTTCTCGGCTTCCCTCACCTTGCTCTTGACCTCGTCCTGCAGCTGGCGCAGACTGGCGAGCACCATGCCCTGCTGCGTGCGCAGCTTGCTGTCGATATCGAGGCTGGTGGTGCTCGCGTTACCGTCGTGGTGGATCCGCCGGCGCTGCAGGGCCTGGTACTCGCGCAGGTTGTACTGCGTCTGGCTGCGCAGCTGGCCAATGTCTGTGGGCTGGGGGAGGGTCGAGGTGAGAGACTGGCCGTAGTTGTTGGAGGCACGGGGCACGTCGAGCATGCTGCTCGGATGGTCGGGGATCTGGGCGGGCGCGAAGCCCACCTGGGGCGCGGATGTGGTTCTTGAGAGATGGGGGCTGGTCTTGTCTTGGAGTTGGGGTGATGATATTGGACGAGGCTCAACGGCCCGCAAAGGCTCAGAGCTGTCCATGTTACGCAGTTGGATAAGAAGGACAGTACAGCATGTAAATCGGCAGACGATAAAACCACAGAAGTGAGGGCGAGTCTGATGATGTGAGGTCAAGAAGCTACATGTAATCGTGATGAGCGAGGTGGCTGGGAGTTGGGCATGAGTGAGGCGAGCTTGAGAGTGCCAGTGCCATGAGAGTAATAGCGGGGCAATTTCAGCCACGCTGTCCGCCACATGCGGCACCAGCCACGCACAATGTCGCATCGTGCTCGAGCCTCGAGGTCACTTCAATGTCTCGCCTTGATATTTACATCATTCAAGCTTAATTGAGTCTGCGCTGGAATTCTTCTCAGATCGCTAGTGACGCTGGCGAACAACAAGAGCAAAATTAGTTCCTGACCATACCCCACGTCACTCAATCTCGGCTCACCACCCAATCCGTCTTGACGAAGATGTCGCCATTGTTCTTGGGCGGGCTGGCCGTCAGGTTCTTCTCCGAGTCGGATCCGTCATTGTCGACAGCCGACACGGAATTGCGGTGCGCCCCCTTGCTGCGCGGGTAGTAGTTGCCCATCTCCCAGCCGTCATTGCCGCGGGCCATCGAGCCCATGTTCCCACTGCCGCTGAGCTCGTTGGCGTGGCTCCGGAAGCCGCTGGTGCGGTCCTCGGACTCTTTGAGCCTGGATCCGCCCATGTGCTTCCTGTAGAGCACGTAAAAGGGTCGAAGCATGGGGATGCTGATGCAGAGAATAGCGAGGTTCGGTTCGAGTGTGAAGAGGAAGACGGTCGGGGGCATGGTGCCGGTGACGTTGTTCGTAAGGTCCACGGTCGACAGGTAGACGAGGCGGAAGATGGCGCAGACGACGCAGCTAGAGAGAAACAGTCAGGCTTGGGACCAGGCGAAAGAGGAGAAGGATGGGGAGACGCACGCGATACCCAGACCGAAGCTGGCCGTTATACCGAGCTTGTCCGTCTTGCGCATTTTGAGGTTCCACACACTGTGCATGGGCAACAGCATGATCACCACGTCGCCCAACGCATTCGTGCCGATCAGTGACTGGATCATCGGGATGTACTCGCCACAAGTACCGGCACCGGTCCACTGGGCCGAGACGGGCTTGCAGAGGAAGATGCAAGCACACAGGTAGGCAATCGTCCATAGGGCGATAACCCCGAGTGTGATCTGGGAGGCTCGCTGCACCCAGGGGTTGACAAAGACCCGCAGGTAGAAGAACAGCATGCTCGCCTTGGTGGCGGCGAGAAGCAGAGTGTAGCCAAGCTGCATGCCGAACACCAACTGCAGGATGAAGGGGATGTTCATGGCCACTGGCAGACATCAGTAACCAATCTCCCTGACAAGGACAGCAGAGGGCTTACACTCTGGGTGCTCTGGCAAAGAGTACCCATTGCCCACGGGAGCGACTATCAATCATGGTCAACAAGCGTTCGTGGCCGGTAGTTCTCGTCTCGAGGTAACCTACAAAGTCCTTGGCACACGAGCATGGCCACACCAAGAGGCTTCCATCCGTTAGCGACCAAGCCAGTGCATCATATCTGTCCGAGTAGACATACCGTCGCGATCAAAACAAAGGCATCATCCCATCCCAGGCCCGGTCCCATGGACCGCCCAATAACACGCAGCGTGACGATGACCAGCACCAGGAACACAATGACCGAGTTGGCGATGATGTGGTTGCGAACGTAGCCGAGAATCGGCATGTACACCTCGGCCTTCACCATGATGGGCAAGCGCGCGCGTGTGTGTCTGGTTGAGCAAACAAACGGAGAAGAGGCAGAGGGTCAAACAGCTCCCTTTGTTGCCCGCAAGCCACAGCCGAGAGAATGTGGGAAGTTGAAGCTAATAAGTTTTCCGTCAGTCTTCCAAAGGACCCTTGTCCGCTCTGCTTGTTTCCACATCTTGCAAGGAAAAAAGGGTGACGAGACGACGCCCCGAAAAATAGCGCCTCTGCTTAATGCCGGGCTGCAGTCCAAGCAGGTTTTGCTATCCACAGAAAGACCCATCCATCCGCGACTGTCACCACAACTTTGGTCGAAAATGAGTGACATGACGATGGGTCCAGGCTCGCGTGCGGCTGCGTAGCAAAGAACTTGGTGCATAATTGGGTGGACTCGAGTCGCAGGGGCTGCTTATGCAGCAGCCAAGTCGGGTCCATCCAGGACTAGGAGTCTAGTGTCCACGACTCGAGGCCCACCGGGAGTGGATGGGCGACTGGGTGAAAATATCAGCGCCAAATGCCGGGGAGGCGAGTCTCCTCCCCGTCCATGGCGCCAGAACCTACGTAGTCTAGGGCCGAGGGGCTTGCCGCGTCTAAGAGTTTCAACTTTCGCCTCGACTGGCCACGTGTGTGGGCTCAACTCCAAGCCACAGCCTCCTAAAATGATAGGGAGACCGCAAGTCCATTGTCCGGATGCCAACAAGTCCGGGACACCGGGTGGACCTGGCGGGGGCGACTGTCACTTGTACATAAGTACGTACGACGCTCGACGCAGCGTTGGCTCGTGAAAGAGTCTCTAGTGCCCGCCCATTCAGGCCAATTTTGCCATCATGACGACCCCAATCCCCACGACGACCAAGCAATGGACACTGGCGAACAAGCCCACCGGCGCGCCTGTCCTCCAAGGTGAGGATGCGACATTCAAGCTGCAGACTGCCAATCTGCCCGCCCTCCAAGATGGACAAATGCTCGGCCAGGTGCAATACTTCTCCAATGACACGGGCCTCCGCAACTTCATCCAGAGCACCGTCGCCCCGGAGCGTTTCTACGTACCCACCGTCCCCATCGGCTCGCCCATGCGCTCCGGCGTGATCGTCAAGGTTATCCAGTCCAAGTCGGAGAAATTCCAGCCGGGCGATCTGGCGCTCGATTTCCATCTCGGCACCTGGAGCGAGTACATCGTCCTCGACGCGGAGCAGAGTCAGCCCCTTGGCGCGCTGCCTCCTGGCGTGCAACCAACACACTTCCTCGGCGCCCTGGGTGCGTCTGGCATCGCCGCCTACTCAGGCCTTCACTATGCCGCGCAGACCAAGCCCGAGCACACCGTGGTCATCTCAGTAGCGGCCGGCGCGACGGGTAGCGTGGCTGTCCAGATCGCCGCCAAGTTGATTGGCGCGAAAAAGGTCATTGGCATTGCCGGGACCGACGCGAAGTGCGCCTGGGTCAAGGACACGCTGGGCGCGCACGAGTGTCTCAACTACAAGAGCCCTACCTTTGCCGAGGACCTCAAAAAGGCCACGCCCGAGGACGTGGATGTGTACTTTGACAATGCGGGCGGCGAGATTCTCGACCTCATGCTGACGCGCATGAAGAAGGGGGGCCAGGTTACCGTGTGCGGCGCCGTCAGCCAGTACAACAGCGACCAGCCCATGGCGCTGCGCAACTGGTTTGAGGTGGTGTCCATGCGCATCCAGATCCGCGGCTTCATCATGCTGGACTACATGGACAAGGTGCCGGCGATCCTGGGCGAGCTGATGGGCGCCATCGGAGAGGGGAAGCTGGTTCTCGACGGCGGGGAAACGATTGTCGAGGCGCGCATCGAGGAGCAGCCAGAGATTTGGGCGCGGCTCTTTAGTGGGGGAAACCAAGGAAAGTCGATTACAAAGCTCTTCGTGTAGAGATGCGAGTCATTGTGAACAATTGCCAACTATTGAGTCTACGTTGGTGAAGTGAAGTTTTAAAAAACAAGGTGAGACCTCGCAGTAAATTGTGTGGTGACGAACAAGGGACGTCACGTGGTGGGTATCCGCGGGTTCAACCTCAGGCCATCAGATCTTCTTCACCTGTGAATGTTTGTTGACTGAAGCCGCAACGAGCTCGCGAAACCTCCATCTTCTCCACAAAGCACAACAAAATCAACAATTATCCTTTTCCCCCTGCCACGATGCGACCGTTGTGCTGCAATGGACGGCAAACGCAAGCAGCCCCACGATGAGCCAGAGACGACCGGAGAGCCGCATGAGGCTCGAGGCAGCAGTGGCGCGAAGATGCAGTCCCACGAGCCTTCGGACCCGGAAAGACGATGGAATGAGCTATACGCGGAGCCTGTCGACTTCAAAGAGCTGTCGCTGCGCGACGCGGCGTTTGCTGCAGTGTGCGTCTTTCCTTTTGCTGGAAAGTCATCAACTAACACCAGGCAGGGTCAAAGGTCGCGACGTGAATTTCAACGATCCCAAGGCTGTGCAGGCACTGACAAAGGCGCTCCTCAAGAGAGACTTTGGTCTCTGTCTTGAGACGCCCGATGACCGGCTCTGCCCTCCCGTATGTTCTCACCTCCCAGGCCCTGCCTCTAGCTGACTTGGTCCAGGTCGCGAATCGACACAACTACATCCTGTGGCTCAAAAAGCTTCTTGACTCTACCTGCTACGAACCCAGAAGCGCGGGTGTGCTGGGTCTAGACATTGGCACGGGCGCAAGCTGCATCTACCCTCTACTCGGATGCACGCAAAGGCCATGGTCGTTCATCGCCACAGGTGAGTCCTCCCGCGCGATGTGACGAGCTGATACTGACCCTACAAGACATTGACCCCAAGAGTCTCGAATTCGCAGAGAGAAATGTCAAACGCAATGGCCTCGAAGCCAAGATCAAGGTGGTCCCGCGACAGCCCACGGACAAGCTCATTCCGCTGGACGACTTGGGCATCGACGCCATTGACTTTTGCATGACGAATCCGCCATTCTACACGTCAGACGAGCAAATGAGGAAGAGCGCCGAGGCCAAGGACAGACCGCCCTCGACAGCCTGCACTGGTGCGGCCGTGGAAATGGTCACCACAGGCGGCGAAGTTGGCTTCGTGAAGCGGATCATCGAGGAGTCCCTTGAGATGAAACACCGCGTGGGCTGGTACACGTCCATGGTCGGGTTTCTGGCAAGTGTCATCGCCATAGTGGAGGAGTTGCGGACGCACGGGATCCACAACTACGCCGTGACCGAGTTTGTGCAGGGCAACAAGACCAGGCGATGGGCCGTGGGCTGGAGTTTCCGGACCATGCGTCCGGCGCAGGCCATTGCTCGGGGGTCGGCTTCTGCTACGTTACGGGCATACCTCCCGCCCGTGTCGGAGGCAGATGTCGCGAGACTGGAGCTGGGCGGGTCTATAAGTAAAACGGCGAATGGTATTCGCGATGCCATCGGGGAACTCGACCTCATGCATTGGGTGTGGGACCAGCAGAAGATGCAAGGTACAGGGCGCGCCGCGGATAATGTGTGGAATCGGGCCTGGCGGCGGAAGAAGAAGAAGATGGAGATGGACGGTGAGACCATCGACGTGCGTGAGCGACAAGACGCGGCCTTTGGCTTCGAGGTCTGGATCCGGGTGGGTAAGCACGAGATGGTCGTGGGCTGTCGCTGGCTGGAGGGGCACGACGCGAAGCTTTTTGAGAGCTTTCAAGGGTTTCTGACGTCCGCTGCCAAGGCACAGGGAAGTCTGTTGAAGGTTCATAATAATAAGCCGAAGTGTTGACTGGAGTTCCGGGGTATCAATTTATCCGGCAGACGCTACGGCAAATGTCCATTGAACCCGGCTGCTATCAACCGTTGTCCGGCGTCCCACACCTCGCTTGGAATCCCCTGCTCAATCTGAAACCCCTTTTTCGGATACTCGCGAATTCGGATCAAGTCGCCTACCATGATGTTGATAATCAGGTCTTGCGGGTTCTGGTCATCGCAGTACTCGGGAAAGTCGTACTGCGGCGAGGTCACGCTGAACTCGACGTCTGAGCCAGGCCACTGCTTCTTGAAGGTGGCATATGTCCTCCTCTCCATGTACGGCTTCTGCACCAGAATGAAGCTCTTGACGTTGATCTGCCTCCTCGATAACAAATCGAATGTGAAACGCACATTTTCGCCTGTATTTGTCGACGCAGGCTCCACGAGTATGGCCCCGCTGGGGACGCCCATGTCCCGCGCAATCGCCGCAAACACCTCTGCTTCAGGCCCATCGAACCGGTCCACCGTGAGTTTCCCACTGCCTCCTGAGAAGATCACGAGGGGCGCCAGGCCGGCCAGGTAGAGCTCACTGGCCCGGATGGCGACGCGCGTATCGAGGCTGCAGAGACAGAAGATGGCGTCGGCAGGGCGCGGTGGGGTGGTGGACATGCGATGGTAATTGTACACCGCGGTGGCGTCTCGCAAAGCCTGGGGGTCCATGGTCAGAGGGTGGATACGTGCGATATGTTAAAATGTGACATGTTTCTTTTTTAGCATGAGCTTTGTCAATAAAGCAATGCCAAGACGACGTTCTTGACTCAGCGCTCGCGCGGATACGTACATCCTTGCCCTTGGTCAGAAATGACCGATGCTGACGAAGCGCACAAAAGCCAGGGGTGTTGCATAGGTGCATGGATATTGAACAACCCGGAGCTGGGATTTATCAAGGTTGCATAATAAATTTGCTGTTTGTAAATTTTGAGTGTCATCGAGTTAACAGTATAGCCGAAGGCTGTTTGCACTACCCTACTGCTCAATCTGTTTTCACCTAGCTGCTTTGATAAGGGTGGTTCCAAATAACCGAAAATGAATTTGCGCAAAGTCGCAAGACTTTCTCCCACATGGCGAATTACTCTTTGGGGGAAGGAGCCCGCAGGCGCAATGTGAGAATCGCGAGGTTTAGGGTAGGTCATACTCTTGGCCGCGTCCTGGCCCCAAACGTCCATCTCTGTGACAGCCTGGTCTCTTGAACCTGAGTAATGGGCTTCACGTAATCGCCAATGGCAGGATTGACCGTCTAGATGCTGCTGCTATTGCTCAGTTTCCCCGCGAATTCCGCGCCATTCCCCGCAAACCTGCCTCCCCCAACATCGCAGCCATGGCCTGCCCTGCCCGAACCTACCCTCTCAACAGGCCCGACGGTCACCAGCCGCCGGTGCCTAGATGGCATCTCCGGTTTGATGAAGATGTCCAGAAAGCCCACATACTCTATTTCGGCGTCCAACAAGCCAGTGACTCTCCTGGACTCCGGGCTGAGGCCAAAGCCATTGTGCAGACCGTCCGAGACCGGATCTCGGATTTCGGATCACATCCGTCACCAGCAGCTGTGGAGGAGTTCGAGGTCATCGACGCAAAGTCCAGCAATCGATCGCATGTGACCGTGGCATACTGGACAGATGAAGAAGCTTATCGGAAGTTGCTGGACTCCTTGGCACTGTCAGAGATTCATAGCAATGTGCCGGCCGAACATCGCTCCCAGTTTGGCCTTTGGCTCGAGACCTTCTCTCTGCCCGTGACTCGGCTGGAGACCAACTACTCTAGCTTGGACTATCTACCAGGGTTGGCTCGTCTGCAGAAGAGTTACACGGAGGATCACACGCTTACTGCCTACTGGGGTGCGGCGCGCGACCGGATTGCTGCTTCGGCGCACGATCTCTTTTCGCCCGACGAGACATCCCCAAAGAAAGTCGTCGAGAAGGGAGCCCATGTCAAGGGCACCAATGCGAATAATCTCGTCCATATACGGACAGGGCAGTTTTGGCACAACTGCGATGAGCAGGAGGCAGAGGCGTACGAGAAGAAGCTCGAACCTACCCTCGAGAAAGGGCTAGACTACCTCCGCGAGACGCCATCAGCAGGCGCCATGGGTCTGCGCTACCTGCGAAACACCGTCCCTGGCCATGACAGCAGCGCCCTTCGCAAGGAGACGTGCGTGACGTGTTTTTTCACCAGCCTCGACAAGCTCGAGGGCTGGGCCAAGAGTCACAAGTCGCATCTGGCCATCTACAACGGCGCGATGAGGCATGCTAAGATGTTTGGCGCGGAGAGGAAGTTTCGCACGTGGCACGAGGTAGTGGTCCTGAAAAGGGGCGAGGCAAGGTTTGAGTATCTGAATTGTGAAGCCGAGGAGGGGATGATGGCTTTTGCTAGGGACGAGCAACTCGAATGTGAGCGATGATATCAATGTTACTATTACAGCATGGAACAAAGGATTATATGAAAACCCATGTCAAATCGTCAACTTGCCGCTCATCAAGTTGTGACTAAGACCTTGACATGTTCACGCCTCCACGAGGGATTTAGCGCTACAAGTACAAGTACAGACCGGCCCCGCGCCGACCACGGCGCGCTGAGTGATCTACGTCGAGATAACAACTTGGACTTGGAGTCACAACGCTTCGGGTGATTAAGAACGCTTATCACCATATCTCTAGCCTCAAAATCTCCCACTTTCAAGTACGCCAGATCCCTAGAACCCCTTATCACCACTATCCCCAGCCTCACAAGTTCCAACCCCAAGGGCCAAAATGACAGTCGATCATCAACTGCCCATCCCGCCGGGCGATCCGGTTCCGCCCCGCGAGGTGCCCTTCCCACCTCACGCACCGGTCAAAGGCTCATACGCAAAACTGGTTCCGTTGCATCTTGACCACACACCTTCCCTCTTCAAGCACATCGGTGGCCAGAACAACGCTGCCCTCTGGACATTCATACCCCTTGAGCCTCCTCTGGCCCCTCCCTTGACGGAAGCAGACGCAGAGGCCCTCGTGCGAAAATGGACGGCGTCCAAAGACCCCCAGTACTATGCCGTGGAGGATGAGAATGGCGAGGCTCTCGGTCTTGTCTCCTACTTGAGCATTGTGCCGACGCATCGTCGCATCGAGATTGGCTGGGTCATTCTAGGCAAGGCGCTCCAAAGAACGAGGATCGCGACGGAGACGTTCTATCTGCTGATGAAGAGAGCCTTTGAGCTGGGGTATCAGCGTGTCGAGTGGAAGGCCAATTCACTGAATAAACCCAGTCTGGCGGCTGCCGAGCGGTTGGGCTTTACGTATGAGGGGCTGTTCAGGTACGTGGAGAGTCCTTTTTGAACAAGTCTTGTGACTAATCATGAAATAGGAAGCATGTGATTTCAAGCGGTGTCAGGAGAGATACGTCCTGGTATAGCATCATCGACGATGAGTGGTCGGCGGCGCAGAAGGGGTTCGAAGCATGGCTGGATCAAGGCAACTTTGACCAAGAGGGCAAGCAAAGACGAGGTCTCAAGGAATGTCGCGAGGCGTAACTGGATGGGGAGAATATGTCGGCATCCGAGATTACAGAATGCGTCAGTCACCATGGGATGCTTGCCTGTCTCATCTACTGCAGATATCCGTCAATCAAAAATCCACCATCCCTCCAGCGATACCGACAAAATTCTCCTTCATGGTTGCCACAATCTATTCCAAAAGTTGACTCCTAACCCAAAAACACGTGTCCAGAGAACAACAAGACTCAGAACACCACGACTCCTCCCCCTACAACTCTTCTTCCTCCTCATACTCGTCCTCCCCCAGAGCCTCCGCCTTGCCCTTGCCCTTGCCATTGTTCGCCCTATGCTTCGCCGCCTGAGCAAAGTCCCGACCCTTCTTCAGATTACATCGCTGATTGTCAATCTTTTGGTTCAACTCCGCCATAGGGTTGTTGGCCACGCGTCGAATCCACCCGTCACCCAGCGTCATGACGCTCTTGAGGACCTGCTTGGAGATACGCAACACATAGGCCACGGCAATGATCCGACGCTCAAACGACACGTGGCTCTCCTAGGCGCCATCGTTCGTCGTCCAGTGCACACACCCCGCGCGCCCCTGCTGGCTCTCCACGGCGGCCTGCACGAGCTGCCACGACAGACACTCGGCCACGAGGGCGTTGCAGCCGCGTCCCAGGAGGTGCTTGTGCTGCTCGTCGAGGCGGGGCAAGACAATGTCGTCGGGGGGAATGAGGTCCGGGGTCTCGAGCGCGTTGGCGGTCGTCGGGATGCCGGAGTTGGGTTTCTTCTTGAGTGCCTCGTGCGCCTCGATCTTGGCCACGAGCTCGGCGCTGCGTTTCTGCTTGGTCTCGCGGGGCACGCACTGCATCCACTCGATATAGCGCGTCCAGTCGAGGATGGCGTTTTTGATGAGGCCCACGTAGTGGATGTAGTCCTCTTCCGACTGGGGAAACGTCTTGTCTGCGTTACGGTCGTCGTCGAGGGCGCCGCAGGGGAAGCTGCATTCCTGCGTGCGCTTCCAGTACATCTCCTGCAGACGGGCCAGGTTGGCGTTGAAGTCGGCGGGAGACTCGAAAGTGACGGGGCACGGGTTGGGCACGACGCCCGCGTTGATGTGCTGGAGCAGTGTATCGGATTTGGGGTCTTTGTGGCCATGGTAGATCTTGGGCTTCTTCAACCGATTGATGGCTTGCGGCACCTCGTTGAGATCAAAAGACGCTTTGCGCTTGGGTCGGCGGGAAGGTCCCGCAGAAGGGGTATCAGAAGGGGGCCCAGAAGGGGGATTCATGGATTCACCCCCGACGGTCGATGGGCTGTAGCATGTACTGCGCTGGTTGTCCTGGTCGCAAGGAGGCAGCGCATCCGCAATCGTCGTTGTGGCTTCATGTCCTTGCGGAAAGTGTTCTCCTTGGCCTAAACAGTACTGGTTTATAATGAATAGTCGATTGGCCTCAAGGCATTCCATCTGGGGGTCAGTGTACGTCCAGGGGCCAGGAAACTGCTGGGGCTGCGTTTCGTTGACGTGGTGGCTATCCAAAGTTGGCGGACCTTGGCCATCTCGACAGGCGTTGTCCGACTCCCACCACGCGGGATCGTCTATGGGGAAACGGATTTCTTTCGGGGCAAAATTCTCCGGATGCAAAGTCTGGTTCGGAGCATCAAAGGTGATCAGCGGCTCCATGAAAGCCACATTGTCCAAGTCGGAGTCTTGTGCCATTTCTTTCTTGAGGTCCTCTAGCCACGTGGGGAAATCGGGCGGTGCGGAGAAATCGAAGCTTCCCAGGCTGCTCCAATCATCGACTTGCTGGAAAAATTCGATGTCGTCGTCGAAAGAAGGATTGTTGACTTGCTGGCTACCGTCGTCGTAGGGCTGGCGATGATTGTCCATGGGTAGCCGTAAGGATAGGGGTCTGGTTGGTTTCGCAAAAGACAGGCAGAGTGGCCAAGAAAAGTTGGAACTGACAGTCTCCCACCTAATGATAGTGATAACGAATGGCAGATTTGTAATGAGGGTTTAGAAAGATGCGAACGACTTGGCCATCCGCGCGAAGTGTATAAGTGCCTCCCAGCCCAAGCGGCGTGGTGACCTGCTCTTCCTCGAGTGAAGTCTGAACAGCGCTCTCACTCGCTTCCCATGGAGTTTCCCTTGGTCTCTGCCATTCACGCCACCACAAGTATGTACACATTCTGTTCGATTGACAAGGCTATTGTAGCTGTATGTTTGCCGAGTATGTGTGGTGCGAACAACGTGTCGTAGCGAAATGGTTTGCGGGACAAAGACCAAGTTCCGCGGGGAACGCCTCCTGGCTTCCGGGCTTTGTTGACAGTTCATGTTCATTCTCGATTGTGCCTTTGCGCTGGAAAGATGGTTCTCGAGCTCGGCTCGTTCCGAAACGTGGCAGCGTCACTCTGCGAATCGGAAAGCAGCGGCAGCGGAATCGACGTGGCAGGGAGGGTCTATCAGGTTGAGCTGGGGCGACATGTGATGCACAAGCCATGCGTAGTTCAGGTTAGGTGCATGTGGATGTTCACTTTGGGGTCTAACAATATTATTGTGCCCACGTGTCAGTCATTGAACCATGCTTGGAGTGGTATTCTACTGCCCAAGGGGGAGCGCCAGTTGACGAGACCAGACCCTAGACTCCATATAATACGCAGTACTTAACAAGTTCTTAGCCAGTGCCCAGCCTGCGCGAGCGACCCAAGATTCCGCCCACCCTGCGGTCAGCCGCGGCTCAGAGCCTCAAACGCGGAATTGTCGTGATGCATGCTTCAGCCGTTCCATTTCCACCCCGGATTCTCTGGATTGATTACCCCACACACATTCCCAAGCGGCCGCTTGTTCTAGAATCCTTCGCAGAGCTGGACAAATACAGCCGCCTTCACAGCCATGCTCTTCGATGCTCTGCGAGCCAACTATAGCCTCCAGTCATCACCGTCACTTCACCAGAATGGGCGTCAGGCTGGTGACTGTTGCGTCGGATCCGATAGCGGACCGGCAATCGGCGTGTCTTGGCTCAGTGGAGGGGTCCACTCTGCGATGACAAAAATCGAAGTCATGGAATGCCAGGGCTGGCAAGCGCTTCATCTCTTTGTCTTGCAAAGGCATGCAGTAAAACAAGCGATAGCCTCACATCTTCTGGAAACATCAAGAGGACTTCTTGTGGCCTCTCTGCTTCTCATTCAAGATGCTTGGGCTGGCCTTTGACTTTCCCTCTCCCGCATCTAATGCCGACCGTCGATCGGACAGCTAGCCCCGTAAGTACTAGCGCTGTGGGTTTTGGAGGTCACCATGCGGGGTACTTGCCTGATCGTGCTGAAAAAAAGCCGAATGGATCGTCGGCCTCACGAGTTTCCGCCAGCTCTGGCAGTCGCGACGCGTGACGCAGGAAGGGGCCATGACCCGAAGCGTGCGCACCGTCGCTTATTCATTGCTGCAGGAGGACTTGGACCGCGGCTTCCCTCCTCGTAGCTCAGGTGAGCTGCATACCGTGTGGGGAACGTTGCTGATCTGCTGCGTCCGTCATGTCTGAGGATTTAAATTGCGTCGTCCGGCCTCCCACTTTTGCGATCTCAGCTTCTTCTCAGTCTCTGCGAGTCTGCAACCATATCCACTCCACCGAGCCCTGCGATCTCGCCTGTCCGATCTCGGCAGCATTTCACGGGAAGAAAAAGGCGTTGGCTGCTGTTTTCGCCGTGTCGCGTGCACCAAAGCAACACACATTCTCCGCAGTCTCTCACCAAGTGACCAACGACCGTCATGTTTGGCTTTGGCGACAAGGACAAGACCGAGGCGGCGGGCCACCACAGCCACAGCGTGGACGAGACGCCCTCCAAGGCTGTGCACGACAATGCGGCGACCAACGACGCCAGCCTGGTCTGCCCGCCGCACACGACGGAGCGCAAGCTCCTGTGGAAGATTGACTACCACGTCGTGCCGTTCCTGTGCATCATGTACCTCTTGGCCTTTCTTGGTGAGTGCGATCCGCGACGATCCGTAGCAGACAGAACAGAATCTAACCGTGACAGACCGCGTCAACATTGCCAATGCCAACATCTTTGGCCTGACCGAAGAGCTCGGCCTCGAGAGCCACCAGTACAACACGGCGCTCGTCATCTTCTTCGTGCCGTACTGCCTGCTCGAGATCCCGTCCAACATTCTGCTGAAAAAGTTCAAGCCGTCCGTGTGGCTGTCGATCAACATGTTCTGCTTCGGCCTCGTGACGCTCCTGCAGGGCTTTGTGCAGAACTACTCGGGCCTGCTGGCGACGCGCTTCTTCCTGGGCGTCTTCGAGACGGGCATGTTCCCGGGCGCCTTCTACCTGATCGGCATGTGGTACCGCCGCCACGAAGCCCAGCGCCGGTACTCCTTCTTCTTCAACAGCACGACGCTGGCCGGTGCTTTTGGCGGCCTCCTCGCCGCGGCCATTGGCAAGATGGACGGGCTGCGCGGGTACCAGGGCTGGCGCTGGATCTTCATCATCGAGGGCGGGTTCACGGTCCTCGTCAGCTTCTTCTTCTTCTTCTTGCTGCCCAACTTCCCTGAAGAGTCCAAGTGGCTCAAGAACGGCGAGAGGGAGTACGTGTCGGCGCGCCTGCGCATCGACCAGGGCCCGGCCGGGCGCGACCGCAGCATCACCGTCCGAGACGTGGGGCGCGTGTTCAAGGACTACAAGGTGATTGTGGGCGGCTTCATGTACTTTGGCCTCATCGTGCCGGCATACGGGTACGCGTACTTCTCGCCGGGCATCATCCAGGGCTACGGGTACGGTCGGATCCAGACGCAGCTGCACAGCGTGCCGCCGTGGGCCGTCTCCTTTGGCTTCTCCATGTGCATGGCGCTGCTGTCGGACAAGACGCGCCACCGCTTCGCCTTTGCCGTCACGGCCATCTGCATCTGCATCATCGGCTTCGCCATCCTCATCGCCGTGCACGACAACACCAAGCTGCAGTACGCCGCGCTGTTCCTCGTCGCCTCGGGCGCCTACACGGCCATGCCCATCATCGTCTGCTGGTTCAATATGAACCTCGGCGGCCACCACCGCCGCTCGGTCGGCTCCGCGTGGCAGGTGGGCTTTGGCAACATTGGCGGCATCATCGCCTCGTTTGCCTTTCTGAAAAAGGACGCGCCCAAGTACATCCCGGGTTACAGCATCTCGATCGCCTTTACGATCCTGAGTATTATCGCGTGCATCATCTACGGCTTTGCGTGCTGGTCCCAGAACAAGAAGAAGGACCGGGAGCAGGGCAACGAGCACGGGCTCACGGAGGAGGAGAAGACGGATATGGGTGATTTGTCGCCCGACTACCGGTACCTGCTGTAGGGACCCTGAACAGGTCACTGAGTGCACGCAATGTATTGGACATAAGTTGACAATGTTAAATTGTGTCATTAATTGATATATCAAGTGGTATCGTGTGTTAAATCATTTCGCTTGCCTTGAAAATGCTCCTTGACTCCTCCTCTATGCGTTTCCCCCTACAAGTCCTCCGTGACGCCGCCCGTGCTGGACGTCTCATGCAGAGGCCTGTGCACAAAGACCTGCCTCTCCCAGCCGTCAATGGGATCGATCTGGGCCTCGCGCACGAGCTTGTAGCCGCCGAGCCGCGGCAGGACCTTGGACCAGATGACCCAGTAGACGCCGCCGAGCCCAAATACGCCCCAGGTGACGACGTTGTGTGTCCAGTATGGCATGCTCTTGTAGATGCTCTGTCCGTCTTCCGGGGGCGCATAGGGGGCGCAGACGAGGAAGAGGTTGCTGAGGAGGAAGAAGATGACGACGGGCAGGGTGGCCTTGACAGGGGGGTTCCAGCCGTTGGAGGGACGGTGGAGGTAGAGCCAGATAAGGCCAATGGCGACAAAAGTGTTGACAATGGCGAGCGGGTAGGAGATGAGGTTGAGGACAAAGTTGTAGGCGTCGCCGGGCGGGGGCGCGACAATAGTGATGACGCAGATGAGCCAGTGCCAGAAAAGCCCAGCGAGGGGCGCATTGAAGGGCCGGTTGCTGGCCCAGAACCGAGCAAAGGGCAGGACGCCCTCGCGGCCGAGCTCCTGGACGAGACGGCCCTGGGAGAAGATGACGGAGAGGACGTTGCCAAAGGCGGAGAGGGAGACGAAGACGGAGAGGGCGCGCTCGGCGGCGGGGCCAAACATGTTGCGGAAGAGGGCGGCGGCGACGAGGCGCTCGCTGGCGATGATCTCGGCCTTGGGGACGCCGGCAAAGTAGGAGATGTTGACGAGCATGTAGAGGACGGAGACGCTGCCGATGGCGAGAGGCGCGGCGATCTTGAGGGTGCGGACGGGGTTCTTGGTCTCGCTGAGGGCGTAGTTGGCGTTGCTGTAGCCGACGTAGCTCCAGATGACGTTGTTGAGCGAGGTGACGACGCCGTAGGGGCTGCCCGAGGTGCCCTCAAAGGCGTTCTGGAGGTTGTCCGTCGTCTTGTCGAGCTTGGCGAGGGGGGCGACGATGATGATCAGGATGATGGCGAGCTTGATGGTGCCGAGCACGTTCTGGAGGAGGATTCCCCACTTCAGGGCGGTGCCGTGGATGACAAAGGCGATGGTGATACAGGCGATGCCGAGACCACGCCCGTTCCACTGCGTAGGCTCGACGCGGGCAGCGAGGAGGATGTACTCGCCAAAGACGACTGAGTTGCCGGCCGCCCAGCCGAGGAGGATAACGTAGCCGGCGTAGAGCGAGGTGGTGAGGAACTTGGGCTTGCGGAAGACGTACTCGAGAATGTTCTTCTCGCCGCCGTTCTTGGGGATGCCCGTGCCGAACTCGACGTAGACGGCGGTGCCGGCGGCGGCGATGAGACCGCCCACGAGCCACATGATGAGGGAGAGACCGACGGAGCCGCTGAGGGAGAGGATGGCGCTGGGCGTCGCGAAGATGCCCGTGCCGATGACGCGGTTGAAGATGAGGAAGGCGGCGGTGGTGATGCCAATGGTCCGCTTGGCCTCGCGCGCAGCCTCGAGGCGGCCTACTTCTGGGTTAGCATTGCCTCGATTCTTGGAAGAGCCGCACTCGCCATCCTCAATGTCGGTGCCGGCGCCAGTGCCGTCAGAGACGACCATGTCGTCCTTGTTCTCGCCGGACAGGCGTGAGGGGAGACTCATAATGGGCGTTAATGTGAAGATGAGGGATGTTGGGGTTGGAACAAGCCAGGCGTCGAGTGATACTATATATCAGAATATTCTGCTCAACGAGTCCAGTCGTTAGTCTCCATCGAAATTCTCCATCGAAATTCTCCAAGACCCGTAGACTAGGCTAGGCTAGAAGCACAATGGAACACACCATCGTGGCCGCCGCCGGGAGTGGGGCCCTGCCTCCGACCCGGGCCAAGGCGAGGACAGCTGGGAGCAGCGGTTGTTCTAGTCTTGGTAGTAGTCGCTGCTCTGGGAACAGCCTGAACCTTTTGACAACACCAAATATTGAAAGACGACCTGAATTTGATCCTCCTGTGAGCTCCCGTGCCTGCAAGAGCATTGAAGAGTGAAAAACTGCCCGGTATCCCGTCGGCCGGCAGCCCCGACTAGCCCCGATGACGCGATCGGGGCTGTGGAGCCAATCAGCGGCAGGCGGCTGTCCGAGATGGGGTCCAGCCTAAAATTCTTCACCGAGCCTCCTTTGCCTTACTGAATCAAGACTCTTGAGCCTTGACTCTTATATTTGCCCCTGGGGTCCCTTCCCCCTCTGCTGGAGGAGGCCCCCTGCTCCGGGTTGGGCCGGCTGGTGTGCGCAGGTTGGTTTCGGTGTGTCATGGAAACGCGCGGACGAAGCTTGTGTCTGGCTGCGCTGGGGGAGTTTAGCGATGGCATCATTTTGTGGGCGATGGCATGCTCGGTCGCTCGCGGTGGGGCGTTTGGCTGTGGTTTTGATGAGGAGTATGGCCGTCATCGGTTGGGCAAGCTGGACTGGACAAAGGCTGGCTCGTCATTGTAGGTGTATGCCCATATGACTAGCATGCCCTCTCAGCAGCCGACAAGCAGCGATGCATAAATAACCGACACGAGATGCAACAGATGCATCCCGGACAATCAAACCAGCATACTGAGGTTGCCTTGCCATGTTTGCTCGGCAGCCCAGTGACCACCGTCTCTTGGATGGAAACTTTGCAATCTGGCTGTGCGAAGTTTGATATGCTTGCAATGGCACTGCAACCCCGAGAGCCCCTAGGCTATCCACATGAGCTCCCAAGCCATCAGGGGCTAGATGAAGATTCCTTCATAACCGCCAAGCCCACCGAGTTGCTTGCTGCCAGTATCCTATGAGCACACAACCACTGCTGCAAGCATGTGCTCATTCGCCACACAATGCACCCCTTGACGTGCGATGTGAGATAAAAGCATTCTCACCCTGTTCACTAGTGTCGACTCTCGATTCTTCTAGCCCTCAGAGTGGCTTGTCTGCATCTAGCTGTCGGAATCCCCCTTTGACCATCATCAATACTGCGGGCTCATCCTCCTGAACAGTGCGGTCTTCCACATTGAAAAATGTTTGCCTCACGGGCTCCAGCGCTTGTTGAATCGTTCCCATTCAGGCGGCTTGTTTCTCATTGTAGTTCATGTGAAATTCTCAGCATAGAGTCAGATGGCTCAGTTCAAGCTCAGTCAGCGTTGCTCAAAGGGCGTCACCATGTCAGATGAACTTCAAGTCCCCCTCCCCCTCCCCCTCTGACATGGTATGATTATAGGAGGAAAGTAAAACCCAGAGTTTTCTTCAGCTCGCAGTGAGAACTAAGTCCTCTTCAGACTTTTCTCTTCATTGTTTACTATTCCCCTCCTGACCTCAATCGCGCCCAACAGAGCTCACAGCATTCATCATGTCCGACCACCAATGCCAACACCATGGCCACGACGCCACGCCCTTGAAATCTGTCCCAAACCCTTCGGGAGTGACCTCGATCATAACGACCGGAGACAAATGGTCCATGGCGACCGTGCACGGTGGCTCACGCGCCGCCGCGATGGCCCAACAGATGGTCGACAACTGCCCCAGAAACGAAGACGACGTATTCGTCGTGGTGACCTTTAACCTCACCGCTGTCGAAGGTCAAGCCCGCAAGGCCGCGGAGAAGAACAACCAGTCAACCGCCGAGGATGCTTTCTTGGAGATTGTGGTTCGGGATCTGGCTGGGAACTCTGAGGCATCGGGCAGGGACGGGCTCGTCGCTACTTTCAGAAAGATTGGCCGCGCAAAATCAGCTTCGAAAAATATCCCCAAGGAAAGCGAGGAAAGCGACGCGCCAATGACGGACAGCAGTGCGACGCCAGAGGGGAGCACAGTTGATCAAAAGGAGGCTCTGTCCCCCCGTGCAGTCGATGCCAATTCGAACGCACACAAGACACCACAACAGCAAGCCGGCCACTCATCTCGCGAGTCCAGCCCCGAGACGTCGGATGACGAGAGCACATCGTCGCGGGACATCGTTGACGTCCAGAAGCCTGCGTTGAAGGGTTTGCAGAGGCCAATGAGGGCGGACGATAAGGATTCTTACAGAATCCCGAAAAACGATGTCCCAAAGACTTCGGTGCCAGCCATTCGGAAAGAAACGCCAAGGAAGACTATCTTGCAAAGTTCGGCACGCTTCGACCCCAACTCGTTATTCCAATCCTGAATACTGGTGTAGTCGTCTTCCTTTGCGGTTGCAAGAACAACGCCTTTGGTTCCCAGGCTATGATATTTGGAAAAGGGGCTCAGCTAAGACACGGTTGGTCATGGACGAAGTTGTTGGTGATGATAGGGCTTGGGACAAAGCCACCGGGATCATCAAAGCAATATCGGATCTTCAATTACTAGAGACTAAAGAAGTGCGTCAAATGAACCTATTATAAGATTAGCATTCTAGCATCCATAGATGCGTCTGTTTCTTTGTATAAAACACTGACAACTTGATGTTTGGTCGTCTCTCGCTTCCACTTTATGCACAGGCAACGAAGAAGTTTTATGCACCAACAGACTGAATGCATAACCATGCAAAGGTCAGAAAACATACTGAAGGCTTGCGATGCCATTAATCGTAGATCTAACAGCGAGAAGGCACATGATAGGCGACTAAAGTCGAGTGTTGTGAACTGCAGGGTAGTCCAATGCAATGTTCACCAACAGGCCCATGCGGGAGTGTTTCATTGTCAACCCAACCGCATCCTGACCCGCGATCACCATGCACAATGCAAATTCAAAGCATTGTTCCCGAATCACTGGGTCAGTGCGGACCTGAGCATCCCATTTTCCTCACTCCCACGCCAAAACAAGAGGCAGCATCTCCTGGCCTCTGCGCCATGGGCGAACAGGGTCTCCGCTCACCGCCCGCCATGGAGACCCACATTAAGTGCAGTGGGTGCTCACTTTTTCCTCACCTCACCTTCAAGTTATCCACGCCCTTCAGATCACATACGCCTTGACACCACTGGCTCGACTGAAGGCTGGCGACACGTCACCATTGTTTTGATCTCATATAGACAGCTGCCTGTCCAACTCAAATTCGCAGTACAAGTACAACGCAGCATCGACGCTCAGCGAGGGCTTGGGGGCTGTGACTCATCAAGACTCATCAAGATCTCCTCACGACTGGTGAGACGCAACATCCAAGCCAACGGCTCTCGACAGTCCCATACGCTGTCCCAGCAGAACAGGAAGAATGGCGCGCGCTGGCATGGACGAGACGGAGCCTCTGCTCGGCCTGGCAACGACACTGTCCAACACGCTCCCCGCCACAGAAACCGCTGTCCCTGCGCACAACGACCTGGCGCTCGACTTTGACCCCAACGGCGACCCAGACAACCCGCGCGAGTGGCCCAGCCCCTTCAAATGGAGCATCACACTGCTCCTCACCGCGCTGGCGTTTACCGTGTACGTCTCCCTCATCGGCCCTACCTCGTTTATGTGACAAAGGCCACTTTCTGACTGTCCCAGCACATTCAACTGCATCTCGGTGGTGCCCATCGCCAACCGCATCGTCAGCGACCTGTCCCCCGATGGCCGTCCCGACAAGTACGCGAGCGTGCTGCTCGTCACCATCTGGGAGCTCGGCGAGGCAGCCGGTCCGCTCCTCATCGCGCCCCTCTCGGAGATCGTCGGTCGCTGGCCCGTCTTGAACGTCGCCAACACACTCTTTGTGCTGACGACGCTCCTCGCCGCGTCCGCTCCGACCGTCCCGTTGCTCATCGTCGCTCGCGCCCTCTCTGGCCTCGTCGTCGTCTCCAATGTGCTCAACCCGGCCATTGTGGGCGATATCTTTGACCCAGACCACCGCGGCTCGCCGCTGAGCCTAGTCGCCCTGTCGCCGCTCCTTGGGGGCGCAGCGGGGCCTGCTATTGGTGGTGCCATTGCTGAGACGCTGGGCTGGCGATGGGTGCTCTATATGGCTGCCATCTTCGTCGGCATCTGCCAGGTTCTTTTTCTAACCTGCTTTCGCGAGACATACAAGGTGGCCATCCTACGACGCCGTGCGCAGCGCAGGCAGCCCATGGACACCGAGGGCGCCACACCCAATCGGGAGAAGAAGGGGAAGCGCGGGGCGCTCGTCGAGTCCATCGTCCGGCCGTTCATCGTCTTTGGCTCGTCGGGCGTGCTCATGGCCCTGTCTCTCTTTGGGTCCGTCATCTTCTCACACTTTTACAACTTTGCCGTCACGCTGCCCGACATTTTCGAGGACCGGTACCATCTCTCGCCCGCCGTGACGGGGGGTTCCATGGTGTGCTTCAGCATCGGGTCGGCCGCGAGCGTCATGGTGTGCAACGTGACGCTGGACAGGATCTACGTGCGGATGAAGGCGGCTAACAACGGCGTGGGCCAGCCCGAGTTCCGTTTGCCGATGGTGATTGTGGGCGGGTTTGCGCTGCCCGTCATGGTGGCCGCCTACGGGTGGGCCGCGGAGTTGCTGGTGCCGCTGTGGGTTCTGCTCGTGCTCATGGGGCTGGTCGGGTTCGCGCTCATGCTGGCGTTTGTGCCCGTGTCGGCGTACGTGGTGGACGCGTTCGGTCTGTACGCGGCGAGCGCGATGACGGGGCTCATCGTGGCGCGGTGCCTGATGGGGACGTTTCTCCCGCTGGCGACGACGCCGCTGGTCCGGAACTATGGGTTCGGCTGGGGGTTCACGATCCTGGGGGCCGTCAGTCTGGGGCTGGCGCCGATTCCCGTGTTGGTGTTTCGGTACGGCGAGCGGTGGAGGCAGCTGTCCAGGTACACCAAGAGCAGTTGATGGGTGTTTTTGGCGTTGTCTTTTTGCGTGCATGGCCGCATGTAGTTATTGATTGTTGGAGTCCTGCTGATTGAAGACATTGCTTTCCGTGGCCGCCTCGGATCTGTCGTTCTCGCTCATTAACCTGTCTGCCTCGTCCATCCACCCCTCACCCAGTTCCTCGAGCGGGCCCTTGTCCCAAGACCTCTTCGCTTGTTCCTCGGCTCGGCGTGCATGCTTATGCGTTTTGACAATGTTGTAGATCGTATCCGGGTCGACGACGGCATCGGGCTGCTCCGCTGCCTCGATCCGCAGCATGCCAATAATGTCGCGCGTTCGCATGCCCCTGTCGCACATGGTGATGATCTGGTCCTTGCGCGCCTTGACCCAGGCATAGCGATTCCGGGTGAATGCCGTTCGGGGCAGTTCCTCGTGATTGTGCAGGTGCGAGTCCCGACCGCCGTAGGGTGTGATAAACCACCGACCAGGCCCGATGCCCTTGGGCAGGGGGTCCTTTGGCCAGAGGGGTGCGCAGCGCTTGATGGAGACGGCGAAGCGGCAGCCGATCCGCTGGGACTCCTGCTTGCGCTGCTTCCTGGGCTGGGCGTCGTCCTTGGACTGGCTGCGGTAGAGACGACCCTTGGCGCAGAGGACCTTGGCGTTGTTGAAGTTGGGGCCGGCGGGCCTCTTTGCGCCCTGGCGGCATTCAAAGACCTCGCCGGCGGCGGCGTAGGCAGCCTCGAAGGAGTCAAAAGACTGGGTGAAGAGCGCTTCCATATTGGGTGGTGGGCAAGCGATGCATTCGTCTGGTGGTGGCGGTGTTGAGGAGGAGGAAGAAATCAGACGCGTGGTTGCGAGTGCGACGCGCCATTCACGTGGCCGCGTTGCCCATGGCCACGTGAGTCGGTGTCCAGTAGGTAGAGGTGCTCTTCATGTCTTCTGGAGAGGATTTACTGTAAAACTTGGTCCGGGTGCTTCAAATAACCAAGAAGTCTTGAGAATAATTGCTATGAGCGAAAGAAGCTGACACGCATCCTGATTGCTGTTTCTCTTGGGGCCCTTTGGCGCAGCAGAGAGTGAGACGAGTCTCTCGACCGGGCTAGTCCACAGGGTAAGCTGGAGACGAGAGTGGACGATTCACCAGGGGCAGTTGCTGTTAGCAGCGCCCCCAGCTCCCGATGCCGTCACTAACAGCTCCCGCCAAGGCTTGGCGCAGCGTCGATCAATGCCGGTGCATACATCACTGCCGCCCCCGCGTTGCCAGTTCTTCCTCTACACAGCAGCTAACATGGTCAGCTCCCTGGGTTAAAGTGATCCCTCCAGTCCCTTGACGTCCTGACTTTGTTGCCTGCGTGGCTCAGACGGGACTGCGCTTCAATCACTGTCCTAGATCGTCGTCTCCCACGGGCCACACAGGCAGGCGACAGCTCGCTCGCTCGTATCTGCCGGCGACTGCCGATCCAGTGGCCAGCGTGACAGTCGCAACACGAGCCTTGGACCGCTGATCCCGTATCCCAGATTCATGCTTGGCTTCAGGTCTATGGTAAGGCTGAGCCTGGCGACGCTTGGCATACTACCCATCACCGCCAGAGCCACCACCATCCCCAACATACGAGACCCGTGCTACGTCATGCCATGTCATGCCACGCCGACAGGTGAGCAAGACCCAAGAAGAGCGTGAAGATAACCGAGGTCGAGTCAAGGATGATTCCTGTTTCTATTTGTGATGCGCGTCTTGCATGGCAGGGTGCCGCAGACAGCATGACGAGGCCCCAGTTGTAATCTCATGCTCAAAGACATTTAATCTCAGGGTCCCTGGACAACGCAATCCTGCTTGATCCTCCTGCACGCACCTCACCACGCCATCAGCAACCTTATTAATTCACATATATCTACATCAACTTACCATCTTCCTCTTACCCACCTACACCAACACATCAATCACCACCATGAACAGCATCATCACCCTCCTCCTCGCCGGCACCGCCGCCCTCGCCGCGCCCCTGCAACCCCAAGCAACCGCAACCAACGCAACCTGCCTCGAGCGCTCGCAGCAGCTTCAGCACTGGAACGTCGAAAAGTTCGACTTCCACTCGTCCTACATCTTCACCAACCCAGCCCACCAAAACTCCCACGGCTACGTCAACTTCACCCTCGCCAACCCAGCCCTCGACGAGACCGCCACCTGCACCGCCTCCTCCTCCCAGCTGTCCGAGTTCTTCTACGGTAACCAGGTCTTTAACTGCGACGTGCCCGCCTCTCTCGGCGGGCCCGCGACGTTTACGTATTCGCGCACCACGGGCGATCTCCAGATCAACCAGACCTGGACGTGTCCCGACGAGCAGGCGCGCTTCTCGGCCATGGGCGGCGTCACGCTCGACCTCCACTGCCGAGACGAGACGTGGCAGAACCCGGACTGGGAGCAGGGCCAGTTCTACTCGGTGCGGACGGTGACGTGCAACCACGTCGATGCGCAGGCGCCGATTCGGGAAATTAGCGGGATCCGCAGGAAGGTCTGATGTGTCTTGTCTTGTCTTCTCTTCTTGGTGGATATTTAATGGCGTTGCGGTAGATTATCTGGGTAATGAATACAATGACATGATTACACGTGCTGCGGCCTGCCGGTGAAACAAGTGCTGGCATTCACCCTCGCCAGTTTTCATGGCGACTCCGACCTCTACGAAAACTGGAATGCGTCCTCGACACGCCCAGACGCCCAGTCCATCAACCACGCATCAAGCTCGGGTCCCCACGCAATCGGCGCCCCGTCAACCCCATGCGACCCCTCGGGTACCTGACTAGGCGTCAGCGCGCCAACCTCCTCAAAAGTGCGCGCCCAGCCGGTGACAGCGCCCCTGATCATCTCGCCCCCGCGTGTGTACACATCATCCCCGTCCGTGACGAGCCCAGCAGCCGCCGGCACCGCCCCGTACAGCACCGCCGCGCGCTCCAACGTGCCGAGCAGGTCCACCGTCTGCAGGATCTGCGCGCGGTCCCAGCACGGGTCGTCCTGCAGGCAGAGCCGGTAGACAATGTGCGTCATGGCGCTGAAGTGCAGGTGGATCGGGCTCGCGTGGCCGGAGACCTGCGCGGGCGTAAAGGCGAGAAAGTTGTCCATGCAGCGCGCGGTGGCGGCGAGGCAGCTCGTCAGGGCGGTCGTGCGCGTCATGGCGATCCAGTTGTTGGTCAGGGAGGTGGGTGGCGTGTGCAGGGCGAGCTCGTAGATCATGGCCTCGACGGCGGACAGATGCGAGACGACGTACACTATATGTGTGTGAGGAATATGCATACTGACGAGGACACGGACGTACTGTTTTCAAGGACTTCAGGCGGCGTCACGCTCTTCATCGCCTCGAGGCTACTCCGGAGCGTCTTGACATGCACGGCCGGCGACGCGCCCGACGCCAGCGAGGCCTGGCACGCGGGTCTCGTCTCAGCAGGCCGCCACATGGACAGTGCGTTGACCTCCTCGAGGATGGTGGTGATGCGGGCGATGGCGACGAGGACGTGGTCCTGATCGCTCTCCGGCTGGGCCGCTAGCGCCTGGAGGCACGTCTCCATGTGTGGCGTCCAGCCAACGGCTGCCGTTTTGATGAACCACGAGAGACTGCTGGTCAGCGGGCTTTTTTTGAATAGGACATGAATGTGACTGACCACGCGCACATGATGTAGCAGCCCAACACGGCACGCCTCTCCACGTTGGTCCAGGCGACTTCGAGCACCGCCTTCTTCACGGGGCAGCCGTAGGCTTTACTGGGCTCCAGCTCACGGCACGGCAGCTCGGTGGCATGTCTGTCCAGGCGCAGGTCGAACATCATGCTGCGGGCCAGGTTGCCAAAGACGTTGAGCGTCGGTTTGCCGCGGAATTTGCTGTGCAGCCTGCGGGCAGTCAGTGCAAGTCCTTCAGCGACAGGGCATCTTCGTACCAGCTCACGTAGCCTATGAGGCCCAGGAGGTGGTCCATGTCGCGTTCGAGGTCGATGAGGAGGGCCTGCGCCGTCTCTTGTCGAATCTCGCGCTCCAACTGCATCTGCTCCGTCGTCGAGCTGGCGCAGGTGGCCTGCATCACCCGCCATAGGAAGGGATAGTCCCGCTGCAGGTCAGCTGGTGTTGTGTGCTCTGGGATATGGAAGTATGGGAAGGAGGGTAGGTGATTCTGGCGGAACATGCGTAGGCAACGTGCGTCGTCTTCATCCGTATCCATGTCCCTGCGAGGCGCACCGCAGACGGGAGGGACAGCATATTGTCGCTGCTTCTCGGAGCTTCTCGGGCCTCCAGCTTTGTAAGAGGTATTCTCTGACTGCTCAGACCCGTGGAGCGACGCGTAATCCGACGTTGGTTGGCTGTGAGAATGCGTTGTCTGCTGCTGCTGGCCCTGCTGGGAGAGCAAGCTCACGAGTGAGTCCAGCTTCTCCTCCAGCTTGGCTGTCCGCCCCTTGGGTGCGCGGTTCGCCCTCTTGCGTACCACGGGGGCCGGGACACAGTCCTTTTGCAGTCGTTGGCAGCGTTCACAGGTGCGACTGTTGCTGGGCTGAGGTTGGAGGACACACTTGCACTTGGCCCTGACGCAGCCGGCGCACGCTTTTCCGTAGGGCGCTGATTCCTTGACGACGTCTGCTTGTCCTGCAGCGGCGGAGTTCATGCTAGCCATTGAAGTATTTGCTTTGCTTTGCTTTGTTGCATGTCGCAGCGCTGATGGATGGACAATCGACGTCTATCAGATGCGCGACGGCGGATTTGACGCGCAACAGGGATAGAATCCCGCCGATGGGCGACTGGAGCGACAGCCGTATTATCCCGACATCCTGGCGGCGGAGTTTTCTCTTCCTCCTGCAGCACAGCGTGAGTCACCCTGTCCTGTCGTATGATGAATGCTGCTGCTTACTGACGAGCCCAGCCAAGTGACCTGATCTCGGATGAAAAGATGAGACCGAGAACCCGATGAGTTGCAAAGCATCAACGCAGAGACGCTGCGTGCTGTCGTGGTCAGCGTCAGACTGCATCGTGAGTGTGTGGCTGATGGTCGAGGACTTGAGGCAGACGAAGATGCGCTCTGTCGCTCTCGAGTGAAGCTGTGAAGCTGTGAAGCTGTGAAGCTGTGAAGCTGTGAAGCTGTGAAGCTGTGAAGCTGTGAAGCTGTGAAGCAGCATCGCGAGACTAACGGGCGGGTCGAATTGAATTGAATGCAGACGAGACCCTGATCGACAGACGCCATCAAGCGAACACATTAATTAACATTGCTTCTCCATCAACGCCCTCATCGGCAGCCCTACAGGGTACGGCAAGTTGGCAACTAAACTAAAGTCCGCTTCTGGGCGCCCGCTTACCGGCACGCTCCACGACGCGCGCCATCCATGTTTTAATTAATCAATTCGAATGCCCATAATTGATGAATCCCGCCTTTCTGGCGGACTGTCGCGACGCTGCTTAAGTCCGCCGTAACACCGCAGGGGTGTCAATCAGGACAAGATCTGACATTCTTACTCTATATCAATCACTGCAGGACCACCTCCTCCCCTTCTACTCACAATGGACTCGTCGCCCGGCAAAACAACCGCCTCTCCCCATCATGGCGCCCCAGGAGATGCTCGAGAAGACGGCCTCGGCCACGCCCACCGCTGAGCGCGCTGACACAACACCCCCTAGCACGGGGGGCACCGACGCGACCACATCAGCGACGACAGATCACCAACAGGAAGGCCATGCCGCCGTCCACAAGACAGACACCAACCTCTCCTACTCGCGACGCTTCCTCACCGGCTGGCCCCTCTTCATGGTCATCGCCGGCGTCTCCGTCGTCGTCGTCCTCACCCTCCTCGACCTCGCCATCATCGGCACCGCCATCCCCCAGATCACCAGCGACTTCAACCGCCTCGGCGACGTCGGCTGGTACATCAGCGCCTACACCCTCGGCAACGCCGCCATACAGCCCCTCTCCGGCAAGATGTTCACCTACTTTCACCTCAAGTGGACCTTTCTCCTCTTCTTTCTTGTTTTTGAGATTGGCAGCGCCATCTGCGGCGCCGCCACCTCGAGCGCCATGCTCATCGCTGGACGCGCCGTCGCCGGTATAGGCGGCAGCGGCCTCGTCAACGGCGGTCTCACCATCATCATGGCCGCCGCTAAGCCGGAGCGCATGCCCCTCTACACGGGTCTCGTCATGGGCGTTGGGCAGGTCGGCATCGTCGCGGGGCCTCTTTTGGGTGGCGCCCTCACACAGCACGCCAGCTGGCGCTGGTGCTTCTACATCAACCTACCCCTGGGTGCCGTCGCGGGTGCTCTCATGGCCTTTGTCAACGTGCCCGAGCAGAGAGCCAAGGACCCTTTCAGTCTCGCCCTCGTCCGCCGACTCATCCCCATCTTCGACCTCCCTGGTTTCGCCCTCCTGGCTAGCGCCACCGTCATGCTGCTCCTGGCCCTGCAGTTTGGCGCTGAGTCGTATGGCTGGAGCGCTCCCACCGTCATCGGCCTCTTTGTCGGTGCCGGCGTGGGCTATATCGTCTTCGCCCTCTGGGAGTGGCGTCTCGGCGAGGACGCCATGATCCCGGTCTCCATCCTCACCAGCCGCGTCGTCTGGTGCGCAGGCCTCTACATGGGCTTCCTCATGTCCTCGGTCATTGTCGGCACCAACTTCATCCCCATCTACCTGCAGAGCGTCAAGGGCCTGTCCCCGACCATGAGCGGCGTCTACATGATGGCCACCGTCGGCGCCCAGGTCATCCTCATTGTTCTGAGTGGCGCCCTCGTCAACAAGTCCGGCTACTACATCCCCTGGGCCCTGCTCGCCGCAGGAGGCACCATGATCGCCTCGGGTCTTGTTTCAACCTGGTCCCGCACCACCGCCGTCGGCCCCATCATCGGCTACCTCCTCGTCATGGGCCTGCGTGGCACCGGCTTCCAGATGCCCGTCATCGCTGTGCGTATGGCCGTTTCCTCCGCTCAGATCGCCATGGGCACCTCCTTTATCGTTTTTGGGCAGAACTTTATGGGCTCCATCTTCACCACCGTCGCCAACGCCATCTTTCAGGAGACGCTGACCACGCACATTGGCCACATCAAGGGCGTCAGCCCCGAGGCCGCCATCGCAGCGGGTGGTAGTGCGGACGCTGTGCGTGCGCTGGCACCGCCTGGTCCGACGAGGAATGCCATACTGGATGCGTACGCGGATGCTATTAGCGATGTATTTCTGTTGCTCATCGCGACGGCGGGCGCTGCCTTTGTCGTGGCGTTTGGGATGGGTTGGTATGATCTGCGGCCGAAGAAGGAGGCCGAGGAGGAGACTAAGGAGGAGCCGCAGCAGACAGCAGACGTGTAAGATACGTAGATATGCATCTTTTCTTTTCTCAGCACTGGTATAATAGACGACATTCCCCTCTCTTGGCACAGGTGGACATGCATACCATAATACATTGTACTCCATCATCTATGACCAAACATATAATTCAGGAATAACGTCGAGAAATTATAGGTATTTCAGCTCTTATACTAAATAATATGTATATTTACCCAAGAAATCGCTTTTCTAAGCTTAAGGCTCCGGGTAAGTAACTTTTTATTCTCGCGACCGGTATTTTCTTAAGCGCGGTAGGCGCCTAGAGGTTCTTTATTAATGTCCGCTATAAATACGATATTACCTTAATACTATATTAATAGATTATCGCGGACTAGGGGGCTTATCATTACTTATTCGCGGTAGTACCTCTAGGCGCAGGGAAGAAGATCGCGGATAATCCAGTAATCTTTAGGGTAGGCAAATAGATAAATGAGTGACTCGATTCAGAACTATCTAATAGTGAATGAGGACCTATAATTATAGGCGTGAGGGCGCTGTAATGCCCTGTAGAAGAGTGGGTCTTAGCGAACCCCACCAAACCTTATGGAAGTTTTGATTTGTAGTAGTGAGTGTGGTATTGTGTTACGGTTCTACCAGTTGCTTGCGGCTGGGTACGAGACCCACACCGGACCACCTAAACACGTGGTGCGAGCCCTCGAGCGCCTCGCAGCGTGTTCATAGGAAAAAGGCCAGCAATTTCCTTATTCTTTTCCTTTTCCTACCTTATTGTTAGATAGACTCAATCTGAGCTACCAACTTATTCTAATAGGGCCTAGCCCATAACATAGGGTAAGCTTTACTAGAGCTTACTTACTTTATACCCTCCCCTAGAGTATACTAGGTATATCTATAGAGTATAGCTAAAGACTACTATATAATTGATTTAGCTATTATATATTCCTATACTTAATTACCTTCTTTATTATATAATATTAATTATATAGTTTAATTATATTTTAAATATATTTCTTATATTCTTACTTACTATATCTCTCTTTTATCAAAAGAATAAGTCCTTTACCTAGATAGATAACTAGTAACCTTTTTTATATATTAATTAATTAATTATGAATTAATTAGTTCTATATTATCCTTTATTAAATACTACGAAATACTTGCTAGCTATGATATGTTTCTATAGACCTTAAGAATAGCTATAGAAATCATAAGACTTTAGTAGAGATACTTCTATATGCACACAATAGTCCTTAAGCAGCTAGGTAGAGATACTTCTAATGCATGTCACTCAATTGAGACAATAGGATCATGGCGAGGCCTGCAGCTATAACGCCTATGGAGGACAACCAATAGTGTCCGACCTCATGACCTTTCACGATCAAAAAGTGCTTTATTCCAATCCTGTTTCGCTATTATATTATTCCTGTGGAAAAAGGTGCTCGGCCATTATAAAACTGCTTGGGTGGAGGCGCTTTTGGTTTGTTCCTGGGCCGATCAATGAGGGAGCATCATAGGATACAACATGCTAAGAAGAAAGCTATAGGTGAACTAGCATGTTTAAGGGTGGCATAGGTATCGTGGAGTCCACTTCAGGCAGAGCGAAGCGCACCTCACGACGGCAGCAAGAGAACAGAACGAATTCAAGAATCGTCTACCGCCATGCAGTCGTGGAATGGACCAAGTGTAACGCTCACATTGAAGCCCGGGTCCTCCTCCTCAACTAGTGACCGCAAATCTCGCCGGCGGAGGGTTTGAAAATCAACATCAGATGGGGGCGACAATGGCGGTACCGGAAGTCTTCTCTATGCACGGTGCATACTGGTTGGCGTTGGCTGGCCTGGCCTTGTGAAACTAGGGCTACGACGAGGGCGTGGTGTTCAGGATTGGCGATACCAAAACTCTGCTCATTCTAGCGATTGCGATAGAACATATTGGACGGAAGCATGCCACTCGCATCTTCTTCCTTGATCCTGATCCCCAGCCCTTACAATTTCGTGCTCCTAGCTTGATGAACAGACTGAATGTGGCATATGTCCAACGTACGGCAAGCTGTGAAAGCCTGCGTCAGCGCAATCGTATGCACGTACATGGCGCATAAAATCGACACATGGAAGATCTGATGTGAGCTGAACCAGATGTCGAAATGGCCTGGTGCAAAGCGCTCAGGGATTCGGAACTGCACTCCTAGGTCAGAGATGGCTCCCTCAACATGGAAAGGTCGGGAAGAAGGGAAAACAAGATGATCGTACTGCATAAAGGCCGCAGCCCCCTCCGTACAGAAGGAGCTCGACAAGGTACCATTTCATGCCCGAATACTCGAGCATATATTCTAGCCCATAGATCTGTACGCCGTGCAGCAAGGGGATAAAGGCGGACGCACCGAGCGCTACGTAGGCGCCAACCCTCACCTTACGCCACCGCAACGTTCTGAACTTGGGTATGGAGATGAGAGCCGCTGTGGCAAATCCGCAAAATACAACCTAACGACCAGATTAGCATGCTTCGAAGACTTGTCACCCACTCACAACCGAGGGTGTGTCTAAATGGCCGGGGTGGCAAACAATAGTCCAATGAATCTTCTGCAGAATTGGTTCACAGTTGAATATATAGTAGATCCCAGGGATGAAAGTGCCAACGGTGACGATGACGATCCCTAGCAAATCCATCCGGTGCCAGAATTGTTCCACCTCGTGTGAGTGACTTCCGATGAGATGGTACACAGCGCTGAAAATCAGGCAGCTCTCGGCGGAACCGAAGAAGACACTGAACATGATAAAATCGGTTCTTGTGACGTCAATGTACTGTGGCCCATAGATGGTTCGGAGAATGGCGGTCGCAAAGAGTGGCAGCAGCACAGCGCCGATCAAATGGGTGTACACGTTGCAGGTCTCATTGTGCAAGAAAGTGAGACTTTTGATGACTTGTAGATAGTCTGCTTCCAACGGGCGATAGCCGGCGAGGATGTACTTGTTGTCTTGCCGCCACTCGGGAATATCGTGCCACGTGACGGTCCGGGGTGTAGGTGATGGATTGGCCATGGGCTGCTTTGCGCCGTCTCGGTCCCCAGGCTGCCCGCGGCGTAGTTTAATAGTCTCTGGCTCGGTCATAATGACTGCGCGCAGTTGTCCGAGGTTGTGCTGAATCCTGTTCTGATCGGAGGAGTGGTTCGGTGATAGACATCGATGGTGTAGGAGGAGGAGGAGGCATGAGCATCGGCCAAAGGGAGTAGGGACAGAAGGCAGCTAGGCGCGGCTCGATCCCGTCGTGGGTGCCTGAGCGCCTTGGCGGCTAGCCGATACCATTTGAGTACAGCCCGAAAATGTGGATGTCTTTGATTGGTCAAGAGATGCTTGGGTGGTCAGCTGGTCCTGAGACAACAACCGGCACACTTCCCCGCGAGGGGCAGGCGCGACGGCTCGGGAAGACCCCGTCCCCTAGCGACATGAGGCGCCTGGCGCAGAACGGTTTGATCGCCTCGATTTCATGATTCCAATCCAGCCTGGCCTAGGGGGCGTTTGCCACGACTCATCACAGTGCAACGACCGCGACTACATTGCGCCGACTATGAGCCAGAACGGACAAGCCGGCTTGCTCAGGAGGATAGTGGGTTACGTGGCAGGGTGGTCGCAAGAACAATCAACTCCTCAGACGGTGGAATCGCAGGCGCGCAACGCTTGGTTACGGACGGATGCTTTTTTGCAGTATGAGACCCAAGACTTCGAGAGTCTCGATCCACAGCACCAAGCGAAAGCATTGGGTGCGCTCAATAATCTCGTACAGTTCAAACAGAACCAGGATGTAGACTTTGTCAGCTGCCTGATCCCAGCCAACGATTTCCCCCACTGATGCAGAATGGGATAGAAATTTAACCAAGAGGCGCCGTACCCGAACCTCGAAGCAGTCAATCACATCTTGCAACGGGCAGATGGACAGGGAAGCCGACCGTCGAACGCAGCAATCCGTTTGAGCAAACGAAAGCGAGACCAGGACGCTGTCCTCAACGAGTTCCAGTGCATGGATACGCTCACGAAGAAACGCCGGGTAATTGTTCGAGACGACCCAGACGCGGTGAATGATGCGAATGCGCCCGAAGCAGACTTTGCAATTAGGGCGAGACAACGGTCCATGTCGCTATACCAGGGGCTGCGGACGCACTGGACGTGTGTATGTCAGAAATGCTCGCGCTTGAGCGTCAGGCTCTCGTTGCCTGCGCCGAGGAAAAGCTCGCCGTTAGAGACGTCATTCGAAGTCTTTTTCGGCGTGCAATCACTGGTGCAGGTCTCACTACAGGAGGCAAAGATCACGATCAAGTAAATGCCTTGATCTCGGAAAGATGAACCATTGACTAATAATATGACTTGTCTAGGGACGAGGCAGTCGACGTATATGGGCACAAATCAGAGATCGCGCCTAGTGTGTTGTCTGATTTTGTGCATATCTGTCAGACTGTCACAGAGTCGTTAGATCAACAAACTTGCTTACATCTTAAGTTTGAAAACGGAGTGTTCAAGAGGCTTCGTCCACAGCCTAAAGTCTTTGGGGACCCTCACCACCCACAGATGGTGTCACTATCTGCTCTTTTCAAACGCCAGCAGCAGCTGACGGGCGGGACCTCGGTTTTGCCACACATGGGAAAGCGAATACTTGCGGTCGTCCTCGCAACCGCGCTGCTTCCCTTCCTTGAAACACCTTGGGTGCAACCGACCTTCAACCATTCAAACATACAGTTCTTCCAGCCATTGGGAGAAGACAGTCTTCCCGATATTACAAAACCTTTTCTGGACATGAAGCGAGTTCCTATTGCCATGCCCAATAGAGCAGTGGCCAGGGGAAATGAAGCCGAGGCGGACGCTGCGAAGCATATGGTCCATCCTAATGCTAGCGTGCTCGCGCTTGGTATTCTGTTGTGCGAGCTTCATTACTGCAAACCTATAGAAGCTTGGCAAGACGACCCAGACGCTAGCCAAACTGTCAACAGCGCTTACTATACCAGCTTAGAAGTCCTTAAAGACCTCGATGTCGATGCTGGCATGGATTATTACCTTGCCACAAAGGCATGTCTTCAATGGGAATACCTACCCGCTGGAGAGCATACACCATTTGAATCCGCGAGTGTTCAAAAGCTGTTCTACCAGAACGTGGTGAAGAGACTCGAATCCGAGATCCCCAAGACGTGGCTGAAAGGCTTAGAAAACTTGCAGAGCTTGAGTGCTTACGAAAACCAGCGTTGTTGGGGCAAGAATGGCTGCGAGGTCATCCGACAGCACACAGCTAGGCGCGAGTCAGTTACAAAAGCTACTCCAGAACACCCCGCGGTCTCATCGTCTCCAGATCCGCAAACGACAGGTAGATGGTACAGCACAGTGCAGACTCCCAGCTTGCCTCGCCAGTCCATACCTGTTGAAGCCTCTCAAAGCTTACAATTATTTGATGCAAACCATCAAATGGTCTCTGTGCAAGAGTAAGCTGTCTTCCGAGGCGTTTTCGTGTTGTACGAACTGACAAATCCCGAAGAAAAGCATTATCAGATCGTTGGATGGATAAAATGCTGATGCCGATCTGTCAGCATGTTGAGCCCTATGAGGTCTTTATGTCGCAAGGAGGGACGCCACAGGCTGCGTCTGGCATTGATGGGCTGGTGCGGATAGCAATATTGGACTCTGGTTTCGACCTTACCCATCCGCTGTTGAGGACCGACGAAGGAAACATTGATCCGCGGATAAAGGGATTCCAAAACTTTGTTGCCGGACGGGATGCGCAGGAGTATCAGGATGAGATTGGACACGGCACCCACGTCCTTGGTCTCCTCCTTAAGGTTGCCACATGCGCTGAGATTTACATAGCCAGAGTCGCAAACCAAGCAACGCTAGGTCGCGACAGCTATAGCGCCATCTCAAAGGTAAGTCTGACAACAGCATTGCGCATATCTTATGGCACGGATCGAGCTTAGGGATATGCAAGTTCCTTGGGCCCCTTGACTAACACTATGCAAGGCCATCAACCACGCCGTATCTGTGTGGGAGGTGGATGTTATCTCCATGTCCTTTGGAATCCGGGAATTTGATGAGGATATGAAAGAAGCAATACTGAATGCACGACACAAGAAAACACTGATGTTCGCGGCAGCGTCAAACGACGGGGCAAACCACGGTCGAGCTTTCCCAGCCAAAGATCGCGGGGTCTTTTGCATACACTCATCCGATGGAAACGGGAACCCTTCCGGCTTCAATCCGACTGCTGAGGAAGACGATGTGAACTTCTGCCTCCTCGGGGAAAATGTTGAATCCCACTGGCCAGTCGGTACGAATGGCCACAACAGTAACTTTCGTGTCATGTCTGGGACATCGATAGCGACGCCAATCGCCGCCGGGCTTGCTGCTTCGCTCCTCTCTCTTGTGAGGCAACAAGAGCAGGATTCGCCTACTGATCCCGACCGACTAGGCAGGTGGCTGAAAGATTTTGACTCCATGGAAGCTGTGCTCAAGAGTATAACGAAGGGCAAGAGAGGCGCCGGTTACGACTACATCCTGCCGCACTTTCTGTCGAGCATGGGATCATCAAGGGACGAGATATATACCAGAATCAAGCAAATCAGGGGCGGCATGTTTCAGTAAACACCAAGAAGGAAAATGGTCACTCGAACAGAGATCCCAATAATATGTTGATAAAGAGAAAGCTTGTTGTGATCGTATCCATAAAAATATCCAGCCTGGATCATGCAGGAATGCAGTACACGCTCTCGCCCTCAGTGGCATCACTAACAAAACTAGCGTTTGCGCTAGAGGAGCCATCCACGTTGTCCATCAGACAAGCTTCCTGTTCGCTGTCATCTGCCTCCTCCCCAGTCGTCAAGAATGCACCTGTGGTATAATCTTCTGCCTCCAGCTTTCTTCTAAGTCCAAATTTGAGCCGCTTCACGCGAAACGCGAAAACGAAGTCGGACTCCCTGTTGAATTCAGTTTCGTTATCACTCTTCCTCGTCCAGTGGCCTTTTGGGCCGATGGTCAGGCCGAGAGGGGCCACGTTGATGCCGATATTTGCTTTGACGTCCGTGCTGCTCGACGTCGAATACTTGATGTTTGCGCCTTTGACGAGCTTTAAGCCGGTCACGAGGTAGAGCGAGACGGTGGGGGCGAAGCGCTGCTTCCGCTCTTTCAAGTAGGCCTGCACCGCGGGTGCTTTGATGGCTTCCTTAACATACTGCGGCTCTGGGTCGAATGATGATGTTGTTATGGCATCAAACGCAAAGACGCTGGACGCTTGGTTGGAATGATCGGCACTGGCTTCAGGACCAAGACCGAGTCGTAGGAATTCTGCATAGACGCCGAGGCCTAGAGCCATTTCGGCCGAGACTGTTTTCTTCCAAGCGGTCTCTACAAAAGAAGTAGAGTCCTGTGCCAGAGGGATATTGCACGTGGCATTGAGAGGATACTGGGGCGTCGCTGTGGACCGGAGTAGGGAGCCCAGCCGTAACGGACCAGCGGGAGGGGCCTGAATGAACTCGCTGGTGGGACAGAGGAAGTAAGTCTTTGTGAAAGTCGCCATGGCTTCAATTGAGATTGTGAGCCCGATCGTAGATGAGTTCCCTTCTTTCGTTTGTTTGTGGGCATTGGGGGAAGACGAGCTTATTCCAATGAAAGCCCCAAGAGTATTTGCCACGTCCAGCTATTGAACTGCGGCGAAAGCCAGCTATTATCTATAAGGTTTGCAAGTCAACTTCAACCTCCAAAGTGGCAGGCTTGTGATGATGATGATGATGGGTTCCATTAGCGCGCGCTTGGAGGCAGGGTCTGCTGGCGACAGTGCCTAATCTCAGACCCTCGGCCGCCCCCCTCTTCAATCCGAGCCCCCCTCACACGGGTATTCTTCCCGCTGGAATCAGGCCAATGATAGCGTGGCCTGGATCACCTCTGTACTTGCTAAGACGTCGGTTGCTGCCGCTTGAGGCAGGTGATGGGCGCCGCTGATGGGCGCGTAAATAAGATTTATTATATTAACTACGGCCTTGGTACGAGCTAATACTTTAATAAATAACTTTAGAATATTAATAACTTTTATCGTTCAAATTATTCGTAATAAAAACTAGTATCTTAAAGTATTTATTTAATTTAAATTATTACTCCCTCATTCTCTATATTTCTCATATAAGCTTGATTATATACATATTTCTTATAATAATTATAAAAAAAAATATTATTATAGCCCCTTATCTATAATATTATATTAAAATATGTATATAATTTATAATAAAACTATAAAAAGAAAGTAGAAATATCTCTATTTTGTATATTAACCTTATTTTTACTCTAATATATATTTAGATTCATTAAACCTACCTAGTGTGTTAGAGGCTGGAGCCTGGTGCTGAGAGTCTTGGCTGTGCCTAGACGGATCACCCATTATATAAGCATAACATTAGGAATATGTTCGGTCGCTCGGTAATTAGATAGCTTCTTCTTTCCTTTTCCCCCTTAGCTTTGGATAGATAATTTATAAGCCACTACTTATTAAACAAACTCTAGTCTAGCCCTTTATATATCTAAAGCTCGACTTAACGACAATAATAACGAAGACGATATAAGGGCTTGCGAGCGTAAATTTTTATAATATAGAAAATCAGAACTAGAACTAGGCACTACGAATATTCATTAAAAGCACTATTAAAGAAGCAGTCTAACGAGTTCGAGAAGAGCTTACAGCAGAGATTCACGGGTACTAAGAACGAATCGAATAACTTAAACAATAGATCACCGCCTTATAGATACCGCTAGCCTTAATACTAACATCTACCCATAAGATACGCTATATTCTTTCGGAACTAGAGAAGTATTCTAGGAGCATAAAAGACTGGAATATATAGAGCCTAAGTATAAAGGCTAAGATAAAGGTTAATAGAGGGGCAATTAGTGATACTAAAGCTTAATTTTATTATACTTATAGGTACCTCTCCTCGAGAGTTTAGGGAGATATGTTGCTATATGCTATATTAACGGATATAAAGACTTAAGAAGGACTATTATAATACCTCGGGAGAACACGAGATGATCCGAATCGGGCGCTCCGAGTAGGGCAGAAGTTACACGAACTCCGATAGCGCGATACATTACTCGGACTATTCCTATTAAGATTCGAACGACACCTATACGAAGCGAATACAATAGCTTAGGATAAAGGAGCAAAGATTAATATTCTATAAGGAAGCTTGAATAATTAGTTAAGGAAGCTACTAGTCGGGTATATACGGCTCAGAACATATACCGAATTAGTATAATTACTTCTATAGCTCGGTACGACTATTATTACGTTACGAATATAGTAACATAGCAATGCAATAGACTAGGAATAATTAATAGCGGGAATAGCAAGGGTTACTCTAGCTATTACCCCGACCTAATAGTAATAATAGCAAGACGACGGGAAATATATTATAACGTTCGGGTTAGACTAGCTATAGGGTAGGTAGATCTAAAGTCGGTTTATAAACTAAGTATATTAAGATATCGTTAACTTAAGCGGTCGGGTTATAGTCTATATACGAGATAGTAGATCTTACGTAGATAATTATATTAATAACTAAGGAGCTAGTAGAGATAAATTATAATAAAGTATAGCTTCTTATATACTAAGGTAATTATAGAGTAATTACGGTTAAATAAGGGTAATAAATAATAATTAAATATATTAAAGAGTAGTACTCTTCTAGGCGCAGGGTAAGTGAATCGCGATAATCCGGGAATCCCTATAGTAAAAGAAGAAAGCGACCGATTCAGCAATCTTCTCTTTAGGGTAGGCAAGATATAGGTGAAGAACTTGGTGAATGAATGACTTGATTTAGAACTATCTAGTAGTGAACGAAGGCCTATATTTATAGGCGTGAGGGCGCTGTAATGCCCTGTAAAAGAGTGGGTTAAACCGAACCTAATAGAAGGTTATAGAAGGTTTAATTTATAATAGCGAGTGTGGCAGTGCTAGCCTTCGAATATTATAGAGGGCAATAGAAGCACTGTATTTGTAAGCGCTGTGGACCCCTGTAATAGGTCCTAGATAGATCCCTGTAAGGGTTCTATGAGAGGGCCTCGTAAGGCACCTAATTAGGGAATTAGTCCCTTATTTTCAACAAAATATAATTAATTACCGTAGTTATAGTATTAAGAGTTAATAATTAATATAATTAATATATAATTAATAAAAATAATAAAATATATATAAGAGTTATATATGAGGCGTATAATAGCGTATATAGTCGTATATTAGGTTATAATATAATACTCTTTTTTTTATAATTTTATCCTAGAATTAATTAAAACTAATTATATTTTTTATTTTATAAGTCTTTTTTTTTTCTTTTTTTCTTATATTAATATTATACCGCGTAGCTCGAAATAAAATTATAAAGATTTATTTCTTTTAATCTAAGAATTTAGTTATATCGCCTAGATATTATACTTTTTTTATAAAAAAAAAGGATAAAAGAAGCGTTATAAGGCGATAGATAGTTATAATCGATATACCGAATATACTCGTTATAGTCGTTCTTATAATATATCGGGTATTCTTTAGTCTATAAGTAAGTACTAATATATATTGTACGTTCTTAGATACTAATTTATAGTATTTTATATTATCGCTAAGAAACGTTATTTAGAATCTACTGAAGAAAATATTAAAAATAAGCTCGAGGAGCTTTAAAAAAGAATAACTAAAAATTACGCTTATCTTTATTATTTACGTCGCTAACTATTATAACCTAATATACGACTACTAACGTATATTACGTAAGACCTATATTTCGTCGTACGAACCTATCTATATTCTTTATATAATAAAGTATAAAATAGCATTCCGGCCGCTTAAATAAGTAATATATATATAAATATTATTCGTACGAATACTAATTATATAAATCTTATTTATATAACTAAGGACTTATTATTTTATATTAATTACTTCGGATTATTTACGAAATACTATAATCTAAATTATCGTACTTATCTTATAAGCCTTATAATCTATAGGTATTACTCGCTCTCTACGATAATCCCCTTAGTATATAAAAACCATAGCTTTATTATAATTAGTCTTTACTTACTCCTTAGCTATTAATATAATTATTTATATAAGATCTACTATCTTATATATAAACTATAACCTATTTACTTAAGTTAATAATATTTTAGTATACTTAGTTTATAAATTAACTTTAGATCTATCTACCTTATAACTAATTTAACCTAAATATTGTATATTAATAGCTCTTATTTAATATACTACTGTATTAAGTACTCGAGTAATATAATACTATAGCTAATTAAGAGAACGGTAATATTAGGGACCTTAGCGAGATAATTAAGCCTAAGTTACTAAGACCGTTCGATAATAACCTAAGATAACTTAATAAGTTTTTAACTTAATTTAAGATATATTAATAACTATTCCTTATTAAACTCGCTAACGATATAAATAAGATCTTTTATATAAGAATATATCTAACTAGCACGGCCTTAGTATAGATTAAACTATATATAAGGGACTTTATAGAGATTATAGCTAACCTCTAAGATAATAAAACCTAAGCTATATTTATAAACTACGAGGGTTTCGAGAATATTATTAAGGATATTTTTAGAAATATAAATAAGAACCGAGTTAATATTAAAACCCTTCGAACCTTAAAATAAATAAGATCTATTATAGACTATGTATCGAAGTTTTAATAATTATTTAATAAGCTCGGATAAAATAACGAACTACTTATAACTTATTTCTTTAATAGCCTTAAGTTAGAAGTTTAAGAATAACTCTATAATAAAGATATACCCGAAACCCTTATAGAATATATTATAAACGCTATTAAGATCGATAACTAGTTATACCTAAAATATAGGATATTAAGAAAAAGAAAGAATATAAATTAATTATACTTAAGCTTTAGAGGTAATAATTATAAAGGATATCGCTATTAGCTAAACTAAGGATATCCCCGGTAATAAAATGTAATATAAGCGTATATAATAAATCTAGGACTTATAGACCTAGATATTATATAACGATTACTCGCTATAATAAATAATAATAAAAAAAAGAATTTAACTTACTATAACTATAATAAGCTAGGTTAACAAAAGCGCGAATATTATTCCCCGAAGAAAGAATAAAGCTAGGGCTAGAAGCTAGTACCTAAAGGTAAGCTAAAGTAATTAAATATAATTAGGTCTAGATATAATTATTATATTATGAAAAAGGAGAAAATAAACCTATAATAGTTTATCGATAAATAAATAAGAGATAATAAGATATAAATAAACGATTCGTTAGTATATAACGTGCTATACTAGATAGCGTGCTATAATAATAATTACTAAGTTTATTAAGATAGTAAGGAAAGTTCGGGATAGTTCCTAAAGGCGCTAAGGGCTAAAACCCTTATTATTATATATAGAATTACTATAACCCTTAAAGATAATAATAACTTATTAAACGAAGATATTAATAATATAAAAAGCGATAAAGAACTTATATAAAAGAAAAGAATACGCGAGACTAACTTACTATATAAATAAGTAACTTAAGAAGAATAAATAAATATTATAATTGATCACTATACGTTATTACTATAAAAAGAAGATCTTTAGATAATAATCCCCGCTTAAATAATAAGTAAAGGGATTGATTAAGTAATAAATAAAAGAATAATCCTAGGAGATAACTTATG